TAATCTTACGACTTCATAGATTTTTCTTGAGGCCCCATTGCATGCTTTCTCTTAAATTAAGAATCTGTCAACACCAACCAAAAGAATAAAAAAGCCCTTCCCACCTGTTATTGTTTGTTGGCGTTAAACATATGAATACAATCCAATATAATTGTATTAGATGAATTCATATGGTATATTTAGGTTATGTTAATTATAGGGCAGTAAGTTCAATGCCTTACGCTTAATCGTATGATTAACGTAAACATAATGTTAAAACATTTTTCCATTTTCATATAAAATTAATATGCAAAGAATCGTAAGAAACAATAAATAAATAAAAACAGCCGCATAGTGGCTAATGATCGAATAAAAAATCAATGTTCTTTTAACAGTGTACCGGTCACTTGTCTATCTTTCTGCTGTTGAATTTGTTCTCCTACACTACACCACCAATGGGTCCATAACATAACCATCCGATTAAAAAAACAAAGCAAAAGAAACCAACGGTGGAGATGCACCAAAGTGTCCCACATCAGATGTCACAAGGAATATCTAATCAATCATCTCCTAAAAGCCAACCATAAGGACCACACGTGGCATACTCGGATTGATTGGTGACCATCACGGGGGCTTTTAAGGGTCCCACCACTGAGTTCATCGTATCAACTTGATTTTAGGAATAAGGCCCAAAGAATGGGCCCACTAGAAAACGTGAGAGATATGCATTCGCCACGTGTACGTAGCCCACGATTAGGATAGAACACGCTCCAGATAATACGACAAAGCTCAAAGCCCACGTTAGAATTAAGTTTCGTTTTTCCAATTTAGTTAATGAAAAAGGGCCCTCCCAAAAGTCCCCCTCAGCCTCTGACAAAAAACATGTCGTCACGCGCCTTCCACTACCGGACAAAACAATGTCGTCTTGAATGGCAGGTTCGGTGTTTCGAGGATAAATTCGTACTTTGGGTATGGAGGTTTGGCAAAAGAGTCGGGACGGAACCCTTTGTCGCCACGTGCCTTGGCGTCGGCCGCACGCAGGAAACTCTTGTCTCTCTCTCTCTCTCTCTCTCTCTTCCCTTTATCTTGCTTTTTCCTTTTACTTTAAGAATATTTTGTTTTTATTTTCTAAAATTCTAAGGTGCGTTAGCTCATGTCATGGGGTTTCTCCTTGTTGAAAAATAACGACACTTAAAAAACAGATGTTTGAAAGTTATGGTAAAAAGTGTGTCTGTTCTGTTGGTAGTAGGTCTCCTTTTTGGTGTTCAAGGAATATTATGAAATTATGAAAAGTAAATAACCCAGTTTGACTTTTCTGATACAAATATTTAATTATTGGGCAGAATTGTGCGGAACATAGTAGAAAGTAGTTAACAATGCAATGCACAGTGCACCGTCTCTCATAATTTTAATTAATTTTGTATTCAAATAACAACAACAACTGCTTTATTAATTCAATATGCATATTCCTTTTGTTTTGGTTGGAACTTGGAAGTAAGTATATATTCATATTCCTACTATGTCTTTCTATCTAAGCCTATGTATATAATAACTAGCCTCTCTACACGCTTGTTTATTTTTAAAAAAATTATATTTATTTTAAAATTTAAAAAGATAATGGATAGTTGTGTTCTATAAAAATATTATCTATCATCTGATTTTTCTTTTAATTTTAATTTTTATTATTATGAAAAAGTATGAATTTACCATATTATCATCATTTAATTAATAATTTCAATTCTTAACGTTTGCATTAACCAATGACATTTTCTGATATTTTGAATGTTTTACCATTCTCCGCCTTTTGCTTTATATATACAAATAACATATGCTCTTGGCAAAATTACAAATTACAAATAAAGAAGAAAAAACATTATAAAAACAAAACAAGAAAAGGAAAAAAAAACAATCCATATTTTTTGGGTCAGAGAACTCTATCAAAATACCACAAGCAACTTGATGTCATGAGTAACAAGAAAATATAAAGCATATGTCTTGATGAAAATGAAGTATTGAAAGTTAGGTAAGTTACGGGTCCACATATTTCAGCTTACTATTTACAACAATAAGTATAGTACAAGAATATGATTATGTGGTATAACTCGTTCACATATTATAATATAACTAGATATTTATTGATATTATATTATAAAAACGGAGAGTTTTAACTTTATCGTTCATTTATATTATAACACCTGAACGGATTATACTATTTGATTGTATTTCAGTACCATAGGTTTGATATTATTGAGTAAAATATATCTTTTAAATAGCAAATATTGTATAATCATTTATATCTTTATCTATTAAAATTGTTTATAGAAATTTAGTTATATACCCAATCTTAGACATAGTCTTATAAAGAAACCCTATACCAAAAAAAAAAAAAAAAACTAAACAAAAAAAAAAAAAAAAAAAAAAAAAAAAAAAAAAAAAAAAAAAAACCCAAAGTTGTCAATTTTTTTAAATTTTAATAGTTGTTTTTCAGTTTATTTGTGTGTGTTAAATACTTATATTGTCCTTATACTATGGATTTGAGAGATGAAAATCAGATTTGCCCAGATAACCAAATATGCCTAGATCTGCCAAAAAAACCAAATCTGCCAAAAAACCAAATTATATTTATTTTCTTCTTTCTTACTGGTGTTTTCTCTGGTGTTGGAGCAAGAGGAGCTTCTATTGAAGCTCAATCTCAGGTCCAACTATATTCTTAATATTTAATCTACAATTTTCAATATTTCACCTTCGATTTCTTGTTCTAAAATCGTGCTTCTATTGATTTATTGTTCAAGACCTTGAACAAACCTCGATCAAATGCTATTAGCTCTCCCACATCTTCGAGCTCTACTCCTATTTTGACACATTGTCGTTGTCGTCGTCGTCATCATCGTCATTGTCGTCGTTGTCGTCGTTTGGTTTGGACTTGAGATTTTTAATCTTTTGCTTTAATTATGTGTTTCTCTTCGAATTTTAGTTGATTTTTGAAATGTATTTTAAGCTTTGATGATCGATTTTTCTTTTGTTACTATTTTAGTTATGAATCTCATTTTTGTTTAACAATGTACTTCTATGACAGAGTATTAACAATGTAATTCTATGACATAATAGTATTAACAATATGGACTCGGCTTGTTTTGTGTTGGTCTGGTTTGTTCTTTCTTCATCTTTTCTTTGGTGGACATGTATTAGAAATAGCAACATGACAAGCATTAATCAACATGACAGTAAATTAGCAGCGTTATTACCCTAGACTAGAACATTACAGGGGTAAATATGCATTAGAAATAAGATGTTATAGGAAATAGCAATATTATTACCCTAGACTAGAACATTACAGGGGTAGACATGCATTACAAATAGAATGTCATAGGAAACTAGCAGTGTTATTACTCTAGATTGGAACATTACAGGAGTAGATATGCATTAGAAATAGGATGTTATATGAAACTAGTATTGTTATTACCCTAAACTGAAACATTACAACCATTAATTAACATGACAGTAAACTAGTAGTGTTATTATCATAAATTGGAACATTACAACAATTAATCAACATGATAGTAAACTAGCAATGTTATTACCATAGACTGGAACATTACAGGGGTAGACATGCATTAGAAATAGGATATCATAGGAAACTAGCAGTGTTATTACCATATACTGGAACATTATAACGGTAAACATGCATTAGAAATAAGATGTCATAGAAAATTAGCAAGTGTTATTACTTTAGACTGAAACATTACATCCATTAATCAACATGACAGATCAGTGACTAGAACATTACAACAATTAATAAACATGATAGTAAATGTGCGGAATATTACAGTCATTAATTAACGTGACAAGTTAATGAAGCTACGGTTTTCAAGACGTTTTGTTTGAGTTTTTTATTTTATAAAGTTGGGCTGGGCTTGTTTTGAGTGCTATTTAAGTTTTTTGTGTTGAGCTTCTTTTTTAAGTTGATCAATGACAGTCATGTAATTTATAAGAACTTAAACACTAATTTCTTATGTAGTAAATGAGTTTTAAGTGTGTTTCTAAAGTGCATTCTATGTGAGATTTTTTAATAATTTCAGCCCTTATTTTGGATATATTAGTGAAGCTCCCAATTGTTGTTTATGTATATTTAATAATTAAAATTACTTAAAATAACAATGGGATAGTTGGACTTTCATACTAGTTTTTTATTTATAAAATATAGAGAATAATGGAAAAAGTAGAAATACAGTGTAAAGCCAAAACAGGGCTGTCAGTAGCCATTCCAACCTTTTTAGCCCATTCGCGGGAGAGAAACAGAGCACAACAACACAACACACAAAACACACTCTCCTTCCCCCTTCCTTCCTTTCCTCCCTCAAAACAGAAGCACAAAGAAACCGAGAGAGGAGCAGCAGACCAATTGGCAATGGTGGCAAATATAAAATGAAAAAAATACAATTGAAAATTTTGAAATAGTAGGTCCCAGCTCAACAGTTTAATTCGGCCGCCTGCTTTGTCGTCTCTCTCGTCTCCGTCTTCACCACCGTCGTTCCTTTGCGTTTGACTCTCAATCTCTCTCTTTCTCTCTCTGCCTTTCTCTTTCTCTATTTTTTTTTTGGTGTTTGTACGTTTTATCTATCTCTCAGAGTGATATCTTTGATCTCTCTCTGTGCTTGGTCTGAGCTGTCTCTGCTCTCTTATTTCAGAAAGAGAAGTGTCTCTTCCTTGTTCAGTTAACCCAAAACGAGGAATCAATCGGATAAAACTCAAAAGAGGAGGTACAAAGAACAAACCCAAACCCATCAGCACAGAGGGAGAGCCACACAGAACAACCAAACCCATCACATCCTTTGCTTTCTCTCTCAGGTCTCAGCCAAACTCATCACATCCTTTGCCAAACTCATCCATTTTTCCCATTTTTCTATTATGTCCATTAAAGGGGGTGTTTTGCTCAGGATCATTGTTGGGTTTTAAGCGTCTCTCTTTCTGGGTTGTGAATCTTTTGCTGTGTTGAGAGAGCGTCAGAAAAAGAGATATTCATGGCTGGCAGTAATGAAGTCAACGTGAATGAATCCAAGGTACACTCTGTTCCTTGCCTTGATCAATCTTAGTCCCTCAAAGCCCTCCCTCTCTCTTCTTGTTTTTCTCTTCAATTTTACTTTTATCGTGTTGCCATTTTGGGCCTGCCTATTTTTGGTTCTAGCAAGTTGGAGATTGTTGAACTTGAGAGTCTCATTTGGGGCCAAACTCAAGTTTGATTCCCTTTTCTCTTTTTGTTTGGTTTGAAGGTTTGAATTGTTCTCAAGGGCATTTATATTAATCACTTCTTTTTCATACAAGAAAAATTATCTTTTGTGCTTAAGATTCGTGGGTTGGTTGGATTTTCTTAGTTCTTTCTATTTCTTCTGTGTTGGGTCCAATTTCTTGTTCTGGAAAGTTACAAGTTTGATAAGTTCTAGTTTCATTTGGTGCAAATGTTTGCAAATTTTCACTAAGATTTGAAGGTATTTGAGGTGAATTAGGCATATCCTCGTTTGTTTTCCCCTTTTGAACCGATTTTGCCTTCCTCGTTCAATAATTTCCTGCTGGCTTTGGGGCTTTCGTTGTTTATTTACACTTGTAATTTCTTTTCTGTATCCAGGTGTTTTTCTCTATGCATATAACCAGTCTGGTTGTTTATACTTTGAAGGCTTGAAATATTATAGATAGATTCAAGTTCTAACCCTTGTCATTTCTTTTCCTTTTTCAGAGGGTCGTTCCGCTTAATACATGGGTACTGATCTCCAATTTCAAGCTAGCTTACAATCTCCTGCGCCGGGCTGATGGAACATTCAACCGTGAGTTGGCAGAGTTTCTTGACCGCAAAGTCCCTGCCAATACAATTCCAGTTGATGGGGTTTTCTCATTTGATCACGTTGATAGAGGTACCGGGCTCCTTAACCGGGTTTACCTACAGGCCCCTGAAAATGAGGCTCAATGGGGGATTGTGGATCTTGAGAAACCCTTGAGCACCACCAAGATTGTCCCAGTCATAATTTTCTTCCATGGTGGTAGCTTCACTCATTCCTCAGCCAACAGTGCCATCTATGATACATTCTGTCGCCGTCTTGTTAACACATGCAAGGCTGTTGTAGTGTCAGTAAATTATCGTCGATCGCCCGAACATCGATATCCTTGTGCGTATGATGATGGCTGGGCAACTCTCAAGTGGGTTAAATCAAGAACATGGCTTCAGAGTGGGAAGGACTCAAAGGTTCATGTTTACCTGGCTGGAGACAGTTCAGGTGGCAATATTGCTCACCATGTTGCGGTAAAAGCAGCTGAAGCAGAAGTTGAGGTATTGGGAAACATCCTTCTTCACCCCATGTTTGGTGGGCAAAAGAGAACAGAATCAGAAAAGAGATTGGATGGGAAGTATTTCGTTACAATTCAAGACCGCGATTGGTACTGGCGAGCTTTTCTTCCTGAAGGAGAAGACAGAGACCACCCAGCATGTAATATATTTGGCCCTAGAGATAAAAGCCTTGAAGGGCTCAAATTCCCCAAAAGTCTTGTTGTTGTGGCTGGTTTTGATCTTGTCCAAGATTGGCAATTGGCGTATGTGGAAGGGCTGAAGAATTCAGGTCAGGGTGTGAAGCTCCTTTATCTAAAGCAGGCCACAATCGGTTTCTACTTCCTGCCAAACAATGAGCATTTCTATTGTCTCATGGAGGAGATAAGCAACTTCGTCAATCCTGACTGTTAATAAACTCTACTTAACTTTACCTACAGCCAGCCATACATAGCAAAAGCTTGACATTTTTACTGGGGTTCCTCCCCCCTCCTTTTGCACTGTCCTCGTGTGTAGTAGTTGTAAGATTCTCTAGTATTACTTGTTACTTACTTACTGTGTTTACCATTTGTTGTGGTAATTTTAGAGTTCTGCTACCGTCGTCCCTCGGAACTGTTCGATATCATTCTTGCTCTGGGGATACTTGTCTTGTTCTGTGTCTCTTCAAGTTGCTTGAGAAGGCCGGCGGCCATTTTCGGCAGCTTGGAAGGAAGGATCAGAACTCAAATTGTGGGATTTGGCATAACCACCCAACAGAGGTAAAAGCTTTTACCCTGGCTCACTTCTGACCATGATTGATGAGGGGAAGCGTTGGGGTAAAATGCTTGGTGGTTGATCAACATGTTATTTAGTAAATGGATTTTATTGTAAGCACTAATTTTTCAGAACTTGAACTGTGGAAGGAACATATGCCCCTTGTTATGAACATAAATCAAATGTTTACTACTTTGTGTTACTTACTGTTGTACTACTAGCCTCCCTTAAATCAAATATAAAAGATTTCCTTGGCGTTTGAGTCTTCTTCATCAGTCCCCTACCTTTTGTTTCATTTCATTGCTTCTTTTAACTTCAATCACGCCTTCTCCCAGGGAAGAGCTTTGGCCCTGTTTTGCCTTTTGCGTCTTTATCCTTGACATCAGTGCATGCCTTTCTGCATGTTCTGCTAGGCTTTTGCTTGCTTTGAAATTTTGATCCCCTTGTGTTGTTGTAAATAATTGGTACAAGACCTCTCATGGGATGCCATTGGCGTACCATCCATCCCAGTCATCCAAAAAAACCAAAACCCCAATCTATTATTAATATTATTCACCAGAAAAGACATGAAAATTGAGCAAGAAAAGTGATTGGACGCATAGACTTGGCCATCTTTCTACATCTGTTTGTTTGGTTAATCATCGTTATTCTATCGAGATTCTAGATAGTAGAAACTAGAAAGAAGACTAAAATTGGAATGGGTTTATCTTATTCTGGGGATGGATTTGGGATAATGGCAAATGCAAAGAACTGGGTTTGTTTTATGATAGTGGGGAAGAGGCTCATCTGGTTGGTAGTGGTTGGGAATTTTGGATGTATTCCAAAGGGACCGCATTTGAAAACTCAACGGAGCAAAAAAAACAACACACAAAATTTAATAACATTTTTGGGATTTGCTAATGGGCACTAAGTGGTAAAAAAAAACACGGCTATGCTCGGACAAGGACATGGAACCTTGTCTTTATTTGACTTTCTTTCTTCTATTCAATGCATTGCTTGCTTAGAATGTATATGCTTAGGTTGCTTTCTTCTCATTCACGTTGGTGTTTTATTCTAAACCCAAACCCAACCCAACCCAACTTTAAAATTTTGAGTTTAATATTGTTAATTGTTAAAACGAGAGCTTATGTTGCTCGGATTGTCATGGTTTTTCCCACGTCGTGTCGTATTATGGCTTGTCTCTTGCAAATTAGCTGTTAATGTTTTGAAGTTATTCCCCGTAATACGACACAATAAGTCCTTGTCAACAAAATGGCCTTTTTCTTTAATGTCGATGAGCGAGTGCGGACAAAAACCCTTAATTCGTTTGCTCACCTCACTCACCACCCTTTTACTTTTCTGCATTAAAATATAATTGTTGTGGGTCATTGGATGCGGTGCGTGTTCACATCTAATTCATGTCTTTTTTGAAGAGACACTTACGGATAGAACGGGAATATCACTGTTTTGCTATTTTCGATCAATCACGTCAATCGTAATAATTCTTTGACGTGACAATCACAAAGTTTTTCTGCTTTTGAGAGCTCTTTTTTTTATTGCTTTCCTCCTCCTCCTTCTCTTCTTTGTTGAAATGAAAAAGGAAAACGTTTTCCTAATCAATTGGCTAGGACTTGGTCATTACTCTATCACCCATCAAGGAAGAAACACCAATCAAAGGCAACTGATCCATTTGGATTTTTCTTTTTGTACAGAAAAATAAGATAAAATAAAGGTCATTTCTAAGTCTATACGCATGTTTTATGTTTATCGTTAAGTTGTGACTTTATTTGATGTCTGATGTCGGGAGTCTTTCCAAATTTATCTGATGGAGTATGTTTTTATTTATACAGAAAATATATTCCACTACAAATTACAATCATGACATGGGATCATCCTAATTTAATTTTACTCAGGATAAATAAAGAATATAAGCAATAACTAGTTTGGTGATAATCTAAATTATAATTTTTTTGAGTGAAACGTACTGGAAATTCTAAAACATGAGAAAGATGCGATAATCCTTTATTTTATTGATGGACAGATGACGAATTAACAATGATAAGCAATACCATTATGAATACTTATCCTTTTACTCTTTTAAATATATATATATATATATATGTGTGTATATTTTGCAATTGGGTCCAGCCACAGCATGGTGTTTCATGCTTGTATGAAGTCATTTTATCAACACCTGAAGGTTGGATTTGCTTTCCCAATGAAAGAAAACAAAAGAAAAGGGCGTTGCAAATTTGCAATTGCACCCCAATGTTGTGAACTTGTGACGCATTCTGGGTTTTTTTTGGGGAAAAAAACAAATAAATAATGAGCTCATTTATAAGAAGGATTTTTGGCTGTATCATGAACATAAATACTTTATTTCTTCTATTCTGTTTGGTTAAATAAATGGGACAGTTTCATTGGAGATATAAGAAAGAAGTAGATAGAAAAGTTGTAGAGGATTATTCTCATCAGTCTTTCTAGGGTAATGCTACCAGCACTCATTTAGATCCTTGCACTTTAAAATGAATAAATCTTATAATTTTTTGGCACTCACAGAATTAAGTGCAAATAGCACTGACCTTTTTCTAAAGACAAGATATGTATTATACAGGAGGTGCCTGCTGAAGCATTTAAACAACAGAAGAAATCTTTGGGAAGAATAACAAGTGTTTACTTTTTTCAAAATTCATAAACAGATCCAGCAACCAAAACAGGTCAGTCTAGAAATGCCTTCAACATACATTTAAGGTGCAGTTGGATGGTCATCCTCCTAGAAAACAAAAGGAAAATATTAAATTGCTAGCAAAAATATTTAACATGCAACATCTGGAAGTCAGCTTCCAAGTATTATTTGCTCTTGTTTCAGATGTAATTTGATACATCATCTACAGCCTTCAAATACGTCAAGAACTATCTCTTCTTTGTCAATGTAATTTCTATAATAATTAGCAGATTCAATCACAAATGCCGGGCCGGGACTTTCTGCAGGAAGACAGACGGCGGCGCCTCTTTGAATCTATGATGTCTTGGTGGAACTTATTTGGATTTCCTAGGCATTCAGCGGTTTGGTACACTTGGTCAATGAAATAATGTACAGATTCTGCAACCCAACGTAGTCAATCAATTGTGTGTGTATATGAAACCAATCTTATATAAACTGATGACAAAAACTGAAATAACATAATTCAAGAGCAATCACATGATTCGGCTTGACCCATAAAATACACAGAAAGAGGTTAAGAGTACCCAAATAAATAGTTCTCATTCAGACTAATGACAGTAACGTAGTTGCATGGGGGCCAATTATATAATTTCAATATCCAAGGAATTCGGGATGCGACAGCAATGACATTCATAAGCTTGTTAAAGTTACCCAGTGTGTGTTGGAGATAATGGGTCCTTTGTTCCTTTTTTGGCATCTCAACAAAGGAACTCCATTCAGGTTCATCTGCGGTTATACTATTCACACTACATCTAGAATGATCTCTTGGCAAGGCTACACACATGCACTCACACTCACTCACATTTAAGTATATATTGTTCAACAATCAACAGAACATGGGTTACCAAGGTCAGCCCGCAATTTTTTTCATAATGTCAGTGGTGTGACATTATAGAACCGGTAAGTAATCTCAAAGGTGAAGCATAATTATCAATGAAATTCAACCACAACTAACTTATTGTACATATTGCTGACTTAGAAGAAGCCTCCTAGTAATCAAGACAGGCCAGCACAGACTATTGCAATCAGCTCACACTTAGACTTCCCAAGTGTCTACCCAAAGCATGTGAATCCAGGGTGGCTGTTTGACAAAGAAAACCTTGTTGAGCTGATTTATCTTTTTCAGTGAATCCAGGGTGGCACTCAGCCAGTTGATGAAAATAGGAAGGCTCTCAGTCTCCTAACATTTTGGAAAAGGGAAGAAAAGAAAGAAAGAGGCCAGACAACAATATATAACCATAGGATTCTAATCAGTTATATTAATAGGCAATGGCGGGCAATCATCCTGGACTGATATACATGTACTCGCAACAAAAAAATTCACGCAAGGGAGTCAATACCAACAAGCCACTTTCTGAGGTCAGATATGTACCTGTGAATAATGTGGAACCTCTGTTGCGCCTTATGGATGTAATGAACCATTCACAATGACCGGCTGAATGCTTTATGCAATTGCTGTAATCCAATATGCTCTACCAAAGTGGAAGGAAGAATCATGACAGCAATTCATCCAAAGGAACATCATATCCATGCTTCCACATTAATCCTATTATTTTCGCAACCTTATATCTTTGACCACACCTTGAGTAGGCTTTGTACAATATCCAAAATGTTCTTTTGGTATAGCCCAGGTTAAAATTCTCCATCTCATTAAGCACACTCTCCATTTCTTCTAAGCGCTTTTGTGATGCATACATGACCATCTTACAATGATACAGGGACCTGCAAGTTCTCCACCTTGCACATTCCGCACGCTTCACAAAATTTTCAAGTCTGTCCACTTCATTGCATCGAAAGTAACTTGAAATTATAGATCGCATCACACCTGTAGTAGTTACAGAGATTTTGTGATCAAATGCCTCATCTATTGACTTCTCCATTGCCTCAAACCAATCCTCTTGAGCATAAACCCTAATCAGCAACACATTCAACCAAGGTCTGTATTCATTTTCTGGAATAAGTTTCATTAGTGAGTGAATCTTTTTCACTCTGTCTGTGGCAGAACTCTTGCAATAAGCACATATCATAGCTCTTATCAATGGGATTTCCTTGTCATTAACGTGATGTTTTACCAATTCATATGTCTCCTCCATCTTTACCAAATTACCTGCATGAGCATACCCTCGAAGCATAAGCAAGTGTGTGCTAGTATCAGGACTAACAGGGCCCACCTTCATCTTTTGGAAAGTTTCTTCCATACTATCCCACATCCAAGCTGTAATATATCCGGCAATCAAATTGTTGTATGTGCTTAAATTAGGTGAGAGATTTAAATCATTTAAGCCCTGGAGAGTTGCCTCCATATGATCAACCAGCATCAACCGACCAAAGACGGAAATAAGAATATTGTATGTTACAATAGTAGGACTGCAATCTCGTTCCCTCTTGAGCTCCCGAAACAAAGACTGACATTTAGCAGCAAGACCATTGAACATATAAGCACTCATCAGTGCATTATAAATAGAAGTCGTCTTGATTCGCTTGTTTACAGCCTCTGTAAATAACTCAACAGCAAGTTCAACATTCTTGGTTTTACCTGCCAATGTAATAGCCTTGGCATACTCCTCTGGCGTCATAGGAGTGCCACCAGCTACCTGCTTTCTTCTCCAATCAAAAACCTATAACATAAGCAAAACAGATGAAAAGAAAATAGATAATTAAAATCAACATTTCGAATAGATTTTACCTGAAATTAACATAGGTAAGGCACAGTAAAGATTAGCCATTCCCTACATTTAGTATTCATCTGTCTGTTGTTGTGGGTTTGTGATAATTTTCTACAGTCGCAAGCACATCTCACGTAGACCAAATCAATTCCGTTGTGTTTTGTCTTTTAGATAGTCTTAAAAATTCAGAACAATTCACCATGCATATAGACTTCGAAAGAGCCCTAAGCGGGATAAACCAGGGGTAGAAACTTCGGCTGTGATTAAATTTTACAAAATCTGTTTCCATGTTAGTGCAATAGCAGTGCATATTCTGAACAGAGAACTGAAAATGAGATATGCTATCCGTCAAAAACTCCTAGCATGCCTAAAACCCAAGCAATCTTTTTGAAAAGCAATTGGACCCATATAGATACACAATTACCAAATGCACAATGGCATTTCAGCTGATTCTTATGCTGCATAATTAGTAAAATAAGCAAAAACTTATACTAAATGCACATCAAACAAACCACTGGGATTACATATATCATATATACCACGCTAAAACCGAAAAGCTTTGACTTTTTAGTTTGAAGTCTCAAACTTTATGAGGGAAATTACCTCCACGGCTAAATGGGGCCACGAACGTAACTGGTTCATAAGCTCAACGACAGCGTATCCATTCCCATAGCTCGAAAAGAAAGAAGAGCCCTTCTCTTCCAAAACCCTAACAAACTCGTCACAGTCCCCAATATTCTGAACCAGTTCGTCCCTCAACTGCGTGACCTTGTGCACCAGATCCTCTCTGGCCCTCAGGTCTTGGGGCGAGGGCTTGTCGCTGAACAAACCGATGATGCTTGAGAAGGAGGTGGGGGAAGATGAATATGGAGAGGAAGATGAATGGTTCTGGGCAGTGACATCGCGGGTGAATCTGTAATTAGGGGAGTTGGTGAGGGTGAGATTGTAAGGAGGTAGGGCTTTGGTTTTGGAAGAGCATCTGTGGCGGCAGAGAAGCTCTGATTGGGCGGCGTCTGATAGCTTCCAAACTCGCTTCATTGCTTGGTGTTAGTGGTGACCGTTGTGTGCATCTTCTGGGTTTTACCGGGGTTTTTCTCTCTGCCTGTCGATAGACTACGCGGCGGCCAATGGTACAACACCAATGTTTGGGATTTGGTTTACTATAACATAAGAAAATGAGGAAAAAGGAGACAGAAAAGTTGGTTGGGTTGGGCTAAATAGTTATGGATTTCAGCACATATGGATCACATAATGTGGGTTGGTACTGGACCCATTGAGGCCCAGTATGAGTTGCTTTTTTTTTATTTAATAAGCCCAGAGCAAGGCTCCAAACCAACCTTCCGATCTCAAACCCATTCATTCCACAAACTATTAGGTTCGGTTGGGTCACAACCCACAAAGATGTGGGTGGCTTTTTCATAACATAAAAGCTTTGGTTTTTGGGTTTTTTTTTCTTCCTTCTCATCAAACTATATTGAGAAGAGAGGAAATCGAACAATGTTGGAAAATTAAACTCCTCCAACTTCCAAAAAAGTCTGTGTAGTGTATCATGTATGCACTTATAAAACAAGTTCGTTTGCATTACCATATCGTACTCAATACAATCACCCAAAAATATCATATTCGTTGAACCTAATTTACTACTTGTGCAACACGTACATTGATCAGAGTTCCTATTTAAACCATAGAAAAATGGGAATCAAAGAAATTATTGTAGTGGTAAACCAAAGCATATGATGTCATAGCGGCCACAAGAAAAAAAGAAACGAAAGAGAAAAAAAAACACAAAAGTGAGGATTTATTGCTAAAAATTAAACCCCCCAAAAGTGAGGCAGTGAAGCCTACAGTCACTCTCATCGAAGCCGAAGCTGAAGCTGCTTGCTTTACAAATTTCAAAGCTTGGCGTTGGCATTAATCAACAACAACAAGTCTCAATATTTATTTATTATCCATGTCGATGTACACATGCACATTTAAAGAAAGCCGCCTCCAATTCAACTCTCTTTCTTTACAACCGGTGAGTCTCTCTCTTCTTTGTCGCCGACGCCGTTAATTGAATTTCTTTCATTCATGGACTTTCTTAAATTGTTCTAAACATATTAGTCTAACTGGTAAATGGTTCGTCAAGAAATTTACCTCTGCACTGGTTATGGCTTACTATGAAAGGATATAATTCAATTTGCAGATGAGGGTAACGGTGTTCACAAGGTTTAGGTTGTTGGGTTGGAAGCTTGTTGTCGTAATTGTAAAATTTCCCAAGAAAGGAAGTAGCTTGAGGTGTGTGCTGATGAAATAGGAACAAGATTAGCTACTTGGTTGGTTGTCCTTATATTTCTTTTGGTGTTTTTCTGTGGCTTATACTTGTAGGATTGGCGTGATTGGGATGCTTTTTTAAGTGTTTTCAAGGTTCGGCTACATTGTTAGTCCTTTAAATGTGTTGTGCAAAATCATATTGCTTCTGGGCTTAAACTCAGATACGTATCACAGCCGCTGCGGCTGCAGTTTGATGAATTTGATGAGATGGGCTATTCACTGAGTAGATTGACCCTAGAATCTGACCATTTTGATGAAGTTGGTAGCAGTCAAACATCCGGCAAACTCTTGCATAATCTAGAGCATGAAGTGGCCCAACTCACAAAGTTAAGGTCAGCACCCCATGAGCGGCTCACCCAAATTGGACCGGGGAAGCGGGACCTGCCCGTTTCCGTGGTCAAGATGCTGGCTGGTCGAGAAGGTAATTATTCGGGAAGGGGAAGGTTCTCTTCTGCAGATCGTTGTCATGTTCTAAGTAGATATTTGCCAGTGAAGGGTCCTGGGCTTGTTGACCACATGCCCAGCCGGGCATATGTCTCACAGTTTTCAGCAGATGGATCTCTTTTTATTGCTGCGTTTCAGGTAACATGTTTACTGACTGCACTTGAAACTAAATTTGGCAAATTTGGAATAAGATGACAATCCTGACCTCTATTTTTTGTTGAGTTCATCTGTTTGCTCATAAGACCCAATGTTTTAAGATAGTTGTGCTGTTTCTTCAGTTCCAAAGCAGAAAAAAATGGACTTAAGATTACATAAATCTCTAATGCCGTGGTTGCTACTTGTTAGTGATGCTATAGGCTTGCTTGACTTTTAGTTGTTGCACACATGTTGGTTGCAGGATAGCCAGATTAGAATATACAATGTGGATAAAGGGTGGAAAATACAGAAGAACATTCATGCGAAAACTATGCGATGGACCGTCACTGATACGTCTCTTTCCCCAGATCAACACCATCTTGTGAGGCCCTGTATATTCTTAATCTTAATTTCATGTAAAATGGTATCTTTGCCCTTACATAATGAAACAAGAAATCATGATAAATGAAATAAGGGGAAGGATTTCAAACTACTACATGGACTTATTAAACACTAAATATATAGAAATTGGAATCAATGAAAAAAATTTCACAACGGCCAGGGGTACACTAGCAATGTCTCTCAATAATTTTATCTTTATTTTTACGTTGTATTCTGATATTTCAGGTTTATGCGAGTATGTCACCTATTGTTCATATGGTTAATGTGGGATCATCTCAAACAGAGTCTCTTGCAAATGTAACGGTATGAACACTTCAATTTGAATGGGTGTTGTAATTTTTTTGGGAAGAGCTCGTGCATACTGCAAAATAAAAACACATTTTACGCTTACCAGCATAGTATGTCATCATTATCCTGGGCTAACTGTACTCTCTTAAATTAGCTTTCCTAGATATTCTATTTTTCAACATTTTGCTCATCTTCTCATGGAAGATTCTAATTATTTGAAACTAAAAAAAGAAAAGTAATGGTGAGTGTTTTAGATCCTTGCTGATGTATTCTAAGATCCTAGGCTTATCTGTATTGATCGAAAATATTTGGTCTATGTACATGCTCCCTGTCAAAACCGTACTACAGCTATCACTCAGTCACATTGATTGGACGATTCTCATGTTATTTCAGATTGGAGAAAAAGAAACACATGACTGATTAAATAGAATAATATTGTTCTTTTTTAGCACAATTACCATGGCCTTGAGAACATGGGAAAGAAAAGATGTCAACGGTGAATATCATCTGAACTCACTGAGACAAATATCTGTCATCATTGCTTTATATGCTATTACTTGATTGCATCTTTCTTTAGGGGGTGCAAAAATGGTGAATTGCGGGTATTAGATTTCTTCTGAAACCAGGATTTATTTTCCCTTCTATAATAGGTTTGCTTGACATTCACAGTATTCTTTCACAGTATTCTTTTTATAAAAAAAACATTCAGAGAATGATTTCTTATGCAGGAGATCCATGAAGGTTTGGATTTTTCCTCTGGTGATGATGGAGGGTACTCATTTGGTATTTTCTCCATAAAATTCTCGACAGATGGACACGAACTTGTTGCTGGAAGTAGTGATGACTCCATATATGTTTATGATCTTGAAGCCAATAAACCCTCCCTTCGAATTTTGGCACACACGGTTATAAGCATTTCTGAACGCCTCAATGATTCTATCTTCTTGTTCTTGATTGTATTTTACTTATTGTTCTCTAGTCCTTGACTCCGCTGAGGAAGTGGGGCTTGGTGCATCAGCCCTTTCAACCACCCACACTAATCAATCACCAAATGTCTTTTTTTCTTCTTTACCTTCTAGTATTTTCTTGGAGTTTTTTTGTCCTCATATTGAGGAACACTGAAATGTAATGTGGTGACTGCTCTTTGATGGGATCTTAGGGGTCGTAAATTTGATTGGTTTCTTTTGCAGTCTGATGTGAACACCGTATGTTTTGCTGATGAAAGTGGGCATCTTATTTATTCTGGAAGTGATGATACTCTCTGTAAGGTAAATTTGATGTCCACATTCTGGCACTCCATTGAAGTACTTCTAATTTTGAGTTTCCCTTGTACATAAATACATCTTGGTAGACGTTATGTGTATTTCACAGAATTCACACTTTAGAATTCTCAAAGTTGTAGTTATAGAGAAGTTTTAAGGAATTCATTATTATTTGACTTACCTGAGATGAATGAGAAAACTCATATAAGGTATAGCTTTGTGTAGGTGTGGGACAGACGTTGTTTTAAAGCTACGGGGAGGCCAGCAGGAGTCTTGACGGGACACCTAGAAGGTATTACATTCATTGACAGCAAGGGAGATGGTCGTTATTTCATTTCAAATGGTAAAGATCAGGCCATTAAACTTTGGGATATCAGGAGAATGACTTCTAAGGCCACCTGGTATGTTCACATCCTAGCTTCTCGCGGTGCTCTTGTAATCATACATGTATAAGTTTTTCCTTTTATTTTATGTGTCCATTAGTTGATCATGGTCATGAAATTTTATTATCTATCTGTGTGAACGCTATCTTATTAATTCTGTTATATAAACACCAATATGATATTTTTTTCACTTCTTAAATCAAGATCAGCATGGTTATGGAAGGGCTAAGTTATATCATTGCGAATTTGTTTGCTGGGTCTGCAGGAAAGTTTGGTCTCTTGCAATTCCAGTTATGGTTTCCAAAACTAATCACTGTTGCAAGAAAGTAACAATCCTTCAATTTATTCCAGCATTCCAGGGCATAGGAGTTCTGAATGGGATTACAGATGGATGGACTACCCACCCCAGGCAAAAGATATCAAACATCCATCTGATCAATCAATAGCTACATATAGAGGTCATTCAGTCTTGCGTACGCTTATTCGCTGCTACTTTTCCCCCGCATATAGGTAAGCACTAATCACAATCTTTTTATTCATACTTCTCCAGAGGTCCAGAAGCTGGTTTCATATCACCGTCGAGTTTCTTTGTTCAAATGTGCTTGATGATCTTGAAATTTAACCTACTTTTGCATTAATGCGATAGGTACAATTTTGAATGAGTAATATTCAACAGATTTCGAGTCAATCAAACTTGAGCTTTTAAAGTGGTTACTTGTTGCAAGTTGTTTACCCTGTCAATAGAGCTGTCAATATTCAAGACTTTTAACATACTTGATCTTCATGAAATTTGCAGCACTGGTCAAAAGTACATCTACACTGGATCACATGATTCTGGCGTTTATATATACGATTTGGTATGTGGTACATGTATTAGTTATTTAGAGCTGCACATTCTTTTTTTTTTCTTTTTCCATCTGGTTCCAGACCTGAGTTAATGGATCAGGATACTCTTACTTATCTAGACTTCAAATGAAAGGAGATTAACACTCACCAGTTCATGAGACTTTTGGATAAAAACTGCAACTTATTCATGTTAGGTTTTTCCCAATCCTACTACCAATCCGGTGTGCTGATGTCAATGCTCAAGTGCCAAGTCTGTGGCTTGTGCCACTCTGGAATGCTTGCTTTTTCTTTGCCTCCCCAGCCCCCGAAGATTTCATGACTTAACTTATGGTAATTTTTTTGGTTAACTCTATGTAGGTAAGTGGAGCCCGAGTTGCGACACTCAAGTATCATAAAGCACCTGTAAGAGATTGTAGTTGGCACCCCTATTACCCAATGCTCGTAAGCTCTTCTTGGGATGGGGCCGTTGTTAGATGGGAGTTCCCAGGGAATGGAGAAGCACCAGAACCTGCACCAGCACCTTTCAGCAGAAACAGCATCTGGAGGAGACATTTTTCTTGAACTCACAAGTGATATTGCAGTCAAGACACAGTTTTGTTCAGGACACAATAATCTGGCGAATGAATGATGATAGCTCAGGCTGTACCAACACCAATGAAATAAGCCCCGCCCCGTCTTTTGTAATAAGCATATGCATGAAATTCAGTTGTAAATAAATAACCAAGTATGTGTTAATTTTGATCTTGCAAAACATCCTATTTGTGTACCTGTTCTTGTTATTTTGCTACTTTTACTCAGTATGTATAAGCCATTTCAAAAATAATATATGCGAATGCAAATGAAAAACAGGAAAAACAGTAACGGGGAGGAAATAAAACCAAGTAAATTTCATAGTTGAAAACAGTAAAATGGATTGGAAAAAGAAAAAAAGTTTATTAATAACACAGAAATTGTTAAGGGGCCACAAAGAAAATTAGTACAGGAATACCTCAATCATTCTGTCTACCCCCCACCCCATGATGCAATTTGAGGGGAGGTGACATAAACAAGAAGGGGCCCCTACTTAGGTGATTGATAAAATTTTCTTTAAAGCAGGCACTGCAATTGAATAATAACATAATCAATGAGGAACCCTTCTTGGAAAAGACAATTAATTAATATAATTAGTTAATGATGCAGAACCATTACAATTATGAACAAATGTTAAAAGGCCTGGCCCCACTTTATTGCAATATTATTTTTGTAACCCCCAAGGATCTATTCCCTCCCCTCCCAAAAGAAAAAAGAAAGAGAGGAAGAAATGTCTTGTTATACAAGCTTAACAGAAGATCATTTGGTAGGTAGGCAGTAGATTCTTGTTATACAAGATTAACAGAGATTGCCTTCCTGCCAAGCTTCACAGAATCCAATTACCAATCCAAAAGCATGTTTTTTATTTTCTTTCTCACAACACAAATTTCATGTTCCAGTAATTTTCTGAACCCAGACAGTAGACACTGTGGACACAAAGAATATATATCCCTGCCCTACATTAGATTTAGGGTAGAGATTTAAAAAATTGGGTTTGACTACTTGTGCCAAAAGAGCTCATAATAATAATAATATTCAATTCAAGGGAAATGCCTTTCAAACCTTTTGGCAGAAGCCAAACAAGAAGAAGAGACAACAAATGAGTCAATTGCTTCAATTTCTTTTTCTTTTTTGTTTGTTAAAGTGTGCCATAGATTGACACTTGTGCTGACTGCTAGCTTTGTTCATGTGCTGTCATCTCTAACCCCCACCTAATCCCAGCTACCTTCACATGTCCTCTTCTTCCATGGCTTCGCAGTTTGCACATTGCATAAGAAAGAAACAAAGGGAACATATTCAGTTGATGGTTTGGTTAAGTTTTTACAGGTAAATATATGCACCAGCCAGCCAGCCAACCACCACCCACCATCCCAAAAGTTAAAAAGAAACCCAACTTTGAGTTATATTTTATGTTAGGGTTAATGACCTAAATGGTCTCTCAACTATCGCGCGATTATCATTTTGGTCCACCAACTAAAATTTCAATTCAAACGTCCTTAAACTTTTTATAATGTACCAAAATCGTCCTTTCGTCAAAGTCTGTGTATTATTCCGTTAAATCGAGGGACAAAACCGTATTTTTAGGTGAGTATATTTAACGGAATAATACACAGACTTTGATGGAAGGACGATTTTGGTACATTATAAAAAGTTTAAGGATGTTTGAATTGAAAATTTTAGTTGGTGGACCAAAATGATAATCGCGCGATAGTTGGGGGACCATTTAGGTCATTAACCCTTTTATGTTATCTAATCGCATATATGCAAGTTATGATATTGAATAATGTTGCTTCACATTTCACTCAACTAGCCTTGTAATGGCTCCAATGATGGCTAATTTTGGGGAGAAGAAGCCCGTGCATAGCAAAAGCCGAAAAGCAGAGCGACCTGCATTGGCACTTGCGGTCCTTCTTCATCTTTCTATCAAAAATAACGAAAAGCAAATCAAGAAAATGATGTACATGCTCTTCTTGAATGAGACACATCACGACTCGGAAGAACTCAGAAGTTGCTGCTGCTCTCATCAACACTGATGAAATTCTGCCGTTTTTTTGGCAGAAAAACTTGTTTTAGCTTCAAACCTGACAACTTCTTCAAAAAAGATAACCCTCAATCTCCATGGTTGATAGACATATACATGAGGGTTGGATTGGATTCACTCCTCTTTTCATCCCCTAAATCAAATTTTTTTTGTTCTCATCAGTTCATGAATTCTAAAGACAATAGTGCCTAACACCAAGTAAAACAAAACCCAGCATATGTCACCTTACATCCAAGTTCGAATCTCCCTCCTCGTAGATTAGATTAATCACTTGTATAACAAGTAGAACGAAAACCATGAGAATAAAAGACTAATTAATTATCACAATAATAATATACCCTAAAATACATTCACAGAGTCTTGCAAAAAATTCTTCATATTTAATAATAGAGTAGAGCATTAATTTCGCCTACATAGTTACACTATTAATTTCTGAGTATCCACAAATCTTCTTTTAATTCTTATTCATCATTTTCTACTATTTTCCCCAAAAATAAATAAATGAATCTAAAGGAACCCACCCCACCCCCTCTCGCCCACAAAATATAGAATATATTAAATTTTAATAAGAACAAAAATATTAACGCCCATCCGAATTTCCCACTTTACCCCCTCCACTCGTTGCACTGCGCAGTCGGCCTAGTCTTCTGCTTCCCAGCCTTCAATGGGCACGGCGTCTGTAGGGGCGGGACCATGCAATTATACTGCAGACACAGCGAGCTGCTCACTGGAATCTCAGCCGTCGGATTAATCTGAATCCCAGTAAGAAAATTGTGCTGCAGATACAGTATCTGTATATTCGCAGCCAGTAACCGATCCACGAAACTACCCGGAACCTGACCCGTGAACCGGTTGTTATTCAGGTACAGACTCTGTACGGTCGAGAACAACGGTGAGATTTCACCCGATAACCGATTGTAGCTGAGATCAAGGGTCGATATTGAAACCTGACCATCCGGTTGGACCCGACCCGAAAACATGTTTCTCTGCAGCTGGAGATTGGTGATTGGGTAAGTGAAGACCCGACCCGGAATCGTACCCGTAAACTGGTTCATACTGAGGTCGAGGTAGTTGAGCTGGCCTAGCCGGTTCAGGAGGCCGTCGACCGGACCGGTTAGCCGGTTCCAGGAGAGAGACAGGTATTGGAGAGAAGGAGGGAGGGAGTTGGGAGCGAGCGAACCGGAGAGGTCGTTGTGCTTCAAGTCGAGCCGGGTTAAGGTTTGGGAGACAAACGGAGGGACCGAACCGGAGAGGCGGTTGTGGCAGAGAATGACGTTGGAGAGCTCTGGTAAGGTTCCGATAGCTGTAGGAATTGCTCCGGCGAACAGGTTGTAGCTGAGGTCGAGTGTTCTCAGGTTGCGTAGCTGACCCAGACTCGCAGGAATCTGACCGGAGATGAAGTTGCGGCTGACGGCAAGGAACCGGAGGCTCTTCAACTGCGAAATGGATTGCGGCAGAGCGCCGAAGATCCGACCCGGAACCACCGAGAGCTCGGCGAGTGCAGAGAGCTTGCCAACGGCAGGGTCGATCCGACCCGTTAGTCCCGGAGCTCCGGCTCTGGGGTCGCCGAGGTTGAGAGCTATCACCTTATCGGAATCGCAGTACACGCCGGCGAAGTTGCAGGGGTCGGAAGTGAAGTCCCAGGAAGCGAAGTAGTTGGAGCCAGGCATGTCATCGAGAGATTTGCGAATGGATTGCAGAGCCAAGAAATCAACCGGGTCGAGAATGGCGAAGGCGATGGGATTACACTGAAGCAAACAGATAGAGAACAACGCAATGCACACAAAGCTCTTAACCCTCTGACTGTCCGCCATTAGAGGTCAAGTCAACTGGGTTGAGTGAAAGAAGAGGGCTTTGTGCTGTGGGTTTTATAGCAGAGAGAAAGGTTGAGCTTTTAGGGAAGAAGAGGTTGGAGAAAACACTTTTTCGTGAGAGGAAGCTACAGATTTCTCGTGGGAAATAGCGTGAAAGCTTTAATGGAAAAAGTATGGAGTTGGTGGTGATGATGACCAGTATGAGGTTCAGCATCCAAATAGCAAAAATGATGGCTTTGGCTTTGGCTTTGGCTTGGAGAAGAAGGCAATTATTGAATCTTGTATTGTATTCTACTACAATCTGAGCTCTCTCAAAGCTTTTCTTTTTCTCTGAATATTTTTGGGTGCTGGCTTCTCAGAGAAGACGCAATCACTCACTCTGCAACTAGTTACTACAGAGCACTGCAGGGCTCTTCATTTTTTATTTTTTTTATTTATGTTATTATTAATATTTTACTGTTTTTGTTTTCTTTATTGGGGCTTGGGATCGGGATCAAACGGTTGTCCGAGCCTACGTGCCTAGGCGGAACCTCAGCTTCGGCTACCAGCTTGGCAACCTATGGAATGCGGGGATCACGTGACCTTGCCGCACCGTCATCAAGAACACGTGGGAATGTAGAGGGCCTAGTGAAACTGTGATCTGATGTGGAAACTATTTGCCAGCTAGCTTTGTTTCCTTCTTAGGAAATGATACTACTTGTCGTTTTTAGGGCTCGGATTCCTACTCGTAATTTACTTTGCTTGCTATTAGATTATAAATTAGAATGGTATATTTAGATTATAAATTCCTACTTTTGCTTGCAATTACTTTTCCTACTCGTTTTTTCCTTTTCTTTTTCTAATCTTCTGTTATTATTAGATTATAAATTAGAATGGTATATTTAGAACCCGTTCACCTTTATAATGACTTATAACTCAACTGATTAAAAAAATTCATTTCTAAATTAAAAGTTTCGTGTCTAATATGCCGTATTATCAAAAGTTTTATTTCATAGTTAAACTACCAGAAAATTACTCATAAATATATGACTTTGATATCTTGATCTACACCCACTGTTTTTAATTACTATTGTACTAAAATCTTTTATGAAGTTTCCATGCACCTCTCAATCAATATCACAAGGAACGGTACAAAATTAAAATTCCCAATGGCCATTCTGACTGCTTCTTTTGTATTTTCAGTTCGCATTTACTTCTCGAAACTTGCTCTCCTTTTCCCTTTGGATTGCTTGGACCCAAAGACAGGTGAGCCCCATAAAACAAAACAAACCAAACCAGCATCAATGGGGGGAGTCAAAGAAGTTGGTAAAAGTTGCAACCAAAAAGAAGTTGGTAAAAGTTACGAACTTCACAATCTCTCACATAACTTGATGTTCACTCCTTAGCCCTTTCTTGATATCACAACTGCCTCCCTGGCTCAAGTCAAAAAGTTACCAAGAAAACCACACTACAATTCCACGTCAAAGGCTGTCAAACAAGTATTAGAACCTTTGATTTGCTTTAAACTATTACAAATCACACCAAAAAATATATGCATTTATTGCTATGCAAGCATGAATTGGCACACTTTGGTAGGTAGGTAAAAACACAAAAAAAACTTGTATGAAACAGGGATAACACTGTTTACCATCTCCAACTAATTACAGACTGCAACATGAAAAATTTATCATGCATAACATACCGTAATTGACCAGAAATAACAAAATAGTACTATCCCGTTTCACACAAATGTTTCTCGTTAAAAAATAAGCAGCAAGCTAGCAAACCCCCATATGCAATGAAGCCCCACAAAACAATGGTAGTATTTTGTTGGGTTGTGAGCATGACACCCACCCTAACAACTAAAACATCCACACACATTCCCACTCATGGTTTTGGTTTAGGATATGGTAATGGTTCCATGCCATGCCATAGACTGTTGGGCATTGCACTCTTTACCTTACATTAGCAGAATCAGCATTTATGAAACTTATTTGTGCAGTCCCTTTCTTCCACCTATACCACCTTCCACACAAAATGAGCTTCATTCCCTCCTTTCTAGCTTCAAGTACCACAAGAAGCTGAGATGCGTATGTGTGCGTGTGGCAAGATAGCAAAGTCTGATGCATACATGATAGTGGGTTTTTGTCCTCTCTCTCAAGATTTTTAAGCATTTATGGTTTATTGGTCTCTGTTCATACAAGCTACAAATACATCAACGATGGCAAAAGATGCTCTAAAACTGGTGGCCTGTAAGTATTGATTGTAGAAAAACGTCTTGGCTTAACTTTTAACTTTATATGTGACCAAGCAGTTTGTGTAGGTCTTAATCTCATGAAACAATAGGGTCCCCAACAAAAATTGATAAGAAAAAACAAAAACAAAAATCGATCCAATATGCTTATATGGTGGGCTGCAGGAGATCATTTCACTAAATTGGATCATATGGGCTTTGGCCAAGTTCGATAATAACAACTTCCTCAGTAAGAATGATGATAAAATGATGTTTAGAGTCTCAGAACAGAGCCTTACATACTCTAAGCAAGTTCTTAAGCTACATTGTTACCAAAACGCTAGGGGGGATGTAGGAAACTTTTCACTAAGTCAAAGTAAATTCAATCTTAAAACTAGAAGAACTCCGGTAAATTATGCGACATCCCATATTTCTCGACGTTTTTCCTAGCAGGGGATTCTTTCAAAGAATTTATTCCATAATAGGAATTGACCCGCCGGCAGCCACGATCTGTTGCTCCAACTACAGTAACCAAAGGGAGCAACGTCAACGGATGATTGAGAGATAGGCAGAGAAGCTAATGTAAAATCCACATTGAGATTGTTCAAAGGCAGCAATGCAATGATTCTTATGTCAAGGTAAGAACATAAGTTATCTCCCCTAGCTCACAAGCATGACTATGCCAAGATTTCCCTTTGGATAATCAAGAACATCTTGGCAAACACCAGCTATCTCAAATAGAATTTTCATGTACTTACCATAAATAAGTATTCAAGCTTGCTCTTCAATGCAGAGCTTTCTTGTTGCACTTGTTGCAAACATCTCAAACACCTGCATCAAACAATATTTGGATCACATTTAGGTGCAACTGCCATGCCACAACCGCTTTCTTCATCGTTGGGGTCAAGTAAAAACACAAAAGAAATACAAGTCATACACATGATGCCAACTTCACTTAAATCACAGCAGATTCAGCAAAATTGCAACGTTAGTGTAGTTAGATTATCAATTTTCCTTCAATTGAATAACAAAGACCTCCGAAGTTCTAGTCCTAATTTTATAATTGCATCGTTAACAAAGGCAGAGCACCTGTTGACTAATTTCCAATTTGATGGTACTTCTGAAAAATAATATATATCATAAATCAATCGATCTTGGTTTAGCCATTGGAGATATTGATATTCAAGAAAAGAAAAAAACTGCTTAAACTTGAATAAATTCATCAAGGCATGTGTGGCAAAAATTTGTGTCAATACCCTCCCTAAACTGATGGCGCCACTTCTTCTTTAAGTATTAAGTGGCTAAATTTTCAGGCTCACAAAGAAACAGAAAAAAATGAAAATATCAGCATGAAGCAAAACTACTTACCCTTCAAGGTTCTGGGCCTCACAAGAATTTCTGAAGTTGATGCATACATTTTTAAGTCTTAATGCACCTATCCTGTAAACCACCGAATTCTATGATCAATTAATCACTTCAAAAAGAAGAAAAAAAAATTAATGTACAACTCCCGAGCTAGGTAATCCAAATTTCAAATAACAAGCAGACCAGTTTTTAATTTTTTTATGCTCCATATAAGCACTATCATTTGCACCTTGCAGCAAGCCAGGCATTTGAATTGAAAGAAAACAGAGAATAAGATAAAAAGTAATAGAGCTTGGACATACCAGGCACTGCTACCCTTGAATTGATGGACGTACGCATCTACCTGTTTGAAATTCACAACATTCTGTTCTCTACAAAAACAAAGAAAATCCAATTAAAATTGTTTCACCTAGCTACCACTAGAGCCAAAAAATAAGAATAAAAAATCTCCAAAGTGAAGCAAACCAGAATAACACTTGAAGGTTAAGACAAAAACTCACAGAGCCCTGCCCATATTGCTGAGAAGCTTCTCAGAATCTTGAAAGAAAAGAGAAACAACCTCAACCACAAAATCTGGGCTGCTTTCATCCTGGAGCTTCTTTAGCTGTGCAAACTGATCGTCCAAGAATCCCTTTTCACCACCAAAAAAATCCAATCATCAAAATTCCTTCAACGACCCAAAATTCAAAAACAAAAAGGAGAAAACAAATCCAGTTTTGAACAAAGTAACAGTTTGTTCTGAAGAAAGATCCATTTGTTTCTATAAGCAACTTATCCTTTTAATCCGAAACAATAAAAGCGTCAAACAATATGAAAGTTCCTAACTTTACACACGAACTAATCTCATACTCCAAACAATGAAGTTTCTTTTGCTGAAATAAACGAAACCCAGAAATCTTTATCCCTATAAACAGACAGAGGTCGACAGAGAAAACCCAGTAGAAATCCCAATCATCATCATATTAACGAAACTTGAAAGTAGAAAAGGGAAAGGAAAAAAGAAAAAGAAAGCAGAAACCTCTCGGCGCAGAGACTGAGTGTAGTCGAACCACTGTTTCTGCCACTGAGTCACAGCATCCATGGTTGCTTTCTTGCTCAGTTGCTCCTACAAGTTACAGCCACAGATGACTCAAAAACGATAGTGTGGAAATTGGCATATCACAAACGGCTTTGACCCTCGACTTAACTTATAAGGTTGTACAAGAAAAGAGTTACAAACGTGTGAAATCTTGAAAACGCTTAACTGACCTGCCACTGCCCGAGAAGATTTTGATCAATATCACCGGAAACAGCTCTATCTTAATTAATTTCCAAATAATATAAAATGTCTATCTTTGTTAATTAATTACCAAATAAAAAGGGACAACTAATCATCTGGCTTATTAGTTTATTCGATATAATTTATTTTTTTTGGGTTGTGTTTCTCCTCCCAACATATAAACGAGGGTTCATTACAGACGAAGTTAGGTCAGTTGACCAGGACAATGAATTATCTCATTAAATCTAGAATTCAGTTTCCCTATTTCTAAATTAGATTAATTTATAATTGTTTAAAATATCGTGTGCATAAACTAAACTAAAATAAAAGAGGGTGCATTGGCACCACGCAAGTGGTATGAGGTGTCCTTGACTGCTTTTGTATTTATGTTTGCTTGAAATTGAAAACCATGTCATTGTCTTAGGCTTGCAAGCAATTACGGACTGAACCAATCAAGATCATTCTATATGTTGGTGGGGCGGTGCAATACGCATGGAGACGGAGAGGATCCATATCCACCTAAGCAATAATGATATGGTTATTTTTTGCTAAATATGGTTTGATGCCTAGTCTAGAGAGACCACCCATTTTTATTAACTTCGCATGAAAGGACACAAGTCATGCGCACGGCCAAATCATGAAACTTTAGGAAAGCCTCCTACCAATACCAACCAATCATACAGAGCTATACTAGGAATTTTATATTAGCTTCGCTTCGGCTTCACTGCTTTAGGAAAAAGCCCAAATCTGGATATCCTTTCCCTGCTTGACACAATATTTAGGACCGGGTACAATTTACATAGCACAAAACCCCGGCCCGCTCAACATACTTGGATAGAATCACTCCAGTAGTTAGGCAACGTCTCTGCCTGGTGATCGAACTTAAGTAGTTAGGAGCATTTGTTCATATCATGTATTTGGTGATCGAATCTTTGAGAAAATGTCTCAATAAGACTTGACTTGTAACTTGAGGGATCAAGAACATTTGTCCAGCCAGCTATGGATTCCATACAATAATTTGTTTTGTTTATTGGTTTTTTTAATTAATTTATAAAATGATGGTGTAAAACAATTTTAAACTAGTCTAATTTATGGGGAAGGTGATCGAAGTCAGGTGCAAAAAGAATGCACATTGCCCTGGCCAATTAGCCTAATTCACATGTATATCATACAATAGCTGTTCAGCTGAGCTATTACACTCAGACCATTGTTGACACTACCTAAAAAATAGGCAAATAACACAATTTCCGATTTACTTATTTTCTTGATCACTTTCTTTTTATTTTATTTTTCCATTTCATAACAACAGAAGAATAAAAGTATTATACAAACTTGGAGAGAACTTGTTTCACACCAAATTTATCTGTAAAATACACAAGAGGATCGGTGAAAAGTTCAACGCGAGAACTAGCAATTCCAAATCCACTTTCTACAAAAGCCTTGTCGACTCGCCCCCTTCCCCACCGCTACCACAATCCATTAAAAAAATTTAATTTCCATCTACAATATGTACAATACCAAGAGAAAGAAGATAAGTCACCTTAATTTGGGAACAAAATAACTTTATGCATTACATATTGATTGTCGGAAGAGGCAACATGCAGCTTTAATTTATACATCAACCTGCCAAAAAGAAAAATACAATAAGGTCGCTACCAACCGAATTATAAAATACTTTATGAAAATTAAAAGGAAGCTTGTAAAATAACGTTCTGTGAAGCCAAAGGTTTAGATTTTAACCTTCATCAGAAAAGGCAAACATGCCTCCAAGCATTTCACTATCTTCCTCATCCATGGCTTTCAACTTATCGCAGTGGCTACTGTCACTGTCAACATCATCAGTTATGACTTCCGTTAACCCATGGCATCCGTTCGGCACCAATGCGTTACAATGCTCCTCCTGGAAAAACTGCGAAAGATCTATTGGATGCTGCAAATTGGGAGCCCCCTCTGCCACGATATTGGTACTTGAAGGATGTTGATCAGAGTATAAAACTGAGACCTCACTGATCCCAATTGCTTTTAAAGACAGGCATTCTTCAGCAGAAACTCTTCCTCCTGGGGTCAACTTACTTTCTAACACAGGAAAACCATTGGTGAGACAACTGGAAACTTGAGAATCGACGTTCTTAAAATGTTCAGATGGAGTACACAGAATGCTGAAAGATATATGGTTTTCTAATGAAGGCTCAACAATTGTATTGGCTCTTCTTTCCGGGCCATTCAAGATCTGACAAACTGTTGTGCGGGCCTTCTCATTGTTCATTTGATCAAAATCGAGGAAATGCTCAATTCTTCTTGATGAACCTGCTAGGAATTCAAATAGGAATTATGTGGACTCAATTAGTCAAAATGATCAGGAAGGTATTTCAGCTATAATAGAGAAAAGTTTACACGAGCCAACATCTGGGTTTATTATACATCTGGACAATTGACTCAAAAAAGGCTTTGCAAGAACAAAAATAGATATTAAATCTCCATTCCTATTTTTTCTCGAATGCCAGATGAAGAAGCAGCAGTCCAAGATGGACAGGCAGTCTAAGATAATAAATATATATTGATTGAAGCATATTTTCTATATATTATATCATACCCCCATCTGAGCTTTCCGTGGAGCTAAGCGATGCAGGCTTTGAGTGACAAATAACAGTCTCTTCCAAGATCTTGTCTTGAGCTTGATGAGGTTCTGACGAGGAAAGACTGGGAAATCTCCCACCCGGGACTCTGAATCATACAATCAAGCGAGCATTTAACAAGTATCAGAATGGTAGGAGAAAGGTACAGACACGTGTATGACACACACCGGAATGCACTCATGCATGATATATATAACAGTACCTTGCCCCAGCACCTGGTAAGCCCAGATCAACCAAAACTAGAAACTTTTAACAAGATGCAGACACAAACATCTCCAGCAAGGATCAAAACACTATATTATTTACATTTCGGAGTTATAAGAATGTGGGTTGGACTATAGATGAAATGGTTGTCACCTGTCATCCCAGCTTGATTTGATGATATGGAACTGCTCAAAAACAGGCAATAATTCCTTCTGTCTCATTTCAATTTCATGAACAGGGACTTTTTCAATTTCAAACTCTCCATCAGCAAAACTATCGACTCTTGGACAACCCATTGTATAAAAACAAATCTGGAACAGTGAGAAGAAAATTACCACCAAAATAGAGAAAATAAAACTGGTAATGTAACCTTGACAAGAAATACCTTAGACTTTTGCCATATTGGTAATCTCAAAGAACTTATTTGCACCTCTGCATTAGAGAGGTACCAGTGGGACCTATCATGGAGCTTTCCAGAGTAAGTTTCCAGTCTCCTTTCCCCCCCAACAGCACCATTTAAGTCTAGAGACTCCGTTCCATGAGTACCGTCAGAAACTGATTTATTTTGGTTTATTTCTGCTACGTCTTGTCTATCAGATGTGGTACCTAAAACAATGTCCTCTCTTTCTGGCCAGTCTGACCGCCTACATACATCCCACCATTGAATAGGTTCAACTTTCACTCTCAGATCTTCCTCCTGCATATGCATAGACGTAGCTGCCTGGGTACCACTATGACTCTGATCTACCCCTATCCTTGGCTGAAGTTCATGTTGAACTACATGACCAGATGGAGTATAAACTAATAGATGCTCCAAGGTACTGGTCCTTGAGTTACTCTGCCGAGGACTTTGAGATAATGAACTATGGAATACAGCTGCAACAGCACCAGATGGCACAAACACCTTCCCTGTTGTAGAAGAAGCAGTATTGTTGACTGGGCTAAGCCATCCAAAACTGCTATATTTTATCCTGCTCACAACGGAAAGAGCAACAGGTGCTGGGGGTGGACAAGATTGTTGATTAAAAATGCAAGAAGAAGTAGACCACCAAGGTAGAGATAAAACAGGATATAGGGAGGGTTCTTCGCCCTGAGTATTAAGAAGTCGAAATCCAGCATCGCCACCAAAAGGGGATAAAACAAAAACATGGCAGGTCCCCTTGGATGAAACAATTGCAACCCACTGACTGTAATGACTAAAGCAAATGTCCTGGATCATCTGCCAGAATAATAAAAATTGAGAAACATGCATAAATAGTACATACAACACAAATTACAGGGAAGAAATGAATGAACATCTTTAAAACTACATATATGTACTAACAGCTGATGTTATTCCACGATGCAACTTGTAAAGGTGCACATGAGATGAGCTCCAATCTAAGTTCTGACCACCTGATCCACTGTGTTTGCTTGAAGGCATAATCCGGAAAATATTAATGTTATTTCCATATATGGAGGCTGTAACCAGAAGGGTCCCACTAGGATCGAAACATAGAGCAGATATTGGGCTAGTATGAGCTTTAAATTGTGATATAACAGCTCGGGAAACAAAATCTTTGACAACAACCTGCAAGCAATCATTTTAATCAAGTAATTAATAAAAACTTTCTACTCAAAACTAAAACTTAAAACGTCTGGTTATCAGCCAAGGCATAAAACAAAACTGTACTGAAACATCTGATAACCATCATGTAATTATTAAAGATCTCACTTCTTTTTCCTCGAGGTTTTAATTCTTATAGGATAAAGTATTAAAACTAAAAAAGGAAAATAAGACAGTCTATGAGGATGCCATAAAGCTTTGTGATCTATGTCATTAGCTGTGTAATATAGATAAGAGTTATGAGGAAAAATTAGCATCATAGAGTACAAAATCATCTATATGTCTAGCCATCCTACTAAAGATGAAATCAAGGATTGAGAGAGCTAAATCCAAGCAATTATATGAAGTTAAGAATTACTAAAGAAAAATAAAGATTGTCCACATTATCATGCTAAAGCAAACAACAACAGAGCCCACCTGTTTCAGGATAAAGAACAAACAGAGACTCAATAGTTAGAAGAGATTATTCAATTTTGTAGCTTGCATGCCTAGACAAAAGACCATTTGTGAGATTTTCATTTAGTACATTGCAAGATGCAGTAAAAGTATTCATGGTGAGTAAAGAACTAACCATCCCTGCATTATCCATTTCTGTTCCTGCATGCCGACTAACTTTCCAGCCTGAATTTGATGATATTGGAGAGTTAGATCCATCTGGGAGCAGATCTTGACAGTATTTGTATAAGGTTTTGCATCCCATGTCACCCAGGTTAATTATTCCAGCAGCCAAATGTTTACTAGACTCCATCGCATAACGAGCCACATAACTACCACTGCCAGGTGATGTAGATGGACTAACTCCTGGAGAAGGAGTGAGGTTTTGGGGTCCTAAGCGACCTGTGTTTGACACTAGTGGGCTGTTGGAAGCATAGGCTAACCACCTTGGACCCACAGCCATTGGGCCATAACCGACATTAAACCCAATTGATCCTTGTCCTGCTAGCTGAGGAACAGGATAGGTAAGAACACTGAATTTGTTTTCGAGGGTGAGCGCGTCAAAGCAGTAAATCTGCCACCGAATATCAGGAAGATGAGTCAAAAATCTGCAGCTAATCTCTTTTATACAGAAGGTGTAATCCTAAGTATTCAATCTCATACTTTTTAATATTCTCACATTCTAATATATGTCACATATAAGCGAGTGCTTACTTGAGTTGCAAGACCCACAGCTACTATCCGAGGACTGCATCTAATCATACAAACAGCAGACCGAAATCTCAGAACATGCACATAACCGTGGGACCTAAGGGAATAAAACCGAACAGCTGTAGGAGAGCTGACAGGGTTTCCTGGTCGAGACTCCAAATTACTATCTCTGCCTATCCCTCCCAAGTGGCTAGTGTTATGAACAATCCCTGGACCATTGGTGTCGTCTCCAGCAACAACCAGCAGCAATGGATGCGCCATTCTGAATCCTTGGTTACCATCAGATGCTGCAGGAGAGGGCTGCATCTGTAAGAATGAAACTGGGCCATCGCGCCTTGAAACCAGTTCGCTGAAATTAGAGGCATCCTCTACATCAAAAACTTGAAATCCGTTCTGATAACCAAGTAAGAGAACATGCTTAAAGGCAGAGTGACTAAGCTCTAGCCTGCCAAAGCCAGCCCAAGTTACCTATTCACCAATGGAAGTTAACAAACATACAATGTTAGTTAATTAGTATATATGCATTAAACGGACAACCCAATGATCAAAAGCTGGCTCAGAAGAAACATTATAGTAACCGCCAAACTCAACAAGAAATTTGCTAATTCACATAAAGCAACATAAATTGAAGAGAACATTCACCATTAAAAGCTGCCACCAAATCATTTTCCTCAAAATTCAAACCAAGTAAATAATTTAGAGCCAAACAAACTTGAATACAGCGATTCAATCATGCTGCCAATCACTATAATTCTCTCTCACCCTAATATATCATAAATAAAAAAGCACATCAATCAGAAAATCCAAAATAAGCTCGAGATTTTTCATAAAAACACCAATAACCAGTTGAAAGCCAAAAAAGGAAACAACTTCAAAATTGTAAAGCGAGGAAACACTAAATTTAGAAATCGCTTTGCACCTGATCCTTTTGATCCTCGGAAGCAGAAATAGAAGCAGCTACAGACGCACCAGCAGAGCGAACTGTAGAAGCGACGGTGCTCGCATTCGTCGAAACAGTTTTGAGACACGACGATATGATCCTAAGTGAGTTCGGCAACAAGCCATTGTTCTTGCCCTTGCTTTTCTTCATTCTCCACCACCACCTTGACCTCGCACTAAGTGTCTTCTCTCACCCGCCACCACCGCCAGATTTTGCTTCTCCACCGCCCTGACCGCCGATGAACATCTCCGATCGCCGAAGATCGGATATAGCATCCGCTAATTGAAATCACAAAAAAGAGAAAAAAACGATGTATGAATATGAAGGTCCTGGTTTCTTTGACTTGAACAAGGCTCTTCAACAAGGCGTGTGTCTTCTTAGCTAAATTCGCTCGCTCTCTATGATCAGACTCCGTATTTTTCTTTTTCTTTTTCTTTTCCTTTTCTCTCGCTTTCAGTTTTTCTACCTTTTTTTCTTTCTCATGACTTCTCTCTCTGTGCTGTGTACGCTGTTGTATACTTATGTTTTGTTTCTGAGGCGCAAAACCGATAATAATACTCTCCGAGTAAATTATAGAAGCATCTGCTCCAAAAAATAAATAAATAAAATCTCTTGAGTAAATTTTTTTTATTGTTTATATTTTGGCCTTTTTTTTTAATACAATCATTAATCTACTTTACCCAATTTAACTAAATCCATGTCTGCATTTTAGTCATTTCTAAAGTCTTATTAAATGCGTTTTGTTAAATAGTTTGGACACAATTATTGTACCCTTTGTCTAGATATGTTCATTATATTATATCAAAATATCAAATGTATTGTGGTTAATTTATCAATATTTTCTTTTTACTTTAGCAAGAGAAAAAAAAATAACAAATGTTAAATCTCAAGTAAATTTGAATCTGATACCACTTTTCAAATAGAAACAAAAGCATGACACCATTAGATGTTTAAATCAATCTTTTGTGATTAATTAATTCAATATTCATATTTTCTCTGGGTATGTTTTTTCAGATAAATTATTTTATTTAGTTTTAAGTTTACACAAAATTTGACAGATTAGATCTGATTAGATAATTAAATGACGAATACTTTAAAAACTTGTGTTTAGAACTTGGAAATGTTAAAATTGAATGTGTAAATTATCATTTTTGTTTTACTTTTCTATAAAAGAAAATAAAAATAAAAAGGAGTGGATAAAAAAGAAGTGGCGTGGTGAGTAGTGCGGGATGGAAGGAGGAGAGTAGGGGCGTTAGCGTCAGAGAGTAATTGTGGTGACGACTTTGGTTGGGTGATATACGCCATCCGGCGTGGGGTTGCGTGCCAGCCGGATTCAAACAAAACTTGCCGATACCATCTATGGCTTGTGTCCCAGCCTAGCCTAGCCTAGCCGCTTGCTTGTCTAGCCAAATTGTTAGCTTCAAATTCAATTCAAACATGGATTTATTAGCTTCAATTCAAACATGGGATTTATTAGCTTCAATTCAAACATGGGATTTTTTAGCTCCATGTTCATGTTCATGTTCATGCATCCCTCTTCATCATGATAATTGACACCCTATCGTCATTATAATAATTGATACTTTATCTATCATTCATCACGTGAAGAGAGAGACATACACATAAATTTATACGACCTTGTGAAATAATATACGATCAACCAATGTGATAACTAACGTGCTAAGAAAACATAATGCTCTAGTATTGCTTAACTTACTAACATTCATTTCTTTGATTGTAGTTTGTATTATGTACATGGGTTGGATAAACAAATTGTCACTCTTTCCTTTTGTTCTTCAACTCTTAAATACACCTACACAGTTTGAGAACCATAGTCGTTCTTTCCTTCTTTGGACTTGATGGACCAAAACCAGAAACTCCTAGTTTCCATTCCCATTACTCCAAAAGTTCCCATGTCACATTACTTGTCTCATGGGACAACAACCTCATGGCTTCCACAGTTCCAGGCGAACTAGCTCCATAATGCCGATTAAGGTCCTTTAATTCTTGGTTGGACATGGTCTTCTGTGTTGATGTGCTCATCCTGAAATGCTTTCCGGTAAAACGACATTCGGCTTTTCTTCATGCACTTCAAGCTGCTAAGATCTCCACTCAAAAGTTGTACCACCTAAAAACACCATGATTAACATCTCATCTTGTTTTGCATGCTTAATCTTATGAAACTTACCAAAAGCTTCATAAGCAACAGCTTTTGGTTTATTGGTTATAGGAAACAAACAGAACATACCTGATTCATACTTGGCCTTCGTATTGAGGACTGTTGTATGCATGCAGAAGCAACCAGCAATACGAGATTCATCTGCCGAGTGTTGTACTCATCTCTTAGAGAAGGATCGACTAAGCTTTTAACTTCATTCTTCTTCAGCAAGGGCTTTGCCTGTGAAATACATAAACAAATTCTGCATTATGAATATCCATTTGTTTTGACTTGTTTGAGAATATTAAACGAATGTGAGCGCCATTTGGTTGCGGACATCCTAATGGGAAAGAAAATTACTAAACAACGTACCCACAAAACAAGGCTTTGCTGAGAGTAATCTAGTGCTCGGCGTCCGGTGACTAGTTCCAACAGCACCACACCATAGGCAAAAACATCAGTTTTTTCATCTACTATGCCGTGCAGTAGGAACTCGGGAGCAAGATAACTGTGAATTGTGATGAATACATATCAGATTAAGGCTAGCTAAAGTATTTGATGGATAATAGAAGAGGAGGCAAGTATAAGGTTTACACACCCAAATGTGCCCTCAAATTTTGATATAGTGTGGTGAGTCCATTTCTCTGGTAGCCATTTTGCAAGACCAAAGTCACAAATCTGTATGAAAGTCATCCCAGCATTATAATTATTTGCGTTATGCGTAAATTGTTAAGAAATAAATAAAAGCAGAAAGAGTACAACAACAAAGGCATTCAAGCTACAGAACATCAAGTTCAAAAGGTACCTTGGCCTCAAAATCCTCTGTTAGCAAAATATTTGCAGCCTTAATATCTCTGTGGATAATTCTCCTTTGACAGCCCTCATGAAGATATTGTAAACCCCTAGCTGCACCTGATGCAATTTTATACCTGATCCCCCAATCAAGCTTCTCCTTTGAACCTATAAAATAATACAAATTTATAAAATAAATCAGTCAGTCAGTAAACAAGATATTCACCAAGGATGAAGATATAGAAGCTGGAACACACAGCTGGTTTTACTCCTTTTTTTATGAACAAGGTGGGAAAAAGCCCCAGCACAAACAAACTAACCTGCTGGTTTTACTTTGTGTTACATTAAAATAGAAGCATAATTTGATGGCATCAAAACTGTGGGCTTACTTACCATAAAGCACAGAAGCTAAGCTCCCTTTTGGAGACAATTCCAGAACCAAGTGCATCCCTCCTTCAACCCCATACCCAATTAACCTGGCAGTATTTGGATGATTCACATGAGCCATGATCCCAATCTCTGCTAAGAAGTCCCCGGTAATCTCTTCCGGTGTTCCCCGGGTTAGCCGTTTGATTGCCACAAGTTGTCCATTTGGTAGACAGCCCTTGTAAACTTCAGCATAACCCCCCTTTCCAATCTGATTTTCTATAACAAAACAAGAAAAACAACTATTATAATGCATTTATGCAGTGAAATTACTTACTAACTTTTCCAAAATTGGCATTCTGAAAAAGTAAAAGTAAAAGTAAAAGTGAAATTTGAAGCACAGCACAAGTTTACATACCGTGGCTGAAAGACTTGGTGGCAGCCTGGAGCTCATAGAGGGAGAAGTTCTTCCATGGTGACTTGAAAGGGTACATATCATCAATAACTGACTGAAACTTCGGGGTTATAATCTCACGCATACTACTGCTCATTCTTTTTGAGAATTTCATGAGAGGATGCATTGTTGTGGCTATGGGTTTCTTGGATTTAGTTCTCAATAATTTCACAAGTCCATGCCACCGAGAAGTTGGTTTTGAATTTTGGTGATTTTCAGAGTCCGCAGTTGGCTCTTTGGAAGAGCTTGTTTCAGAATCCGAGCTCCTAAAATAGTCCTCAAGAACTCCTTTGGGAGAGTACGTCTCAACATCTTCCTTCATTTTTCAAAGATCACAACCTACAAAACTCCAAAAAAATTTCAATTCACCCAATCCTCTCTGTGCTTTTCTGCATATATATGGCCCATCAAAACAGAAAGAGTAATAGGAAACCTAAACAAAAGAGGGATTGCAAGCAACCCATTAAGGAAATTTTTAAAATTAGAGGAAAACTAGGAAACATATGCATGAAAACCCAGAGAAGATGTGTAACCCAATAAGAGAAACAAAAACTAAAGAAACCCAAAAGAGAGAGAACAATAAACAGAGTTAAGGTATATAAGCTTTATTTTAACATGCAAACACTAATTGAGGCAAACCCACAAACAGAAACTGTGCAAACTTAGATGTCAAAACAGAAACCCAACAAAACTAATAGAAGAAGATGAGAAACTGTGAGGCTGAGCATACCACAAAGACTGAAGAGTGAAGGTTCTCTTAATCTTCTCATACACAAACAGAGCAATAAAACAGAGGTAGAGAGAGAAAGTGTGCAGAGATTTGGAAGAAGTTGGACTTGGATTCGGAATTACTCTAACCGTTTCAACGATGTCTCCCTTTTCAAGGTTCCCCGGGAAACTATTCACAAATCCTTTTCCTGTATTTTATTGCAAAATTTTGTAAATATATGTGGCAACAGGAAATTCTGTCCTACGTCTATGTGGAGCATATGATAGGATGCGGTCCGTGTGTGGGATTAATTTGGTCAAATATAGCTCCGATTTGGTCTCCTTCAGGATATGCCATGTCGGATAATCAAGCATGTGGGATTTTGACACTTGGATTCACTTAAGCCACAGTTTAGACTACTTTGTTCTAGTTGAGCATTTAACGGTCATTGACGTGGTGGTAATGTTTATCTCTAATTAAAGATGGTAAGCAAAAATCATTCTGATAAAATAATAAAATATAAAGTCTTACTCTTCGGCGCAGTTTGGGATGTGAGACGGCCGTTGATTTTATTGGTAAAATGTTACGAGTAGAATAAGTTTTGGTTTGATTGAGATGTTGAGTATTTTTTTTCTTCACCAAACTTTCTTTCTTTATGGGTTTTTTAAGGTAATGTTTTAACGGTGTCATCCTAGGAAGACCTATATCTTCTAGTTTTTCTAGGTGAACTGTTTTATTGGAAAGTTAATGAAGTTTTTCTATTTTAGTTTTTCGAAAAGGAAATATCAATTAAAACAAAAACAAAACGGGCAAGTCTCTGTTTCAAGGCTTATTACGACCAGAAAATCCTTACTATGATCGGATATTACATATTCGTAGCATAATCTTTTTATTGCTAGAGAAGAAAGCATGGATTCTTGTTAATTAATACCCAAAAAAACTTGTGGTTAGTTTCCATGGTATCGGTTTTTTTTTGGGTTCGAATTCCATGGTATCGAATTCTTGTGAACTAGTTATAAAAGTTGACCATATATGCCTATGATGTATAGTGATGTTGACCTTTGTGTCCAAAGTCAAATCAGTTGAACTTAAAATTAGGGTAGATGATAGGATTGGGTTGTTATGGTTGATGTTTGGTGCCTAATATCAATACCAATATAGAATTAGCACACAATCGTAATTAATTATAATGATGATTATGTATACATGCGAAAGCAAGACTGGTCCAATGATGCAGACGTCATAAGGTGGTATATTGGTTTATGTGGAGCATACAATGAGTGAACCTATGGTAATAATCATATAGGCAATTTTCAAAGAATTGTAATCTTTTGGCAACGTCGATCTTATGAAGAGTATTAAAAAGATCCAATCAAATTTGCCCAAAACGACAGATGCATAATTCCATTTGTTGTGTTTGGTCACCAAAAAATATTTATTCATATTTGGCACTATAGTAGCTTGTACTTATTTCTATTCCTTTTATCAATAAAATACTATCGCTCTTTATAAATAAATAAAAAAGCATTTAAATTGGATAAATTAAACACACTTTAAGTCATTGAATGGAATTTTTTGTTGTAATGCATTATAGAATAAAAAACAATGCCCTTTAGATTTGATAATAATGGTTTCATGTGTTTTAATATATTTTTCTAGTTATTACAAATTACAATTCACTATCCAATTCAATTTCAGTTGGATCCTTTGGATTGGATTGAAAAATTCGCTATCTAATTCACATATAATCAAGCACGGATTGATTAAATTTTATTGGTTTCAAATCAACGAATACCCTTAATCCTGATGCCTCAAAATTATAAAGATCCCTCAAGACAACCACCAAAACAAGTATTTTTTTGCTTTTGTAATCATATGAATGTAATCATAACAAGCACTATGCATGGAATGGAATCAAAACCCTCACACAAGGAATTTAGATTATGTTCATGATTACGGACATTCTTCACTCGCAAATCAAGAAATTGCTCCATATAATCATACCCATCATCAAATAGTTAATACATTTTTAGTTTGTCTTACATCACATATACACACTAGTTTGGTGGTGCATAAGTCGCTTGTTTCTTAAGTTTATATACCAATCCATGAGTAATATTATTATTTTAAAAAATAATGTCGAAATGATTCGAGGATACTCAGAATCAGCTTTCAATGTTGTATTCTGGTAGGTGGCGGATTGCAATCCCAGCATAATAAATCTAAGCTTCAGATATTCTAGCTGGTCAACAACTCTCTCATTATTTCTTAGATTAAAAACAATATATCTTATTTCATTCCTTTTCTGTTTTTCCTTTTCCCTTTATATATTCGGAATTTACACAGAAATATTTACACTTATTCACTAAGCAAAGAAGACTTAAATTAAATTCCTGTATGCGTAATAAATAAATAAATAAATAATATTAAAGTTTTAGACCAAAATAAATTTTAATTCCTCCAAAAAGAGAGGAAAAAAACAAAGAAGAAGCCATGATTACATATCCCCTGTATGAGTTGTTACATGTTTCTTGGATGAGAAGGAATTGCATGACAGAGTTTTCTTGTGCAAGTTAGCATAAAATTCTTTTTGGGATTTTTTAGTAAAATCTCACGCAATATAACTTGTGGGGGGATATGCGGTGCGAGTTTGGTGTTTGTATAATTTGTTTCCATGTGGTGTGGGTTATGGTTTATATATATGTATATATATGTTGAGGCAATCACAAGACACGGAATTTTATTTGCCTTTTCTTTTTCCTTTTTTCTAACGAAATGAAACGATTTTGTGATCAATCATTAAATCATTAAATATTATAAAATCATGCCAAAGATGATATTGATTGGTGAGTCAAGTTGTGTGTAGTTTGGTTTTCACGATGTTCCTCCTTGCGTTCTACATCAACTTCAAGAGTTAAATAAGAAGTGAGAGGTGGATTATTTATTTATTTATTTTCTTCTTGCTTTTCAAGTTGAAAAGGAGGCTGAGCTGAAAGCTTCAAACCAAACAGAGCCCTCACTAATTAAGAACGTTCACTTTTTATTGTTTATTTTTATACAAGCAATAATAATGGAGGGATATGCTTATGCATGAAAAGATAATTACTTTTTAAATACTTAAGGTACAAGTCCCTTGATTAAAAATGCTCGCTTTTACACATGAAAGCTAACTTTATAGTCCATTATACAGAGCACAAAGTTCAGCTGAAAGGTCTTGTCCACTACCCATGGGCCATGTTATGTTAGCTCGATACAAATAGGAATTGGGCATGATCATGTCGGGTTAGATATGAAAGTGCAGTTGAAGTTGGGTTTTGAGAGAGAAGAAACTCTTGATCAAATTGAAGGGTCTAGTAGAATATTTTAAAAATTATATTTAAATAGTCTAGCCGACCGGATGTACTCTTAAAATATTATATTTAAGAAGTATAGCCGCACGGCTATACGCTTGGATATATTCCAATATTTTACAAGTATAGCCGTGCGCCTGAACTCGTAAAATATTATATTTAAAATGTATAGCCGTTCGGCTATACGCGCTAAAATGTATAGCCGTTCAGCCAATTTCGTGAATTAACTCGACTCAATTCAATCACAAAAGATCCTGTTATCCGTCAATTCTCAGAGAGCATATCCGGAGTTATGATCATCCACTCTTGCAGAATGCAGAACATGTTCTCCAAGAAAATGTTAAACGGGTTAACGCTAATTTACGTATGGATTTCCACAACAATGGGTCCAATGAGTGGTTTGGTTTCCGCATGGAGATGCTTGGGAGTTTAGTTTTCTGCATTTCCACTGTATTCATGTTCTTGTTGCCAAGCAGTATAATAAAGCCAGGTACATCCTTCTTCTTCTTTTGGTGCGACACTTAACAAGATGTCATATGTAGCACTTGATTCCTGGCCAATTATGATATGGGATGCCTGAGTATATAATACTTAGCGTATCTGATATAAATTAGCATCTTATCTTGGCACATCTAATATAAATTAGCTGCAGTAGATGAGTGTCTATTTCAGAGATTTGGCTAAATCAGTTATTCCTTCATGGTGCAGAGAATGTTGGTTTAACTCTCTCCTACGGATTGCCCCTGAATGGTGTGCTGTTCTGGTATCGGTTGAGAGGATACCAGAAGCAGCCGCACGGTTATATGAGCTGCTTTGTCTAAAATAAGATGGTATCGGTTGAGAGAACAAAACAATTTACAAACATCCCATCAGAAGCAGCATGGGAGATAAAAGACCTGTGTTCCTCCTTCAAATTGGCCTTCCCGTGTCAATGTCGAGCTCAAAGACTTGCAGGTAGTTTACCTTCAGTTCTGTTTATATCTTCTGAACAAATAAAGTCAAATCTTACATTCCATGAGCTGCTGCACTCTAGCCATTTGTCGTCCCAAATGGTATATTTGTAGTACATCTTCCATGGCTAATGTAGTGGATGGACAAATAAAGTGGTCTGCATGCAAGTTGTCATTACTTGGTCATCTCCATTACTGTCTCAAGCTAAATAAACCCTGTTCCTTTTGATGTCGTCCAAATACACCTTTGGTTCTCAAAGGCATTAGTCCAAGCATTCACGGGGGTGAAAAGATTGGTGTTGTGGGTCGAGCAGGGAGCGGGAAATCAACTTTGATCCAAGTGTTCTTTAGGCTGGTGGAACCTTCAGGAGGCAAAATTATCATCGATGGGATTGATATAACCACAATAGGGCTTCACAATATCAGGTCTTGCTTCGGGATCATTCCTCAAGAACCTGTCCTTTTTGAAGGAACTGTGGGAAGCAACATTGATCCAGTAGGAATGTATTCAGATGAAGAAATTTGGAAGGTAAAAAACACAATGCTATCTGGTTTCCGGATTACATAAGAGAGTAACCCATAGCCTCAAAAAACAATAAGATTGAATTATACGATTTGTTTGTATATGTTTGTCATCATTCACTCACTTAGATGAAACAATGCTGTATGTTTATTCACATGAAATCTTAATTTTCTTGTAGAGCCTTGAACGCTGCCAACTTAAAGATGAGGTAGCTGCAAAACCTGATAAACTCAATTCTTTAGGTATGTGACTCTCCCCATTATATACTCTCTCTCTGGAACTGAACTGCTAGCTAGCATAAGGATTAGGTACTGACTGTTTCCATCAAATTAAGTGGCTGATGATGGCGACAACTGGAGCATGGGGCAAACACAGCTTCTCTGTTTGGGGCGAGTTATGTTGAAGCACAACCGGCTCTTGTTCATGGACGAGGTCACGGCTTCAATTGATTCACAGACAGATGCTGTAACACAAAGGATCATCCGAGAGGATTTTGTTTGGGGCGAGTTATGTTGAAGCACAAACATTACAAACTGAAACATGACTTCCATATCCTGATTTAATTGTCAAGCCATGTATCTGTTTCCCAAGTTCTAAATTCATTTCATGTCCGCAAGCTGAAACTGCACTAGTAAATGAGACATGATCTCTTCTCCCACCATCTCAATAAAGACAAAAATCGCCCCAAGCTCATGATTTCCTTCTTGAGAGTAACCTGATAGTATTGCATTCCATGAAACCAGATCCTCATTCGCCATTTCATCAAACACACTCCTAGCTTCTATTAACCGCCTCAACCTCGAATACATACTTATAAGTGCATTTCCAACAAAAACTTCACCATCTAAACCAGACTTAAATATAAGTCACTGGATAAAAAATCTCCATGATCCGCACAAAAAGCAAGAATCGTAGTATAAGTCACTGGATAAAAAACAATTCCATTAAAATTCACCATAAGAGCAAAATTCAATGCACCTTCACTTGTTCGAAACCCCGAAAGAATAGTATTCCAAGAAACTATATCAGTATAGCACATAGTCTCAAAGATAAGTAAGGGACCATCAAACTGTCCAGCTTTGGTGTACATACACATAAAAGAATTTGAAATCGTGGTATACGAAGAAAACCCAGAAGAAACTGCAAACCCGTGAATCTGGCATCCGGATTTGGGGTCCCCTTGACAGGCTTTGACAGAAAGGGTAACGGTAACTTCATCGATGTCATGATACAAATGTAGTTGAAGTTGCTTACAGAACATGTCAAGGGCTCTGAGGGTAACGGTAACTTCATTGAGTTCGTTTCTCTGTCTCTTCATTTCACTAGCGCACCACATTCCTCTGCGAGTGCAAGCTTCATCTGTCTTCATTTGGAACAAAAGGAGGCGGCCAGACCCGCCCAGGCTGCCTAGGCGCCGCCTAGACCCACCCTCGCAGCCTAGAACCGCTCAGGCCGCCTAGGCGCCGCCTAGAACCGCCCAGGCCACCTAGGCGCCGCCTAGAACCGCCCAGGCCGCCTAGGCGCCGCCTAGAACCGCCCAGGCCGCCTAGCTGCAGCCTAGAACCGCTCCGGCCCCCTTGGCGCCTCCTAGAATCGCCCAGGCCGCCTAACTCCCTTATAGCATCAGAGTTGTTATCTTAGTGGAGATTTCAATAGCTGAATGACATATGATGGTTTTCGTATAGAGAGTCCAATCCAATCCAATCCAATCAACGCAGCAGCAGAAACGAAAGAAAAAAAATCGAAGCTTGAGTTGAGAGAGAGAGAGGCTCAAGACCGAGCCTTTGTAGCTTGGAAGCGCTTATAGAGAAGCATCTGTGGCTGCGAGTGCAAGCTTCGCGTTCGTTTTGGAATATAATTAAGGAGTATAGCCGATCGGCTATACCGTTAAAATTTTCGAATATGTCCAAAGCGTATAGCCGTACGGCTATACCTTGAAAATAATATATTTAAATAGTATAGCCGCGAATCTATACCTCTAAAATGTTCGAATATGTACTATTTAAATATACAATTTTGTCATGTTATTTTAAAATACAACTTTAGCTAATTAGGATAGAGTTATTTCCTCAATTTTTTTTTTAATACCAGTGATATTGGGGAATGAGAATTTAAATTCTTTCCGATACCTTACATTCTAATACTATCTCAATCATCATCAACCATAATGAGTAGTCTGAATTATCCATGCGTTATGGAGAAATTCTGGACGCAGAAAACTTACTTATATATACTGACAATCCATGCATGCTTAGTAACTCAGGTAAATGTGATAGCATGATTCTGCATTAGGTTTTCTTTTGTTTTCGTTGTCAAAAATGCTAAGTGCATGCTATATGGATGATGCCAGTGCAACTTGCCATTGCAATGTTCCTTCTGTATGACAGCCTTGGTGCAGCAGTGATCACATCTGTAGTAGGAATCATGTGTGTTCTTGTGTTTGTTGTGCTGGGCACGAGACGGAACAACAGGTTCCAATCTAATGTGGTGAAGTGTCGGGATTCAAGAATGAAGGCAACAAATGACACGCTTAACTACATGCGTGTGATCAAATTCCAGGCTTGGGAGGAGCACTTTAATAAGAGAATCCAGGCTTTCCGCAAGTCGGAGTTTAGCTGGCTGACCAAGTTCATGTACTCAATCTCTGCCAATGTTGTGGTTATGTTGTGCACCCCAGTACTTATATCAACTCTTACATTTGGCACTGCACTCTTATTGGGTGTCCGGATTGATGCCTGCCCGGGACATTGTTCAGAACCACAAGCATCTTCAACATTTTGTGGGATCCCATCAGGACCTTCCCACAATCTATGATTTCAATTTCTCAAGCTATGATATCTCTTGGGAGGTTGGACCGTTATATGATGAGTAGGGAATTGGTGGAGGATGCGACGAAGAGAGACGAGGGCTGTGATAGTAGAACTGCTGTGGAGGTTAAAAATGGCCCATTTAGCTGCGCTGATGAAAGCAAAGAAGAGGATTTGAAACACATAAATTTGAATGTCAATAAAGGGGAGCTAACGGCTATTGTAGGGATAGTGGGATCTGGAAAGTCTTCCCTTCTAGCTTTAATTCTTGGTGAGATGCACAAGTTATCCTTAAAGGTACGATTCGATACCATTAAACCCTTTCCTAGATGTCTCTTATGACATAAAATCCTTCCACTGAACCATAAGTTTATAACCAGGTCATAACTCACTCAAAAAGCTTCAGTTTAATCAAGTACTTGTTGAATTAATAAACTTTTTGAATAACAGGTACGAGTTTGTGGAACAACTGCCTATGTTGCTCAAACATCATGGATTCAAAATGGGACTACTGAAGAAAATATATTATTTGGTTTGCCAATGGACAGAGATAGATACCAGGAAGTTGTCAGGGTTTGCTGCTTGGAGAAGGACTTGGAAATGATGGAGTTTGGAGATCAAACTGAGATAGGAGAGCGTGGCATCAACCTAAGTGGTGGCCAGAAACAGAGGATACAACTCGCTAGGGTTGTATATCAAAATTGTGACATATATCTTCTCGATGACGTTTTCAGTGCTATTGATGCTCACACTTTATCAGAAATATTTAAGGTAACATTGCATTAAATGAATGATTTACTTTTGATTCCACAGTGATTGAACATTCAAGCTTGTTCTTAAGATAATTGTTTGAACACTTTTTTACTTTCTTAGTCTAAATGTGCTAAGATAGTATAAAAACAATGCATAATGTTCTACTGATCATGATTTATACTTCTCTGCCGGAATGTGTGAGGGGAGTGCAAAAACAAGACGGTTTTACTTGTAACTCATCAAGTTGACTTCTTGCATAATGTTGATCTTATTTTGGTAAGATTATAATTGCAGTTTGCACATGTATCCTTCCTACTTATATATTTATTTAAACTTATTACCTCCAAATAATATAAGGTCATGAGATATATCAGTTCACATTGTATGCTCTGCCGATGAAAAATTTGATACAAAATAGTCTAGTAAGACAACGAAGAGAAGAGTTTTGAAATAATTGAAGGTATCCGAGGTCATATGACATTGATATATATACGAACTATTCTAAATGAGATTTCAAACAACGTGTTAGATAAGAAGTAGCATCTCATTCTTACATATACCACACCCACATGCACCTGAAATTCCCAACGTTAAAAGGGGAGAAAAGTGCAATACCTCTCTTGTATCTCGCAAGTGTAGGAGATCCAACCTTTCTTGAGGATGCTGGTTTGATAAAGAAGCAAGCTACATCCAATCATACATTAATACCGACAATCACAGCCCACAATATACTCAATTTTAATAAAGAGAATTATAAAGTTACCTAGAAGCTGAAACGCTTAGGATCTTGTAGTGAAGGCATCAGCGCTTCCACGCCGAGAAGTCTCTCAAATTGTCTTCGATATGTAAAGAGATACTATCATACATCAAAAGGGCACATAGGTATACTGAACACAAGAATAGGGGAAGAAACCATTCTTATGTACACTGGCATTACATATAAATAAGATATGTTGATCTAGAGATAAAGATCCTCCCCAAATGTTCCAAGCAGAAGCTTCCTAAAGACGAAATCTGAATATGATAGACATTTCAGTGGAACAAAAGGTTTACCCTAATAAAACTAATCCTTCATTTCCAACCATTACAACTGACCACTAAATTGAAACATGCAATCTCAGTCAGGTAGTAATATTAATCTGATTCAGGATATTCTTAAAGGTCATCCATATACCTATTATAGAGAACTACGAGATTTAACTTATGGAGATAACCCATGAAAAAAATAAAACAAAAAATAAGGTAAATTCCGAGTTCATTCAATTGATGTCATTCCTGAGCATTTTACCTTGATGTGCTGATCTTTTACCCCGCCCTATCCATAACTGAGCATACTCTGCTGCATTATTTGTCAATTCCTGCAACTGGACAGGTATTGAAGTTAAACCATATAGGCGCAACCAATATGAGGGGGAAAAAACATGGAAGAACTTTGTCCTGCATCTTCCTACAGTGATGCATGTTACACTTCAGGCTATTAATACATTAGCTACAGGGCCTTTTAGCAATGACATTATTAGACTTAATTCAGTGACAACTATAATACATTTGAAGATTTACAACCAAATTCCATTAGGTCACATGTCACATGTAAAATAAGATGCCTCATCCACAACACTTTAAGCTCTGATTATTGTATCCCAAGTTTTGCCAATTGAAGTTGAAAACTACACAACTTTGCATCTGGACAGGTATTTCAATATGCATGAAATAGTATTATTATAAGTGCGTTGGATCATTATAAATAATTTTAAAAAAAACATCATAACTTGAATAATAATTTTTTTCTTGAAAAGGAGGAAGCATGGTAGTGGAGTTTACAAATGACATTCTGCATACTAGAAAATTAAGAAGGAAAGGAGGAGGATGAAAGACCTACTTGGTAATTTCCACTTCACAAGCAAAATCAGCTATTGAACCTCTTGAAGAATCAATGATAACCTACAAAATTAAAAAACAAGCCACAATCAGTGAAACTTATACTTTGGGCCAAACTTTATGTACCTTATGAAAGTTAAAAGGGAAAGAAAAGGACCAGTGACACTAATCTACCATTCCCATCCGACGGTTGCCTTCCATTATACTCCTTACCCGTTGTTTAAGTGACAAGGGTACAAGCAAAAATCTATGAATATTCAACAAAAACAACAAAACACATGGATCACATGGACTGTAGAAAAGTACCAAGTAGGCATACAAAACTTGCCAGATAACATTTTCAACATAGTTATTTTGCAGCAAATGCACTTCTACGTTTAAATATTTTATGAATGTCATATGTGAAAAATACAAACTGCTAACCAACTTACCATAAGCCTATACCGAGGTTCAAAAATGGGTAGCGGAAACTTCTGAAATAGGAGGACACCATCCATTACAAAGAGTGGCATCAAACCAACACCAAAATTTGTCATTGTATCATTCTCCAACTTCCTTTCGGCAAATTCCTCTGTGAATTTCTTTTGTATAATGTCATTAAGTGTCACAATGGGAAAAACAAAAAGAAGATATTGAAGGTGTCAGAACTGAAGCAAACAATCTTGGTAAACTCTGAAGGCTACGACACTAATTAAGCACAAAAAATTAGAAAGCACATATCATCCTAATTTCATATTACTTGGAATTTTTTTTTCTTTCCAAAATCTAGAAACCACAAATCCACTAATTGTTATACTCTGTAGAAGTGAGAATGCCAGACTCAATCTATAATAGGTGGAACTCCTGGGGGATGCGCAACCACGTCCATTACAAACAGCATAGGTATAGAAAACCATAAAGCAACAATTCTGATGTCAAATAATACAAGCATCTCATTCAATTATTATATGCACATGTTCTAGGAGTAATGAAAAGAACTGTTGGGCACAAAGGACATTTGTTACCTAGGAAAATTAACACAAGTCAAGGACTAAAAAGGGATTAGAAGATATAGACTAACTCAATTAAATAGAATTAGTAACAGCAAAACACTCACATCGATCCATTGACTGAAATAGGCATGAAATGCCCACAAGCAGTTGTGACAGGTTCATACAGTAATTTCAAGCATAGTGTGCAATCAAAGTCATCACTGCGTTCTGCTTTTCTATGGCTTCTCCTCCCTGTGAAATTAGCTTGTATTCTCTCTATATTATGAAAACATTCCTGAAGAGGATTGCTACAGAATACCACACAAAAGATCAAATAATATAACATTTTAGAATTTCACAAAACCAAATACAATAGCCAGCCAGCTGGTATTAAACAATATATACTTAATATCTATGTTTTGTTAAATAAACATAATTCCAGTAAACAAATTACTCAATTTCTTCCTGGTTTCCCGACATTTTCTCAGCAACCAAACAAGAGAAACCACAGCACAAACGCACACTCACCAAAATGTAGTCGTCCGCGTCACCAGAGGTCCATCTTTGTCATTCAGACCGGCATGGTGTAATCCAATGCCAAACTGCAATGTGTGCCCCAGGTTAAAGAACCATCTGCTGGGCTTCTTCTGGCATACTAAGAAACTGCCTTGGATGTTCATCTGACGTTGCCAACTTCAATAACAGAAAAGCACAAACAAAAATTGAATCAACACAGCAGCCGAAACCGAAGAAAAAAAATCCAAGCTTGAGTTGAGAGAGAGGCTCAAGACCGAGTATTTGAATTTTGAAGATTGGACTGCGAGTGCAAGCTTCGCGTTCGTTTCTCCGTCTCTTCATTTCACTCGCACACCACATTCCTCTGCGAGTGCAAGCTTCATCTGTGTTCATTTGAAAAAAAAAGGGACGCCCAGACCCGCCCAGGCCACCTAGGCGCCGCCTAGAACCGCCCAGGCCGCCTAGGCGCCGCCTAGAACCGCCCAGGCCGCCTAGGCGCCGCCTAGAACCGCCCAGGCCTCCTAGGCGCCGCCCAGAACCGCCCAGGCCGCCTAACTCCCTTATAGCATCAGAGTTGTTATCTTAGTGGAGATTTCAATAGTTGAATGACATTTGATGGTTTTCATAGAGAGAGTCCAATCCAATCCAATCAACGCAGCAGCCGAAACGAAAGAATTTTTTTTTTTTGAAGCTTGAGTTGAGAGAGAGAGTGAGAGAGAGAGAGAGAGAGAGGCTTGGAAGCGCTTATAGAGAAGCGAAACAGCTGCGACTACGAGTGCAAGTGCAAGCGCAGTGTTAATATATTTGAAGCGTATAGCCGTTCGGCTATAGCTTTAAAATATTGGAATATATTCGAAGAGTACAGCCGCACGGCTATACCGTTAAAATAATATATTTAAATAGTACAGCCGCTCGGATTGATTAAATTTTATTGGTTTCAAATCAACGAATACCCTTAATCCCGATGCCTCAAAATTATAAAGATGCCTCAAGACAACCACCAAAACAAGTATTTTTTTGCTTTTGTAATCATATGAATGTAATCATAACAAGCACTATGCATGGAATGGAATCAAATCCCTCACACAAGGAATTTAGATTATGTTCATGATTACGGACATTCTTCACTCGCAAATCAAGAAATTGCTCCATATAATCATACCCATCATCAAATAGTTAATACATTTTTAGTAAAATCTCACGCAATATAACTTGTGGGGGGATATGCGGTGCGAGTTTGGTGTTTGTATAATTTGTTTCCATGTGGTGTGGGTTATGGTTTATATATATGTATATATATGTTGAGGCAATCACAAGACACTGAATTTTATTTGCCTTTTCTTTTTCCTTTTTTCTAACGAAATGAAACGATTTTGTGATCAATCATTAAATCATTAAATGTTATAAAATCATGCCAAAGATGATATTGATTGGTGAGTCAAGTTGTATGTAGTTTGGTTTTCACGATGTTCCTCCTTGCGTTCTACATCAACTTCAAGAGTTAAATAAGAAGTGAGAGGTGGATTATTTATTTATTTATTTTCTTCTTGCTTTTCAAGTTGAAAAGGAGGCTGGGCTGAAAGCTTCAAACCAAACAGAGCCCTGACTAATTAAGAACGTTCACTTTTTATTGTTTATTTTTATACAAGCGATAATAATGGAGGGATACGCTTATGCAAGAAAAGATAATTACTTTTTAAATACTTGAGGTACAAGTCCCTTGATTAAGAATGCTCGCTTTTACACATGAAAGCTAACTTTATAGTCCATTATACAAAGTTCAGCTGAAAGGTCTTGTCCACTACCCATGGGCCATGTTATGTTAGCTCGATACAAATAGGAATTGTGCATGATCATGTCGGGTTAGATATGAAAGTGCAGTTGAAGTTGGGTTTTACAAATCAATTGCCCAAGAGAGAAGAAACTCTTGATCAAATTGAAGGGTCTAGTAGAATATTTTAAAATTATATTAAAATAGTCTAGCCGAGCGGCTGTACTCTTAAATATTATATTTAAGAAGTATAGCCGCACGGCTATACTCTCGTAATATATTCCAATATTTTACAAGTATAGCCGTGCGGCTGCACTCGTAAAATATTATATTTAAAATGTATAGCCGTTCGGCTATACGCGCTAAAATGTATAGCCGTCCAGCCAATTTCGTGAATTAACTCGACTCAATTCAATAACAAAAGCTCTTGTTATCCATCACTTCTCAGAGAGCATATCCGGAGTTATGACGATCCACTCTTGCAGAATGCAGAACATGTTCACCAAGAAAATGTATGAGCTGCTTTGTCTGGTATCGGTTGAGAGGATACCAGAAGCAGCCGCAAGGTTATATGAGCTGCTTTGTCTAAAATAAGATTGGTATCGGTTGAGAGGATAAAACAATTTTCAAACATCCCATCAGAAGCAGCATGGGAGATAAAGTCAAATCTTACATTCCATGAGCTGCTACACTCTAGCCATTTGTCGTCCCAAATGGTATATTTGTAGTACATCTTCCATGGCTAGTGTAGTGGATGGACAAATAAAGTGGTCTGCATGCAAGTTGTCATTACTTGGTCATCTCCATTACTGTCTCAAGCTAAATAAGCCCTGTTCCTTTTGATGTCGTCCAAATACACCTTTGGTTCTCAAAGGCATTAGTCCAAGCATTCACGGGGGTGAAAATATTGGTGTTGTGGGTCGAGCAGGGCGCGGGAAATCAACTTTGATCCAAGTGTTCTTTAGGCTGGTGGAACCTTCAGGAGGAAAAATTATCATCGTTGGGATTGATATAACCACAATAGGGCTTCAAAATATCAGGTCTCGCTTCGGGATCATTCCTCAAGAACCTGTCCTTTTTGAAGGAACTGTGGGAAGCAACATTGATCCAGTAGGAATGTATTCAGATGAAGAAATTTGGAAGGTAAAAAACACAATGCTATCTGGTTTCCGGATTACATAAGAGAGTAACCCATAGCCTCAAAAAACAATAAGATTGAATTATACGATTTGTTTGTATACGTTTGTCGTTATTCACTCACTTAGATGAAACAATGCTGTACGTTTGTATACGTTTGTCGGCTTCAATTGATTCACAGACAGATGCTGTAACACAAAGGATCATACGAGAGGATTTTGTTGCATGTACAATAATCAGCATTGAAAATTCTCCTCTCTCTCTCATGCGCAGTTGAAGTTGGGTTTCAGAAATCAATTGCTCATCTCTCTCATGCTAGAAATCAATTGTTCATCTCTCTCGTGCGCAAGAGAGAAAATACTCTTAATCAAATTGATGGGTGTGCTAGAATATTTTAAAAGTTATCTTTAAAACGTATAGCCGCGGCTATACCTATCGAATATTTTAAATGTATAGCCGGTCGGCTGTACGCTAAAAATATTATATTTAAAGCGTATCGCCACGCGGCGATACTTTTCGAATATTTTAAAAGTATAAGCGGCGGTACTCTGGAATTGTTATATTTAAAGAGTATAGCCGAACGGCTATACGTGTCAAATACCGGCTCTACTCTGAAAATATTATAAAGAGTATAGCCGTGCGGCCATACTTTTCCAATATATTCGAATATTTTAACAGTATAGCCGCGCGGCTGTAATCTGAAAATACTATATTTAAAGCGTATAGCCGTTCGGCTATACGCTTTGCATATGTTCGAATATTTTAACAGTATAGCCGCTCTGCTCCACTCCGAAAATACTATATTTAAAGGTATAGCCGATCGGCTATACGCTTTGAATATACACGATTTTAAATTGCAGCCAGCTTTCTTCTGTTCCTAATCGAATTGGGAGTTTCTGAGGAAATTCGAAGTCTTTGGGAAATGGGTTTTTGTGATGTTAATCGAAAACCCATTCATGGGATTTTGAATTTGAAGTGATTGGATTGGTTCTAAGGGCCTCTCATGGGGAGATTTCTTGGCGGGTTTGTGTTGCCTCTGCTGCTGCAAACAGGTATTTAAATGAAAATGCCTTTTGTTCATTTGTTTTAATAACCATGTTATTGCAGTAACAGGATTAAATTCAGGGCAACTCAGTTTTCTTGTAAATTCAGGGGACATGGGACCTCTGAATTCAATGGTGAAGTTGTTGCCACCGTTTGCGGTATCGTCGAGCGCGTCAATAAGCGTTGGAGAGTGGAGATAAACTATAGCCATGATGCAGTGTTGATGCTTTCTTCAATGAACTTACCTGACGGCATCCAGGTATAACTGTTCGCCCGAATATAACATGCATCAGTAGTGATAAATTTCCTTTACCAGAGAAGCAAGCTAACTAGTTCTGTTCTATAAAATTCATGTAAATCTGTTAGATGGTCTGGTTTCTTTGTTTGAACTTTTGTTTATCAATCTGAAGGCTGACGCAAATTGTGAGTTGGAAGTATGGAAATTCTTTCCTTTTGATCCGCTAAAGTCTGTTTCTTTAGATAACTAGTGGATATTCCACCAACTAGGAAAAGATGTATTGAGTGTTAGTATTACATGAATATAGTTAGAGAGCATATTTTGGCATTTTCAAGGGAAAACGCATTTGAGCAACTCTGTTATTAATTATAATATAAAACGTAAGGAAAATTGCTCCATTTTCCCTTGCTATTCCCTCGTTTAAGTTTTACTCTTTCATTGCTAGAGGCGACGAACTGCTCTGGATGAACTCAACATGCGCAGCATTTTTTAGGAGAATGATGTCATTTGTGTATGTCCTCTAACATATATTACTGGCCTAATCGAATCATGAAAAAAGAAGGGAATAAGTTAAGAACTGATCCAGTGTTGCAAATACTTGCCCTTTTCCAGGCTGAAGTTCGTGGTTTTCAACATGATGGTTTACATCTCCAAGCAAGAAGTCAGAAGTATGGAAAGGTTTGTCTTCTTTTTATGTATTGACTATTAGAAGGATGCTTCTGATCATTATCTTACTTGAGCTTGCTTATCTTGCATTCTATTTGGCTGTTATGGGATATTTTCGTTGTCATTTTTGCTTCTCTCAATCAATTTTAATTTGCATTGCTTTCATTGCATCCATCCGATGTGGTCTTATGATTATCCATTGTTTTGTTATTGGTTTTCATTATGATTGTAACCTGCATTGCAGCTTGGAAGGGGTCAATTGCTGACAGTCCCTCCTTATCTGGTGAAAAGACGCAAGCAGCACTTCCATCATTTAGAAAACTATGCTATTGACTTGATAATTGGCTGTAACGGATTCATCTGGGTTGGGGAACATGTTCAAGTGACAGACGATATGGTAGTGGATCAAGTGAACAAGTCTGAACAAGATGATGCCAAACCTGATGAAAATTCCATTAGTCCCGAAGATCAAGAGAAAAACTACACTCGGCAAGAGACAAGAGAGAACATATGCAGGGCTGCAAATGCTGTCCGCGTATTGTCTACTTTAGGCTTCATATTACTGTAGAAGTAATCACGGAGACGGTTGATTTGAGCACTTCTATTAATGTTGCTATACATGAAATGCTCGGTTCAGAGTTCTATGTTTTGGTTGCAGAGAAGGAGTCTGTAAGGCAAAGCATGACAAAAAAAAAGTGATGACTCTGTGTCCACTTGTGAATTCTGTTATAAGAGAGTTTTTCGTCCATAATCCTTTTCTTTTATCTTTATATTTTACACAATCAAACGTATTTTTGGAGAACCAGTGAACAGAAGAGTTATACTCCATCCAATCTCATCTCCTTAAATAGAGAGATGACATCTTCTTCGTCTATTGAAATAGTCTCCATGCCCAGCATATGCAGATATTATTGCAGTCCAAGCAAACTGACTTATATGAGGTGTCTCACTGAAAACTCTTTTGGACTCACAAATGCTTCCTCGCTTTGCATACATGTCAAGAAGAGCACATGCGATAATTGGGCCAGTCACTAATCCAAGTTTGATCAAGGAAGAGTGGCATCATTGATCATCACCAATTGGACTCAAGACACTACCAAATGTGTAATTGTTTGGCTTTGACTCCATAGTTGCTACCAAGAATGTTTTTAGTGCATCATGACACAGCCTGTTCTGAGCATACCCTGAAATCAAAGCATTCCACGATATGATATCTCTGCAGTTTAGCCCCTCAAAAACTTTGAGTCATGCATGGACTCAAGCTTAGCATAGATGGTGATCAAGCTGTTGCAAACATTATGATTTGATAAAAAGCCAGTCTTTATGAAAAACCCATAAATCATTTCGCCTTCCTCCACCAACTTCCTAACTGATATAGCATGGATTAGTCCAACAAATGTAACATCATTTGGATATACTCCATCCAATCTCATCTCATTAAATAGAGAGAAGACATCTTCTTCGTCTACTGAAATCATAGTTGTCCAACAAGACACTACGTTGCGATCATTCATGCACTGAAAGACTAATTTTGCATCTTCAGTAACCTCACACTTTGAATATGTCGAGATCAATACATTACAAACTGAAACATGACTTCCATATCCTGATTTAATTGCCAAGCCATGTATCTGTTTCCCAAGTTCTAAATTCATTTCATGTCCGCAAGCTGAAACTGCACCAGTAAATGAGACATGATCTAACCCCATCCCTTCTCCCACCATCTCAATAAAGACAAAAATCGCCTCAAGCCCATGATTTCCCTCTTGAGAGTAACCTGATAGTTTTGCATTCCATGAAACCAGATCCTCATTCGCCATTTCATCAAACACACTCCTAGCTTTTATTAACCGCCTCAACCTCGAATACATACTTATAAGTGCATTTCCAACAAAAACTTCACCATCTAAACCAGACTCAAATATGAGAGAATGCAGTTGTAATCCAAATAGAAAATCTTCATGATCCGCACAAAAAGCAAGAATCGTAGTATAAGTCACTGGATAAAAAACAACTCCATTAAAATTCATCCTAAGAGCAAAATTCAATGCACCTTCACTTGTTCGAAACCCCGAAAGAATAGTATTCCAAGAAACTATATCAGTATAGCACATAGTCTCAAAGATAAGTAAGGGACCATCAAACTGTCCAGCTTTGGTGTACAACCTCATCAAAGAATTTGAAACCATAGTATACGAAGCAAAACTCAGAAGAAACTGCAAACCCGTGAATTGGGCATCGGGTTTGGGGTCCCCTTGACAGGCCTTGATAGCAAGGGTAACCGTATTTTCATCGATGATATGAGACAAATGTAGTTGAAGTTGCTTACAGTACATAGGGCTCTAAGGGTAACGGTAACTTCATCGTGTTCGTTTCTCTGTCTCTTCATTTCACTAGCGCACCACATTTTTCTGTGAGTGCAAGCTTCGTCTGTCTTCATTTGGAACAAAAAGGAGGCGGCCAGACCCGCCCAGGCACCTAGGCCCGCCTAGACCCCACCCAGAGCAGCCTAGAACTTCTCAGGCCGCCTAGGCCCCGCCTAGAACAGCCCAGGCCGCCTAACTCCCTCATAGCATCAGAGTTGTTATCTTAGTGGAGATTTCAATAGCTGAATGACATTTGATGGTTTTCGTAGAGAGTCCAATCCAATCCAGTCAACGGAGCAGACGAAACGAAAGGAAAAAAAATCGAAGCTTGAGTTGAGAGAGAGACAGAGAGGCTCAAGACCGAGTCTCTGAAGTGCTTATGGAGATGCGAAATGGCTGTGACTGCGAGTGCAAGAATCGTGTTTGTGAATATATCTAAGGAGTATAGCCGGGCGGCTGTACCTTGAAAATAATATATTTAAATAGTATAGCCGTCCGACTGTACTATTTAAATATACAATTTGTCATGTTATTTTAAAATACCACTTTAGCAAATTAGGATAGAGTTATTTCTTCAATTATTTTTGTATACTAGTGATATTGGGGTTAAACCCCTAAATACCACAACAACAAAAGGGGATCCACCAACATTTTGGGATAAAAGAATCTTGAATTTCATAGTAAAAAATTGCTTGTGTAAGAATTTACTTTCTAAAATGTATCCATCGTAATTATGAACTAAACTCAATGACAACATTTTTCTCATTGCACTTGACAACCTGCTCTTTTGCTATGCGATGAATATCTCAGAGTTTTGCGTTGTGTACTCTGCAGATGAAAAATTTGATACAAACCGTCTAGTAAGACAACGAAGAGATGAGTTTGTGAAATAAATTGAAGGTATCCTGAGGTTCAATATGACATTGATATATATATATAACGAACTATTTCTAAATGAGATTTCAAACAACGTGTTAGATGAGAAGTAGCATCTGATTCTTACATATATACATCCATTTCCTAATCAAATTCCACTGACAACGTTAAGAGGGGGAGAGAAAATCTCTCTTGTATCCTCCAAGCGTAGGAGATCCAACCTTTCTTGAGGATTGCTGTTTGTGTGATAAAGAAGCATATCTACAACTCCAAATCATTGTGTAACATTAAATATGACAAGGCATTCTCACAAGCAACAAGCCCTAACAATATACTCCAATTTTTAATAAAGAAAATTATAAAAATTCCCTAGAGCTGAAACTCTAGAATCTTTAGTGAAGGCATCAGCGTTCACATCGCCGAGAAGAAAGGGATGTTCCCTTTCAAATTGGTCTTATCGATATGTAACGAGATCTACTAATCAATACACTCAAAAGGGGCCTACAAAAAACTCCCGCCCTCTTTTCTATATTTGAGTAGACTGGGTATTTTGAAGTTAAAAACCATATCGCGGGACAAAGCGAGCCAGAATATGATGGGAAAGCCAAAAAGTGACTGGAAGATAACATCTTCTTGTCTCTCCAAATCTTCCGACGCTGGAATCAACTTAGTCATGTTTATCACCCCTGACGAAAACCTATACAACATATTCAAGCTATTAGGATGTACCTTAAGTAGTGGGCTCGTCCCACAGCAACAGCTAGCGGAGCAAATGTGAAGTAGACAAAAGGAGACCCGTTAGTGTTAGTTACAGGAGCAATGCACATTATGAGAGAGACCTTAATTCAGGTCTTAATTTTCATGCGCAAAATGAGTCCACTAAATACATAATTAGTATGCTCCTGGGTGGGGGATTCTATTGGTCTTCCACAAATTTGAAGACTTTAGCAACCAATAATATTCCTAAATTCCATTGATAGCTCACATTTCAGCACATGGTATGTAAAGAAATAATTATCGCCCTCATGCCCACACTAAACGAGCCTTGTGTAAGCTCTGGATTCATGTCTTCTCCATGTTTTAGCCATTGACTAGTTGAAACAAGACAACTTTGAACTTTGGGCATTCGTGTACCAGGTATTTCTATGCAAATGAAATAGTAGTACTTATAAGCTGCGCATTTGGATCCAGCCACTATACTCATAATCTCTTATTTAACAAAAACAACAATCATAACTTGAATAGATAATAAATTTGTTTTTCTTCTTGAGCGAAAAAGGAGGACGCATGTAGTTACCCTAGTGGCCTCGGAGTTTACAAATACATTGCTAGGCATACCGTCTCTCATAAAATTAAGCCACAGAAAAGTGACTGAGGATGGACAGACCTTAGTCGTAGCGTACCTTTTGGTAATGCTTCCAGACTTGCTTCACAAATCATCCACTTAGCAATTGCAGAATGCATCAGTCGTCTATTGAACGTCTCTGAAGAATCAATGTAACCTCATCACAAAATTAAACACACCTAGACAGAGCTCACGACATCACCAGAGTGACCGTACTAACTATAACATATTCTACCCCATTTCCCAGTTCTACCTACCGTATGCTGCATTTCTCACGCACATGTTATCTTCCATCATCTCTGCCGAAACAACCAGCTTCCCTCGCGAAAGGAGAAATCGTAACTTTACACTTTGCCCATATGTCGCTTGTCCCATCCTCGTACATCCGAACCATACCCATCGCGACCCGGGTTGGCTCATATTTTGATGAATGTCATAGATGGGAAAAAAATACAAACTGGCTCAACTACAAAGCTTAAACCGACGTTATTTACCATAATTTCTCCATAACGCGATGTTCACAAAATATGTTAGAGCGGTTGGTGTCTTGTAGGTAAACTTCTGAAAATGGAAGGACAAAACAAAAAACAACCGCAATGTCCGCCATTAAAAAGAGTGGCATCCAAAAGGCCAACAACCTTGAAAGTTTGTCAATTGTAATACCATTCATCCACCTTCTCGAGCAACTCCTTGTTCGGCAAATTCCATCTGTGAATTTTCTTTTGGTATTAAGGTGCTCAAGTCATAAGCTTAACAACTGAAGCCAAAACTACCATCTTCTTGGTAAATAACTCTGAGGGCATATGTATGACATACTATTACAGGCCCGCTCATGCACAAAAAATTTAAAAAGCACGACATATCAATTCGCATAATCACTGTCTTACCCCCTCTCTACATAAAACGTCCGATCACATCTCTAATTTAATATTACTATTTGTAATTTTTTTTGGGGCCTCTTTCCCAAACTCTAAGAAAACCCACAAATACTAAATCCACATCACCCATAATTGTTTTTTTTATGAACTAACATAAACTCCAAAATAACTAAAGACTCTGTCAATTAGCAATGTGCCATACTCCATCTCTAATGTGTTGATGGCGCAGTTTGCACTTAAACTCACAACTTTGGATGCCTCAAAAAAACTACACTACCAAACAACCACCACGAGTCCCTTGTACGCCACCCCGCATAACCGCATAAGGTGCATAGATAAAACCATACAGCAAACATTTGCTAGATGTCAAATATTACGAGCATAGCTTTCATGTCAATTATTATTAAACCCACCATGATTCTAAACGCAGAGTTTGTTTTTTCCTAGGTATAAATGAACAGAGCTGTTGCCACAAAAGGAGCAATCCTTGTGTACCCTAATAGGTTGGAAATTAACTCAACTGACAAGCACAATATCAGAAGATCAAAATGGACTAAAACGGGATTTATATAACGAGTATAGAGCATAACTTCAATTAAATAGTAATGTATTAAGGCAGCAAAACACCCGATCTACATCAATCCTGAACAACACCTCGATTTCCATTTGACATGTAAATAATGCATGAACTAATGCCCAGACAATTAGTCTCTATCTTACTTGGTTGACACTTTGTTCCTAGGTTCGGAAGTGCTGGCCACATACAATCATTCAGCTAACGCATGTGTGGCAACGTCCAAATAGTCATAGACACTATAGGGCCGATTCTCGGCTGTTTCTGCAATGGGGGCATACAATTTCTCCTCTAGTGGCGGGCTCGCGGCCTGTGACTAATTAGAGCTCTGTATTAGCCTTCGAAATCCCCTTCTATAGTATAGCAATAACATATCCTCGGAATAGGAGACTTGCAATAACAACCGGAAGTAAAGATAGCCACGCACGATTTCAAATAATAACAATTCTTAGAAATACATTTCACAAAACCAAAAATACAAAATAGCGTCAACCCACGCCAAGTCCTGAGTTACATATGATTCAGAATCAATGCCTATACCTCGGTGTGAATAGTCCTAGTTTTGTTGAAAGAAACCATAAGTATCCAGTAAACGCAAATATAGCTGTAATTACCACAAACAAGTAATGAAGCTACAACTTCTCAGAATTCCTTGTTTCTGCCAGGCCATTAGACACCCCAAGCGGCAAACCGGTCACGAATTTTGCCTCGATATGCAGCACAAGCTCCAAACATAGAAACCAACATTCATGCAGCAAGAACACACTCGTCACCAAAAATAGTCGTAGGTCGTACCGAAGTGTAGTCAATCACCTGGCGTAAGAAGGTCCATTCGTCCTTTGATCAATAATCGAGTAGTAAGACCGGGCTTGGTGTGCAATCCAATGCCAAAGAAAACTGGCCACATTGTGTGCACCCGCAGGCAAGTCCTCAGGATTTAACGGAGCTGCACCTTTCTGCTTGCATGCATGCTTGGTATTTCAGTTATTTCCTTGGCTATGATACACTAACTCCAAGAAGACTGCGTGACTTGGATTTCATTCAGATGAACGGTCACGCTGAACGTTGCCAACGTAGAACCATTCCAATAAACAGAAAACATCAAAAACAAAATTGAATCAACACAGCAAGCGTCAAACCGAAGAAAGAAACATCTCCAACATAGCTTGAGTTGAAGAGTAGGAGTGTGCTCAAGACGCGAGTATTTTAATTTTGACGATTGGACTGTGGCGTAGTGGCCAGCGCTTTCGCGTTTGTTGTAACAAGTTCGTATTCTCTATACCGGCTCTTTCATATTCACCTCGCACAATCCGGCCACACCCAAACCACGATTCCTCTGCGAGTGCAGACGGCTTTCATCTGTGTTCATGAGCACAATTGTCACTGGTGTTCAGTGAACGCCTTTAAGATTCAGAAAAAAAAAAATAAAAACAGGGAACTCCCCGTAACCCTGCCCCATTCAGGGCCACCTAGTAACCGCGCCCAGGTTCAGCTCAACTGCCTATAACCCCGGCTCTCTGTCCATCCTAGTATGGGCGCTCTCCCAGAAATCGCTCCGCCCGATGCCTGCTCTAGACTCCCTTAATCATCATGCAGAGATTTTTTATCTTAGCTGAGATCGTTCAATGTTGAATGACATTTTGAATGGTATTTCGTAGAGAGGTCCATGCCACTCCAATCGACAAGCGCTAGCAGCCGAAACAAGAATTTTTTTTTTTTTGAAGCCACGAGTTGTAGATAACATGAGACGCAGAGCACACCGAGCAGTAGAGAGAGGCTTGGAATGAACGCGTGCTATCATAGAGAAGTACGATAAACAGAATTGCTACTACGTACGAGTGTCAAGTGCAAGGCAGTGTTAATACAAATTGACCAGCTCCGCTAGCCGCCCGGGTCTATATCCGGTTAAGATATTCGAATATTAAATTCGTAAGAGTACCCAGTACAAGTGACAGGCGGACGCATCAAATGGAAATACGTTATATGTAGATACATTAAATCATTAAATATATAAAATACAATGCAAAAGATGTTATTTGATGGTGAGACAACTTCAAAGATTGTGTGTATGTGCGAGTTTTCAACCCCGGATGCTCCTCCATCCTCCTGCCTTACTTGCGTTTCTACATCAACTTCATGTAGAGTAAATAAAAGTGAGCAGGTGGATTATTTATATATATTTATATTCTTCTTGAAAAGGAGGCTCGAGCAGAAAGCTTGCATTAGCGCGAAGGGTACAGCAGGTCCCTCACTAATTAAGTTAACGTTCTTACTTTTTTATTGTTTATTTTTATACAAGGCATTACATAATTGGAGGGAATAATGCTATGACATGAAAAGATAATTACTCTACATATTTTAACTCCTTGATGGTACAAATTCTCCAGTTGATTACGATCGTAAAGCAAAAGTCTCTTTTACACTGATAGCTAAAACTTTATAGTATTTTTTTTTTTTTTTTTTTTTTTTTTTTTTTTTTTTTTTTTTTTTTTTTTTTTTTTTTTTTTTTTTTTTTTTTTTTTTTTTTTTTTTTTTTTTTTTTTTTTTTTTTTTTTTTTTTTTTTTTTTTTTTTTTTTTTTTTTTTTTTTTTTTTTTTTTTTTTTTTTTTTTTTTTTTTTTTTTTTTTTTTTTTTTTTTTTTTTTTTTTTTTTTTTTTTTTTTTTTTTTTTTTTTTTTTTTTTTTTTTTTTTTTTTTTTTTTTTTTTTTTTTTTTTTTTTTTTTTTTTTTTTTTTTTTTTTTTTTTTTTTTTTTTTTTTTTTTTTTTTTTTTTTTTTTTTTTTTTTTTTTTTTTTTTTTTTTTTTTTTTTTTTTTTTTTTTTTTTTTTTTTTTTTTTTTCGGTGCAATTTTGCAGAATTAGCCCTCTTTCGACGACATTTCGTCGGCCTAGGAAGCTTTCCTCGGGTGAGGTCTAATCCGGCAAATAGTTGCTGGCATAGACCTATGGTCTTCTTGCTATTTATTTATTTTTTGTTAAATATAAAATTAGTTTCTTTACTTTTATTTTTTGCCCAACTTCTTTAATTTCACATATATGTCATTAAGTAATATCTTTGCCTTTTTTAATTACTTTAATTAGTAATTATATTATTATTCGAATATAAACACTTCGCTATACTGTTTAAATATTCGAATATATTTAGGAAATATGACAAAGGGCACCTAAAAAGATAAGCAACGTCATTATATCACTTCTCATACACATGCAACATGGTTTTTTATGTTTCATCTTCTTAACACTCAACAACATAAATGTTCAATGTTTACCTTGTAAAAATTGTGCCGGGGGCGTGAAAGAACCGGTTTGTCATTATTTGCATGTACAAGCTTTTTCTCAGCAGAATTCCGACTGAGATCTTTAGGATTTACCACCCCAGCCAAGATCTTTAGTCTTTCTCTGAAAGGTACAGTGGAGTCCTTCGCAAATCCTTTAACTTTTTCCATCACATCGTCAACCATTTTCTAAAAGCATCATTCAAATATACCAATAGACTAAGTGTTCCAATAGAACATAAGATCATTTCCATCAGGGAGAGTACATCAGAATAAAGTACATGCCTATCCAAATGGATGAAGTTGCATACAAAATGAAGTTACCTTGATGCTGTCCTGGAATTGAGTTGATATGTCTTTATCAAAATTCTCAGAAACTTTGAAATACATTACAAGACTCATCCCCTCTCCATCACTATCACCAAGAAACATTGTAGCAGGATAAGTAGCCAACTGCAACAAGGCGCAGAGCAATATCATTAAATATTGCCAAAATATAACAAACTAAACATAACAAGATAAATCAATTCTGAAAAAATACCAATTGAGATAAGCCGGATTTCAGGGCATTGTCTTGAATTTTTTCATTACAATCGCGTCCATCCTCTGTAAGTCCTTTAAAGCTTCCATAAGAGTGATCTAATATATTCTTCCTCCTACTGCAAACTTCATCAGCCTTCCCTAAGTGAGAAAGCTCATAGCCCTGTGTATCAATAAGCGAAAACCTATTTGATTCCCTGAGCTCATCTTTGCCTCTGATTTTATCTGATATACCTCCATCAATTATCATATAGCTTTGGTATTCTTCATACTTACACTCATTATCAACAAAGCGAGCAGATCTTTCATGCTGAAGTACTTGGCCACTTGAGATATTCCCAACTGGATTGCTTGCCAATGGAAAACCATCTGTAGAATAAGTTAAGAAAATTAAGAAAACAAAACAAAATCCTTTTCCAATAAGTAGCTCAAGAAAAATTACTTCAGTAGTAATGACGTTTTGCAATCAAACAAGACCACAAGGCTTTCATTCTGTAATATGTAGTTACAGGCTGATGGCCAATACCTCCATGTATACTGATAAAGTCATCATCCGAGTCAGACTCCAGAATACTCACCGAGTCAAACCAAGCTTCCTCTTGGAAAATTACTGCAAATTAATAACTTTCAAAATATGAGATTCAAGAGCTATGAATTTTCTTGTCAGCACTATTGGTTGAAATTGAAAGATAGCTGAAATCTGATGAAAGAAAGCACACACCATTCGAATCATATTGACTATGGTGCCATTGCAGCTGGGTGAGATGGAATGTTGAATTAGAAACCTTAGATCTTCTGTGAGTAGTTGTTGCACCATTCTTAAAGTCCACATGAACAAACTCATTGACAACAAAGTCACTTAAGCGAGCTCATGCATCACTATCTATTTTCTTGAAACTGGTATTTCTTTTCTTGGTACCATCTGAAGCGGAATTGTTTTGGATGGGGTTGACATGCAACCAGCCATTGTGGCCTTGAAATCATGCAAGTCCCAACTACAATGATGCCTTCATCAAGTCCTCTCCAACCTGTGTGCCTACAAATGAAACAAAATACATCAGAGAAGATTAAAGGATTTCTAGAAAGCAGTTTCTATGATCACAAATAATCATGAGAACACAATCATTTCTATCATCATGAGACTGTTTCAGTAATTTATGGCTCAAACGCTAGAATAGTTAACCACCTTAACACTGGGAAATTATTAGAATCAAACAGATGACACACAGAGGTCTCTATGTTTAATGAGTATGGTGGCACTATCAGAAAACACCTTGGTTAGAAGCGACTGGTAAATTGAAGCACTGCACTACTTATTCAATCAATTTGTAGATGAAAATTTGTGCAATCATCACAAAAATCAAATGTCTGATTCAAACCTTCTCAAACAAAGTGGGATGTCTCTATCCCAGTCCCATAGATAAGCAACTCATCTATCTTCAGCCCCAAATCTTTAGTTCTGGCTCACTAGAACACAAACATGACCAAAAAACAAAAAGATAGTACAACCACCTCGAGAACAACTCAACAAAACCTTAGTCCCTGTACTTGCTATTATCTTTCTTAAGCCCCAAATCTTTAGTTCTTACTCTGGTTTAATTAATTAGGACCTTTCTCTTAAGTAGTTGGTATTTGCAAAGTAAATGGGAGCATCAATCTCAAGTATGAGAATTTGAGAATTCCAGGAACATTGCTTTGCATTGGGGTACTGCTCAACATTTCTGTAAACCATGGAATTCGGAAGGTTTCCTTGAACAAAAGTCCTTGGCCTTGCCACAAACAAAAGTACCCTGAACACAAAAATTGCAACTTACACAGAAGAAAAAAGAAATATTAGTTCTAATGCGTAGTTTTAAGTTGTTAGATATAGTGTTACTGTCACACACAATAATGATACGTACTGCTAAGACTAGTCCAATTTCAATGCGAAAACAACGTTGATATAGGCACTCATGCAGACAACAAAGTCAAATTTGTCAACCTTCCAGAGGTGAATTGCGGCTTCATAGTCTATGACAACAAGCAAAGCCCGACTATGTGTTTCTATGTCTGTATATTCCCCAAGTCTGATTCAGTCAGGATTTCCAACTACTCATCCAACTTAGGCCAAACCAGATTCCTAACAATTACATACTACTTTTACAGGCTAAAATCTCTATTGCTCCCTCTAGCAATAACTTTTCGACCACACCCTTCTATTTTCAGGATGCAAAACACATAATCAAAAGAAAATTTTTGTATAGCGGCCATCAGAAATTGAAGCGAGTTCATAATTTAGCTAAAGTCAGGGAAAAAAACAAGGACCCGCCTAGGCGGCCGCCTAGCGCCTAGGCCGATTTTTCCAACAGCCTAACTGAACAGAAGCACAGTTTATAGGTTTTGAGCACTAATTATGAACATCATTACCGAATTTAACATTACATAACAAAATCCACCACCTGTTCTAGATTTCTGTGCCTCATAGATTTTCCAAAATAAGCAAAATATAAAGATAATTTAGTTAAAACTACAAGTAATCTGAATGCATTCCACTAAAAAATAGGAAGCAGAGTAATTGGAGACTGAGCTTAGTGAAAAGAAAAACCTTGGGTTGAAGAAACTATCCCACCAGTCAGAGTCTGCGGCTTTAGGCTCGACTGGAACCAAGCTTAAGTTTTTCTTCAATTTCCTATCTTTCTTGCTTTTCTTTGATTTCTTGGGAGGCGCCATGAGAGCTCAAATGAGAAATTGACCACCACTTTTTTGGCTTTGAACTTGAAGACTTTGATGGGAAGTGATTCAGTGAAGCGACCCAGGCACAGCGGCGGACCCAGGAATTTCTCAGGAGAGGTGCAATTTTCAAAAGCTAAGAGCTATAAAATAAAAATAAAAACAACTAAACATCCTTATAATTTAAACAATATACATGTAAAATCATAATCAAAATCAGCAACAAGGGACAGGGAGTATAATCTATAAACAGATGCCAAATTGCTTTTGTTTTTCTTTTCTATTTGTATGTTCCACAGTAAAACAAATAGGTACAACTATATCAAGCTTCTAACTAGTTTTTTGCTGTTTGACATGTTCAAAATTAGGATTGCCTACTATCAACCGCTTACCCTATATTAGTCCTTCAAACCTTGACATAATGTCATAATTGCAACATAACTTCAGAATAATAATCAAGTAGAAACTTCCAGATCCACAAGCTAACAATGATAGCCAAAGGAAAAAATTACAGAGACCAAAATTCACTAATTGGAGCAAAATCAAACATACCCAGCTGGAAAAGAGAAAAAAAAAACAATCTTCTAACCAAAGTTTCATAGTAGCATTTCCTAATGAACACTGCTTAGAGAAGAACCCAATTGGACCAACTAAAAGTTGAATGTAATTTACGCCATTGAGGAAGAAATGCAGCATACCCAGATGGAATTTCATCTCTTCGGGTAAGGACTTTGAGCTTCTGTGGAGCCCAATTGAGTACAAATTTTGTGTGCATTTTGAGAGTGAAGCAAAGGGGGTTTAGAAGTTGGCATAACGAAAGTTGAAGGAAAAGAATAGGAGGTCTTGCAGTTTTGTGTGCAGCAGCTGCAGTGCAGTGCCCAGGTGGTTTGGGCATTTCGTCGAACACGTTGCGTGCGTCTCTGGTGTGAAGCAGAGGTGCAACTCCAGCTGCTCTAATGGACTTTTCCGGCGACCGGAGGTGCAGGTGCACCTCCTTGCGCCTGCACAGGTCCGCCACTGCCCAGGCAGGGAGGGAAATGTAAAGCTCGCCATTTTTGGCCTTTTAATGGTATAGCCGAACGGCTATACTATTTAAATATGATATTTAAATGGTGTAGCCGGATGGCGGTACTCTTTAAATATAATATCTGTAAAAGGTATCGCCGGACGGCTATACTGGCTTTTTTTTTCTTTTTTTTTCTCCCCCTGATTTTCGTTTATCAGGGCTACAAGATCATCTGGCTGCCTATATTACATCTGTCATCTCTTTGAAGGAGTGTACAACAGCACTTGAGAAGCATGTGCTTGCAAATGCCATATGGAAAGTAAGCTGGTTTCTATCTACATTGGGGATAAGCAGAAGAGACACCATAGTGGCTGATGGTCAGGTGCTTGAGTTGTGGGAAACCACTGATCAGGATGCCCGCATTGATTTGATGGTTGGCAAGGGCTAGAAGGTGGACGCTGTAGCAACTGACCACAGTCAGACTGAAGCAGTACAGGAACACAAGAATAAATATTCCTCTTCAGAATCATTGGTTGAGAAGGAATTGGGCGTGGACAAATTAGGGATCTCTAAGAGATTTACAGAGCCCCATCAAGAAGGCAACAAGAGAAGGATTCTAGAAAGACTTGATTCTGATGTACAAAAGTTGACAAACCTTCAAATAACCGTGGAAGACCTGAAGGGGAAGGTGGAGAGAGATTACTGAAAAGAGCAAAAAGGGCAAAGGTATTGAATTTGAAAACGTGAAGGGGCAGCTGGAAGAAGCTAAAGAGGCCTTCACTAAGTTGTAATATATCTCCTGTCAATTCTTATATCGTGAAGTAAACAACATACCAACATGGTGTAATCCAATGCCAAACTGCAAGGTGTGCCGCAGGTTAAAGAACCATCTGCTGGGCTTCTTCTAGCATACCAAGAAACTGCCTTGGATGTTCATCTGACCAACCCAGGCCGCCTAGATCCGCCCAGGCCGCCTAGGCGCCGCCTAGATCCGCCCAGGCCTCCTGGGCCCCCCCTAACTCCCTGGGGTCGGTGTCCTCCGGCCTAGCGCCTAGGCTGATATCTCGAACACAGCTCAAAACCTGGAACGGGCTTGCTCTGTGCCATAGACGTTCGAAGTGATGAGTTCGAGCCCGATTCGCCAGAATATTTTTAAAAACAGAGTATAGCCCAGCAGCTATACTATTTTTAAAAAAAATAAGAAAATACCGAGTAAAACCGCCCAGTAACGTTGTTCTCGCCATCATGCCAAGTAACAAGGAAAAAGAAACCAGAAGTTTATATTTTGAAATGAGAAGAATGTTTGGGATAATAAGGAAGACTTGGGATCAGGTAAAGTCCTTTTCCATCTGTCTCTGGCAGCTGGTATAGTTTGGATAGAATTAATTTACACCAATATCAGGTGATTTTCTTGACAATAGTTTATTCATATCGAATATGTATAGTGCATTAGCAGGTGCTCATGTTTAAGAGTATTTTTTAGCAATATCCTGGAGGTGGGAGAACAGCTTTACTGGTCTAGACAACAAACATGAACATGTGATCAGAACCATTTATCACTTTGACTTCATCTGGTGGATTTAACTATGCTACGAATTAGATTTCTTCGCCTATCCTTGTTGAGGAAAAAAATTGGAAATTCTATACATAGAATCTAAATTACCTTAACTACAAAGCTTGTTCTTCTATTCCTTCACTGCTCAATGTAACAACGTTCATCCACAGTGCATTCACTCCTTAAAAATCTCCATATATGGCCTCAAAGAGTCATGAGGATCTCAAAGAACTCTTTCCACCATTGTCTGACTGTGGCCCAGTTGCCTGACTCAAAGAAACTCAAAGAGTTTTCGTCGAGATTTGGCCTCATTGGTTGGCAAGATCTCATTTTATCACTTCAACTCAAAGGAATAAATGATGCTCTGCAAAAATCTGTGCTGATAAGTTCATTCTTTTAGAAGTTTATTTCTCTTCCTCAAAACAGAGTTCCTGAAATCTTGTTAAGCTGCAAGCAAAGAGCAACCAGTTTAGTTCGGATAAGTCGTGATCACGAGGAACGAATGAAACTAAAAGTGAAAGAAAGAAGTTGACTGTAGTAAATTCAAAATAAAATCAAACCCTATAGTAAGAGTAATCACTAGTTTACTGGGAAGCATAATGAAACTCATTTCAAAGAGACGTACCGGTTCAGAAGAACATTAGGATTGTAGGGAAACAGATTCTTTTGGTGTAGAACTTCAATAGAAATTTTAAGTGAAAGTAAGCACTCTTTGGCTTCTTTGAAATACTGTCCTCCATTTTGGGTGTGCTTGCAGCCATTTTCATTTTCTTCATCAGGTTCATCATCAAGAAATGTAAGATGATTTTTTGTTGGTGCAAGAGAATCCTCTCCCCAGGAACGAGACACCCAATGAAACTTTTCTTTTCTTGCAAAATGATTGATTTGTAGCTTGCCCACCCACTAGAAATTCCACAAATAAGCTCCATGAATCACACACTTTACGCAAGCACCTAAAAGAGAATGCATTAAGGACGGTAAGAAGCAAATGAAAGATACAAAGAGTTGCAATTAAAAACAACTGTCTGGGGTCAACCAAATTGAGTCTTGTTTTGCTAATTAGTTAAGAAGTCATGTAAAAGCAGAGGGTTAATGTTTTATAGTTTAGTCACCGAGGTCAACACCAGAAAAATGCAGCCCACCACGGTTTAGATTTCGTAAGTTAAGAGAAGGTGTAGAAAGAGAAAAGACCTTAAAAGATATTCTGCACAACTGATTCCGGTATCTTTTGAAATAAGGTAATCAAGAAGCACCTGATGGTCATAGCTCAACTGCAAAATAGGAAGAAAAAAGAAAATGCACAATGTCAGTGATACTTTTTTATTCTGCAACAGCATATACTTCAAATTAACAACTAGGACGCATGCCGAAGTGGAAATGCAGATATGTAAATGTCCAAGAGTGAGCATCTTGCCTCTAATATGAAAAGATGGAACAAGAGTACAGGATTGAAAAGATCTGAGACACAGAAAAGTAAATTGCCATTCGAATCCTACAATGCAACCTTTTCCTTTTCATCCCTATATAAACAAAAAATCTTGTTAAAAGGAATCCATGACGATAACTTTTAAAACAATGGAAAACTAGGATATTAATTCCTTACTGTCTGCACAACAAGGTACACAAGGCAGATGCAAGAGCACTTTGAATAATACATCATCCTACAGTTCAAAAACAAGCCAAGAAATGAGGACATTAGTCTAAAAAACTGCAAGAAAAATACGACAAATGAAGAATACAGAACTGCAATTTTAGTACGTGAAATTGTTGAATAAGATGATGCATTCAGATAGACAAAATAAAATATGAATACAGTTTTTCTTTTTTTGGGTCTGGGTGAATAGATTGCCTATTTTGCTTATATCACGTTGCATATAAACATAGACAAAAAAACTCCTAGTTTCAAAGATAAAGAAGACATACCTCTTTGATATACAGTTGGATGAAGGATTTGGCAAAGTCAACACATTCTACAAAATACATTTCATGGTCCACTGTCAAATTAGCTGGAAGATGGCCTTCAAGCTCCAAGAGACCTTTCTTTCTTAGACAGTAACATTAGGCTTCTAGTACTAGAAAGAAATCAATAAAGCAGAAAGGCATTGGTGAGCAATGCCAATGCGCCTCCCTCCACTAACCGACCTCTCCCTGCATGCCTGTTGACGACTAATAATTTATCCTTTCCTTTTCTTTACCCCAACCAAGACCACCAGGAATTATAAATCTCTCATCCCCTCTTCATTTGCCTCCCAATTCTCACTCTCTCAACAACAGAAACACAGTTTTCTATCTCTTCCTTTCACTCCACACGAAACAAACCCCTCATTTCTTATGCCTTACCTTATTTTATGTCACCTTTCCACCTTCTCACACACTATATACATGTCACCTTTGCTCCTTCGCACCAGCAAGTTTCGTCTGTCTTCATTTGGAAAAAAAAAGGACACGACCCGCCCTGGTGCCCAGGCCGCCAAGATCCGCCCAGGCCGCCTAGGCACCGCCTGGATCCTCCCAGGCCGCCTAGGCGCCGCCCAGATCCGCCCAGGCCGCCTAGGCGCCGCCCAGATCCTCCCAGGCCGCCTAGGCCCCCCCTAACTCCTTGGTGTCGGTGTCCTCCCGCCTAGCTTCTAGGCCGATATCTCGAACACTGCTCAAAACCTGGAACGGGCTTGCTCTGTGCCCTACATGTTCGTAGTGATGAGTTCGGGTCCGATTCACCCGAACATTTAAAAATAAACCGAGTATAGCCGACCGGCTATACTATTTTGTAAAAAAATTAAGAGAATACCGAGTAAGGCAGTACTGGTTTTTAAAAAACGAATATGGCCGAACGGCTATACACGTCCTTTTTCTTTTTTTTTTCTTTTTTTTAAATCGTATAGCCGGCAGGCTATACCCCTTTTATTAAATTTTTCAAAAAGAAAGGTACAGCCGAACAGCTATACCTGGTTTGATCCTAATTTTTGTTAAAAATAGTCTAGCCGTACGCCTATACTTTCTTTAAAACTAGAAAAAAGAAGTATAGCCGTTCGGCTTTACTAGTTTGGCACATGTCGCTAGGTGTAGTATAGCCTTTCGACTATACCCGGTTTTTTAATTTGTTTTAACAAGTAGTATAGCGGACCGGCTATACACGGTTTTGATTAATGTTTCTTAAACAATAGTATAGCCGTTCGGCTAGACTAGATTTTTTTAATTTTATTTTTTGAGAAATAGTATAGCCGCCCGGCTTTACTGGGTTTTTGGTTTTTATTTTATTTTTTATTTTAGTAAATAGCATAGCCACGCTTTTTATAATATCAAAGTTCCTCTCTACTCCGTCTCACCAAACATAATATCAAAGTTCTATTTTGGATACTATAAACATAACAGCTAGCTCCCAAAAACAAAGAGGCATATATATATATATATATATAAGATATCACTTCGAAAAGATTTAGGCAGCTCCCATTCATTAGACTGGATACCTCTATATAAATCCCATCTCCTAGCTGTTATTTGCAACATCTTTTTTATTATTTTGTATATTGAGACAAAGTTCGGGGGATACATTTAGAGATGTTGTATAAACGTTGTAGTTTGTATCATCAAAAGACAACCATATTATTGTCTTGATATGCAGTTAAGTTAAAAACAAGGAAGAGCTAGCCTAACTATATCAGCCCGGCCGTTTGTCGCATTTCTTGCATATTTTTTTTATGCAACCAAATTATATGCCCTTTGTTTGAACATCCGGCCATTGGCTGGTCAAAGGCCGTCACTTTGCACCATAACAAATACAAACCAGACAAACTACGACATTCACGAGAAAGAGAGAGAGACAGAGAGACAGAGAGACAGAGAGACAGAGAGACAGAGAGACAGAGAGACAGAGACGCTGTTTGTTTCTTTATAAATTGAAAGACTAGGGCTAGCCGCGTTTAAGTACGTATCACAATTAATTACACGCTACGTGTGTACAACTTACAAGTGTGATGCAATAGACACTAGTTAATATTGATAACTAGTATCATCAATGGCTTCTAAAGCTATTAATTCCTGCCTCAATTCTTGTGTTGAGGATCGTCACTCTTTTAGCCTTAGTTGCTTCAGTTGTCGTGCTGGTTACCGACCACTTCACGCTTCAAGATGGCACCCAACAGCATTTTCAGGATATCCATACATACAGGTACGTATCATTTTCAGCACCGTATTCGTCGATCTCTTTTTTTTTATTTTTTATTTTTTTTCTTCTTAATTAAATTTTCCGGACGATGGATTTTGTTAAACAATATATAATTAATGTTATGTGTTTGCATGATTAAAAATGGGCAGGTTTGTGCTTGCTACAGCAGCAATTGGAGCAGCTTACACGTTAATACAGTTACCTTTTGATATATACTATGCCTGCGCCCAAAAGAGGTTAATACGCCACGGATGCATGCCTGAGTTTGATTTCTATGCAGACAAGGTTCGGAAAATCACTCTAATAATTAGAAACCTAGCTAATCACAAGTGTTATTGAGTACTTAGTTACTTAAATTATTATTATTATAAGATTAATTTTTGCTTGATGACATGATGACATGGAAATGTGCGTGCATCCAGTTGGTTAGCTTGGTTCTAGCTTCGGGCGTGGGTGCTGGTTTTGGTGTGGGTTTTGAGTTCAAAAGAGTCCTCAATGATTTATTTCTACTGCTTTTAGCACTAGGCGAGGATCCTGTAAGTTTGGATGAAGAACAATCCAAGGATAATGCTTTCTTTAACAGGGCAAATATTGCTACCGGAGTTTTGTTGCATGGCTGTGATTTCAGTGCTTTCCTCCATAAATAGAACTTCAAATAGAGGTTTCTTCGGTTAATTAGGATTAATCTTTCTTTAATCAAATATATATACGTCCTAACTACCTACAGGAAGCCGGAAGTTGAATAAAAAGATCATGTTGTCCATTCATTTTCGGGGTTCATTATCTTTGTTATTTGTTTAATTTCCACTTCATTTATAAATTATGTATCCGTCCGAATAAATATGAATCTAACTGCTTCCTTCACTTATGTAACAAAGGGGGAAAAGCAACATCTATTTAGTCTTCTTTCTTTGTAAATCGCTCTGCTAATATAGCCCTATGTTGTTATTTTGCGAATTCAAATTCAAGCATGTGGTGCAATAGTCTAAACTGAAAGGAAGGGAGATTTCTCACACACATATACACAACTAATTTATAGCATTTCCGAGAAATAAATAGTAAAAAAAGATCAAGTCCATGGGCCATTTGCAAGCAAGCCAGTTGTTTGGGCTTAGGCAGCCCACAGTATTTCTGCGGCAAACCCTGAAGCTGTGATTGTGAAATGAGAATACGAAATTGAAGGTGTGATTGTGACAAAGGATAGGAGACAGATAAAGGATAGGACCATGAACTCAATTTTACTGATTACGTGAAATGAAGGCTACACCTACAATGTAATGTATGCATATATAATCATAATGGATCTTGTCGTTGGTTCCTTTTTAATAAAGAAGCGGGCTTTTATCTTTTGGATTTGATGCTTTGACTTTTGGACTTGCACAGGCAGACTTCTCTTTTTGGATTTTAAAGATCAAGTCTTCCCCACTCACATGCCTTGTTTCTTCAGTTATCGATATATTATTATCAACTTTTTTTTTTTTGCCCAATCGATATATATTATTATCAACTTTGTTTGTAAGAGAAATTATAAGGGGGTATGTATGTAATGTATGGATTAAAAAGATGCCAAATGAACGGGTCCCTCACTACACCCTACTTGGAAAAAAAAGAAGAAAAAAAATTGATGATTAGGGTTTGTTGGGCCAACTTTTGATGATTATTTTATATATATCTGATAACTTCAAATGGAAATGAGAGAGAAACATATATCATATATGGGTTAACAAAATCCATGGCCTTTAGATCCTTCCCTGCAAAGCATATGTCACACTCATGTATGGAAGCTTTTTGGTTGTAAATACCATACCACCTTTGTTAATTGTTATCTTTATTCTCTCTCTTTCCTTTTTTCTAGCGTGTGTATGTGACAGGTTAGGTTACCACTTACATTTTACAACTTCTATTGGGTTGGGGGGTGAGATCACTTTATGTTTGCTTTGCTTCGCTTTCCTACACAACCCACAAGAGCATCCAAATTCTATTATTTTTCCTGCCAGATGATGACACATACACCAAGTGGCAGGGTGCGGGAACACGTGTCACATGGTTTTGCCTCGATTTTGTGATACTTTGGTTCACTCCTGGGTGAGTAGATCCGCCTACTTTTTGGATATTTGTCTTTCGTGTGAGAGGATCCAATAGCACTAGCACTAGCACTACCATGGTTTGAAAGCCGAGAAGCCTTGTTGAAGGTGATGGAGAGGGGAGAGGGGAGAGGAGAGCGGAGAGGCACATGGAGACCAAAAGGTCATCTTCCTATAAAAGGGTACACATCATCACAACCAAAAAGATATAACAAAGAGAAAAGGGGGATGAAAAGAAGAGAAAAAAGAAACTAGAAGAAAGAAAAAGAGAGAAACAACAACCCACGCTCCCATGTCCTACTAGCTGCTAGATTATTATTCATTATTGTACGTCCGTTTACTTCTTCAACCCACGTTAATTAATTTTTATTTTCCTCGTTGGCAAGAATAAAAGAAAGAAGGAATCATGTTCTAAAGAGAGAGAGAGAGAGAAGGAAAGGGGGTGAAGTTGAGTTGGGAAGGAGGAAGCTTCAACCTAGCTTACCAAAACTAACTTATATGTTGGGAAAAAGAAAAAAGACTCGATCGCTTTTTTGTGAGCAAGTGACAAACCTTTGGAAAGAATTCACTGGAAATCTATTGATATCTGTCTCTTTCTTGTTTGGTTCATGTCCATTATGGGTCCTGAAACTAGTCTTTAGCTTTTTTAATATTGCAAACTGCAAAGCCCCCTTTACCCCCAACCCACCATTCTTTTGTGTCTGCTAGGGAGGGAGAGCACTATCAACATCCATCTTGTGACAATTTAATTAATTATCTAGACAAAAACAAAAACCAAGAACCAAAAAACAAAAACAAAATTATTATTTAAATTCTTAAAAAGAAATTGTAAAGACTTTTGATATCTTTGAGAAGGGGATTTACCTTGAAAATATAGACAAGAAGTAAATGGCAATGGCCAACATCCCACACCTCCCTTGTTGATCTCTTGATACAATGATGATTGAACAACATGTGTTTGTCTCGTGCAAATTAAAGCTGTATGTATTGACCAACGAAATTGACATGTATATATCTTGCTTTGTTTGTAGCCTTGAATTAATTCTTGATATCTCTTTATATGTTTGTCCATATACCTATGTATTAATAAATTATTACGAGTAAGAAGGGAACAAAAGAAAGAGGAAGGCAGGAGAGGATACCATCAATATGACAACATGATCGAGAGATATGCCTTCAATCGGGACATGCATGCTTCCAATGCCTTTTTTACCACACACATGTATCAAAATTAATTATTGCTACGTGGCCCTTTAAATAATTAAGACACTAGCTAGTACAATTATTTATTTAAGTATGCCCATTCTTTTCATTTCTTTCGTTATATTTTTTATTATTATTAATTTGCTCACTGTATAAATTATTAGACCGTTTTTCTTATGATCATTTTTTCCAGTCACTAATTCCAACATAACAAGGGATGGGATTGTTATCCTCATTTTCCAAATGTTTCTTTGTGTTTCTCGTATAATTTTTCGACATGTGTTCAAACACTTATCTTCAACATAACACTGTTAACTTGAATAAATTAGAAAAATATGCAGCTACTGTATTGAGGCGGGTGTGTACAATATTATGATATCGTGAAGAATATAAAGAAGGACGAAAATGACAAGGGAAACTTCTGAAAGGAATAAGAAGAAGCCAAGGAAGTAGGGTTTGAGCATGAGTGCTGCTAAGAAGAGATGACAAAGGAGAGGAAAGTAACAGGAAATTATTTAAAATTGGCCCCTGAAGTTAAAGGGGGAGGGGACCCTTCCTTCCTTCAAAGTGCAAAGTGCAAGGTGGCTTAGCTTTAGCTAGCTCCACTCCAAGGCGAACTTACTTGATCAGCAGTTGCGAGTCTTGGAGGGCTCTGCGTCACCGAGTCACTGCCTGCTTCATTATCAGCCGACCAACAGAATCCTCGGCCCAACTCCAAATGTCCATGTCTATCCTCTCTCTCTCTCTCTCTCTCTCTCTCTCTCTCTCTCTCTCTCTCTTCTCTGTATATATATATGTATATGATGCTGACAGCTAGACTCCAATCAGTCTCTTGATTCTCTGTCTCTCTCTCTGTCCCTCTCTTGTGGTGTGAAAATACAGGATATATACATCTAAGCTAGCTAGCTACATATTAAAATTGAGGGATATATGGCCCCCTGCGTCCCTCATCAATTGATCGTATTCGTATGTGTGTGTGTATATATATATATATAAAAATATATATATTTGAGTTTGACGGCTGCTGGTACACGTGTAAGGCATCTAAGGGTTTTGTCCTTATGTTTAGAGATGGGACAATCCCAGTCCACCAGTAACATCATGCATATGCGCTCCTCCTGCTTGTAGTGCACAAATATTGATTCTCATCCCTTCTGCTTGCTTGCTAGTCTGTCATCATCAGTCATATATATAATATATGATATGTATATACATGCAGTAAGTAACAAAACTCTGCAATAGAACAGTCCCATCTATATGGCAATTGACAGTGAATTCTTACAAATTATGTAAGATTACATCGAGAATTTATGCATACACTTATAATTAAACAAGCTCCCCTGAGACTTAAGACCAGAGGCAGGGGAGGAGAGCCTCCCCTTTATTTACGTTGTAACATATCACATTACATATATGCATATGGCATATGCTTCTTCCGAACCAAAAAAAAAGAAGAAAAAGAAAACAGTACGCATTAGATATATATATGTATTCTGAGTAACGTGATGCAATGATGAATTTACATATACGAAGGATCAACCATATCTTTTTGCTTTCAGCTTTCTACAATCAATAAGTTTCTTCAAAGAAGGTGCGAAAAAGCTGCAGGGGGTTGCTGGCTCTGCTGGTTTATTTCTACATCTTATATATACATAATTATATATACAGAGCTTTTTAATTGGTGTCGGTATTTCACGGTGCACTTGCACGTGCAGATGAAATCCATGTTTGATCTACTTGTTTAGTTTAAGTATCAAAGGATGAACATGATCTGTTCTGAAACCTTAAAGTAAAATAATGTGTCATCTCTCCATCTATCTCTCTCTCTCTCACACATTCTTATCTTCTATATATGCAGCAGGTACAACTGTCTTTTACTTTTACTTTGCACACTGCATTGGCTATTCAGAAAATTGCATCTGGGACAATTAAGCAATATAGCTAGTTTTGATGCATGCTTATCTATTCACCCCTTTCCAGAACTATATATATATATGTATATATGCAAAGAATATTTCTCATAATGTTTTAGTAGCAGAGAGAGAGAGAGAGAGAGAGAGAATGCCTTAAATTAAAGATGCCCTGCCTGTACACAAAACATCTTATGCGGGGAGAGAGAGAGAGAGAGAGAGAGAAGCTAGCTGGAAAGGGAATTGCAAATGCTAGCATTTCAGTAATGCTTGTGGAATCAGCATATCTACATAACCTTGTGCCATGTACCTGAATGTTGCTTAACCAAACTTAATTAGCTTAATTACCTGTTTTCGACTTAAAAAATACATGTTTAACTCATAACTAAGAGGAAATAATAATAAAATTATAAACAGATAGAACAAAGAAGAAAACAAGTAGTCAGATATAATAGATTTTATATATCAATTTAAAATATTTTCATCATATACCAAAATTCTGCGAAACATATAAATGAAATGAAAGATCCATGTTATAATATTGGTCGGGTATATTGTCAGCTTGGTCAGCAGCAAAGGAGAGGAGCTTATAATACAAACAAATACAAAAGGGACAAGGGCATCGGGAAACAGTGTGATAGGGGACCCCATTTCCTCTGCCCACCCATCATGAAATTATTAGACGACAGAGATACCATTATTCACCCAAACATTCATTCATTCATACCCTCACCACCACATCCGTATATATATATCTGATGATGATCTGATCTATCTTACATTTGATTGGAATTACACATACAATAGTCGTATATATAGACGCCTCATAATGATGCAGCGTGACAAAGAATGACTACAGTTTTAGCTTAGAACATGTAGTTTTGGAATCCACCAGGAAGATATGAGGAAACCTCAATGTTTCTTGATAAATTGGAATAACAAAACATAACACTAGTCACGGATAAATTTGTTTAAATACCGATAGAAACCCCCGGATAAATCTGTTTAAATACCAATAGAAACCCTATGCATAAACAAGGAATTAAAATAGAAAAAATAACAAAGTTTCCCAAAAATGTAAAAACATAAAAACTGGACTTTGGGCTGCTAAATGATTTCGGATACCTTAAAAAAAGTCCATATATCTTGGCAAAGCGATGAGTTTTATTCATGATGCCGTTCTCTTCGAATCGACAGGTCCATGCTCAATTCTAAGCTCATAGCCCAAATATGCAGTTTGCCTTATTTACCCTTGCGCACGTGTCTCTCCAACTCCTCTTTGATTGCTTCCACCATATATTCTACATCACATGAGTATTTAAATCCTCAAACTTTGCCTCATTTTAAACATGCATGCATGCCCATATGTTAACTTAAGGTTGCCTAAGCCTTCATTAAACATTTTTATTTAAATGATCTTCGACCCAAATCAATCACTAGCTTTTCATATAAGTGACCAACCTATTGCATATACGAATGTGTTGGATGAAATGTCTAAAAAGAGACTTGGGCAGGTATGGTTTTTCCAGTCATAAAAAAAAAAAAAAAAAAAAAAAAAAAAAAAAAAAATAAATCACATGCATATAAGTTTAATGCAAAGTATTCATGCATGGTTTAGTACTTTATTTGATAGAGGGTTTATTCGTTTTCATGTTTCATTTTCTTTTTTGTCTTATATAATTGTATAAATTAATTACTGGTAGGCTTGTGAAGCATTTTTTTCATGGAACTGGGCCAACCTGAAAGAATATGAGTCTGCAGCCACTTGGTTTCGACCCCACCTCAACCCATTCTCAATTCATCCCTGGGAGAGAGAGAGAGAGAGAGAGAGAGAGAGAGAGAGAGAGAGAGAGAGTAATAATAATGAACAAGAAAAACAAAGCTGCTCCTGTCCTATATATACATATATATAAAATGGAAAATTAACTTTGTTAATTGTTTATGGTGTAGAAGGAATGGGGGGATGATGGGATTTAGATTCTTAACACATGCAGCCTCACAAGAGAATGTCCTTGGCAATCATCTTGCCCATTGTGTTCTCGATCCCGAATCTAATCGTACTTTCCTTATGCATTAAATTATTCGTTACTGTATATACTAATCAATTTATAACAAATCAAACTATATAATTATTGTATGAAGCCTATCAAACAAGACTCGTCTCTCTCGTCTTTTCCACTTTATCGGACACACACACACACATATATATATATAATTTATAAACATGGTTACATGGGTCATTTGTCTGGTTATTTTCTACTTTTCTATAATTAGGACTTGTTAGCTTCCGATATAATTAATCCATAAATAGAAGATAAGGAGTTGAGGTGATGAATATTATGGTTGAGTTGAGTATTGAGATGGGTCCCCTTTTTTTTTTTTTTTTGGGCCGGCAGGCAACCACCAAACAGGAGAGCCATATTTCTGCTGTCTAAGTTTCACTTTCTTAATTAGATCTTTTGTCAATAAATTATATATATAATCACCTCCTCCCCCTCTTTCTAGCCGTACAAATTTATTGATTAATATTTTTTTTTTTTTTGTATCTATCACGTAACGTCATAATGATGTATGATATGCTCATGTATCTTTCCAATTACAACACGAACAAGGTTTCTCATAGTATAATATAATATTGCATAAGTACATACGTACAGTGGTTTCAATACGCCATATATCCGTATAATATTATAATTAATTTTGGTCGCATTTATAAACCTAAGATATGATGAGGAAGAAGCTTACTTTCATTTGTGATTGATTCTTATAATTAATTATAAAAATAAATAGATTGAATTAAAGGACAAACAAAAAAAAATTTGTATTAAAGGACAAGTTGCAATCTTTCAAGGCATTGGGGGCAGTAGATGATTGTGTGTCTTTACATCAACACTGTCCATAAATCAATCGTTTTCATAATTAATTGTGTGAACATCATCTGAAAATGAAAATACTTTTAACTATAATTACCGCTTTTGGGAATCATATGATCAAAACCAGTCAAATCTAAATGATTACTGTTTTTATCAGTTATGATCTATTTTTCAAACTCTTTAACCTTCCACTCATCAACCGTAGTCCGTAGATATAAATTATAATTCGGTGAGGCGTTAACTCATTGTTTTTATCAGTTAGTATATACTTGTAGCATGTTTCTCGGTGAAAAAAAAAACCCAGATTGATCCACAAAAGAAAAGCCAATGCTGCCAATTTGAACTCACTATTTGGTGATGCACTCAGTTCACCAAAAAGTAATAGCATCTTGCACAGAGAATTATGATTTCATTGACTAGTATGCCCCTGAGCGTGACATCACATCCTCAGCAGCACCTTTATAAAAGCTGCTTCCAAAATTAATAAATCAGACTATCTGCACATTTCTGCACATTGAGGAGAAAGGGGTACTCTGGTCAATAAATCAGAGTATGTGTACGTATTTATAATATATGGATGGAGATACAAAAATAAAAAATAAAAAATGGAGTGGAGGAGAGGAGAGGCGAGGCTTACGTGTATTTTTGGAGCTTGGTCTGTATTAATGCATGCAAATTGCAAATAGCCGATGAAATTTTTACTGTGAATGAATTATGAGTGTGTTTTGTTTCTTTGTGGGGATGTTTTTCCTTATGGAGCCCATTGCTGCTTGTGGGATCGAGTTTCGAGCTTTGTGATTGGATCTCTCTCTCTCTCTCTCTCTCTCTCTCTCTCTCTCTCTCTCTCTCTTTTTCTCTCTCCTTCCTTTAGAAGGTGTTTATTAAGGACAGACGCTACACAAGAATAGCTGATGAAGATGAGCGTTGGAAGAAAGAAAGAAAGAAAGAGAAGAAGAGAAAGCTGGTTGTTTCCAAAAGTTGAGAGAGTTGAAAAGATAAATAAAAGAAAGCTGATAGATAGCATGAGGTAACCGAAAGAAAGAAAGATTAGCTTTTTTTTTTCCCTCCCCCCTCCCCATGTCCCTTGTAGCCTTTGTAGCTCCATCTTCTCTCTCCCCCACCTCTTCCCCAATATCACCCTATTACTTTCAATTATATTAAACTTCAATTAGAGAGAGAGAGATCGCTTTGCATCTTATATTATAGAGAAGCGAGTGATTTACTACAGAGGAGATCAGAGTTGATAATTCACCAAGCGCTATGTTACCCAATAACTCTTCTTCCTCAGTTCCTTCTTCTGAGCCCTTTTCTTGCTTAGAAAATGGCAATACCAATAAAAGGAAAAGAAGACCTGCAGGAACTCCAGGTACTTATATATATATATTCATGTTTGAGTTCTTTTGTTCTCCTTGGTGTAATTTTATGCTTAATTTGGCGGTGTGATACATAACTGTATTAATATATTATATAATCAAAATAGATCCAGATGCGGAGGTGGTGTCTCTTTCACCGAAAACCTTACTGGAATCGGATCGTTACGTTTGTGAGATCTGCAACCAAGGATTTCAGAGAGACCAGAACCTGCAGATGCACCGGAGACGGCACAAGGTGCCTTGGAAGCTGTTGAAGCGAGAGACTCCGGTCGTAAAGAAGAGGGTGTTCGTGTGCCCAGAGCCAAGCTGCCTGCACCATGACCCCTGCCACGCCCTCGGTGATCTTGTTGGCATCAAGAAGCACTTCAGAAGAAAGCACAGCAATCACAAGCAATGGGTTTGCGACAAGTGCTCCAAAGGTTACGCAGTTCAATCCGATTACAAAGCCCATCTCAAAACTTGCGGCACCAGAGGCCATTCTTGCGACTGCGGCCGTGTTTTCTCAAGGTTTTTATTCATTTCTTCGATCGTCTTCCAATTAATATATAATTATACACATATCAAGGTTTTTATTTATTTATTATTTATACATATATATATGAGATGAGATATATCATGATTAATTTCATATGGCAAATTCAAAAACGCATCATCATATCTATTCAAATTGAATTGATCACCTTGCCTTCCAAAGCTCTTTTTGTTAATTGGGTTTGACTTTGAAAAAGTAAAGAAACACAAAAAAGGTTTTTGGTCCTCTTTGACTGACGGAACTTGACGGAACCTTGATCAAGTTGTTAACTACTGCTTTCGTTTCAACACATTTCCCGAAGATGAACATCATCTATTGTATGCTATGTGGAGAGATGTTTTGCTTCGTTTTTTTTGTTTTTTTCTTGTTTTTTTGGCATCCCAAGACGAAAAACGGCTACTGCTGACCCCCAAGTATTATTATATGTAAATGCCATTGTCAAATATTTCCGTGGGTGCATGATAATATCGAGTAGCTTTTAAGGTGTGATTAATTAACATGTTTTTATTCTTAAATTTTAATTAACATATAAATATCCTCATATCTCTTCCTTAGCTCTCTATCATCCCCATCTAACTGTATATATAAGTTTAAAGCTGCTAATTATATATTAACTATAATATCTTTATTAGAATTACAAATTTAATTCATGAATAGTTTGTTTAAATTTGTTTTTACTTTCGTAGGGTTGAGAGTTTCATAGAACACCAAGATGCCTGCAATATGGATCGTGTGCGGTCAGAATCACAAGCACTGCAGCCGGCCGCATGCTTGTCAAGAACAGCTTCAAGTCCCAGCCCATCCTGCAGTGACAACAATTTCAGCAGGGCTCCTCCCAATTGGCCTCCTCCATCTAATTTGGTGCTACCACATCCGAACCCAACCGAGTACACCAAATTAATCTTAACTAGTACTAGTCCTCCTGCTCATCCTGATCATCTTCAACCTACATTAGTATCCAATAAGGCACTCTACAATTTGGATCTTCAGCTCGCAACAACATCCAATAATATTCCCATCAACGAAGTCTCATCGGTTTCCTCTAAGAGAGAAGAAAACCATTCCACCCAGCTGCAACTCTCAATTGGGTCATGTGATTTTGGTGGCGGTGAACTTCATCAGAATAAAAACGTTGAACACTCGAACTTTATGATCACAAATAGAAATTACTCTCCGAGGGACAAGGAGATGAGGGAAAGGGAAAGCAGCAGCACCACTACCAATCATCATGAGCATGATGACGATCAGAAACCAAAACCTTCAGCTGGGATATCCATATCGGCAGCATCGTCAAGGCTGAAAGAAGAAGCACGAGAGCAGTTAAGGCTTGCCATGGCAGAAAAGGCTTATGCTGAAGAGGCCAGGCGGCAAGCGGAGCATCAGATTGAACTGGCCGAGAAGGAGTTTGCAAATGCCAAGAGAATAAGGCAACAAGCACAAGCTGAGTTAGACAAAGCTCAGGCTTTGAAGGAGCATGCCATCAAGAAAGTGAACTCCACCATTCTCCAAATCACTTGCCATGCTTGCAAGCAACAATTCATTCAAGCTGATCATCCAACAACAAGATCAAGGGCAACCCCAACCCCTACTCACGAGGCAATCAATCATTCTCTGGTACTCAGTTACATGTCATCGGCTATAACATCAGAAGGTGATCCATTAGACAATAATAATATTCGACCTCATCATGCAAAACCTGCTAATTAACCCCTAGTAGGTTTCCTGCCAGTGCTAGCTATTTCCCATCCTCAGATCTTTATGTAAACCTTTTTCTTCTTTTCTTTTGATCGATCATATTATCTATCATATAACAAGCTGGTTATTGGGATAATAGAATCAGGCCCATCATGAGTAGACGAGTGTTGTATGGATCGTGCAATTCGTGTGATGTTATTTGTTCATTTATTAATTTGGTAAATGTAGATCACTATCGATCATATATATATTTATATAATGCATGGTTTTATTACTGAATACTGATCATTCATTTACCTTGATTAGGTTAATAAGTGTTAATGGATCAGGTTAACTTTCTCAACAATATCATCACTCCATGGCTTGTAACTCTATATATGTACGTATATTGATCATTAATTGAAAGAGATGGTGGCCTGTGGTTTTGTCTTGGATCCCTGAGTAACTTTAGAAGTAGCTTAGCGTTTTCTGTTTGGACTATTTGAAGAAGATCATAATGGAGGTGACTCTCCAGTTGTTGCCGGGGCCAGCATTAAAGAATATATAATACCTACTGACCCAAATTTAAAACCCAAAATCTTTTCTTTTCATATATATATATATATATATATATATGCAAAGGAGAGAGAGAGAGAGAGAGAGAGAGAGATGAGTTCGGATCAGATAGTCCTTAAATTTGTTTCTGATGACTGGTATTCTGGTGTATGGTGAGATATAAATGCGAATGAAAAAGGGGGCACCATGGTTTTCAGTTCCAACTGTTGTAAGGCCGGGGGGTTAATGACAGATTCAGAAGTCGCTCTCAACGTCTCCAAACACACAGACACAAACAAACTCCATTCATAATTATAAACACTGCCACACTCGCACCCTTCATCCATCAGTACTATTCTCTCTCTCTCTCTCTCTGTGGCTCGCATCGCATGCATAAGAATCAGAGCCATATAATAGCAGTGCGTGCAGAGGAAGCTATCAGCATCTTTCCAAATATGCAGGGACCATTCAAACCTTTTGGAGTTGAAATAAACTTTACTTTGGCTAGGAAAATAAACAAACTGCAACTTCTGCATTCCTTTGCCTTGTGTGTTGTGATCTGTTTTCTTACAGGGGGGGTATATGGCCGAAACCGAAACACAAAGGGCAACCTGACCAAATATCATATGCACTGCAAAGCCCAAACCCATCATCACTCATTCTCAAACCAAAACTCTACTAAAACTAAAGGGTTTTTATGTCTAATGGTTCATGAACTTTGACCCGATTCGCATTTTGGTCATTCAATTTTCAAATCGTTCATGTGGTCCTTCAATTTTAGTTTCGTTATGACAAATTATCATGCCGTAAGTTTTGTTAACTTTTTCTGTTAAATTTGAGCATGTGCTTGGCTCATGGTGTACTATTGAGGATCAAAATTGGAAATTACTTCACTCCTAGGAAAAGACTTTCCTCCATCATCACCCCATATTCCTCTTTTCCTCTTCAATCACTCATCATCACCCATACACTATCTCTATGCTTTTGAAAATGGTGGAGTTTGAGAAAAATTTGGGGCTTGGGTTCTAGGGAGGAACAATGTACAGTGTGGGGGAGCAACTTTCTCCGGCGTCGCTCTCTCGCATCCAGATATGAGGAATTTGTTTCGTTTTTTTTTCCTTCAAAATTTATTATGTATTTTGTTGAATTTTGGAAAATTTAGAAATAGTGTGTTTGAGAGAGACTGTGTTGGGTTCGGTTTCTGTTGAGGAGTGCGTTTTGGGGGAGAAAACTTTCCCGCGTCACTCTCTCTCTCTCTCTCTCTCTCCATATTGAGCCATTCCATTATCACTTTTTCATCTTTAATTTAAATATATTAGGGAAAAAAAAGGGAGAAATCAATAGGTGATGAAGGAGTGACTGAAGAGAGAAAAAGTAACGGAGTTGCATAATTTTTATGAACTGAGAAACATGAATGGAGGAGAGGGATGGATGCGGAGAGAGAAGAGGAAGAAAATGGGTGCATAAATTTAAAATAATATAAAAATATCATTTTACCTTTGCATTTAATGGAAAAGATTAAAAAAAAAATTTGACATCATAACCATTTGTCCTAATGAAAGTGAAGTTAAAAGGACCACGAGAACGATTTTGAAAATTAAGGGACCAAAATGCAAATCGAGTCAAAATTCAAAGACCATTAGACCTAAAAACCCAAAACTAAAAGATGCAGTTTCTCTTTGCTCCCATTTTGTGCTGCTCGCCCAGTGCCATTATTCCCACTATTTTTTGTTTTCTTTTCTGATTCACATCATTCATTAACGTTGAAGCATTATCAATTATTTTTCTTCTTTAAATATTAAAAATCCTTTTCTTAATACCCCAGTTGTTATTTGGATAGTAGCTAGCAAGCAAGCAACAGTTGTTATTTGTTTGGGGCTTCTTTTCTTTACTAAAAGCCCCAAAATAGTTGGTGATTTATGAAAGCCCAATTTCAAAATAAGCCCTGAATAGCTACAGTAGTGCGTACTGCACTGCCTTATGTGGAAAAGAAGGCCATCGCTGAACCTCAAGCAAGCATCCGGCATCCAGCATCCAGCATCCAAGTTGAAAAGTCCTAATGTCCCAAGTTGAAGGGGTAATTAATGGTGAATGTAACTTGTAAGTATGTATCCGTGATTCTTGCTCAAGTTATCTGCATCTACTCTCCATATCGTGCATGTATGCCTCGCTTGCATCATAATTAATTAAGCAGAAATTAGCTAGGAATGGGTGATGATAAAAACCAGTTTAATCTTTGTGGACAGATTACATGCATATCTCGTATATAGGTCAAGTGCAATGTAACATTCACCAATTGCAGATTATTCTCTTTAATTAATATTATTACAATTTACAAGCTCTGCTGCTTCCTGCGTAAGTTGGTTGGTTTATTAATGCTTTAAGTAATACTTCAACGTCAAGTCATGCCCAGAAAAGAAGAAGAAAGAGATGTAGCTAGCATTTTAAAATAATGTTTCACCAAACCAAAGCAGTTAGATATATATATTAATCTAGTTAAAATGTCTAAAGCACATGTTTAAATACCTTAGAGCTCCACTGATCAATGATCACACAACTACTTCAATGATTGTTCATTTTTAATCAGGTCAATTAATTAATTAAATGTTTGTCGGGTTCACGAACTTGTAACCTTTTTTTATTAGCACATTATGTGCGAGTTGAGGAGGACCGTCGAGGATGAAAGCCAGAAATGTTCTCTTGTCCAACTTCTCTCTGATTCTGATGGCACGCATTCTCATTTAGTATGTACATAGGTTATTAAGGTAAATATGGAGTCAAACGATGGCCATTTAGCATCATGCATGGCAGGAATTGCAGCCTTAAGCTAGCCCCAGGCAGTGGTGTAGCCATATATGCCAGCTTGTACAGTGCTGCAACAGTGACTTCACACTGAGTGAGTGGTGTGGATTAAAGGAAACAAGGCGGTGCTACCAGCAAAAGCCAAAAAGCAAAAAAGCCGAGAGCAAAAAGCCAAAAGCCATAAGCGAAAGACAATTATTATAATGGTTATTTCCCTACACCACACAACACAAATGAAGACTCTGTCTAATACTGATCAACAAGAGTGAACCGTGAACAGGAAACCGTTGCCGCCCAACTTCACATCACACATCATGAATAATCTTTATGTTACATTATACATGCTCAACTCACTCACACCATTCCACTTTCCTATTTGCTATATCCAGCTGCTCACGAGTCACGACTCGAGCCTCGGCTTTAGTCACACCATTATAATTTATATATATATATCTTACCCGTGAAAGTCAATGATCTATATGATCACAAGGGTCATTAAATCCTCTACCATATCTTAAAGTATGGGCCGAAAAATTTAAAAGATTTTGCGCATCTTCATTTATTGTCTATTAGTTTTGAATTGGATGCTGAAATTCTAAAGCGTGTATAGCTATCGATGCGGCCCATAAATTATGTACTAGTGCCTGACAGATTATTCCTTTTGCGACAGCAAGAATTGATGGGTTTAGGCATGGTTTGCTTGGCTGCATATGGACTAGAGAATTAACAGAAGGGCATGGCCTAGCTTCTGTGTGATCATTCGCTTGTGGGTGTACTAATTACTGATGGAGGACAGGATGCCCTGCAGTGAGTGAATTGAATATTTATTTATGCATGTAATTTTGATGTGTTAATATAACATAATAATTAGATGGAAGAAGAAAACAAAAGTATATAGCCACTGATTGCAATGTTGTCGTACATGGGAATGGGAAGTGACATAGATTTCCTTTACCAATTAATGCTAAACTACAAAATACTAGTCTTTTCTTATAAGCCTACTTTACTTTCCCAACGTGAATTATTGGATTAAACCCATGCCACTCCTGCTTCACGAAAGGGCCCGCTACGGCCTAAAGCCTCCTCTCTCCTCTCTCCTCTCTCCTCTCTCCTCTGAAGCATTCACTCCATCGCTATTGTAATTATTTCGTAATATTGCTGTGCTACTAGGACACTTTTGCCCATTCATCTTCCTCCAAACTACAAGATACAACCATGAGTGAATATCCATCCCTCGCCCATACCTCCTCCTCCCTACTCATGAGTTGTTCGAAGACTTTGGCGAGAAACCCTCGTGAAACAGGAGGTGTTAATATTTTTTGTTATTTTCAACCAATAACGTAATGATATATAGAATAATTTTTTCACATCTTATTGTGTTATTGATCAAGAATAGCAAAACTCCTGTTATAGGTAAGTTTTTTTGGACGACCTTGACTTGCCTTTTATTTAATTAAGCTTTTTGCGTTCATGAACCCAATATCCTTTTTATCACCCTTGCTTTTCCTAGATTTACGAATATGCCATGGCATGTCTCATTTTCTCATCCTTAATACGGCTACTCTTTCAGTAATATACGTATATATACACGTGGTTGAGTTGTGTCCAAATGCCACCGCAAAGTCCCCCATACATAAAGATCATGGGTCACCTCACCTGGTTCATTTTTTCATTTAGATAGATATCCATATATAGAAAGGTACAAAAGTATAGTTTGTCACAATTACGGCTAGCTAACGTGGGCACTAGTGTAAATAATCGAACCAAACAGTACCACTTTGAAAACCTCTCTGCCCATTTTTATACACTGCAATTGTAATCTCAAAGACAGAGAGAGAAATTAGAGAGAGAAAAAGAGAGAGAGAAAAAAAGAAAAGAGGGAGATGGAAGGAGATCATCATGATCAGGACACAAATGAAGTATACAGAGAGTGCTTGAGGAACCATGCAGCGAGCCTTGGCAGCTACGCCACAGACGGCTGCGGAGAGTTCACACTCGACGACGCATCCCCAGGCGGCCTACAATGCGCCGCCTGCGGATGCCACCGCAACTTCCACCGCAGAGTCACCTATGCAGCCACGTCATCACAAGCTGCAGGAGGCAGCGGCAGATCATCAGGTCATCATCATCATAATCGTGTGATCATGAGCAGCAGCAGCCGAGGCCGAGATCCGGGCGACAACAATATAGCAACACAAGATCAACTCATGGATTACAATGCTGGCGGTGGTGGGTCCCCGGACAGTGGAGACAGGATGAGCGGGAAGAAGCGGTTCAGGACAAAGTTCACGGCGGAGCAGAAGGAGAAGATGCTGGCGTTTGCAGAGAAGCTGGGGTGGAAGCTGCAGAGGAAGGATCTAGAAGATGAGATTGAGAGGTTCTGCAGGAGTATAGGGGTAAGCAGACAGGTATTCAAAGTGTGGATGCATAACCACAAGAACCTTTCCTCATCTTCTACTTCTGCATCTACTGGCAATGCCTCTTCTCTCACTACTCAGTAGTACTACTAGCTTTCTCTCTGTCTCTCTCTCTGTTTCTCTTCGCTATGCCCAGGCCTTTTTCTATGGGTCTACTACTACTCATTATATCAGATAGACTAATTAATTAACTGTTTTCTATGGTCTTCATTTTTTGCTTTTCCTCATAAACTAATTAAGCTATATATAATTAATCATTGCCTTCCTGTTTTTTCTTTGTAGTTCTGTATATATGCTGCATGTTAATTGGTTCTTCTATATCAAGTTGAAATTAATCATCTCACAGATCTATAGTAATTACTGATGAGATAGTTTCCATTTGGTTAATCATTTCCAAATTATTCGGTGGAAATACTGATGATGAGTTATTTTTAATTTTAATTTTAATGAAAACTGACAAGACCTCCTTCCTTAGAGAGAGAGAGAGATATATATATATATATATATATATATATTCTGGTTCTGCGTGGCCCGCCTCTCCCCCTTTTAGCTAGCTTCAAGGCTTTAGAAAAAGTTACATGAATATCTTGTCCTATCAAATTAAACATCTCTTCAACTCTTTCATGATTCATACCCCTTTTCAAAAATCAGTTATCAGAATCACAAAGAAAATACAAATAACCACGCGACATCTCAAATCAGAATATCGGTTCAATTTTTTTGTTATTTAACTTTAATGCATGACTTGAGAGAGAATCCCTTTTAGTGTAATAGTTAGTTCGCACCGGCAGCATAATCATTTCCATTTTTTTGTTTTGTATGTACGCGGAGAGTGGAGACACAAGAAAATGTTTTGCCGACGAACATACCTTACCTCTCTCATCTCTCCCTCGCTATAGTTGTTACCAATCGTGAAGACATGCATTATCCAACCTCATGTCTAGTCCAAATCAAATTCATCCTTGCTGGCATGGCTTGTCTCTCCACCCTTTCAATATTCTCTGTCCGCTAGTGACGAATTGCATTCTTCGTAGTCCATAAAAAGGAGTGATTGTGCTTAATTAATTCCTTCAATCTATTGCTATTGCTTGAGGAGAAGCATTGGATCATACGCAATTTTCTATGATTTACTTTCTTCATCCACCTATATCCTATCCATATAGTCACAAAAAAGAGAGATAAAAAAAAAGCAGCTTTGAGATGATCAAGACATCAGTTTTCCATTGCTTTTATAAATGTAGCACTTGTGTTCTTCACCATCCCATAAAACCTTATATACATCTCACGACTAGCGCATAATTAACTTGTTTGTCACCAATAGCCTCGGCAGGAGCAGGATCCGTTCTTCAAATGATGAAAGCGACTTGAGTCCCTCAATATGATTTCGTGCTCAACAATCTTGGATATATGTAGGTAATCGCACTGTGGCAATCTCCAGAGACACGTAAGTTGTTGGTGATCCGGATATAGGTGCACCTGGTGGAGTAGTTAGGATTGCATAGGCCAGAGCCAACTTCTCACTATATGCTCTAAAAGGTCTCCTTTCTCTTCATCATCAACATCGTGAAGTGCGAAAATGTCTTTGATCCGTTTAAACAAGTCAGCAAGGGTCTCATAAATTTCTTGAGACTCTGGATGAGTCTTATCACCCACAAAGAAGGCTGCATTTCCTTTCTTTCCTTGCACCCAACTGCAACCGAGCCTCTTCTTGATGCCCGTATATATGTTTCATTAGCGATCTGATTCTAGCCACATCTTTCCAACGCGCGCCGGGCATTGGCATATATGTTTGAAAGCAATGTATATGAACTATCATTCTCTGACTTCGTCTCTGATAACCGTGCATTCCGTAACCTGTCATTAGTGAAATCCAAGAAACAGCATTCCTTTGTTGCATGTAGTCGAACACAACTCTAGCAGCAACATCGATGTCTCCAGATTTGGAATGCATATCAACAAGGCAATTGGCCACATGACATCTCTTTCTCCCTCTAGACAGAGGCACGGATGGTTCGCCCTCGATGACATCTCTTTCTCCCTCGGTTCAATTCTAGAATGGGCCTCTGGCTCAGGAGACAAGTTTCGTTACCCTCAAAAGAAAGGAGTCATTCTATAGAGAGGGCCTTATATATGACCCTTAGGTGAAGCCCTATTTCTTAACCGTTGAATCAGGCTAACCAATTTGATTCAACAATTAAGAGATAGAGACTTACCTAAGGGCCATAAAAAAGTGAGTAAAATATGAAGTAGTGTTTGCTGCGTTTGCATATTATTTCTAGGCCTACACTAAACACTAGGAAGAAGACGGCCCAAGCTGAAAATTATATGTTTTAGGCCTTATGTTCTGTTATGCGTGGGCATTTTATACGCCATTTATCTGAAGCTTTGCAGATTTCGGCCGAGTAAGCTTTTCTGACTCGGCCTTTCGTTGGGCCTTCTTTGATCTCTTATTCATATAATTGTTTTAGCCCAGAACAGCAAACTTTTGACGCAATGTGTCAGCACAGCAGCAAACTTCTGCTTATTATACTAGGAATTCAGAGAGGGAATAAGAAAGAAATATTAAGAAATTCCCGAAATAAAAGAGAAATCCAAATAGATAAGCACAACATTTTATAATTCAGCAGCAAAGCTAAATTCTGCCCAACATAAAAGAGAATTCTACCTTGTCAACAATGGTCCAAATTACTAATTGTATAATAAACCGCGCATGTTTAATTAATACCCCTACCCTGTTTAGAATCCAAAAGCTACATTCACTTGTTAAGCATCATTCTCACAAACTCCTCATAGTTCACCTGCCCATCGCCATCTTCATCTGCTTCACGAATCATTTCATCCACTTCTTCATCTGTCAGTTTCTCCCCAAGATTTGCCATTACATGTCGAAGCTGCATGGTTTCAAATATGCAAAAAGGATGGTTTTCGGTATAAGTTTCCACTATGCCCAATCTCAAATAGATCATCCAAAAAATAGCTAATTAAAATCTTTACCTCAGCAGCAGAAATAAAGCCATTCTGGTCCTTATCAAAGACCTTGAAAGCTTCTCTGAGTTCCTCCTCAGAATCAGTATCCTGTGGAAGTTTTAGTTCAACAAACTTTGCGTGTAAATACATATCTAAACTACTCCAATCACATATCCAGACCACGGGCAGAAAAGTACAACAAAATTTGCAGAGGCCCCAATAAACAAAGGAAGGAAAGGTTCAACAGAAACATATCGATACTGTGTCTTCAATTCTATAATTATCAATACCTATTATTACAAACTGCACAGTCAAGACTCGAGAGATATTACCCCGACGATTGCCCAAAGATTGAAAAATCTTAGTGTTGCTACCATGGCAATGCATTAGTTATAATTATAAGTGACACTAGCAAACATTGTAGTTAGTTTTCTGTAAAGATCAAACTAAAACAGAGCAATTACATTTAAATGAAAGATTTATCAGCGTCCACAAGAACCCCATTTTCATGTGATTCACCAAAGTTGAGTTGAACCAAGCACGAAGCACAATAGATTACCAGCCTGAGAATTCTAGGGGGTAAAAAGCAATATGACACTATAATGGATATATAATGTAGATACCTTCATCTTCCTTGCCATCAAATTCAGAAACTCAGAGAAATCAATTGTGCCATTCTGGTCAGCATCAACTTCGTTGATCATGTCCTGCAATTCAGCCTCAGTGGGATTTTGTCCCAGAGATCTCATCACAGTCCCCAACTCTTTGGTAGTGATGCAACCTATGTGCAAACAAACATGAATTATAAGTAAGTCTCTTTGTGCAAAACTTATGTGGTGTTCTGCCTGACAAATCAGAAGTAGCAGCAGAGTGAACAAGACAGAACCCATAATATGTTAATCACACAGAGACATCAACATTTCCAGAACTCATCTCAAGGACACGTGGCCCAATGGATGAAAAGGCTATGTTGTACGCTGACAACTTAAACCTATGCATTACCAATCCCAGTTTTATGTTATGAATGTAGAACAGATAGCCTAGTAGTAGAAGAGGTTAGAAATCACTCGTGGGTTTTACAAGCCAAGAGGGCAAAGTCCATAACGAATATTCTACAATGTAAAACAGAAAAACACAAAAGAATTTTAGGTCCAGAGATTGTGTAATTCAAAAACTTGATTCATGAACTTGTAATCTAGCTACTTTTTAAGTTCTTTTCGTATCCCTTGGAATTTAGTTGTATAGAGCATTTCTTATGCATATGGGTATCGCATATGCAATGAAATCCAACACCAAGTCAAGTGGATATTGATTTAAAATTTTCTCTCCTAATCTCCCGATAAAAATATGTATATATATCCTATTCTTCAGGTCAGTAAATATTCTTCAAATGTTTTAGGGACCTAATGAACCTAAAAAATCAAAAATCAACGTTAAAGGAAACAAAGAAGCAAGAAGAACTAAATAATGGTCACGAAGAGCAATCCTCTATTGATTTTGCTAGAGGAAGAAGACAGTATCAAAATCATAATTCATAACCAACAAAAGTAAATAAACCCGAGAAATCTAGACAGGGAAATATAAGAATGGGTAGAAATACCATCGCCATCTTTGTCAAAGAGGCAAAAAGCCTCCTTGAACTCGGCGATCTGCTCCTCGGTTAGCTGCTCAGCCATTTGGTCTCTGTTCTGATTTTGGCGAAATGTGGAGTTTGGATTTAGTTGACCGATGAAATCAATCAAATTTATGGTCCTTTGTCTATACTAATAAGTACAATCATTGAGATTCAAGTCTCTTTAGAATAAATCAATTAAAACTGGATCCTTGTTACTGCTACTAAGTTTTTTTTTTGGGTCAATACTAGTTGTTAGAATCTAATCTAACGGTTGAGATTCAACCATTGTGTTCTCCGCAGCCAGCCAGCCTGCCATGTGAGCCGCTTCGCTTGTATTACGTACCTGCACGGATATCCAGGGCCCCACTAATTCGGTGTCCGTGTCTGGCCTGCTTCTTTTTTCTTACAGTGAAAGTTCACCGAAGCGTAAAATACTATCATGATTCATGAGGTCATTTCTCCTGGGCACTAGGCAAGCGACGCGTCTTTCGTTTTTATTTTTATTTTTAAATTTTTTTAATGAACGCGTCTTTCGTTCTTTGACACGCTACCGATGCATTAATTAATTTAAATTTAACTAACGCTAATTCCTTTGTTTTGTCATCCATTTTTCTCTTTTCTTTTATTTTTACAAATGTTAATTAAATAAAATAGATACACGTGCCTTATTCTCTGTCATTTATAAACGTTATATTTCCTGACTGGTATTTGAGCCAGCTACATACATCAAGTCTGACCGAGTATAAGGGTTGAGATGAAAAATTAATGCAAAAGGAAAACATACAATATGACTGACAATAACAATTTTATTTCAAAATAAATAAAGCTAGATACAAGTTCAAACCAAGCCTAAGGGCGGGTTGCTTTATAAATTTGCGTAAGCATAGTTCACGAGAAATCATTGAAAAAAAGAAAGTTGAGCGTTTGAAACAAATGGTTGCTTACAACTACATGCGCGCTCAGATCGATATTGATGCACATTATTCTGATTCTGAATGCTATCAAATATCAATATTTGAAATTTACATATTTCTAAACAGATATCAAGACAGACATGGTATCATTATCATATGGATGAAACTCGCTCTCTCAGCATTACGCACAAAAAGCATAAGCGGAAAGCCCAAATTGTTAGTGGTGCAAAAATATGAACAAAAATTAGTTGGCTGCCTGTATGTATGCATGTATGTATCTGCAGTTAAAAATGGCAGAAATGCAACAACAGCTCTCACGCATTGCTCTATGAAGATGTCTGGTATTTGTACTTGACAGCTAAGGCTGCTGCTCTGTACCACGATGCGGCCGCCATTGCACCTGGGTCTGGGATTGAGGCAAGCATCTCCCCAGATATATAACTTGATCGGCCAGCCTACATAGAACAGGACGTCAGATTCCCATTTACAAGGAGGATGACTTCACTCGAGCAAACTGCAATTGGGATTCTAAAGAAAAATTTACAAAAAAGAGAATCAGCTTATATTCCACCTGTGCCTGCATGTGCTTCGTTGACTCAGCTCCATCCAGTGCTGCTTCAGATGAGAGAAGAAAAGCAGTCGCAGGATCATCACCAGCCTTTAACCTCTGTTTTTCAAAACAGATATAAGTACCAAATTACGAGGCCACGACAACAAAGAAGAAGAAGAAAATGATAATTATCGATGACCTCCTGAAGAACTGCTGATGCTGGAATAAGGGCATCTAACAATGTCCGGTAACCAGCACTAGCCCCACCATATTTACTGACAGCAGCAATGGAAGCTTCAAGCGCTTCAGCCCCTGAATCAAGAGAATGTTAAGTCAAGGTGAAAGAGTCTAAAAATTATCCCATCAGGAGGGGAATTGTCTCACAATTTTTTGATGTGACAACTCCTTGGGTGCTTGCTTTCAACTGTGCATAGGCTGCCTTGCAAAATATGGTATATCTGCATCAAGAATATAGATGTAAAGATGCATGTCTGGGTGAATGCAGCTAAAAAACATTACTGAAAAAATTTATGTCAAAATTTATTGAAACAGGGGAAGCTGAATACAGGATCCCGCTTGTGCCGCCCATAACTCTTCTGACAGATGACCCAATTTCATTCACTGTTTCGGTTGCATCATTCAGGGGATAACTGCAATACGGCAATACAGACACGACCATGAATAAAAGATTAGTTTGGAATGATAATCACTGGGTATGAACAATTAATTATCTATATTGCTGATAAAACTATTCAGAAACCTGAAAGCAACAAACCAGCATTTGTAATACCATATTTTCATTATTTTCTTTTTTTGGCTAGGAAAATAAGGGAAATGACACAGGATTGAACCCAGGCACATGCTACTTTCCACACTGCCCTATCATGTTTTCTCTAATAACAGGCACGCTATTCCAACAAGGCATTATGAAGACAACATCAAAAGTCAGTCATGTGCATATTCTTCTTCTAGTAAAACATGACAAGATTTGTCCACCACTCCCCCTCTGGAACCAAAAATTTTTTAAAAAAAAAAGAAAAAGAAAAGGAAACTGAAAATCAAACCTACTTTTGCATGTCTTCCAAAACTGCTGCCGCACCTCTATATATCTGCAACAGAGCATTTTTTTTTTTTTTTTTTGGTCAGAGAAACATAAGATTTAGCATGTGACAATTCTTTGATTCGGAAGACAAAAAAGATCAAGGACAGGCACAAGATTTAGCATGCAACATATCATGATTCAAGAAGTAAATGAAAGAAATGATCAAGGTGGGGACTTACGGTTGACCCACAGTCACCATCACCTACTTTGCTATCCCATTCATTCAAATTGTCCCTAAGTTTTTTCACAGCATGTGCAGCTGCTTCAATAGCCACCTCAAGAATCTGGCCTTGTGCATTCAGTTGTGCTGGCCGACCTAATGACTAATTGAAAGCAAAGAGTCAAACATTTTTAGTAGAGGCGAAAAACACATCCAATGATTAACTATTGGCCATCCATGATTCTCCACGGAGGGCACGCTGGACAGTTTTGAAGCTCAACTCAAACTAGAAATAGTTTAGTGCAAAACACAAACAAGTGCACCCAATTATGCCCTTTTTTTGTTGTTGAAAAAGACACCCAATTATGCTATGAAACTACTATTCTACCATAACCTGTTCAACAATTTTGGACACCAACACTAATGTCAACGACCAATATATACTTGTAAAAACAGAAAACAAAGTTATTCACCCACCAGACAACTTACAGAAAAGTCAAGTGTAGACTGACCAGGACATGTTCTAAGAACACGGTCGTACATACCTATTTGTTCAAACAAAGGTACGAACATACCTCATCACTCTTTGTTGAGCGAGATGGAGGCAATGGAACAGGAATCTTTGCAGGTGGGTGATTGCCTGCAAGCAAGGACAACCACTGAGTTCAACATACCTAATTTTGACTTATTTTTAATGTTTAATAAGTATATATGGTAATAATGAAGTGTAGTATGTATTTTTATACAACAGAAAAATAACTTATTCATGACACCAATGCCACTAGACCTTCATGAAAGCAAATACTATTTACAAAGTAAAACATGAATATAAGAAACATTCAAACACCATAATCAGATACCATCAACACCAACAGGCCAATGTGGAGCCTTTGTTGCAGCATCCAGACGTTGCAAAATAGCTTGATCAGCCTTCATGATAGAAATCGAAAAACCTGAAGAAACAGTGTCAAGAATGTGTATATTATTAATATAACTAACACTCTCAGCATGTGCCAGAGAACAAACCTGCCATATCAAGAGAAGTCATAAATGACCCAGTATATACTCTATCAACAGCCAATCCATGTTCCAGCTGCAACTTAGGTACTGCTTTACCGGATGCAATCATCAGTTCCATTACAGGAGTTGCACCTAACCTGCCATAAAAGAAAAGAAAAACGAAAGTAACATAATAAGAGTTCTGCCTGGACTGACATTGGAATTTAATTGGAAAATAACAAACAGAGTAAGAAAGTTGATAAGGAAGAAAGAAAGTTAAGAAATTTCAACATTTGCCTTTCCTCATAAATTTACAACGCAAGCTTTAATTGACTTGGTCAAAAAAAAATACAACTCTTAAGCAAAAATATAGCATGAAAGACATTTTGTACACAACATTTTTCCTCTTTCAACTTTAGATATGAATAATGATAAGGGATCATATCACCGAATCTAGAGTTAAAAAGACAAAACGGTCATCTTTACTTGTACCTATAAGGGAATAGTTTCCCATAAAACACAAATAGTAACTGAGAGAGAGAGAGAGAGGAACATATTGATCTGAATTCAGGATAGTTCCTCTCAAGATGCCAAATTGTTTTTTTTTTTCTTTCCATTTCCATTGACATGCAAACCTCTGGAAGAAGAAAATGGAAAGTTAAATCCACTCAACTGAGTAAGCATATTTTCTCTCAGATCATCAGATTCTTGTTCTATCAATTATGATGCACCTTGCATCAGTAATGTTTTAAGTCCCATATAATTAAATTCTCATATAATCCATAAAGTAAAAAACCCAACGTACCCGTTGACCAGAAGCACAACTCTACTACCTCGAGTAATTGGAACGTAGTTAGTTTCCTGCAAAAAATATAAATTGGATCTTTTAGAAATTTAGAGCTCGCGGGTTGTAGGAAAAAAATGTAGATACAAAATAGTTCAGCCTATGCATTGCGAAAGCACTTTGTTCATAATAAGAAAACTGCACTCTAGAATTGGAATGAAGTGTTGAATCAATTCTATACATTCCCATTTTTCTTATGTACATCCTACTCAACTACCTAAGAATCTATTGACTATCTTCACGAGACAATATTCTTACCACACATTTAACTGGACTCTAACTTACTTGAGGCGTTAAATATATATTAAATGTCCATTCTTATTACGTAAAGAAAACATATTTGACATAAGCATTGATTAAAAAGTATGGGGGTATACTGGCGACAAAATCTGCTTAAGAACATGAGAAACTATCACATCCACGGGTTGAAGGTCAGCTACAGCAGCACCAGGTTCTCCATGCTGTAAAAGTAATCCAGTTTTAGTCAGCTTGACAAAGTATTTAAGAAGTAAATAAAAGTGCCAGTCCGTATGAACAGTATGCTGGTAAATTATAGCCAGATACAAATCCCATAGGGTTAAAAACAATCAATTCAGGATATGGTTTGACGAATTTGAGCAAATATAATGAATTCCAATGTATGGTATGCAAACCAGAAACAGACTGATGTTTTAACATGATTAGAAAACAAGTGCATAACTTTTGGATTTATGGACCAGGTTACTTGCTGAGAATAACTTACGATTCCAAGACCAAGTTCCATCTTTCCTGGACCCACACGGTCTGGTGTAACCCGACCAGGCAATGTGCAAACAGATAATGCAACACCCATTGTTCCAACCATTTCAGATGCACGCCTTGCTTCTGCGGCAACATCGGCAAGCGGAAGGCCAGCAGCAGCAGCAGCTCCAGCAATCTGTTCACAAAGGGGTCACAGATTTGAAGATTAACAATTGATACTACGAACCAGTGTTTTAATTAGGATGTGAAGACATGGGTGAAAAGGATTCCAACCCTTCAGGAACTTAACACCCTATTTCTAACATCCTCCACAATGAGCTTTCACACATACATGAAATGACAGATAACACAAAGAAATGGTTGAATACAATAGTTTAAAGAAACCACATTACAAATGGAAACAGTTGAGAGAGAGAGAGAGAGAGAGAGAGAGAGAGAGAGAGAGAGAGAGAACCTTATGAATAAGAATGGTCCCGGCCAAACCCCTTCGACCAGCTATGCCTCGAGGCGGGGGTAATGCACAATCATCTCCAACAATTACAGTCTGCAACATTAAAGGGCAGTCCCTTTGTTTATACCCTCTGGTGCTTGCTAAAGGAAAGAATTCACAAAATAAAGCATACCTCTACTTTATAACCTTCTGATTTTGCTTGCTCTGCAGCTAAACCAAAATTTAAACGGTCCCCAGTATAATTCTGTCGACAACCAAAAAGCAATAACATATATAAATAAATAAAAACCAAAACCCGCATTTCCAAATTTGGCCCTGCTTGTCACCATAAATATTTATGAATCCGAGAAGAAATTCCAGAATTTTATACAGATGAAGATGCAATTTTCCACCAATTTCTATTATTATTTAATGTTTTCAATTTCTATCAATAATGGATTTTCAGAATGCTCCAACCACATGCCATTGCTGTCATTTAACATCCCAACCGCACATAGAATACCCTCACAAAGCAAATTTTAACACAAAGAAGAAATTATACCTTGACAATCAGAAGGCAACCCATAGGACCAGTTACAGCTCGGATGCCCTAAAGTTCAATCATATTAGATCAGAGTCACCTAAGGTAACAATTGTACATAAATCGACAAGGTGTAGTTTCCTTCCAATTAAAAGAAATAAATTGCAGGAGACCATACAGCTAGAACTGAATCAACTGGTGGTGAGGCAAAAACATCCCCACATATAGCTGCTGTCAGCATCCCTTCCCCCACAAATCCAGCATGTGCAGGCTCATGCCCACTTCCACCACCTGTATCATCAAATTATTAAGAAAATCCTCTCTGTCATACACACTTTAAAATTTCATTTTCATTCTTACATTGAAAATATTTTAATTGCAGAGACTCAAACAAACCTGATATAACAGCAACTTTGTCATATGTACCACCGGAGACATCAGCTCGCAGCACAACCTTCACCTGTAATCCCCATTTGGGAAATGACACAATTATATTAGTTATTTGCATACTTAAGGCTATGGCATTGAGGGATAAACACAAGGCGGAGGTAAAATAAAGAAAGGAACAAAGCAACAGGAAAAAAGACCTGAGGGAAACCATCTAAGTACTGCAGCCCAGGATATGTTTCAACAAGACCCTCGATGAACTCAGTCACCACATCTGCAACCATGGATACAAAAAATTCAGAAGTCTCTTAGTGAAAATTAAGCAAACGTTATGCTTCATTTCTCTTGTTACTACAAGTGACCCCACCTAAAGTGCACAGAAGTATCGTGACCCTAAATTTCATTATCTTCACATTTCCTCTCATTTTACTCGGCAACATACTCGAAAAATCAAACACGAAGTTGAGGGATAATCACAAGGAAGGGCAAAAAAAATAATCGGAGTAGAAAATGCAAGAGTGAGGAAGGCGAATTGCGTACCATTGGGGTCGTTGATGAGCTTCTTGGCGTGAAAAGCCATGGCGATGATAGGCAATTAAACCCTAGCCAACAGTGGTTGGCATGTGAGAGAGAGAGAGAGTAGATGGTATTGGTGGAGTCGGGCTCTGCGTCTGTATATATATGTGTGTGAAAAGTCTCTCTCACCTGCGGTAGGGGGAGCTTTTGCTTGAGAAAAGAGTGGGTGTGCGAGTTGATGGTTGCTTGTCTGAGCAAGAAATTTCCTTGCTCTGTTTTTATCATTTTATCCTTCCTTTTTCTCACAAATTCCCTTTCTACCACTCAGCTTTTGTTAGTTTGTTTTTTTTGTTGGGTGTTTTGCCCCTTTCCCTAATTATCTGATTAAGGACGGTAATTGGCAGATCATGTTTGCGAAAAAATAAAAACTTTAGTAGAAGGCTTTGCCTACATTTTAAAAAAACAATTTATTTATTAATTAAATATAGCCTACATGTTTGCAAATTCACGCCATGGAGATGGACTATATGAAGAAGCTCTGTAAAAAGAAGTGAACTTTTGAAGAAACATAAAAGCTTTTACATTATCATGTCCACGCATCCTCTACAAATGAAGTTTTCCCAGGGTTTCCATTCCCTTCCCAGCAGCAGCACTGCTTGTGCTTGTCAAAGTATTCAACTTTAATTATCACCAAGATAACAAAATAAATTATTTTTAAATTATAAAAATATAACTCATAGATGGTCCTTCCGATTATTATTATAGAAGAAAAGGAATGCGATTATACCGGAGAGAGAGAGAGAGAGAGAGAGAGAGAGAGAGAGAGTGTGTGTGTGTGTGTGTGTGTGTGTGTGTGTGTGAATAGTGATTCTTTGACCAACAATGGAGTCCAAGGGGCTTTCACGCAATAACAGAGAAAACAAGGCTAAGCCGAAGCGCAAAGAGGTAAATCACATGTCTTTCCTGTAATCTGAAACAATTCCAACTCTTATTGGTGCAATTAAATTTTGGATTTTTAGATAATTGAGAAGAGGAAGGCTATGGATGCACTGATAAAAGTAGCTTCTGCCGAAAAGGACTATCTTTCTGCTTTCCCTGCCTTTCGCCATTACCAAATAAGCGGTACCTCGCTTTCATATTATCTATGCTACCTTTTCACAAATCGTTTGAAGATTTTGTTTATTTGCAGTACTATTTCAATTTCTCTTGGAAACCCATTCTGGACTGTGAGCTCATTCGAGCAGGAAAAGAGGCAAATTGTGGGAATTTAAAACGGAACCCTGCTGCCATTTCTTTTCTTTTTTTTCTCTTTCATTTTTTGGTAGCAGACCCATTACGGGTTCGTCCATTTTTGTGTGCAAGTGATGAGCTTGTGCTACTTTATAAGTTTGGATGGCTAGAAATTATTCTTGGGGATATTGCAGTTGTCTTGCTTGGTTTTGCAAGTTAGAATCCCTCAAAGTTTTTTGTGGAAGATGAAATTTCATGTGAGCTCATTGGATGTTAGGCCTATCTGCATTCTTGGAATCAGGAAGGGGGGACAAGCTCTCCTCTCCTGTTAAGCAATTCATTCAAAATCTCCTCAAGGTATTTGAAGCTGTCTGACGTTTTTGCTTAACTCCACCAAATTATGCTGATGTTCTCATTTGCTTTCTTTGCTCTTTTGGAAAAACTCATTCAAGTTTTGAGAAATCATCAGGCCAATATGGAGGGGCCGTATGGATCTGAGTGGCCTGCAGAAGAGAAGGTGAAGCGCAGGGAGATGGTTGCCCCAGAAGCACGTTATGTATTTGTACGAATTGCAAGTTTAGGTGAATTCTTAACAACGTCTGAACGTGAAAAGACCGCAGCTAGTTGTGTAGAAGAGAGGGGCCCCATAGTTGGGTTTGTACATTTTCGCTTTGTCATAGAGGAAGAATTGCCTGTTCTTTATGTGTATGAATTGCAACTCGAGCCTCGCGTACAAGGGAAAGGTCTGGGGAAGTTCCTAATGCAACTAATTGAGCTAATTGCTTGCAAGGTGCTGACTCTGCTGTTCCCTCTCCCATTTTACGCTTATATTTTATAGACATCTCAATGAAATGAAATGCTAGATGGAAGAGAAATGTCTGAGGACTTCCTCAGGTTTTGCATTTTTAAAACTGGAATCTTATCTTTTTCTGCCCTCAGTTTGATTGTCTGTATATTTTTTTTAACCAACTTATCAACATTCTATGTTAATTGTTCTTCCTGGCATCGAGACAATTACTCTACCATTTTCCATTTTCTTTGTAGAACCACATGGGCGCTGTTGTTCTAACTGTTCAAAAAGCAAACTCCGCAGCTATGAATTTCTATTTATACAAGATGAGGTAAAAAAATTGCTTATATATACCGCACCTAATTATTAATGAAAATTATACAGTTATTCATCCATGATGTGTCAGTTTTTCAGTTTTCTAGAGTGATGCAGCTTGCAGGTTCAATGGAAAATATTTACTTGGTTACTATGGAAAACAATGATTATCCCCTATCTGCTCTCTCACACATCACTGGAATTTAACATTAACCCACTCAATAAGGGATCAAAGGATGAAATTTGTTCTTCGCCTTTATAGTTACCTGGTTTTGCATTTTGAAAGTCCAGCACTGCTTAAGTATTCTTCTGCCATGCTGTCTTAAATCATATCAGTTGTTCAATATTAAGACCTTGGTGAAGTCTGTTACCATTCCTTTGTGGAGCAACCTAGGAGGAATGTTCTTTAAGTTGCATATCATGGTGCTTTATTCAACAGATTTATACTAAAGTATCACCAGTGCTTAATTGTTTTATTAGATTTCTTGATTTTCTTTTCTTTTATACGTTATATTGCCTGTGCATCCAATGATCAGATTTCTTTTTCTTTCACCAGATATGTTACATCGACTATATCACCATCAAGAGTTGATCCATTGGTGAGGGATTGTTAACAAAGCACCTACAATGTGTGAATTACACAGAAGACCTACACCTTTTCTTCAATGTTTTAACAGGTTTATTATTTATGCAGATAGGAATTGAGAAGAGTTATGAAATTCTTTGCAAAACATTTAGTAATGAGGCTAAAGCTATCTTGGAGGTATAATCCTGCTTTTGTTGGAAATGCAGTAATATATAACTGAAATCAAAGATAAAAATATTACTGTTTTAAATATCCTTAGTAAGCTGGTTTATTGTTGGACAAATTACTTGACTGTCATTTAAGGAAGTTGGCATGTGAAAGTGGGCTATCAAAAACACAAGAGTTCAATCATTTATAGAAATTTGCAATTGATAACAAAATGGCTTAATTGTCTACTTATGTGTCACAAGCATTTTCAAAGATATTTAGCATCCTGTTTTAAGAGTATCTAAAGGTTTTGTACTTTGTTGCGCATATGAATACATTCATTTGTCTTATTTTCCTTTTCTTTTATGCTTCTGAATATCAGGAACCACTTGAGCTGGTTCATTCAGTTTAACAGGATGGTAAACTGGGCGCTCTTCCGTAATTATGTGCTGTCACACAAAGTCAGAGCTATTGGGGTACTGGATGATGTAGTTATAGGAGAATGCATTACTTACAATGATTTAGCTGCAGCACTACGTTCAGTATTATTACTCTTGAACTCACAGAATCACTAGCATACATTTTTTTTCGCTCAGCTGTACAAAATCAGCAGCAAATGGTACTATGTAAAAAGAAACTACGTCCTTTGGTAGATATTATTTTGGATCTTCTTGTGATCAAAGCATAGTAATTGCAGTTTATGCTCAATAATGGAAGTTTGATCTCCATTTACATGAATATTTGTCATTGAAACATTCTTCAAAATGGTTTGGCAAGCAAATAATTCTGTCAGACAGAAAGCTTTGAAATCCTGTAGGATCTCTTAAGACCTTAATTTCTGCCATAAAAATCGCCCGGACAGGTCTATGGTCCGACAACTTCAGTTCGCCTCTGTCATACTGGTTTTGCTTTAGTCCCTTCCCGAACCATATGATTCGATCACACCTACAAAACCGTCAGTCAGTGCATCCTGTGCTGCTTGTTTCTGGGATAAGATTTGTAGCAGTCCTTATCAATTTCAAGCAGTTCAGGATGCTTACCATGCTGGAGCACGCCTTTTATTGTGTTTTCTCTTCTCATCGCAGCCAAAGTAGAGTTCCGAATTCTTGTAATATTTGTAGCTAGGGGCGAAGTTTATTACTCCTTCATGCCAACCTTCGAATACATGTCCTTCCATGAGCTCCACCTTTAGCTTTAAAAGATGGTGATAGAGATTAAACATTAAAAAGAAAAAAAGATTAAGTTTTTTCGTGTAACACGTTGATCATAGCAGCTAGTTTCACAGTGACAGAATCTCTTTACACGTTCGGATATTGTAAAGTACCTGATCATATTCCAACAAAAGGTTCCACTTTTGCTTCTCCACAAGATACTGCGTTGTGGCGTCAGGCAAGTAGATTCTATAGTTCAAGTCTCCAAGCCAGATCACCCTACTGCATAGGCATATATTATTCAGTGACTTAATTAGATATGATATTGCTCCAAATATATATATTCCACAATCAAAAAGCGTTCTCAAACAAGAAGTTCACGAACAAGGGTATCGACATCTCTTAAAACTTAGAAAAATATTGGAACTTATTGTTTTTCTCATTTATTTTATCGACTCTTTTCTTTCGAACTGACCGAGGTTTGAAAAAATAAATTGTGGAAGAGCTGAAAACATCAATCAAGAAACAAAAATTGTATATACATACTCGTGATCAAGAATTTTAGTGGTGAAATTAGGGAAGGGCCCGGGAGGAAAGGTTGTGCGAGACAAAATCTCAGCTGCGTTTGCGTTTCTGCGTCGTTGATCACCTTCTTTTCCTCCGGAAGCAAGATGACTACACACAAAGCAAAAGCTTGTTTCATGCAGCCAAAATCTAACTGACACCGAACCCTGCATGTATGTACGTGTGTATCAAAAAGTCATCATCAAGTAAAGCCTATAACATAAACTAAATTAAATTGTGAAAATAAAAATAAATGAAGTGAGCTAATTCATTCTAAATTCCATGTTCCAATATTCAATGGATATTATATACCTTGTTCCCTAGGCAACCCATGAGACCACAGCCAACACATGAGACACTGAGCTGTCTAATGTATTGGCAGAGATCACTCCTAACCCAAACAGATAACAATATTCCGACCATTTGCTTACTAATGATGCATCGGAAGTCTTGTGTAATATTATTCTTAGAGTCAGGGTCATTAAGAGCTGCCCTAATCAATGAATTCCATTTCTCGCAAATCTTGCGGTTTTCAGATCTTACAACAATATTTGCTGCATTCAGTGGCACAATCTCTTGAAACCTGAGATTGAGTAATTCGTTCAGAATGATCAGATTCATACGGCTATATCTATCTATCTATATGAATCAAACTTGAACACTTGCACGTTGTTGCAGACATGCACGATTAAAACAAACAATATTTAACTAGAGATATATCATATATATAGAGGGAATGATTGAATTACCCAAGAACGTAGATATTAGCAGGAGGGTTAATATGATTGGGTCTGAGCCACTCTTGTATGTCCAAAACCTCGGGAGGTGAAACACCTCCAACATTCCAGGAACCGGCGAAGATCCTGCATCCATCCATCCATCCATTGATAAACAATTATATAACATCATCATATTACACTCCGTACAAACATAACATTCAATTCAAAATATATATAATAAGTGAGAAACTAGCTAGGTAGCTTAAGTGAGCTTGTGTTCAATGGATTGGGGCATACTGATGATTTATACTTTGGGGAGCAGTGGAATTTTTCTTGGAGATATTGATATTATCACTCGGTCGACTTTCCATCATGGTCTCCATCTCCATGGAATCTGGATTAATATCCGCGATGAAATTGTTGCTCCCCATTAATCTACACCAAATGACCTTGAATCATAATGAACACACATGTATTCATATTACTATATCTTAATATAATCAGTTCATTAGATAGATAGCCATTATTAACTTGAGAGAGAGAGAGAGAGAGAGAGAGAGAGAGAGTGAGTTCTTCTTACTTGTTTGGCTTGCATGGGGATGGTTCTGTATGAATTAAATAGCATAGCAAAGCTTAGCTAGGATGAAGAATTGTATTACACGACTGATTCTGAGTAGTGGAAAGGGAATGTGACCCGCAAACCCTCCCGTGAAAAGAAAAACAAAAGTGTAAAAAGATCCCTTTTGGCAATTTTGGTAGGACGGAAACATAATAATAAGGGCTGAGTGACGAAGGTGATGATGCAAGTCAGACACAATATTTTAATGGGGATTAATTCATTTATGGGAGGTATAGGATTAACTAATTAATTGAGTTTACTCTCTCAATGAGACAAAATAACAAGAGAAAAAAATACCCAAAAATTCCTAAAACATGTGTTTCACTCTCTGTCTCATGTATAAATTCACATGCCATGGGTGCTCAATTTTTAATTCATTTTTCTGTGTGTTTCTGTTTGTTTGTTGATGGTTGGCCCTAATACTTGAGCAATTTATTATTAATACATATATTTATATATGAACTCCTCATAACCACATATATATCTATACATATATAATTCAATAAGTATTTAAATTAAGAATTGGTTACATATTTCTAATCTCAGTCATTGGATTGCATCTAAGAAACTATTAACATATTTAATGAATACAATCCAACGTCTTATATTAGAAGTATATAACCAATTCTTAACATAAAATACTTATTGAAAAATCTCCCTATATTATATATATGCATTGTCTAATTACTTTGAATATGAATGAAATCGCAGTAATATATATATATATATATGTGTGTGTGTGTGTGTGTGACGAGGGTGAATTTATATTTAAAATTAGGTATCCCATCAAAAACGTATCATCAGAATCATGCATAATTAACGACTGAAAAAAGGTTGATCTTATAATGCTTGACCCACTCAAAAAAGTTGTTGCATCGTGTAATTAATAGGATTTATGCATAACTTGGCTGAGAACTTAAATTCAAACTCTGTTTCAAAGAGTCACGGCCATCTTGGAGGCCTGTCCTAGCTACGTCTATGTGGTTGGTGACGAAATTAGACTGTCTGATTGCTGCAAATTTACATAATTAATTCTAGGTCAAGCTAGCTCCAACTACATAATAAAAATACACTGCTAATAATAATTTCATGGCCTTGAGTATTTTAATCGATGACTTTGAATATATGAAAAGGAATGATTGGATGGGCGGAAAAAGAGCCAACATAAGTTACACAATCTGACTAGTTTATTACCAAAATAAATCATCTGGGAAAAAAAGATATCTGTGAAGGTTTCTTCTTCTTAATACACTGACTGAACGAATCCCATTGAAAAAGGTAGTAATGTAATGAATAAATAGTGATGGGAGCTGTCACTTAAAACAAAAAGAACCAAGGAAACTGGTTTGTCGTAAGAGTCCAAATAATTAATGCTAATTAATAGTCATTGATCAAGCTAATCAGTTTCAGTATAGTATTAATTAACTAATTAATTAACAAGTCCATATATATACCCTTTGTAATCTGAGAATGGTCCTCCTACCGGCTACAACCCAATTCCTTGCCTTTTCTAGTTGAATTGGAGTTGTATAACCCACCCACCACTATTTGTTCTTATATATATCGCATCTGTCAGAAAAGGATTGGTTGGTTTTTATCATGGTGGTGACAATCTGATTAATTATATATATAATCAAATGCTGGAAAGATGGATTAGTGATAGATCATAGAGGAAACAACCCATGAATTGATCAATTATTCATAACAAAATTAATTAAATACATGTATGCTACTATTTATTTGTAATGGCTTTCGACCTCAATGTCAGTTAGCTTCTTGTCTGTTTCCCTAATCGAGCAAGGCAACAAGTCTTGATTTCTTGACAGGTTCATCTAAAAAAGGAAGAACAAAACGTATTGAATTAATATGCAATAATTTAACTATAAGTTTAAAGTACAAGCGACCCTTGTCTAATAGGTGAGGGAGTTTCTCACATACACAACCAAGATGTCATGGGGTTCGAACCTGAAATCCTTGTCTGCAAGTCAAGACCCTTTTCTATTGGGCTAGACTCGTCGACAAATATTATTTTAAAACCGGCACTAATGAACATGTACTTTGAATTATTGACCACAGGCATAACTAATCCTTAAGCTGAAAACGTCAAGCCATTTAACAATTCTTTTGGCACTTGTGATTTATGCTACGAATATTTTCATGGTCCCCCACTTGGTATTGCTCTTACTGCATGCTTTGCAACATGAGATGAGATATATGTCAACTTAATTATTGATTTGATGTTGAGCTCGCTTTCAATTTTTAGCATCATACATAACATAACCAATGCTTCAGTTGAGCTTCAGACTAATATTAGTTCCTCCATTTCTTTCACCTCACCAACTAATTCAAAAGTCTAACAGGCTGTGTGAAGGTTCATCCATCTCAATCGATCTGCCAATTATTGGTGTTTCCTCCATTTGACACTTTGGTTCGTTCTAGGTATAAAGTAAATGATGACTAGTCACCTAGACTTATGTTTTTTCTTTTCGTCTTATTTTTGGTAAACGTCGATGCGATGCGAACAACCAATCTTTTAAGATTCTGAAAAATCAGTGCGCATTTAGTGGTTGGATACCAAGATAAGAACCAATCTTTTCTTTTGTTTTTTGGGCGGCAGTGTAAGTTGATAACTTCATATCGCCCAGTTTGATAAAGTTGAAAACCTCCCTTAAACAATTGGAAGCGGAGAAGAAAAGAAAAGAAAAAAATTCTTGGGTTTGTGAGGGCATAAATCATTCACCCCCTTGACAAATACATGATAATTATAACCCGCAGCTAAAATGTTCGGTGACCTCCCTTGAAAGTTAGAAAATACACGAATTTGCTTCACCCGTTAAAACTAGGTAGAGAAAACAACACAAAATTCTGACTCTGGATTGAGGAAACCCAATCATGCTTTATCATCAGCGAAGCGAAGCAGCTATGGTGGGATCATGTACCTGCTTTGGCACGAGTTCATGTCTTTCAAAATTTATTCCACACCAAAGGGAATGGGGAAACTAAAGTTGTATCGTGCACAATCTCAAGATATTGACCAAAAAGTAACAACTTTTCACTTCCAATTATAGGAAAGCTTTCAATTTCTAACAAGATATAAAGGAGCTCAAGCATTTAACAATTACCTGATCACGGCCATTGGTCCGCCAGCCAACAATTATGATAGGAAAATGCTCCAGACCAGCAAGCAACCTCATCTTTCCAAGGAAAATGAAGAGAGAAACTGTTAAAGAGGCACTCCTTTACAACTGCAGATAATGTCTTAAATATTGAAGAAGAACACATTGTCAGGTTTCAAGTTTCAACACAATAAGCTGAATTTATTCCGCCACATAAATCTATCTTCTGCTTCAATGCAAAGCATCTAGCATCCATAAAATGGTCACTCGTACCCAATTTCCTTCTGTCCCACAAATTATCAATCTTTAATCTCCCACTGCACTACCTAGCTTCATATTCTCTGATTCAACCAGTCAATAATGTCCTTGGCAATAGCTTCTCGTTCTGGCTCAAAGAGGAGGTCATGTAATAACCCGTCAAACAATTTTATGCTTTTGTCAGTTGAGGAGGCTTCATTGTACAGTTTCTGAGAGGCTTCAGGGTCAGTAACAGTATCAGCGGTGCCATGGAGAACCAAGAAGGGGACTCTCAATTTGCTTAGATTCTGCTGCAAGTAGGATGTGATTCGGAGAATCTCATAACCAGTCCTCACACGGATTGATCCAGTGTACACTAGAGGGTCTGAATACTTGGCAACTAGAGCCGCTGGGTCACGAGAAACAGGCATGCCTTTTTTATTTGCTGCACTTATCTGGTATCTTGGAAGCAAAAATGAGGCAATTGGAGCAATTACCTGGCATGATAGATGGAGGTGAGCGTGGTGAGGGATGACCTGACTTACTGAATCTAATTTGATATGCATTTGCAAACTTGTAATTGTTTTTATGCTCAAAAGTACATAAATATTAGATATAATAGAAGAGGTTTTTCTGACCACAAATATTGGATGCGAAGGCTGAACCCCAACTGCAGGTGATGTCAGCACCACACCTTCTATGCTGGACTCAACTTTTGGGTCAAGCATTGCCTAAAATCAGTTTTCCAATATAGTGTAAGTTCGGATTAAATTCCAGGTCAATGGATTTAATGTGAATGAACAGAAGATGATAAAATAGTGACTACCAGAAAGTCATTCATGCAATTTCAGGAAAGAAATCACTCCATGCAGTCCATACCTTAAGTATAATAGCCGCACCTGTGGAATGTCCAAAACAGAAACACGGTAGGCCAGGATTTTCAGCTAAAACCTTTTCAAGAAATGATTTCTGCATAAAATTAAAGTGCAAAGAATACATGTAAATATTTAATCAAAGCCAAGTTCCTTCTCATCATTAAGAACTGGATTTAAAAACTACTTTCTCATCAGGATATTGTTAATGAGCCTTGAAACATACCATATCCGTAACAGCATAATCAAGAGAAGGAACATATGCATGAAGCCCCTCACTCCCACCATGACCTATATGGAAAAGTCACTGAGAACAGTTATACCAGAAAGAAAACAATGAACTAATACTTTGGAAGATATAGCGCAATGTATCAGGGAAAGTAGTAAGTCCACAGGTTTATGATTTACCCTTCAAACTCTTAATTTATTATCTATATGACCATCAATTTGCACCACAAATTTGCAATGAAATCAACAAGAAGACAAAAAGGTAGAAGAAGGATCCGTTCAAATTAGGTGAACAATAATACACAAAGACAATACTTTTATTTTTTCGAACGTTAAAATTATAAATAAAATAAAAAATAAAAAAAAGAAGCAGACATGACTAAAACCAAAGAGAAAATATAACCCATTACACACCTGAAACAAGAAAGTTTCCAAGTGCATTTTAAGTGAACAGAAAAATACGTCATACATGATTGCACGCTTTCGACTGGATGGCTGTGTGATGTCCCTAAATACAAGTTCAGCTTAAACCTTTCTATAAGGTTTGAAAAAATTTCACTCTGATAGAGACAACAGATGTGTAACTGATGTTTCTAAGACTTTGGCTTATTTTCCAAAACGTGCATCTCTCTTTCTTTAAATTTGAAACATACAAGGTTAGACACAAACACACAAATAATAAGCTTACTTATAAACAGGAGCTTCACAAGTTACTTTTTCGCACCAATGGGCATCCAATTTACTCAATCCCTGCAACATCCAAATATATATGCATTGTTGAAGAGGGTGATCTCTAGACTATGAAAACAGTAATTAAGAAAAGGATTAGATTTTAGATTTTTTGAGATAAAATTTACCCCTCATCTAAAAAGTTAAGGTTCTTCTTGTACCACAGAAAAGATAGAAGTAAACTAAGGGACAGATATCGGGTACATAGATACTTTGATTGGATAAGGAAGGTAGAGTCATGGCATACTAGATGAAATATTGAGACTATGGAGTTAAATAATTGGTCAAATTAGATCAATCGAGAAGCTCCATTTTGAGATACTTTGATGTGGTCGGGTTCATTCTTGACCTTCCCAGTAAATTAACAGTGGAAAATGGAACTGCTGAGGCATTGCTCTAATTGTAGATCTATCTCTTGTATAGTATTCACAATGCTTGCCTAGAAGATTGATCTTGATGACACAGAACATGACAAGAATGTGATAAAAACAAAATAAAACGGTGCTCATTCCAGCATATATACACAACTACAAAGAAGGAAAAAAAATTGTTGACATGAGTAATGAGCGCTTCCAGTTGACCAAACGTGGATATAAATTACATGTTTTGAATGACGTTTAACAGATTGTAAATACGATAGGATTGCTATAGTTTAAAAGTTTAACTTTATTGCTGTAGTATTTTAGTAATAAGCCATCCATGGTAAGGTTCAAGAATTGTACTGCACCAACTCCCTCTTGGATCAGAAAGACTTGTAAAATGTTGTCCTTAGAGACATCAGCCTTTAATATTTCTATGACCAAACTTTTCACAGCCTTAAAGATAAAACTAATAATGCTTAATTTAAATGAAAGGAAAACCAACAGTTCATACAAATTAACAATCATGTTCTCTCTATGCACATTCGCTTGTAACTTGCAAAACCCCAATAGTATTCTGGAACAGAAAGTATGATAAGGTTGTGAGCATACAAGTTAAAAATGACAACACAGTAAACTGGCATTAATTGTCTTAGACTTGAGGTATCATCTTTGAGAAAGAACATACAGATCAATTAGACTTGTTAAGAAGGTTAAATGCAATGATCAGAAAGTCAAAATGGTCTTGAACTTACCAATCCAATCCATTCCATAAACCTTAAAGCCATTAGAATTCAGCTGCTTTGCAAAGTCACTGTATCTGCCACTGTTCAAATTATATAAATCTCTTAATATATTTAATCTTAAAATCAACTAAAAGTAGAATTAAGTGGGAATTATGTACAAATGACAAACCTATGTTCGTTCAAGCCATGCATAAGAATGACAACGCCCCTGCAAGTGTAAATATTAGCTTAGCAACTTAATTCTGTAAAAAGATGAAAAGAGAAGTGAATATGCACTTAACGGTAGGATCCATAAGACCTAAGAACAAAAGATGCAATCACGAACATATTTTGATATAAATTTGGACTGCTTTACTTTGTAAACATGCCCACATGACTATCACTAAAATATTTAATACACCTGACTTAACCGAAGGTCATCCTTCGGGCAAAAGAAAACAAAAAACTAAAGGCAGCTGTCCCAGTCAATCAAGCTTCTCAAACTTCTGAACAGATAAGATTCTCTTTCAGATCTTTTTTTAATAACTAATCCCATGGAAGGCTGCATAGAATGGAAGATGAATACAGATACGGAAAAGTGTTCTCCAATCATCCATGCTGGATTGTCATTTAATCTTTAAGCAAGGGCAGCCAAAGTTTAGCAGAGCAAGGGCAGTGAACAATGAGCCATATCAATATTTAATTTGGAACCTAACAGGTATGGATATTAATGGTAATTGTCTATCCAGAATCTTTTTCCGCAATTTACTATATCTACTAGGGGTTCAAAGTAAAGTTAGGAATTATGATTTCTTTATAATAACTGATGCTGCTGTTATTTTACACAAGTTTATGAAGTCAACAGTAACTTCTGATAAAACCCAGGTGTTGCTTAGGGGATCTGCCATCAAGAATAGCTCACTTGCCCAGGTGTTTCCTCACATTATCATTCTACTTGAATATATCTAATAGAAGAATAGTCAACAAGCAAGAGTTCCTAAGTGGTCATGAACCTTAGATGAAATGATTCATCAGAAAGTTGTGCAAAGTCCAACCAATTCATTATGAATTTAACTGACTTTTAGACCATACTAGTCCTACCACTGAAGCAAACGCACCACCCTGTCCAGGAAATATTAAAGGACTAGCTCCTTTTCTCGACCTCCCCACATCCTATATTTTTATAAAATTGTTTGCACTATAACTAACTTATCTTGATAGTTTTCTTGAAAATAGACAATGCCCCAAAATGGTCCCTGCAATATAATCCAACTCATTATGCCATAGATTCCCATCATTTGTCAGGTCATACAGTAGGCTCTAAATTTGGTAGTTGATTTGACATATTACATGCCAAATAAGGGAAGGCAAGAACACTGGGCAGAGCCAGAGTGGAAATGACCAAGAAGTGTATTTTCTGAAAATCCAGATGCACTGCAGGCATAAGGACATGAGATTAGAGACGGACCTTAAGAAAGAGAAGGGTCCTCATGAAAAGGGATATTTTGTTTTTAAAAAGCCACAAAAGGATTACTGGCTTTACTCGGATATTGCAATCCTCGAGGCATGGTCCTGGTATAGGGAATTACAAAAACAATCGCTGCAGGTTAGAGGTTACTTTATTCCTTGTGGACATGGTATGCATAATACTTAGTTGGGGTCCAATGGAATGTCCAGGCCGATAATATATCGGATATGTTAGAATATGCCTTGTATATACTAAAAGGAAAGTGTGAAGTTGGAATTACAGCCATTAAGAACAGCTCCATGACTATGAGCACACATTATAGTGAGTGCAAACTGACAAAGCATTCAAGTTAATTGCAAGTTTGAAATATTCAAATTTAAAAGTACAATGGCGATACAATCAAGAAGATAAGCTAAAAAGATGTTAAGTTTGATCTATCTGTTCATTCATTAAACTACATTAATAAGATTGGCAGCTCCTAATTAAACAATTGCCAAAAAGATTCCTCCGTAGGAAACGATTTGCAGTAAATTTTAAGAGTGAAAGGGGAAGAAAAACGAAATTAAACTTTCAATTCCATAAAGTACATTTCTGCATTGGCCAGTTCCAGCGCATGTTCATTCTTATTAGATTACTCGTTTTTTGTTTTTTTTTTTTTTTTTTTTTTTTTTTTTTTTTTTGGGGTGGATAATTGGGTGAAAAATTTCATTGTTGAACTAAAAAAGTTTTGTTAAAGAAGAAGAAAAGAATCAAAATTACCTGACGTTGACCGAAACGGGAGTCCAACTCTGCGTGAAAAGGGTTTCACCTCTGGAAGTTCCAAAAATCGAAAATTGCCTGACCGAATTCTCATCATCATCTTGGACAACTCTAAGCTTGGCTAAAGCTCTCCTTGCCGCCACCTCCTGGTCCACCGGCGATGACGAGCTGCTCTTCCAGGGCACAATCGCCGTCGGCACCCGCACCACCGGCCCCCTCTGCTGCCTCTCTTCCTTGGGCGACTTCTCCGCCAAGGCAATGATCGACGGCGAAGAAGACGAGGAGGACGAGGAGGACGACGCCGTTCGCTTGCGGCCGCGGAAGGGAAGCAGGAGGAGCAGGAAGAAGGCGTTAATCAGCATCATCAGACTCCGCAACGCCCGCAGCGAGAACAAGGCGTTTATGCGGCCGCTTGCCCCAGAAGTTAAGATCAAAGACGACGACGCATCGTTGCCTCGCTCCGTCGCCATTTGGTGTTTCGGGTTGAGGCTTGATCTTCTGGTGTGAAGCAGCAGTAATGCTGATGATGCTGACGACGAAGATGATGACTTGAATTGGGTTTGGGATTGGGATTGGACCTCCGCTTCTTCTATGAATAGCCGCTTTGGTTTTCTATGGCTTTTTCTCTTCTTCACATGAAACACCAGAATTCTAGTTTCTATAATCGCTGTTGTTCCCAAACAGATCATAAAAAAATTGTGTGTGTTTACTCAATTATCGGTTGCTCTTTTGCCAAATTTAGAGCTATAAATAAATAAAGCCCTTCTCCAATCTTCAATCTTGGGAAGTTGTGTTAGAATTAATTCAGATGGCCAGCGAAGAGCAAAGACTCCGGGTCAAATTAGGATTTAATACTTTGATTCTGAACTTTTGGGAAATTAAATTTCGTGATTCGGTCCATCTTCCGTTCTCTTTTCCTTCCTTGGATGGCTTGTATTTGACTGGAGCAGAGAAGCAAGCAACGAAGAAGCACAGGATAAGACCGCCAGCAGTTGGCGTTCCTACCCAATCTTTTAACGGGGTTTTCTCATTGCGACACGTGTCACTCCAGAATAATGTATAGTTGTATACAACGTATATGTGACACCTGTCGCGACACGAGACGGACACGTGTTGGATATGCGGCAACATGAGGGTTTTGTCTGGTTTGAAATGGTCGTACAATCACGTGGAGTGGAGACGGACTGGTGCGCAATTGCTTACGTTTTCCCGTGCAACGTGGCGACCTTTGAGGAGAAAGGGTCTGGGCCGAGTCACTCAGCTGTTGACATCTGTAAACTGTCTAGTATTTAGTCAGGTAGAGTTGGGTTGGCCTCTTGAGATCGGGCCGCCCGCTGCCCGCTGCCCGCTTCCTAATTCATTCCAGTTGGATGCCCAAACCCAACGCTGTCCCCAGGCCCAACCCAAGGTTGTAGGTCCATTTGAATGTAAGAATATAAAATGATAGACCATCATTAATTCTTGTTCTGTCAAGTTAATTAGGTTAAAGACATGGCTGCTAGTGGCTCCTTGGGTCTAATATGTTGTGGAATTTCCTCCCTCTTTAAGTGTATGATTGAAATATAAGTTTTGGGGTTTAAAGTATATACGGTAATAATCAGCTAGTAGTAAGAACTAATCATATTTTAATCCACCAAATAATTAAAATCATCTCAGTCACGTACGGTATCGAGCGAAGTAGAATCAATCAAGAGCTAATTAAAAGTAGATTATATAAGTAATAAACCAATTACAGCTGAAATATAATAAGATTTGGTTAAGGAGCACAAGTTGTATAATGCATGCATGAACAAATGGTCCTTGATAAGTAGATATGCATGTGGGTTTGCTTGTTAAAGTAAGCTCATATATGCAAATATTCCCCACCTAATCAAGAATCAACAGGCAGTGCTTTGTAGCTTTTTTGGGGAGGCAAATCAGGCTCCAAATCTAACAAAACAAATGAACGTACTACATAAAGACACAAAGAAAGCTAGATTACAAAGTCAAGCTTTCACACGCTAGTCACTTAAAGACGATATCCCACATTAAAAATAGATTATGGAAAAATAAAGGTTGTTTGGGAAAATGTAATTGAGGGAAAGAGGGAGAGAGGAAAAGAGAGAATATAAGCCAGCAGATAATGCACCACTAAAACTACTGATTCCATCTTTCTTTCTTCTTTTTCTCTCTACTTTTAACTTTTGATTCATCCATGACTTGTACGCAATGGAAAAACATCACCATCAACAGCAACTTTGTCCCAAATTAAAGAGAATCCACACAGACATGCATGGAACTAATTAATATTTCTGTGGCCATGTGTTCTTTTTTCTTTAGGACTCACTAGCGATGAGGCAATTCGGCCTAACTTGATAATTTACTCATGTTCCTTGCTGTGCCAAACCGGTGAACTCCAAGCTTGGATTTTTTAGGTCTGCATTTGACTCTATAAAACTTTTTGATTGTGCAAAATCGCTTCCCTGCGAAAGTTGAGCCTAAACCCTTGCGTTGCGTCTTGACATGATACAATTGATAGAGAGGATCATAATATTGCATAAAGTTGTACACTTGATCATGATGATCTACTCAATATACCAATACATGTGTATGTATAGACATACAAAAGGATCATACATATTGCATAAAGTTGTACACTTGATCAGGTATCACTAGCCTTGACTATGTCTTTCTTCAAATCCATAAGACAATTCCATGAAAATTTAAGGAAAAACTTATATGAAAGGTTTCACGCATGCAACAAGTATCGGATCTAATTTCAGCTCACTACCTCAAATTGGTTTCTGGAAGTAATTGTATGGTGAGAGACCATTTCTGGTCTAAGCCCATTTCGATCCATTGAACCGGCTTGCAGCCATGCTCCTCTACTGCAATGTTCATTTTCATAAACTATAAGTAGTAATTTTCCTTCCAAAAGTGATCTGCATGCAGGTTCTAAATTCCTAATCAACTTCTACGTACGAATTCAGACTTGATGCAAATCACAAATGAAGATCATACCTGCATCAATATTGGAACAAACAAAGGATAGAGCAATTAGGGGATTTCATTCAACGGAAGTTATGATACAGTTAAGATCTTTTTGGTAAAATGCAGTAACAGTTTTTTTTTTTGCTCTGTTGGTTTATTTCAAGAGTGGTTGCATGCATGGTAACTAGCTAACACAGGGATAATGGATGACGGAATTAGATTAAGTAATGACTGTCTTAGTATATAAAAATATATCAAGGTCAGAGAAGAAGAAGCAATTAATTGGATTAAGTTATATGGTCACCAAGTGCCTAATTTCCTTACTAATTAGAGAGAAGCAAGCAATCTCTTCAAGTCCAAGTATATATATAAGAGGCTAAATTTACACAAGGAAAAGCAAATATAATGTGTAATTTTATAAAATTCCCAAATAAAAAATAAAAGAAAAGTGGAAATGTACGTATAGTGCTTTTGCATTCAACTTTTCATGCTGAATTAGTTTCCAGATTTTAATTTTATTATTTCTTTAACATGTGCAAGTTAAGTGATGCAAGAACGAGGCCACCACATCGATAATCAGGAAGGAAAAAAAAAAAAAAAAAAAAAAAAAAAAAAAAAGAAAAAAAAAAAAGCAGAAAAAGAAGAAAAGGGGGAGAGAAGAATATCATTTTTAGAAAGGGAGAACGTGGATTCTGATTTCTCAAGGAAAAAGCTACCCATGCATATATATGTAGATATATATATATATATACATATATGATAGGAGAAGAAAGACAACGGAAACTCGAAAAAGTAGGACCAACCAATAATAACACAAATCGATGAACCCAGTTAGAGAGAGAGAGTTAAATAAATAATAATTAATTATACCTGGAAGAATTGCCCCACAGATTGTTAGAAGAAGGGTGGTGGTGGTGTTCCATATCGTGCTCTAAATTTGAGGCTCCTCTTTGGTTAAGTAAGGCACTTGAATTATGATGATGTGTTGTTGTTGTGGACAAAAGATCTTCATCACCAGATCCATCTATATACATTAAAATAAGCCACCAAAATTATTCACGATCTTTTTTGCTTTTCTTTATTTTTCTGGTCACCCAAAAACTAAAATAAAAGTAAATGAAAAGAAGATATTGAAAGCACATTGTCTTTTGTGTGTGCTCAATTTGAATTCTTTATTCTCGTACAAACAGTATGTTCCGAAGCACAAAACGGAAGGAATTTAATTTGAAAATTCAAAGTAATAATTAATCTGATCGATATTAACAAGAGCAGCTGGGGATTAAGCAATAGGAATTATTACCTGAGGAACCTAGAGGTTTGTCAGTGTTCTTTACAGTTCTGTACATCTGCAAAAGCAAAAGAGAAAGAGATATGTATATAATTATATGTATAAAAACAAGGATATATCATATGAGAGAAATAACTAATTAAAATAATTATAGAAAGAAAGAAAGAAAGGGTCAGTCAAAAGCAAGAAATAAAAAAAATAAAAAAATAAAAAGAAAGAAATCAGATGCAGATGCTGCTGGTTGGCTTTGTGGATTTTTGTTGAGTAGTTTAATAACCACGAGGTTGATGTTTGGTAAGGTCAGTAAATGCTTTGTATTATTGAGAAATGATGGCTACTTTCTCCCTCTTTCTCTGTTTGTCTCTCTTTCTCTCTCTCAGTCTAAAAGCAGAAGTTGTCCTGTATCTCTATGTATCGGTAGTAATATCACACACACAACACAAGAACGCAAGAACACAAGAAAGAAAAAAGGAACAGAAACAGACTCCACTGTTCATCTCATTCATCCATTTCCTTTCATTCATTCATTCATTCATTCATCTCATCAGTAAGCATAATATTATTATTATATTTATTATTAATTCATCACTAGTACTAGTAGTCTAGTGTACTCTCCTTCCCTTCCCTTCCCTTCCCTTCCCTTCCCTGGCTACTGTGCCCCTTTCCTACCCAAAGTCTCAAGCCTCAAGTCTGCTGCCTTCTTCACCACACCCACCCCCTCACACAGTATAGTACGTTGTCAAACACAAACAGACATACAGAGAGAGAGACACACACACACACAAATTAAGAGAGAAACAAAAAGAAATTAGGTATTTGAATCTGAAATCTGATCAATGTGGTCGATATATATTCAAAGATATTGATTTTTAAAGTGCTGTTTTATATTAAACTATATACAAAAAAATTCAATCAGCTCCAGCCTCAGCTGTAGCTAGCTAGCGTTGTACCTGCAAATGGCTCTTAACATGAGCAAGTGTGAGATCCTTGACATCCATGAGCTCCAACACTGACTTTGGAGTAGCCCCTACACGGAAATGACCAATTAATTAATTACAAGACTACTTACAAAATGTTGAAGAATTCCCACAGAAGTTTTCAACACCGATATATATATATATATATATATATTATTGCATATAATTTAATTCCAACTAAATTAAATAATGATATAATGAGAATGAAATGAATTAGATAGAGGGGAGGGGAGGGGCTGACTTTCATGGCCGCCAAGGAGCTCGACAGCGTGAACAAAACGGGCATGGAGGGAAGTAGTCCAGCGCATTCTTGGCGCCCTCATGTTCTTCTTGTTGATATTCTGAGATAGCTTAGTCGGCGTAAATCTCGATCTCATGATGAATCCATTAGAGGGCAAATCCGAATTATAATTATAACTGTAATTTGCACCTCCACTAACACCACCAACACTGCATTGCTGCTGCTGCTGCTGCTGCTGCTGCAAATGATTCAAATTATACGACGGAAAGTAGTGTTGTCGTTGACTTAGACTGTCCATGGTCATCCCGTTAAACGTCCGGGACATGGCGGATTCAAAGCCCATTCCCATTCCCATACCACTACATGAATTTGCAGCCGGTGCAGCAGGCCTCAAGGAATTAGATAGATACAAGCGCAACTTGTTAGAATCAAAATCATCCCTCTGATCTCGGTCCACTCTTGAGTAGTGAGTTTGTTCCTCCAAGTTGGGAGGAAAGGAGCAATTAGTAGAAGGACAGTTGTAAACTGGAATTCCTTTGATGGGTTTGAGCCTCTCCGCTACATCCAGCATCGAAAACCCATGACTTATACTGGTCTTTGCTTCTTCTTCTTCTTCATGGTGATGAAGATGATGACGACGACCCTCTCCGCCGCCTCCCCGGGTGTTGAAATAGTTTTTTCTCCAGCGGCTCTCAGCCTCCGAAGCTGTGGGATTTGCGAGAGAGAGCTCAGTGTCATGATCAGCGGCTGCGACTAGACTGCAGCTGCCTCTTCTAACACAACTGTCACTGTGAGATTTGTTAATCAGACCATCGCCGTCCATGTCTCTGCGCCATATGTCGAAGCAGCTGCCGGATTCGTGATGATTAGGTGCTTTGTTTGTGCGGTGGTCAGTGCAAATGGAGGAGGGAGCACTGTTTGCGTTTTTGTTTGTGTTTGCGTTTGGAGGGCTTATGTGCAGTGAAAGATCAGGAATCGGATTCAAAGATAAGCGGCAGCTGCCTGCAGCCTCTGAAATCCCTTTTTCATGAGGCATTTTTCAAAAAAAACTAAAACAAAAAAAGAGAAGAAGGTCTTTATTTATTCCCAGCAGCTGCCTCTACAGCTACAAAGTGCTCCAGCTATCTCTCTCAATTACCCACTTCTTCTCCTACTGACAAATTTCAGAACCTAAACAACACACTCACCGACATAGAGTATGTGATTGTATTCTTTGATTTCATCCATCAGTTTGCTTCAAAAATAAAAACACAGACACAGACACGCATATATGTATAATAACAAGAAAGAAAGAGAATATTATGAGAGACTACTCATGATGGTGATTTTGCTCCCTAACATGGATGACAAAGAAAACAAGGGTTTAGTGTGCTTCAAATGAAAACTGAGAACAAAAAAGAAAGGGAGAGAAAGAAAGTGAGAGAGTGTGCTGTAAAGAAACAAAACAAAGGCTAAATGGAAAAAAAAAAAGAAAAGGGAAGACTTTTCTCTTCCTCAAGAAACAGACATCCTCACCAGGGAGAGAAGGAGAGAAGGAGAGAGAGAGAGGTGCGCGGTATTTTGCTAAATAAAAACAAATAATTAATAATAGAAAAAGAAAATGGTGGAGAGGAGAGGAGAGGATATGGGGAATAATAAGGAGAGATGATGTGGGTCTGAGTTTCTAATGCCTCGAGAGTATATATAGGAAAAGGACACTCCAACAAAGCCTGTCTCTCTCCCTCTCTCCCTCTCTCTCTTTCTTCTAGTCAATCCACTCACTCAATACACGCAAAACTGCAGCAATAGCAACAAAGGGCTTTTTTGCAAATTTTCTTTCTTTTTACATATATTTTGGGTTATTTTTTCCATCTCCTTCCCCGGAGACGACGGGTTTAAAAAAAATAGAGGAGAGAGAAATAGCGACAAATCTATAATTCCTTTTCCCCCACCCTCTTCGCTATATCTCTCTCTCTGCTGCTATACAATTGAAATTGACAATACAATTACATTGACCCACTGCATGCATGTGGCATGAGTTAAATTACCAGTATATGTTGTTTTATTCCATTGTCAATGCCATCTAGGTGAGCTATACATGTCTTAATTTCCTTTTACCATTCCCTGCTGCCATGGTAAAAGTAATGTCTCCACAAGTACACAATCATTCTTAACACTAACATACATTATTAATATATATATTTGATGTAAAATATAATAATTATTAATATAGAACCTTAATTGTAAAGGTACGAAAGTGGATAGGCATGTTAGTTAGCACGTATGAAAAAGATGCTTATATTAATTAGAATACCAAAACCATGTACTTAGTTGGTGTCTGTTTCTGACTACATTACATATGTAGACAGCTAAATGATGAGCCTCCAAATTGATCATTAATTAATTATTAACTTTAATGTTGAATGAGGATTCAAATTAAGAATTATATACATACATATATAATGACACCACACGAGCTCTTGTCTATTGTTTATGGATTGTATCCAAGCAAAAGAAAGCTGCAAGCAAACAGCATAAAACAAGCAAAAGGAGAGATACAAACAGACAGTAACAATACACAAAATTCTGTGGTATATGCATGGTATATATCCTATCATCATGTACGCCCGACCTGCTTTCTCAATAATTCCTTTTCATTTAATCGCTTTGCGAAAACGTGTTGTGATTTTTGGTTAGGTTGGCACGTGTCGGTGCACCGTAGAAGAGTTAAAATAGCAATAATGCAGCAGGGGTGATCCATATTCGTACTGCAGCATGGCAAAAAAATATTTAAAAAATAAATAGAATGAAGTAGTGTGGGGTGGGTGTAATAGTCAAGAAATATTGATTAATTAGGTGGACCCATTGACCTAAAGAAAATTATATGAGGACCCTCTAAAGTGTTGTTTGTTTGCTTTCATATGGTTGTCATCGTAAACCCTATTTCCACATACCTTTGTTATAGTTTCTTTCTTATATTCCTTTTCATCCTCCCAAATATTCCCTTCTAATCCTCCAACAACTTTGTCTACCATTTTGCGTGTGTTATTAATATTATGTTATCCCCACATCTCTCCTTCTTCTTCTTCTTATTCTTCTTCACTCTCTACGGTCTCATTCACTAGCTAGTGTCTAGTACAATAATATTATACCAACAATCTCAAAAACCTAGGCCAAATCAACTAATTAAGCTTCCGTTCTCCTTAACATATATAATTCATAATTAAACAAATCATTTCTCTGGCCCGGATATCGTTTACCTCAGAGGATTATTTCATTTTTCTAATCCTCTCCTCTTTAATGCATTCACCATATGTGGATATATTTAAACCTATCCTCGACTGCTACACAACGAGAGTTACAAGGCCCTATATATGCCCATGTCTTAATTTTAACTAATTAATTAACTACTAAACTAATTAATTAAGTGAGATGAGGCAAGTGTACTACATTGAATAGGTGAAAAATTTAAGGCATTCAATGCTTCAAATTAGTTTAACCAGTGCGGCATTAAGGATTTAGCCGATATGTCGTTATGAGTCTCTTCGTTTCATCAATTTACTACCCTTTTTTTCTCAAAAAATGCTTCAACTTAGTTTTAGTTACACATTTCACTAACTTCCATATGCATGCCACAAGGCATTAATTCTTAAACCAAATACTTATCCTTTCCGAGCGCGTGTATGTGATTTTTCTTCGTCTTTTTGAGTAATAATGTGGACATTATTATTTGATTTGAGGTACCCTTGATTTTATTCAGGACGTCCTACTATGTGATTCTTTGAGTCATAATTAGGTATTTTATTCCCCTGTTGTAATTCTTCGTTTTATCAACAAAATTTGTTTTGTTCCGTCGAGGTTCTAAAATAATAATAATAATAATCATCATGAAGTAGTAATATTTCTCCATGACTTGATCCGCAAATATTAATAGCTGATATATATTTGGCCCATGTTAATCTTCACATGGGAAACTGCTTTATTCCCGTCACAAGTAATAGTAACAGTTAATGCATGCCTTCCACTCACTCAGAAAACCAACAAAAGTTCCATATGCAAAAAGAATTACTCTCTCTCTCTCTCTCTCTCTCTCTCTCTCTCAACAACTGCTATTGCTCTTACTTAGCTAGGTGGTATCTTGGGGGTGTGGACCGTATGACAGCATAAATTAGAAAGGTAGATTGTTTCGTTATTGTAATGGTCTTTTGTAGCTAATGATTTTTTTAATTGAATATAAATACAGTCCTAGAATTTCTCCGAAAAAAAAGTACTAGATATAGAACATTGTTACAAACAAACAAGTTTATTTTTTGGCCACGCATTTATAATTTTGGTTGTTGTATCCTATCATGTGTACAGTATATATATCTCTCTATAAAAACAAAAAAGTATGTCTTAACTAACCATGTCGGCAAGCAGTGGATCTAAGACTAGATTAACTGTTGGCTGGAATAATTAACAGTGAAAATTTCATAGCAGTGATAACGCAGTAATTAATCAGAAAACCTATTCTCGCACTTTCTTTCTAGCGGCTTTACAATTGTCAAAATGTTCCATTAAAAACTTAAGCTTCAACTAGTACTGTTGATGGTTGATGGTTGATGGTTGATGGTTGATGGATGATGACTGTGCTTTTCATATAATAATTAAGTAAACAAGGAGATATACCCGTACTTAACGAAACGAACGACATCCAAATTTTGCAAATGGAATGATAAGCTTATTTTCCCCAAACCGAGGGATAATGTTTAAAACTGAATTAAAGATAATTTGTTCTTTAGTGTACTAATCCAGTAATCTTAAATTCTCCTTCATAGAATTGAGATTTTGATAGTCTAGGGAAATAAAGCAAATACGATCAAATCGTCGTTAAGAGACAAACACAATGAACCTCCGAGTCCTTCCGACCATGGAAATGGTATATAAAAGAAAGCAGAGTTGTAAAGAGTGTCACTGTCTACTTGTTAATTAATACAAAAAAAAAGGGCATCTCAAAAAGGGTGGCTGAGGATGATGGGTTTATATATATTGGGGTGATTCTAACTAGCAATACAAAATTATAAAGTACTTCTTGCTTACAAATTTTGTTGGGTATGAAAAGAGGAAGGGGTAAATAATAGCTATTTCTACTTTTCTCCTTCTTTTCCGGCATCTTTTCATTTATTAATTGCTTCTAAGGAAATCAATTGAGCAATGTAGGTCAAGTCAAGATAGCATGCATGTCTCCTTATTCCGTCTTTAATTCCCTTCTTCTGTCTGTCACACATTTTCAGATAAATAAAAACAAGTTGTATAGATAGGTCTCTTGTCAAAGGAAAAAGCTTGGCTTCTTAAAATTGAGTTGGAGCTCCTCCTTACAGCCAAGCCCTAACGCCTATCAAATACATGCAATTAAGCCATGGGCCTATGGTAATAGGATTAATTGCTATATATATATGCATCAAATAATTTGTTTTTTGGGTGATAACATGGAATATTTTGCATCTGACCAATAAAAGAAAAGGAGAATTAAAGATGTTGTATGGATTGCATATATATGGAGTTGGGTACATGTGGGGGTAGAGATGTTTGTTGCTGTTGGGCTTGTGGAAATTAAATGACAATGCAAACAAAAACTGGACTGAAAACGAAGGTAGCTAGAAGAATAGACAGCAATGCCGCAACACTCAAATATGAATGAAATGTTGTATATGCATCATGCATGCCCTCCACTCCAGGATTTACTCATGCACTGATGATACATCAATCCATCTACTCTACGGTAACTGTAACTGCCTTAAAATTAATGATGACCATGGCAGCACCAGAAAAACATGGTGTTGTTGATAACTGCGTACGCAGATGAATGTATGTATTAATGCCCTCTCTCTCTCTCTCTGCTTCTTCTTACAATCTAACCTTTCTTATTAGAAGCACCCTCGGCCACCCTTTTAGACAACTACAGGTCCACCATCTGGTTAATTAGTTCTATCTAGGGGCCCCTTTTCGAGCAAAACAACAGGGCACTGAGCGGGGTTATGAGTTTCAATTTTCAAGGTGAATTTCCTGTAAATTTGTAGTCATGTTGGATTTTGATCATCATGTCTTCTACTCTCTCTTCTCTCTCTTCTCTCTCTCTCTCATCCATTAATTTTAATGTAGATAGGGTTTGATTGGATGGCATAAATTCTGTGCTGGTTTTAATCTTGGTTTTTGAAGATATCTCAATACACATACATACGTACATAGAATATATATCTGTCGTCCCAATCGTTCAACCAATCCATCCATCGGATCCAGTATACAAATATAATAGAATTGAGGCTTCGCTGCGTTAGCTAGCTAGTGTAGGTATACAGTACTATACAGTATACATTCATTGATGACTTGGTAAAAGTTGTAAGTAGATGCATATACATTTACTTTTATTGCTTGTAGCTACTTTTGCTTGTTTCATTATGCAATACGTACGTACGATTCAAGTAAAGTTATTGTTGTGATTGCAACACTCCACTCAAATTCCCAATACAGTGAAGGATGCACGTGCACATAGGCAAGGTAGATATTCAAACAGTAATAATAATAATTATGATACTGCCTCCTCGCTTCTGTTCTGCATTTGAATGTACAAGAAATTAAAGATGAAGAATGAGTGAGGAATGAACATCCACAATTAAAACAATAATGAAGACTGTTTGAGTTTTGTGTTACCATTTGAAATCAGAGATTGCAAACAAAACAATAATGGTCTACTTCTTCTACTATACAGACTTTGACTCAACTGGGTAAATGCACCAACTGTCCAATAATTATAATAATATTTTTTATTTTGGGTTTGGTCTGACTTAGTTTTCTTACTGGGAATTGGAGTGGGAAAATGAAATTGCAAAAGCCAAAACTCAAAAGAAAATAAGTGAGGGAGGGAGGGAGGGAGGTGTAGACGACGTCAATTCCTAGGCAACAGTGGTCGTAGTATTAAGTGAGTTGAGTGGGCACAGGAAACAAAAGAAAAGAAATGATTTTGCAATCGATTGCTTTATGATTGAAGGAGGGTCAGGAGAGAGAGAGAGAGAGAAAAGGCCTCTACTTTATTCAGCAATTCCAACGTCTTTTTGACAACAAAAAGGGAAGGCCTACTAGCTAGGCTTTGCTAGTAGCAGCAGCCTACCATGGATGATGTCTAATCTTTCTTTCTTTATGGTGAAAAAAATGGGGTTTTGCTTTGGGGCCTTTGAAACTTTTGTTTGGGATTTGACTTCTTTTGACTTTTTTTTGTTTCTTTTTTCCTCTTGTTCATAAAGCCCGAGGCAACATTGAAATCAACCACCGCCCCTCCATCTCCCATCCATAGGTTGGTCATAATTGAGAATAGAATAGAATTGAATTGAATTGAATTGAACTGAACAAGAGAGAGTATATGAGAGAGAGAGAGAGTGTGTGTGTTAAGCATAAAACTGGATGTCACTGAGCTTTCACATCACATAGAATACCGAGAAGGAAAGATGTAGACGTTCCCCTGCATGTTATTTATATGTATATAATATCCCACAATTAACAAGCTGGGGCTGACTGCCAGTACTCAGAGAGAGCCTGTGATCCTGCGAAAGCCAGAGCTAACAGAGCTAACAGAGCTAACAGAGCCAACAGATGCAACTGGAAACTGGAAACCAAACCTACTACACTTGTTTTTTTCCTGCGTTCTTCTTTCTCATCCTCCTTCATCAGTTTGTGCAGCTGACACCATGAAATTAACTCCTTGTATTCTTGTACCCTCAACAAATTTAATATTATTTCCAACAAACAAAAAACATAATTAAATTACTTCTGTAATTTTCTTGGACAATTAAATGAAAATTTTCTTATAACAAGACGTATATATATATTATATGTATATCATTATTAATAGTGTCAGTCTGTGAGGTCAGGTTTGAATTGGGTGAGTAGCATTCGCGAAGGTAGATGGAATGGAACCACCAGGGGCCTCCCTTCCTTCCTTGCGTCCACCACACCACCCACATATATAATAATTTATCAGACTGACCAATTTCAATTTCACACCTCCAATATGGAATTGAATTGAATGAATAGCTTTTTGGTTAATTATTTTATGAGGCCCTGTACTCTGATCTGCTGCTGATAACTAGTTGTTAAAGTTATAAATAGGGATGACATTGATAGGGTAGAGTTGGGTTGCGTTACATTACATGCTACCTCAACCTCAACTTCATTATTGCTACTTCAAATATCTTTTATTATCAAAAGAGAATATACGTATATGTATGTATGTATGGTTGGACGAAGACGATGCATGTTCTTCATTTCTGGAGTTAAATCGGCAACACACACAAAGAGTTTCTTATCTTTCTTCTATAGTAGACATAAATTGAGCCAAATTTTAAATCGGCAATGCACATGTGTAGTGTAGTGATGACGATTGGTGAATGAGAAGAAAAAACGAAAACTAAAGACTAAAAACACTATAAAGTTGTTTTCAGAACTAATGGTGATTTTGAAAACTGAAAATGAAATATGTTTTTTGGATTAAACTCGACTGTGCTTCGATAGCCTTGTTGTCTGGCCTAACGTGGCCCATATGCTTAAACTCCATACACAACCAAGCCTGCCTCAAGACAAGACCATTGGGCCATAAATCAAAACATGGCTGGAAGGAAGCATATATTTCACTCAAACTTTTTAATCATTACGAGGTCATTTAACAGTCTCTCAATGGCTTCATCATCATGCCCACGTCCTTTGGTCTGCAATTTGATGAGGAGGGAGGTTCATCAATTCTAGCTTTTACAGACAAAAACATCAATGATAAAGGGGAAATATAAAAAAATACCTTGAGGGAAGGCACAACTGACTTGGCTTCCTCCACATTTTCAGGACAGAGATTCCCAATGACAGCCAGCTGCAGGGTAGAACACATCAACAAATTAATTTGTTGTTTTGAATGAATGTTTTGGTTTGGTACAGTATTATAATGAATAAATATTACCTCGAATTCAGCCAATTGGTATCTACTCAGGACTCTGAATACTATTTATTAAGAAAAACAACTGAGACTATTACATGTAATAGTGTACATAAATCAACAGCAAGAAAGCAAGCAATGTAGGATACTCTCGAACTTGCTTTACAGAGCCCTGATTCGTGAAGCGACTGAAGCGCTTAACATACTGCAGTGATTTCTCCAACACTCTGGTACACAGCCAGGAAAGGAAAATATAACATCATCATCCATTTTGATCAAATATTATCATCATCATCATCATCATTTGGTTCTTGGTTCTTATTTGGTTCTTATTTGGATCTTGGTTCTTATTTGGTTCTTGGTTTTTGGTTCTAGTACACAGCCACAACATATATGTATATATAATGTATGTATGGTAATGGTTACAATAATAAATATACGATACGAGATTACGAGAGTGTAATGTAAATCTTACTGAGGAAGTTGGGTCGTTGAATCGCCAGACATATGCTTCATCTGATCACATCTATGCTCAAGCAGAATGGCAACCTCACTATTCATTAAACATTTCGCCTTCAAGAAATCTTCACAACCACAAACTCAATGTCATTAACTTAATATATTCAAACTTTAACCTCACTACGTTTACAATTCAATCAAGGTCCCATACAAACTCATCTTTTATTGATACACAAACAAAAATTTAGGTATCATGATATTGAAAACTGACATAACAGCCGAACAGCAGGTAAAATTCTGCCTAGGATCACATCGATAACAATTTTCCAAAATTGTGCATTAGAGATTTGAAAACATCTTTGGGAAAATAATATTTAGATACCGTCTCCAATCTTGAGCTCTGAAGCGTCTTCCTCGTCTGCTCTTAGCATGTTTGAGAGAGAGAGCTAATGTAAGGATGTTTCTTTCTTGACGATGAATATAATTCTGCTTTCTTCAAGAACGAATGCAATCAACCACAATCCCTAATCACCTATTCGTTTAATATAAGCTCTGAACTCTGGAACCGACCTCAAGTTTGGGCCAACATTCTGGCTGTGGTCCAGTCCAACTTCTGAACCCAACTCAATCATATTTTGATTATGGGCTTTCATATAGGTCTTGGGCTATCATTTTAGATGCGATCCAACCCTTTTTTCACTTCTTTTTTTAAAATCGATCCAATCTGATCCAATTTGTGCAGGTACTCACTCTCTCTCTCTTAAGAGAAAAACTTTTCTATTAGTAATAAAATCTTAGCTTTATTTATTTACTTTCATTACTAATTATATTTTAATTATTATTTCTTTAGTGAATAATTAGTATTAAATATTTTAATTAACTTCATAAATTATATTACTTAATAAATAGTATATAAATTTTTTTTTTTAAAATTCTTTGATAAAATATTTAGATGCTAATTATTCACGAAGTAAATAAGAATTAAAACATAATTACTAATTAAACTAATTAAAAAAGAGAAATCAAGATTCTGCTATTTTCTAGAGTATAGCCGAGCGGCTATACTGTTAAAAGATTCTATTTATGGGGTGTCGCCCGGCTATACTATTAAATATACTATTTTTGAGGTATAGCCGGGCGGCTATACGGTTAGACTATTCTACGTATGGAGTATAGTTGCACGGCGATACTATTAATATGATATTTATAAAGTATAGCCGACCGGCTATACTATTAAAATATTCGATCTATAGTATAGCCGCACGACTATACTTTTAAAATATTCTATCTATGAGGTATAGCCGGGCGGCTATACTATTAAATATACTATTTTATGGTCTATAGTCGCCTGGCGATACTGTTAAAATATTATATTTTATCGTATAGCCGTCCGGCTATACTATTAAACATTTTATGAATATAGCCTCCCAGCCAAACTTTTGTGGAGTAACCACGCGGGATACCTTTACAATATTCTATGTAGTATAGCCGTGCGGCGAGACTATTAAATATACTATTTATGAAGTATAGCCACGCGGCATACCTTTAAAATAGTGTATTTAATAGTATAGTTGTATGGCTATACTATTAAATATACCATTTATGGATTGTAGCTGCGCGGCGATGCTTTTTAAAAACTTTTCTATTCTCGTTTCATTGTCCTCATCTTCCTATCACCTATCAACAAGAATTTTATAGTGAGTAAGGCTCTTAGATGAGACATTATCTCTTAACCGTTTGATCAAATTAATTAGCGGTTAGATCAAATAGATTAATTTGATCCAACGGTTAAGAGATAAGAACTCATCTCATTTAAGGACCTTAGATAAGGCCCTCACTATAGAATGAATCTACCTATCAAAGCATGAGAGAGATACAAAAATAAGAATACAATGAAACGGAGATAGGAAAGTATTTCTTCTCGCTTACCCCCTGCCTTTATTAGGTTAAGGAGCCGTAGTAGTCAACAGTAGTTTCAAAGAAACCAATTTGGCTCGCTTTTAGGTGATGATGACGTCTGCCGTGTCATATTCTGAGTGGAGGAAAACAGAATTCCCGATCTTGGACTCAGATCCTCCGAATATTCTAAACGGCCCTAGCAGTTATGCCAGAGGCATATTCGCATCTCATCACTGCATCTTTCTGAAATTCTGATGTATGCACCTGCATGATTACAACAAATTCTGGTTGTGTGGTTATAAATAATTGGGTTTTTTAATTGCAAACCTCTTGTGTACTTTACTGTCTTGAAAGTTGAAGCTGTTCTAACTATAGATTTCTAATCCATGAAACAACATTAATGGTCACGAGTCATGTTCCATGTTCTCTCTGTCAAATCAAACGCAATCAAATTTAAACCAATACTTTATATAGAAAAAAAAACCCAAAGAAAAAGAAAGAAAGAATCACTCAGCAGTACTAAATTACAAATTTTACACCAACCCCAGTTGCTGGATGAGAAAATATGCTGTCGTTTATCCCCTGAATGACGACTATATTAGTCTAATATTCGTAACTAACTGCAACCCTTTTCCATCATCTTCATCATGAATCATAATTATCATTAAATGGCCTTGTCTCTTACTTAATTACCAACCTTGCTATTATATAAGAGGCCGCAGGACTCTCATCCTTAATATTCATTCATCTACTCTTTACTCTTGCCTCAGTTTCATTCATCTATACATACAGTCATTCATTTCCTTATAAACTCTGGCAGAGCCATATCAAATTATGGCTATACCTTACAAAAATTCCAGGACCTTGTGCTTTTTCTTGATCCTGAGTTTTGGCCTGTGTCTGGTAATTACATCTGCAGAGCTTGAGAGGTTCGAACATCCCACCAAAGAAGATGGATCACTTAGTTTCTTGGTACTTGGTGACTGGGGGAGAAGAGGAGCTTTTAACCAATCTCAAGTTGCCTTTCAGGTTCCACAACTTCTAATGCTTCTTGTCATTCATATATTCTACTCATGATTTCTGGCAAGGTGCATCATGTGAAGCCACAGCCACTCAAGAACATACTTTTATAAATAAAAAAGTTATACATAGTAAGAAAAAACATACACGTATGATTTGGAAAAGTAAATCAGTGAAAGAAAAAACATATAACAGTATAACTTGTTCCCCTTTGTTGTTTTTCTTCTCTCTGAGTCCCCCTGCCTGCATTTTCTTGATTGCTTCAAGTGCAAGAATTAGTTAATCTAATCTCTGTTTGCTAAACAAATTTGTGGTACGACTACTTTTGTAGATGGGAAAGGTTGGAGAGAAGCTTGACATAGATTTTGTGGTTTCGACGGGCGATAACTTTTATGATAATGGATTGGCAAGCGAACATGACACAGCATTTGAGGAGTCATTTACCAAAATCTACACAGCAAAGAGCCTGCAAAAGCAGTGGTACAGCGGTAAGTTCCAAATTTCCAATACTCGAAAGAAAGCTTTTAGTTACAAAAATTTCAATAAATTTGTTTTTGACTTTGATAACTTTGAATGCAGTGTTGGGCAACCATGACTACAGGGGTGATGCAGAGGCTCAACTGAGCCCTCTTCTTAGGAAAATTGATAGCAGATGGATTTGCTTGAGGTCTTTCATTGTCAATGCAGGTGAGCATATATTATACATACTCTTTGAGTATCAGCTTTTCTACACAAGAAATTGATATCTGTAAGACTCACTCATAACATAAGCAATTTCTTCCTATATCTTTTTCCCCAGAATTAGCAGAGATTTTCTTTGTGGACACCACTCCTCTTGTCAATAAGTACTTCACAAACACAGAGGACCATACTTACGATTGGCGAGGCATTACCTCTCGCAAGGATTATATTGCAACCTTATTGAAGGTCTATAATATATATAATTAATTTTCTGCTACCATTATGAATTTTGAGTATCTTTCTTACCTAAAATGTGCTTAATCATTGATGATGCTTATTAATATAAATAATGATGTAATAGGATGTCGAGTTTGCACTGAAGAAGTCGTCTGCAAAGTGGAAGATAGTTGTTGGTCACCATGCAATTAGAAGTGTTGGGCATCATGGTGATACAGAGGAACTTATAAAGCAGCTTCTCCCAATCCTTCAGGTATATCTGTCAAAGCTTCCAATTCTAAAGCAAGGGGTTAATGTTATGCTGCTTTCTTGTTGAGATGAATGGATGTAAAATAGATGCTAACTCTGCTAAATCCTTCATAAATCTTAGGCCAATGATGTCGATTTTTACATGAACGGGCACGATCATTGCCTAGAACACATCAGTGACACAGAAAGGTAAGTTCAATTAAGGTGTTTCTTAAGAATGGAAGAGTTTGTACGTGCAACTAATGCTGATTGAAACTGGATTTGTTGCAGCCCAATACAATTTCTAACAAGTGGAGCAGGGTCCAAAGCATGGAGAGGAGACATTAAGGGGTTAAACAAAGAAGGGCTCAACTTCTTTTATGATGGTCAAGGCTTTATGTCTGTGCAGTTGAATCCCACGGATGCAGAGATCGCTTTTTATGATGTTTTTGGCAAGGTTTTACATAGATCGCATTCTTCCAAGCAGCTTCACCCATCTATATAAATTAAGTTTTGTAGCTCCAGCCTAGAAGCCTAGAGGGAAGATATTATAGCTTCAGATTCAGATTCAATGCAGCCGCATATAATATCAAATGTTCTTATTGTCAGGACGAAGATTCAATTACCAAATGTTCTTATTTTTAATTAATGTACCTCATTTGGCTGCATCCTTAATTACCAAATTGGTTGATTTTTTCGACCACTACAGTTATATATGCCAAGCTTATATTGCTCCATACAAGTACAACATTTTAAACAAAACAAGGAAACCTAGATTCAAGCTGCTTCTCAAATATGTTATCTGGAAACAACACAACATAATTAAGGATGTGTTTAGCGGAAGTTTCTGCCAACTGATCCATTCGTACGTGGCAAACAACTAGAAAGACAAAATTAAGCCAAGAAATATATGGTACATTTTCTAAGACTGAGACACGCCAATAAATCAAGAGGGCAACATGATACGCATGTGGTGATTTAATTTGAAACTTTGGCTCCAACAGCCAAGTTTGTGTCTTTCAGGCTCAGGCCAGAGATAAAGGATTCTCCGCTGGCTCCACTTATTGTCACCTAATTGCCAAAGGACCAAAACCTGGAAGACAAAAACAAGATTTAGGAAATTGCTAGGAAACTGATAAGAAAGAAACCCTAGCTAGGATGGGACCCAGCGTTACCGCAAATTTACTGCACTCCCCTGCAGATATGCGGCCCACTGCTGCTATATCTTAAAATAGATCGGCGGGTCGACGTAGCATTCACTTTCCTTTGCATTGCATGTTATGTTTACATTTGTGTATGGGACATCTTAAAATTAGAGTGTAAATATTGCACTATATATGTGGTCTTTAGATCATTAATTATCACCTACTGTGTGTTTGTACAACCACTGAGAAGAATTAGCCTATATATATATACACTCAAATTCAGAAGTTTCATCATAGTTTCAACCATATCTGCTTTCTCTCTCTCTCTCTGCTCTCTCTCTCTTGCATCATAGTTCCAAATCAGAACATTGGTTGATTTCGATCATTAACCATATCCGGCCATGTCCATGGGTTTCCTGTGGGTGGTTATTTGCATGAACAATATTATTTGGTTGAGCTTTGTTTCTGTGTCGACAGCCGAGCTTCAGCGATTTGAGCACCCTGTCAAAGCCGATGGGTCACTTAGCTTTTTGGCGATTGGTGATTGGGGTAGAAGGGGTGCTTACAATCAATCTCAAGTAGCTTATCAGGTTTTATAATATCTCTTCACTTCATCCATTTTTATCAATCTTTACTACAAAACAAACAAGACTCCACAGACTTTTCTTCTCTTTAATCTGTTTATCAATATGTTTATCATAGACAGACTCTTGATCTCTTCTATCTACAAAGTTTTCTTAGTTTCCTTATAATTAAGCCTCGTTTGGTTCTTAATTAACAACAGAGAGAGAAGATTGTATTTGCTACTTACATAATAAAATTAATTATAATTTATAGGGGAACTGAATGCTTAACTTGGTAACTTATTTCCTTCCCCGCCTTAAATTTGCACGGTAATCATGTTTTCTTTAATCTCCAGTTGATTTCTATTTTCCACACAACCTCCACAAGGAATAGTAGTATATATTTCTGTTCTTTTTATGTGTTATGTGTTTCTTGATGGGAAGCGCTCTCTCTCTCTCTCTCTCCTCTCTCTCTCTCTCTCTCTCTCTCTGTGCAAGCTAATTAAGAAGCTGCAGAGAAAAGGCACCACCGAAGGAACAGCTTTGTTCCTGTGCTAGCTGCATGATATGCATGAAAAGTTTCGTCATTTAGCAGGACGGATTAGCCTTTTCTTTTTGAACGGGATCATTCTTTTTCACTTGGGATATTCCGCAAAAGTAAAGGACAAATGTGAATTCTATTGCATGTCCAGAAGCCATTATGTTCCAACTCATCACCTGCTGCTCCATGCGTGTCACCCTCTTTTACTGCTCTTTCTACTTGTTTCGGTAATTAGGTGTCAACACCAGGAGCAGGACATATATTTTGAGATGGGATTTCAGGTTCAGATTTTGCCGACGAATAAATACAAGCCATATGATATGTTGCAGCACAGGGATAACATTCAGCTCTTTCTTTCCAGAAAAAAACGATGAGAAAGAAAAAAGAAAGAAAACTATTTTCCTGTGAGTTTTTATCATCCTAAAGTAAACTAAATACAATTAGAATGTTAACTGCATCCATAAACTTGGAATTTATTGGAAATCGTCCGTGGAGTATCAGTATGTGGCCTGGGATTTTCTTCTTTGTTGGTTTAGTGGTGCTCTGTTTCCTCTGTTTCCAAGGGGGGCAGGGGATTTCTGGAGGACAATAGACAATAATGTTGCGGTGTTTTGCAATGAATTGTAGATGGGAGAGATTGGAGCCAAATTAAACATAGACTTCGTGATCTCTACTGGGGATAATTTTTACAACAGGGGATTGACCAGCGTAAAGGACCCTGCGTTTGTGGAGTCGTTTACTGAAATCTACACTGCTAAGAGCCTCCAAAAGCAATGGTATATTGGTGAGTTCAGTTGCACTCAAAACTGACTTACTCTTCTCATGGAAATTGGCATAGGCATGGCGCTGACTTTGTTTTCCATCTTTTCTCCTTCACTTTGATTCTGGGGAACTCTCAGTTCTTGGCAACCATGACTACAGGGGAAATGCTTTGGCCCAATTGAGCCCAGTCCTTAGGAAGATCGACAGCCGCTGGCTTTGCCTCAGGTCCTTTCTTGTTAACACAAAAATTGCAGACTTCTTCTTCATCGACACCAATCCTTTTGTGGACAAGTACTTTCTGAGGCAAAAGCACTACCAGCATGACTGGAGAGGTGTGCTTCCTAGGAAACAGTACCTCTCCAACCTCTTGAAGGTTCTTCTCATCATCTTCCTCATTACAACATTGGAACCTTTCTACCATCATATTCAAACAGTGCTTTTCATTGTCCAAAATCTAATACATTGCTTTGTTTTGGGAACAGGATCTAGATTTTGCATTGAGAAATTCTTCTGCAAACTGGAAAGTTGTCGTCGGACATCATACAATCCGAAGCATAGGGCATCATGGAGACACCAAAGAAGTAGTAGACCAGATTCTTCCCATTCTAGAGGTAACTTCATCTTCATATATTTCATATATTTTTTTGTTTAGTTTTTATACAAGCGATAGTCTAATCTATTCGTATTTTTATTATGATTCAGGCAAACAACGTTGACGCGTACATAAATGGACACGACCACTGCTTGGAACACATAAGCAGCACCAGCAGGTAAACATAGCTTTAACCGTTACTTGTCCTATTTATCAATAAATTGAATTGTTTCTTAAAAATCTCACTAGTTGAAGTTGTTCAACGCAGCCAAATCCAATTCTTGACTAGTGGCGGTGGGTCGAAAGCATGGAAGGGTGACATTAAAATGAAAAGAGACGGGTCCAAGTTTTACTATGACGGGCAGGGTTTCTTATCTGCACAATTTACAGAGACTGATGCAGAATTTGCATTCTACGATATATCTGGCACACTTCTACATCGTCTGAATCTATCCAAGCTTCTTTACGATTCCATGTAGAGATGTCAAGATAGACTCTCCCCTAAGCTCTCTCTATGAAATAAGATGACCACGTTTTATCTTCTTGTAACTTCTTGTATCAATGAAAAATCCTCGTCACGCAAACAGAAAAATTACACGAAGTTCCGCAAAATGGTCCGGCTCCACACTTGAGATCAACGTAATAAAATCCTACCTATTTCTCCACACGGCACGGACATAGGCAAATCTTGAACAGTTTATATATACACAGCAATTAGCACCAACTACAAATATTTGGTATTTTCACTAGGCCTACAGTCAATATCCCATTATGGTATGTAATGTTGTGCCTCCACACGCACCACCAAGTTTGCAAGGGTAGGATCTTCACTCAACATAATTTAGTTTGTAACAAAATGATACCTGGAATCCACATAGCTCTCAACATCCCAAAGAAAAGAACCAAAAGTCACGGCTTCCAGAACAAGTCTCCTCAAACCACCAAAGCTAATTTTGACGTGATCATCCTTGGAAGAATCAACAGTCCCCTGAGGTGTTATGACAATATCTGGTCTTCCAAACAATGCCTCGGTGTGCTTTTCAATGATGCTAACAGCCTCTCTCGATCTAATTGTTGCATACCTATGAAGGGTCTCTCCATCAAAAGACATCACATAGGTCCGCAAGCGGGATGACTTAATTCCATTACCAAAACCCCCAGCACTGATGCCTTCAGCCGAGGAAGTGACTTCAGGATGGGAAGCCCCTGCTTGCAAAGACTCCTCTTCACCACCAGGCCTCATGTCCTCCCCCACGGATTTCTGAACATTACTGTCTTTGGCACCCAGTGCATTTGGAAGGATCTTTACTGTCTTCTCCAGCTGAAACCTCTGGTCAACCCGCTTGAGGAAGTACCCATACATTACAGATGCTGCATAAACCTGCCCAACTCTGAGTTTGCTTATCTGTGCTAAAGAGGCTGAGTCACCCAACCGATTTCCTAGGATGAGAGCTAGGTGGTTCTGGATCATCTCATAGGCTTCAGGTGAATGAAGTTGCTCAAGCTTGTCCTCTTCACTTGGCCGTGTATCAACTCGACCAGAAAGGTCTGAAGCAGATGGGGTAAGGGCAGGTATCAAAGAAACATTAGCATCCATGAATTTTTGCACCACCAAAGTGTACAAAATCTCTTCAAGAGCCTTTCTCCTTTCAGTAGCCTTAACCTCGGCAATTCTCCTGATATTGCAGAATAAGTTAATAAAGGATCAATATATCTCTTCAAAACTACATTTATTTATTTAGTCCCATATAGCAAATGATGGAGGAGGCGAGGGAAGGTTAAATCAAAATAATAATAAAAGACTGCAAGTTCTGTTTCTTTATTTTTCTTAAATAAAAAAAATCTTTTCATCATGTCATTTTCTAGATTGTTAAGAACAACAGAAACTTTCTCGCTAAAATTACACAAAAAGGTCAAACTTTTCCTTCCCTTTATTCTGATATTCGTATGAAAACAAAACATTTAACTTATGGTTCAATTTTGTAGCTTAGCTTGACTTAATTGAAAACACAATTGGCTATTCCTTAATCGCAAGATTGCAACAAACCTGTACAAAACGAGGTCAGTGCCAGAAGCAGAAGGCTCTTCCTGCTTTTGCTCAGTGTCGCGATCTGTTTGAAGCTGTTCAAGCTGCTGCTCAACTGCACTAGGCACAAGATGCGGGTGGCTTATCATTATCTGAGAGAGGAACTGTCCAATTGGTGACTCCAGCTGAAGTGGGGCAATTGGAGAAGTAGAACCTGTTGAGTCCGGAGATGGAGATGCAGCTGCTGCCCTAACGACCAAGCATCTCCTACTTCCAAAGCCCATTCTCCTATGACCCACCTTTGGTTGAGAGATTGAAAACTGGTGCTGCTAAACATGAAATAAGATTAAATATTACTCAACTACAACTCCAAGCTCACCAATCCAATAAACAAAATGAGGGTCCATCTGTCACAACTATAAATATTCTGAAAGAGTTGAAAGAAAAATCAATCCAAAACCCTCAAGTGTTCCGGAAAGGGGTCATCTCCTACCTCCAAACCCATTCTTTGTGTATCAATCTAAAAAAGATATGTGCTCTTTTCTCTTTTATGTCTGGAAAGGCATTAAAGCTTATGCTACAAACAACACAATCTAACCACACCAACTAAAAGTCCTACACTCCTAATCAAGATTTAATTTTTCACTATTTAACAGAAACCCTAGAATTCTCATCAATTACCAGATCAACTTATTTCTCGCGACACACTCGGGATCATGCATATTGTATAGACCCAAAACCCCAAACCTACCGAGCATATTAGAAACCGCATTAGGAAACCAAATCCCCAACCAAAAAAAAAGTACCTTGATTGAGAAGTGAAATCCAGTACTCAAACGCAGAAAACCGCCGGGACCATTGGCCGCCAAATTACCCGATCTGCCAATTGAATTGGAAGGCCTAAAGGCCGTGATCGATGATTGGACAATGCTCGCTGTGGCTGCTGCTTCCATCTTCAGCTCTGCTAACCCAACCCTATAATTTATGATTAAAACTGACAGGAAGATGAAAATCTGATTCTTTTTAGCTTAACAATGAAAACCTAGTTAGCAAAATGGGAATTCAACAGGACTTGCGGAATTCATACCAGTGAGCAAAATTTATAGACAGAGAGAGAGCGTGTGCGTGTGTATCTGTGTGTTACGTGTAGGAGGACGTCGGCGTTCACAATTCAAAGGTTTCTGTGGGCGTAGTGCAAAATTGCCAATTTTTATATTTTGTGACCCTCCTTTATCCTCCATCTGGAAATAGAGACAAAATAATGGGAAAATAAATAAAAAATTATGTGCACTATTATTTCTTTTGTGTGGGTAAAATAGGGGCCAAAGCCCAAACAACATTTCCTATAGACATATATTTTTTTTTTTTAGAAGATCCTAAGTTTATGACTATTTGGTGGGATTTAGTTTTATTATTGTAGAGAAGCTCCTAATAAGTTTATATTCTAAGTGCAAAAATATAAAAACATGGCTTTCTTAGGACTTTCCAGTTTCATGGCTTCACCAAACCTTGTAGAATAACACTAGGAGCTCATTTGGGAGTGATTTAGAATAGATTTGAATTACTTTTAGGAAAAAGCACTTCTCATTTCCTTCTCCATAAGTGATTTTAAGTTATTATGGAGAGAAACATATCTCATGTGCTTTTCGATATAATAACTTAAAGTGATTATTTGGGGAAGTGATTCTCTATAAAAGTGATTATGTCTCTCTAGAATCACTCTCAAACGAGCTCAGTCTAAGAGCATCCCCACTAGAAAAGGTAAAAGAGTAAGTAAACTGTATTTGCCTTGCCACATACCATTTTCATGTTTTAAGGGAAGAGTCAAATGAGTACATAAAATATACATACTCTCCCGGACATGACATTGTTGACTATTTCTAAATAAATAGGTGTATATTTTATTATTATAAAATACAATTTTGTTGTTGTTTTGTGACAAGTGAACATGCCACGTCAATCCACATAGTACACTTTTGCTTACTTGGTTTACCTGTACTCTTCGAGATGATTTCATTGGAAGTACCAAGGCCAATCTTCGCGATATATCCAGAAACCCAAATAAGGATAGAGAATTGGGGGCCCACTTGGGAGTTCCAAGTGATTATGTTGGATTGCGTCCTCTTGTGAAAATTTGAGAATCACATTTTCTTTGTAACCCAAAAACAAAAAATCATCTCCGCCTTTGTTTTGTTGGGGCTTCGGCCTCCATTGAATTGCATCGACTGAACTTGTTTACAGCCATTGATTTCTAATTTAGCCCATTTGCTTTTCTGAAATTTCTTATTTTGGTTGTATGTTACAAACTTACGAGTGATAGCCTAACGAGCCACGCGTCCCACTTACAGTGGAGCTTTATTTTTTTCGTATATATATTTTAGATAGGGAAAAATGCATTTTGATGATAGTGACTTTTTTGAAAATACAAGGGAGGTTTAGGGGGTTTATTCAAATGAGATTTTAAAAGATTATTTAAGAATAAAAGAATTTAGTGGATTTAATCATAATGTAATGATGTATAGGATTTTACCTTGGGCCACTTTAAGTTCGTTCCTCCTTGATAAAGCATCACTTAGTAGCTTTAAATCATGAGCTAAACCCTCCCACCCCTTAAGAACGTAAATGAATTCCAAATCAAAGTTACAAGCTGCTAATACATTTTATGATATATTTTCATAACCATTACGATAGCTGCTTGCATCTCGTCCTTCATGTACCATCAATAGCTCTGATACAATCCTAAAATTATTCATAAGTAAATATAACCATATTATGAAAAATACATATTATAATAATGACAATTATAATGACAATATTAATATAATTAGATAATCATCACATACATTGAAATAAGGGTAAAATCTTATGCTTTCCCTTATTTTAGCGGGCACAGCCGATCCTGGTTTAGCCATCAAATCGTATGCTATTGAATTTAAGGCCTTTAAAATATTGTGAAAATTTTCACTTGCGGCGAATTGTGATTGGCTAGATGTATTATGAGTTACATAATATCTAGTATTTTGGCCAATGATTTGTAGGAACACTGCAAGCATTTCTTCAATACAAATAAATTTTGTATCCTCCAAAAGTGTTTTTTCTCTAAGAATAGTGCATAACTTCTAGAATACATATGAATACATTCTATATATTTGCTAGAAGATTGCAGGATCATCATTCAATGCTTGATGTATATAGTCATATCCAATGCTAGTAATTCATCGTCGAGTTAGTGGACATTCAATTTGTTCACCATGCATCATAATCAGAAATTGATTTAGTATATAGTCATATCCAATGCTAGTAATTCATCGTCGAGTTAGTGGACGTTCAATTTGTTCACCATGCATCATAATCAAAAACTGATTTAGTATATGTATTATTGCATAAATTGCCATCACTAAAATATTAATGGCTTCATATAATTCTTCATCCAATTATTCTTCATTTATTTCGTCTTCCTCTATTTCTTCTTCTTCTATATCATTACCTTCGTACATACTTGGTTACATATTAAGAAAAAAAAAAAAAAGAGGCTACAAAACAATAAAAAAAATGACATTATACATAATATTCAGTCATCATCGAGCTCAGCAAGTGGTGTGATGGAACCCGTTCCAAACAAATTTATCATAAAAGGATGACGATACTTGGTTAATCAAACACAACCAATCAATACTAAGAGTCGCATGGCTATACTTTTAAAATATTCTATGTATGGAGTATAGCTGGTAGGTTATACTATCAAATATAATATTTTCATGGGGTATAGTCGCACAGCTATATTATTAAATATACTATTTATGGCGTATAGCTGCACGGCTATACTATTAAATTCTTCTATGTATGGCGTATAGCTGCGTGGCTATACTATTAAATATACTATTTTATGAAGTATAGCCGCTGTTATACTCTTTAAATATATTTCCAACAATAAAAATATTGATTTCACTATAGCAAAGCTTTGTTCCCTAGAGTGCGCTTGTGGTTGAGGGAAAATTTATGCATTTTTTGTTTGTTGCATGTGCATGAACAATGATATAAAGAGATTGCTTATCTTTTTAGGTGCCCTTTGTCATATTTCCTTAAATAAATTCGAATATTCGAACTGCATAGCCTAGCTGCTATACTATTTAAATATATTATGTTTTAATTATTATTTAATATTAAAAAAAACAAAAAAAAAAAGTTCGCAAAACAATTTAAAATAATTAATTACTATTTATTAAACAAAATATTTAAATATTAACTAAAGAAATAATAATTAAAACATAATTACTAATTAAAATAATTTTAAAAAACTAAGATATTACTTAATTACACATATTAAACTAAAGAAGTTGACAAAAAAAACTAAAATAAAGAAACTAAATTAACGACACTTGTAGTCCTTGTGGTTTCCAACTTTTACTATTAAAGTTCTTGTGGTTTCAATTTCATCACTTTTGCCAATAAGGTTTAAGAGTCTAAGCAATTTGAAGACACTTCTCAAGAAAAACTTTCCTCCTCCTTGGTTGTTTTTTTTCCTTTGTTCTCGTCTGAACTTTCAACCTCCTCCCCCTTTAAATTCTCTCTCTCCTCCGTCCAGACCAAGCTCTTCTCCCTCCTCAGCCATATCTCTGCCACTCTCCTCTTTTGTTATGGAATACAAATTTGGGTTGTAAAACCCAAAGCTTTTTGTAACCCAAAAACACAAAACCCCAAGCTTAAAAGTAAAATACAAAATATTATCTGTCAAACTGTTGCTCCTGCATTTTGATTGTGTTGGGCATCCCTGTTTTTGGGGCTTTTGTTTGTAATTTCTTCTTTTCATATTAAAAAAAAGTATCCCTTCCCCCAAAATCATAGTTCTCTCCTCATATTTCTTATGTCTGTATTTTTTTTGGTTAATTTTGATGGGTAATGATTCACTCTTGAAATTGGTTTTGTTTTTGTGGCTTTCTTCCCCATTCTCAATTAGTTGAGAGTTCACCTACCATTGAAATTTTACAGTTTATCAGCCCTGTGAGTTGGAAGAGAGACTTAAGAATTGAGATTAAAAAGGGAGGGGAGTGTTGAGGTTTAAATAGAAAAAAAAAAAAAAAAAAAAAAAAAAAAAGAAAAAAACGAGGGGCTTGCAGGTAGAACGCAAGGTAAGGAATGTAAATAGAAGTAAAAAACCAGAAAAATAAAAAAAATAAAAAAAGGAGGAGGAGGAGGGTTGCAGGCCAGAAGGAACGGAAGGTAAGGGAAAGGAGAAAAAATAAAGGAGGATTGCGGGCCGGAGAGCGGTAAGGGAAGAGGGAAAGGAAATTAAAAAATTCACAGCTGGCATGAGGTTCAGCATCCAAATAGCGTGAAAGCTTTAATGGAAAAAGTATGGAGTTGGTGATGATGACCAGTATGAGGTTCAGCATCCAAATAGCACTACCCTTTGGCTTGGAAGTTGGAGAAGAAGGCAATTATTGAATCTTGTATTGTATTCTACTACAATCTGAGCTCTCTCAAAGCTTTTCTTTTTCTCTGAATACTTTTGGGTGCTGGCTTCTCAGAGAAAACGCAATCACTCACTCTGCAACTTACTACAGAGCACTGCAAGGCTCTTCATTTTTTATTTTTTTATTTTTATTATTATTAATATTTTACCGTTTTTGTAATTACAGGGGATTTTACCTTAATGCCCCTCCACTTATTCAATAACTAACGGCAACAGCTGATGCCTTAACAGAACTAAAAGGAATCTGATGGAAATTGAGAAGTATCCTCGAATTACTTGGCCTCTTAAACAACAGTGGCAAAAGTGACGAAATTGAAACTACAAGGACCTTAGTAGTAAAAGTTGGAAACCACAGGGACTACAAGTGTCGTTTTGCCTTTTTAAATTTTTTTTTAAAAGAAAACAACCTCTCCTGACGAAATATTGTCGGCATAGATCTATGTCGGTAAATATTTGCCGGATTAGACCTCTCTTGACAAAACTAACATTTGTCGACAAATTTTCGTCGGGAGAGGTCTAATAGGCAAATTTACGCCGGGATAGGCCTATACAGACGAAACTTCGTCGGGAGAGATATTTTTGAAAATAAATATCAATTTAGTAATTAAATAAAATCTTAGCTTTATTTAATTACTTTCATTAGTAATTATATTTTAATTATTATTTCTTTAGTAAATAATTAGTATTAAATATTTTAATTCACTTCATAAATTATATATTACTTAATAAATAGTTTTAAAATTTTTTAAATTTTTTCTTTGATAAAATATTTAAATACTAATGATTCACTAAGTAAATAATAATTAAAACTTAACTACTAATTAAACTAATTGAAAAGGCGAAATCAAGATTCTGCTATATTACTTAATCAAGATTATGTTAAAATATTTTATTTATGTAGTATAGCCGCTATATGTTTAAATATACTATTTATGCAGTCTAACCGAGCGGCTCTACTATCAGAATATTCTATTTATAGAGTATCGCCGCGCGGCCATACTACGACAATATTCTATGTATGGAGTCTAGCCGACCGACTATACTATTAAATTTAGGGAGTTTCACTAAAACACCCAAAATGGAGGTTGAAATTATAAAAAAACCCAACACCCAAAACACTTTATAAACACACCCAAAACCATCATTACACACACTCAAAACCCATTTATAAACACACCCAAAAAGTTGACTTTGGGGTTGATTTTGGGTGTGTTTCTATGTTTAAATAGTACTTGAGTTTTTTTATAAATACATGTCTAGGATTAGGTTTATTTATAAATTTGTATTAAATTTATTATGAATTATAGCCGCGCGGCTATACGATTAGAATATTCTATGTATGGAGTATAGCCGCCCGGCTATACTATTAAATATACTATTTTATGGAGTATACTGTATAGCAGCGCTGCTACACGTTTGACAATACTATTTACTTGAAGAGAAAAGAAATTGACAATAATGAAGAAGTAAAAAAAACCCAGGCATCCCCAGCCCCCGACGTCGTCGTATTGTGAATCAGACAGAGAGAGAGTTCACAGTGCTGTGTTCAGTGTCTGCCATGAAGTTCCGGTACGCCATGGTGTGTTCATCGAACCAGAACCGAAGCATGGAGGCTCACTCGCTCCTCAAGAGGCAAGGCTTCGACGTCTCGTCTTACGGCACTGGTGCCCACGTTAAGCTCCCTGGTCCTTCCCTCAGAGAACCCAACGTTTACGACTTTGGAACTCCTTATAAGCAGATGTTCGACGATCTTAGGCGAAAAGACCCCGAACTGTATCCTCCTCTAAACTTTTTCTTCCTTCAATTTCATTCAATTAGGTTTTTCGATGCTTTGGGGTTTAGAGCCTGTGGGTCATGTCAATGGTCATAATCTAAGCGGTTCTGATTCCTCCTTTTTCTTTTAGCTCTTCTTGTAATTTTGGATTTTTTAGTTTCTTATCTTGCTTTCAGTTCTGCCTGCAAGGGGTTATGGGTCATTGATATTTGAGTAATAAATAAATTCCTTAAATTACCAAGAAAACATTAAAAATAAAAAGATCATCTTTGCACCTTGAATTCATAAGGTTTGGGTTTCTTATATTCGAGCTGGACTAGTATGTAACTAAGATTGTAGGCTTAAAGCTTCAAGATTTGGCAATTAAATGGGCAGTCTGATAATTTCTGGGCAATGAAATTATCCTGTTGAATCTTATGTATAATTCGATTGGTTGCTCTCAATAACAGTAGTTCAGTTTTTTAGGACGTATGAATTGAAATGTATGTGCGTACTCTGGATTGTGAGCTGTGTTTTTTTCATTTAAAAGCAAAGTGAAACCTTGACAGCAAGAGTACAGGTACAAGCGTAATGGCATTTTGCCTATGCTTAAAAGAAACTCAACGGTCAAACTGGCACCTCAGCGGTGGCAAGATAATGCTGCTGACGGTTCCTTCGATGTGGTATTTACATTCGAAGAAAAGGTTTTTGACATGGTTCTTGAAGGTTGGTAATACTCCCTTCTGCTATTTATGGCTTGCATATTATGGGTTTCAATAGTACAGCACTCTGAAAATGAAATAATTGAATGCTGTTCTTTCCTTTGCTGTTTTTTGTTTCTTGGCAATCTCTATCAATTGAGCTGTTGGAATATGAATTGGAGGTAGTGTTTCTTGGTTCTCTTGAGAATATCAGTCTTAGAATATTTATTCTAGCAATGATGATGACCTGATACAATTGGCAAGTTAACTTGAGCTCTTAAGTTATAGACATATGATTCCTGTCAGCTTAAGCAATGGAGATGGTAATGGAAACAGGACAACAAGGGATATTTTAAACTGGATTTTTTGCTGCGGGGGTATATTAAGAAAATAAGAAACTTGGAGTGTCAAGGTTCCCATGCAAATTAGAACTTTATACATACAACAGAGTTGCTGGTTTTAGAATCTAAGAGATGCTGAAATCTCAAGGAAAAGGTAAAGTTTATATCTTGTGAGGGTTTTTGGATACAGATCTTTTTGGATTGTTGAGGGTTTCCGTTTCTTTAGTTGAGCTCGTGGAAGAATTTATTCTAAACGGGAAGATTTTGAAATTTTTAGAGTAGTGTTAAAGCCAGAGCTGGAGACTATTAGAGTAGAAAATTGGAATGTGTTAGTTTGAGACTGCTTGCTTTAAACTTGGAGATATTTTTCCTGGAGAAGGCCGTTGCCCATCGGAGTGAGGGCCTCTTCTTATGGTTTTTAAATATGGCAATTTGTTAATGAGACAGGGTTTTCATCAGATTTCTCTATGGGTTTGATTTCATAGTCTGCCACTTGAAGTATCTCACAAAATCAAATCTTACCCTTTTAAGTGCTCTACTTTTGGTACATAATCTAATGGTTAATTTGTTAAAATTGATCATAATTTTAGTGTTTAGAGTTATCTTTAGGTGAATTAAGGAATTTTTACTTTTATACTTCTGCCTGTAGTTTTGTTATCTATTTAGAAAATGAACTATATGCGCTTATGTTTCAGTTTTGAACCTTTGGTTCACACTGGAAAAGAAGCTTCAAAGATTGTGGCACCATTTGCTTTTGTTTGTTTGGTTTTAATTTTACGAACAACTATGTGGTTAATCTGTAAGTTGGAGAAGCCATCCTTGTTTGCTTGTCTGACCCCTGTGCAACAATGTATAGATCTTAACAACCGGGACCATGTTCTTAAGAAGTGTGCACTGATAATCAACCTGGAGGTAAAAGATAACCACGAGGAGGCAGCTGTGGGAGCTCGTCTTGCTTTAGATCTTTGTCAAGAGGTCTGTATTTATGGTTGCACTGATTGTCAATAATTTGTAATGCAAAATACTGATGGGTGGTATGTTGTGGCTGTTGTTTTGCCTAGATTGAAGCAGCTGAATCATGGGAGGATTCAATAGATGATATCGTGAATGGTTTTGAGAAACAGCAGCGGCGGAAGTTATTGTATAGCATCTCATTTTATTGAAATTGTACTTTTAGGAAAATTTCCAGCAACCAATTCCATTGTTGCTGATAATTTATGTGATTAGCCACTAATTGCTTTCCAATTTCAATACGAGACTACATGCGCATAAAAATAATCAGTGGCAGCATAAATGTTTATGTTTCAGCCCCCACTGAGGGATAACAAGGCTGTGTTTTTGGATTGATTTACAAAACTATTCTGATGCCATTGAATTATGTTGATGCATGTTGTCAACAGTTGGGTTAGGTTTTCCGAATAAAATTTCATTAACAGGATGGAAACAATGTAAAATAAGAGAAAAATTGTAGCAGTTAAAATGTTGCTGACAATCATTCTCCCAAAAAAATTTATCTTTTGAATTAAAGGAATTGTATTAATAAAAATTGTAGCAAAATTTTAATTTCAATGAGACTGATGGTACAGTAGTTATGTGTGTGTGTCTCTCTCTCTTTACAAAATTAAATTACAAAATTAAAACACATAAAATATGTTACGACACGTGTTGAAAAATTAGTTATGACATAGTAGATAAACACACATAACATGTTACGAAAACACAAAACATGTAAAGATGAAAGGCATATTGAACATTTTCTCCAAAATAATTGCATCAACTAAGTTGTGCTAAAGGATCTTAAAATCTTCGAAACCCAGTATAGTTATGTTAAGGAATAGCTGATAATAAAATTAATAGAAAAGCTCTATTGCAGTTCAGCACAGTTAAGGGGGGTTAAGGATTCGATTAAGTAGGTAGGTAGGAACAAAGAATTTTAGAGGAAAAAAACATTAAAAAAAATGCGAGAGAGAGAGAGAGACAGCAGCAGCAGCAAAACTTTTTGTTTTGTTTTGGAAATGTTGTGCTTGTGTGTGAAGATGACTGTGTCGTCTAGTAACAAGTTACAAGTAAGTAGTGTGTCAACTGTCAAAGGAAAGATCAAACTTTCCTCCTCAATTTCCTTGCTTCTTCTTCTTCGAATAATATTTATAGGAAACGAAATCAATTTCAAATCTTTAAAATTGTCAGCATCATCGTTGACATCAACTCTTTAACGGAAACGAAATCCCTCCACACTCTTTTCTCTCTGCCAACTTCCCCCAACTGCTCTCTGCTCTTCTCTTCGTGTCAAATCTCGCCCCCACGCAGCTCTTCCTTACACACCCACACCCACCCACCTTTCATTCATTTGATTCTCTCTCTCTCTCTCTCTCTCTCTCTCCCGAGTTTTTTTCTCGGGAACCAAACAGCCCTCCCCCACTATGGCTTCGGAAGCAGAGGACGAGAAAAGCTGGAAGGACCTCCTGAGAAAGATGCTGCCTGCTGGCGCACCATTGCCCGACGAAGAGCACCTCGACTACTCAATCGCAGTCGAATACCAAGGCCCTCCCTTGCCCTACGACGACCTCCCCAGGGTTGATCCAGTTCAAATCGACTCCCTTCAAACTTCTTCTGTAACTTCCCTTTCGGTTTCGGACCTCTCTTCCATTCCGGTAGCTGTGCCGGTCGCTCAGAAGCTCTCGCGCTTCAATCGGGTCAGGAACGGTGCTGGTGTAAAAGAGCCGCGCAGCAGTAGCACGGCCTCTTCTTCGGCTCCGAAGTCGCAACTCGATTTGCAAAACGACAGGGAAGGATCGGAATTCGAAGGAGCAGACCAAGGTTTTAGCTCTGAATTACCAGTTCAAGACTCGAATCCCCAGCAGAAACCGATCGGAACCACCGGAGGAAAGAGAGCGGCCGTCGTGACTTTCAATACGCCAAGAGATTCGGAGAACGAAGACGACCTCGAAAACGATAACGAGGCTGATAGGTCTTCGTCGCCGCAATCGAGCGCCACCGAACCAGTGGGATCGCCGATTGCATGGGCTTCTTCGCCTGGGAGGCGGACGAATAAGAGAGGGATTTGCAGCAGGTGCGGAAAAGGGAACAGATTGAAGGAGAGAGAGTGGTGTTTGGTGTGCGACGCCAAGTTCTGTAGCAATTGCTTGCTTAAAGCCATGGGGTCGATGCCAGAGGGGCGTAAATGTGTGAGCTGCATTGGGCAGCCAATAGACGAGTCCAAGAGGTCGAGTTTGGGCAAGTGTTCAAGGATCTTGTCAAGGGTTTGCAGCCCTTTGGAGATTCGGCAGATAATGAAGGCCGAGAAGGAGTGCCCTGCCAATCAGCTTCGACCCGAGCAGTTAGTTGTGAATGGGAGGCTGTTGAGGGAAGAAGAACTGGCTGAGATTTTGGGCTGTGAATTGCCTCCTCAGAAGTTGAAGCCTGGGAGGTATTGGTACGATAAAGATTCTGGCCTTTGGGGGAAGGTGAGGTTTTTTTAATATATGTTGGATGAGCATTTTACAGCATCGTGTTGCATGCTTTTATATGTTTATAGTTAATTTTATTTGATTTCAGGAGGGAGAGAAGCCTGACAGGATCATTAGTTCAAAACTGAATGTTGGAGGTAAGCTCCGGTTCGATGCAAGCAATGGGAACACCAAAGTGTTCATGAATGGCCGAGAGATCACCAAGACTGAGCGTAGGGTGTTGAAGGTATGCTCGCAATGAATCCCCAAAAGTCCCTAATGAATGAGTCCGGTCTGCAGTAGGGTTCATATTCAATACGAACAAACCAGGGCCAATTTGGAAATCTAAACCCTAAATCATACTGTGAAAAAGTGAAACTGTCAATCAAAAGGTTAAAGAAGTGTTTGTATTGACCACGAATGCCTTACTAATTACTATAGAATCTCCCATCATAAGTAAGTTCATTAGGTAATAGTGTGATTAGTGGCAGTTTTCTAACTGAAGGTAACAATAACATGGACCTGCATGAAATTTTATGTTTGCTATGTGATTTATTTAATTGTGATAAGACGAACCTTATTACTTGCCTTTTATATTTCAGCTGGCCAAAGTGCAGTGCCCTCCAGATACTCATTTCTGGGTGTATGATGATGGATCTTATGAGGAGGAAGGTCAAAATAACATTAAAGGGAATATATGGGGAAAGGTTCTTTCGTTACCATGAATATTGGATATTTGTTGATTGGTCTGAGTTTGAAACTTTGGCAGATGATTTTGAGTCGAAATTTTATACAGTTGCAATTTGGTTTTTGGTAGGCAGGCATCCACTCGTTTCATTTGTTCATTATTCTCATTGCCTGTACCACCTGGTAATCAACACGGGGCAAACGAAGATCCTACAACACCTTCAAGTAGGTCAGTCCCTGAATATTTGGAACAGGGAAGAGTTCAGAAACTTCTGTTATTTGGCTTGGAGGGATCTGGAACTAGCACCATCTTCAAGCAGGTATGCGTCTTTTTGATTTTCTTCCAGCCCGTCCTCTTTTAGGGTGCCAGCATGGCTTTGTCCTTTTTTATTTCACGTGTTTTCTAATTTCTGCTCCAGTCAACCAAGACTTTTGTATAGATTTACTCTATCATGTGTTTTGTTCCTAGAGCAAATGCTTGTTGGTTTAGTGTTCAACAATCGAATATTCAGAATTTAAGTTGTTTCACTTAATACAAAAGGGAAGTTAATAGTTCCATTTACCTTGTCTTTGTGATTCGTGACATATTCGTAAGTTGACAATTAAAAAGGTGTTGCCTTTATTGTGTAGTGGACCTACCTTATCTTCCGTTATGTCATTATGTGGTTTGCAGTCATTTCTTGAAACCGGCAGCTGTTTTTACTGAAAAGCCTCAACTTGGAACTTAGAATGTATGGTAAAACCTCAAAAGTAGCTAAGAGTATGCTGCATATTTTTGTGGATCTAGATTAATACTAGAAGCAGAGGAAATTCAATCAGCTCGATCGCTGATTCACTGTAGATAAGTTATTTCGGTCCTCCACTGTTGAAAGTGATAAATAGAAGCTTTTACTAATGATGAAAACTCAATATATGTTTTCCAGAGTCACGAGCTTGATTTTACTGAATGAGAGTTAAGGAATTAATGTAAAAAAAAAGGGAGAACCAGATGCAGAATTCCGGAGTGGGAGGATAGGGAAAAGAAAAAGAAGAAAGAGAGTATAGAAGAGATGGCATTAACCTTAGGAAGGTTAATTTATGCATTTAGCATAGTATGAGCGATTAGATTTTGTGTGAAGAGTTCAGATTCAAAATAAGGATATTACAAAGCAAGAGGATTCAAGTCTATTTAATCTACTAACTTTCCTTTTGCGGATAATCAAATTGCATGATACGTTGGAGTCGGTTAGCGAAAACCCCCAGGGCTTAATTAATTTATTTATTTTTGAATCAGAAGCTTTATTTCTTTGTATGGGCATACTATGTCATGCTTTTTGAATAGAATTACAGTTTAAAAATGCTTATGTTATTCTTCTTTTTTCTGTGCAACAGGCTAAGTTCTTATATGGTAACAAGTTCACTCCTGAAGAGCTGCAGAACATCAAGCTCATGATTCAGAGCAATATGTACAAGTATCTAAGTATACTACTTGAGGGCCGAGAACGTTTTGAAGAGGAAGCATTGACAGAGAATAGGGCTACTTCGTCGGCTGCAGAAGAATCTCCTTCAGGTCTCTATTTATGTAATAAGTTAATGAAAATGACTTTTTTTTTGGGGGGTCAGATAATGAAATGACTTTCATTTTCTCCTTTTTCTGATGAAAATTGTTCCTTCGACTAACTGGATGCTTAGGCAGGTAGCTGTTTGTTATCTCCATCTTTGAAACAGCATATATCTAAGAGTCTTTTAGTTGGTTGTATCAAAGTGGACTTGGTAGGTAGGTAGCTGTTTTTCTGTCTGTTCCAACACTTTTGTCAATCTCGACACAAGCAACTGGGGTCGGTGTTGATGAAGTTTCATGTTATATCTAACCTAATTGTAAACATCAAATAAATAACGTCCCATTGTCATTAATATGAATTTCCTACTGATTGAAGAGGAATTCAACATGTTATTAGAGATTAGAACATTTTGCTTATTTGGTTTTCTGCTTGTAGGCATGAATGAACCTTAAGCAGTGGTTGACTGTGAAATGACTTTGTGTGAAACAGTAGTTGATGAAAGTGAGCAATGCATCTATGCAATCAACCAAAGGTTCAAGCACTTTTCTGACTGGTTACTGGATATCATGGCAACGGGAGACTTGGATGCATTCTTCCCTGCTGCTACACGTGAGTATGCTCCTATTGTAGATGAAGTATGGAAAGATTCTGCTATCCAGGAAACATACAAGAGGAGGGAGGAATTACATTGCCTTCCTGAAGTTGCCAAATATTTCTTAGATCGGGTTAGTCATTCCTCGTTTTGGCCTTGCATCTTTGGTTCTAACTTTATTCAGATTAATCTTTTGTTTTGCTCCATTTTAGATCTTTTAACTCATTCTTGTGATCATTTTACATTACATTTTTATCTCATTTCTTGTGTTAGTACTCATCAACTTACCTCCACTGCATTATTTTTATTTAGTTCTTTACAAGTCTACCCCAAGTCTGGGTAAGGTTATGGTTTGATCATCCATCCATCAGTAGGATTGCTGATCAAAATTGCCAGGAATATGCTTACTCCGTGCAACACTGACAGAGAGCTTTAGTTTTATGGTCTTTCTTGTTTTGTTCTGAAAGGAATCCTCTATTCAGAATGCAGGGTATTAAATAAATATTAATTTAGTAAGACTAGACTGGATTATCAAATTTCATATTTCTGTTTGAAAGATCAGATTTGTTGAATTGGTATTATTCCTCTAATGGTATTTTCAAATTTAGTTAATGGTCTTCCACATTTACTTAAATTAATATTAGGTAAGTTGGCATAAATGTGGTTCCATTGGTTGGTAAATAAATGGAGAAATTTCAAAGCAGCTTGGATTGCATTTTTTTTTTCCGTCAGTACAACTAAATTTCCAAACTTGAGTTGTTATCCTCACGGATGTTTGGTGTTTCATTTTCAACAGGCTATAGAAATATCAAGTAATGAGTATGAGCCTTCCGAGAATGACATTTTATATGCTGAGGGAGTTACTCAAAGCAATGGGCTTGCCTTTATAGAATTTTCTTTTGATGATAGAAGCGCTATGTCTGAGCTATACAATGAAAACTATGAATGCCCCCCTCCCTTGACCAAGTAAAACCTTCATCCTTTCACCTTCAATCGAGTGCTTTCCATCTTGTGCTCCTGCTTCTTCTTTTTTGTTGCTTCCGATGAAAACCATAAATCTGTTGCTCACTAGGTTGAGTCTTGTCTCAGGTATCAACTCATTCGCATTAATTCCAAAGGACTGAATGATGGTTGCAAATGGCTGGAAATGTTTGAAGATGTGAGGGCGGTGATATTTTGTGTCGCATTGAGTGACTATGATCAAATGTGGGCCCAGGGTAATGGTCTTCTTTGTAATAAAATGCTGGCAAGCAGAGATTTGTTTGAGAGTTTGGTGAGGCATCCGTGTTTCAGGAACACTCCGTTTGTGCTCTTGCTGAACAAGTATGATGCCTTTGAAGCCAAGATAAACCTGGTTCCTTTGTCTGTCTGTGAGTGGTTGAAGGACTTCAGCCCCGTTAAGCCACACGGTAATATGCAGTCTCTGGCACAGCAAGCATATTATTATGCGGCGGTGAAATTCAAAGAGCTGTATTCATCCATAACTGGTGAGAAGTTGTTTGTGGCGCAGACCCGAGCTCGAGAGGGTACCTCAGTTGATGAGGCGTTCAAGTACATAAGGGAGATCCTTAAGTGGGATGATGAAAAGAATGATAATTTCTTTGCTATAAATGGGGATGACTCATTTTACAGCACGGAGATGAGTTCTTCTCCTTATGTCAGGCAAGAATAAACCCAATATTCTACTTTGCTCTGGCAAGTCAGCACTGTGAAGTGAAAGATTGAAGGCCTTGTGCTTCCATTTGATTAACTGATGGAAGGATGGGTAGTGAAGTCAGTTAGGCTGCAATTCTTTCTTTTCTTTCTCTTTTTTATTCTTAGGATGGATTTGTTTTCGACTTAGGCTGGATTTGTTTTCAAGCTTGGTTGACAATCTTTTCTGATTAGGTACATGATTAAAAATTGATTTGTAAAATAAGCTCATTTCGACAGGAGTTTTTGTCTGTACAGCATTCAAACATGAATAAAAAGCAACTCCTGTAAGGTTTTTAGGTTAGAATGTTTGATTTATTCAAATTATCCTCCTGGGTTTTAATGGGGCGTGTACTTCAACTTGCTTGCCAAATGAATGTCATTGGAGTTTGTATTGCAATTTGCATGTGGTGGATGGAATTTTGGGCAATGACTCCTTCAAAGTCAAACCTTTTGCAGCTGATGAGAGTCTGATAAGGAGGAGCCTAGGACTCGTTCTTACAAAGTTGAGGTGACTGACTTTTTTGTTTTTCCTTTTCTCCTACTACATACTACAGAAGAAAATAAATAAATTAAAAAAACACCAATGAAGACTTGCGAGAGAAAATTGATGTTCTCTTCCTTTTACTTTGATGTGTTTGGGCCTGCGTGATCCTGTGGTTTTTGCTTCGCTAGTAATTTTCCGTTTTCGCATAAATAAAGTTTATAAAAAAAGACTTGCAAGAAAAAATGAAAAAAATGTAACAGCTGGGATATCGGTCTTGTTCGTCATATCTGATTCAGAATTTCAGATTAATATAAAATAAAAAAACCGAAGAAGAAGACGAAAAGAATCTCGGTCAACGCTTCAAAACCTCATACTCATACTTAAACCAGCTCATCATAATTTAAAAACATAATTCGTTCACTTGGTAACATTTGAGGCCCATGAAGGAAGAGCTTACTTTTACCACTTCCCCGCTTTTGACGGTTAATTTTAAAACTTTCAAAGCTTCAACGGTCAACATTCAAATTGTACTATTACTAAAAACCCCTGCTTGAATTTGTTTACTTATTCAATTCTTTCCCATTTCTCTCCATATGCAAAATGGTCTCATCTTTGAACACCGCGTGTATGAAAACCTGAAAAGTTGTGGCCGGAACAACATGTAGTATTATTAGTATATAAACCCCATCACCTCCCCTCCTATTTTTTCACAAACAAAAAACACCACCAACAAAAACAGAAGAATCAACTTCTCTCACTGCTTTTCTGATCAACTTAATCTGTGCTAGCTAATCAGCAAGCAATGGTTTTAGGGTGGAGAAGAAGGAGAACAGGCCACGGCGCCACGAAAAAGCAGCCCCGGGACCTCGACATGGAAGCCCTCATCCCAAACCATTTCCTGTGCCCAATATCGCTGGACTTGATGAAGGATCCGGTTACATTGTCATCCGGAATAACCTACGATCGACAGAGTATTGACACGTGGCTCGAAGCCGGGAATTTCACTTGCCCGGTAACAAATCAGGTGCTGAGAAACTTTGATCAGATTCCCAACCATAGTCTCAGAAGAATGATTCAAGAGTGGTGCACTCAAAACAAGCACTATGGCATCGAACGTGTCCCAACACCCAGAATTCCTGTCTTGCCAATGGAGGTCTCTGAGATTCTTTTCAGCATCGGAGCCTCTGCTAGACGTTTGGATCAACATGGCTGCTTAGAATGTGTGCACAAAATCAAGAAGTGGGGAGCTGAGAGCGAACGCAACAAGCGGTGCATCTTGGAGAACGGGACGGCCTCTGTTCTAGCTGCTGCCTTTGATTCTTTTGCAACTGATTGCATAAAGAGAAATGCCACCGTTTGTGAAGAGATATTGTCTGCGCTGAGTTGGATGCTTCCAGCTTTCGATGAGGAAGCCCACAAATACTTGGGGTCTCAGGCTTCGTTACATGGCATGGTTTGGTTTCTCAAGATGAGTGATGATCTTTCAGTAAAGCAAAATGCTATTTTAGCATTGAACGAGCTTCTTGCTTGCCATGACCGGAATAAACATGTTGATGCGTTGGCGGAGATTGGTGGAGTGAATGAGGTACTTTTCGACTTCATCAGAGAGAAAATTTCTCCGACGATTACCAAGGCTTCGCTGATGGTGGTCTTCTACTTGGTTTCATCATCATCATCATCTTCTTCTTCTTCTAAATCTAGTGAGAAGATCAAATCAGCATTTCTGGAGATGGGTTTAGTTTCCATATTGTTGGAAATTATTGTCGACTCTGAAAGGGGCATATGTGAGAGGGCTTTGGTTGTTTTGGATAGTCTTTGCGATTTCCAAGATGGGAGGGAAAAGGCCTATGCTAATGCTCTCACTATACCTGTCTTGGTCAAGAAGATTTTGAGGGTATCAGAAATGGCGACTGAGTATTCAATTTCTGCTATTTGGAAGCTGTGCAAGTGTGCAAGCAGTCAAGAAGAAAGAGTTCTTGTTGAGGCCCTTCAAGTTGGTACATTTCAGAAGCTCCTGTTAGTTTTACAGGTTCGTTGTGGTGATGACAACACAAAGGAGAAGACAACTGAGCTTTTGAAACTCCTGAATCCTTACAGAGCTGGGTTGGAATGCATTGAGTCTGTAGATTTCAAGAACATTAGAAGGTCATTTTGATCTTCGTCCAGAGAAAACATTTATGAATTCTTTTCTTTCTGATAATTCTTAAATTTTCATTTCATCAATTAATTTGTTCTCCAAAGTTGAAGTTGTAACTTGTAATATAATACAATACTGCAAGATGAATAGAGGGAAGTGAAAACAGAGGTTCCATTCCATTCCATTCTTTTCACATGATGTCACATGTTTCAGTCTGTCTGTTTGAATAAAGAGATTTCAATGTGTGTGTAGGTAAAGCTTAAATGGTATTTTGATATGAATGCTTGTTTGCTTGAGATGTCAAACAAGTTGGCTTGGCCCTTGACATTGTTATAGCTTATATCAATCTAAGTCCATCAAGCAGTGATGGATGGGATTGATGTGTGTTCCATTCCAAACATGCTTTAGAAAATAAAATCCCACATGCATCATGCAATGATAATCAACATTCAACACACATCCTTTTGGTTAGGACTCAGGAGGGATTGTCAACTTGTTGGTACCGACTCGAGCTCATTTTATGCACCTCTTCAAAAACTAACCAAAACGTCCCAAACTTGTTCGTCTAGTAAGGACATGGCTACTTCATAGATGCTTGTATGCTACCTACCAAAACCCAAAAACAAACGACAAGCTGTCAAAAGTATTGCACATTTAGAATGTGCTTTCGTTTTCAATCTTTTCAACTAGTTAGCCCCTCCTCCATGTGGGAAGTGGGAAAACAGTAGGAGAGCAGTCTTATTCTGCTTATCTAATACAAGCCCAAAACTTGGGTTAGTTCCATTGTTTGGAGGCATGATCTCACTTGGCAAAATCCGATTATTGAGACTATTTTATTTATTTATTTAATCCCTTGCGTCTTCCCAAAATGTTAAAGAAAACCCTATAATTCGAGAAAGAAAGAAAATGTGTGCTTAGTTCTTGACTCGATTCATTATTTAATTCATTCTTAAACCCATACGAATACCCTCTTGAGAAATTTGCCTTATCCTTGACTTGATGATGCTTTTGTTCGAGAATCAGATGTGTGCTTTGATTATCATGCCTGAATTTATGCATTATTATTCTTGAGAAATTTGAAGGGCAATTGTCGTGAAATGAAAGCGTGTGAATGATGGGTCAATGTGGATCAAATCTTACTGCAAATACTAAACCCCCCCTCCATCGGGTGTTCAGATGGAGACGGGTTGGGTGGTCAATGCAGGCGTATGTGAAACCAAGTTTGCGCTGCAATTCATACCAAATCATTCCCAATACTGGAAAATTTGAAAAGCTGAGCCATACGTACGTAAACAGATGACTAAATTCCCAATTTGGATATAGACTCGGTCACTCAAGACTATCGCAATGGAAGACCTCATTTCAACAATTGAATTCTTTGGTACGTATGACTATGAATCTAAGATCAAGTATAAACAGAACTTGAAGCAAAACATACGCCAATGAAATGAAGACCATGTAAAGGCTCGCACATTCTAGGCTGGGATAAGTATCTCAACTCACGCTTGGAATTCATGGCACGCAACCATCCTTGATTCTCAACAAATCAAGGGAGATTGGAATTCATATATTCAAACAAGGATAAATAGACCGGGCAAGGCCAAATCTCTAAGCAGTAATAATAATTGTCTTACTTTTCATATATAGTTGACAACAAAAAGTATATTTGAGCTTGCTACGAGAAAAACGTCCCAGAAACACATACTAGATGATGACTAACAATTAACCACACAAAGTGAAGACACTACAATATTACTAGAAGTCACATCGGTTTCCCATTTATGATGAAAAAAAATATGAACTCAGTTGTTTCTACTCCCAAACAAGAGCCTATCTGGGAAAAGCTACTCCTTCTTGTACCCCTTCTCCACTTCTTCCAATTTCTGAATGTCCTTGTAATATTTACAGATGCGAAAAAGACACCTGTGCCCAACATTTGTAGATTACTATCAAATGACAAGAAATATAGTAAAGACCTTCAAGTTTTTTATTTGTTTAAACTTCTAAAGAAATAAAACAAAAAGATGAGGTCATTTGATGATCTCTAGCCAACATACCAGTAAAGCAGACATGCTGAAGCGCAAAGAATTACATTCCTTTGAGCCTTGTAGATCTGCATGACATATTTTTCGCAACAAAGGTGTCAAGAATAATAGAATTTAAAGCGTGTGTGTATATATATATATATATATATATAGAACTTGAATCTTTCATTTCTCTTGATTGGCAGAGGGCTCATTATGCAATCATTAGACATCCCACTGCTACATATGCTGCAACTTGCAACATAAGAATTGAACCACATATCAAGTTTTTCATGAAATGTACAGCGCAAAAGTAGAGAGTATCTTCCAAATACACTCAATTGATCTCCCACTAGAATGTTTCCACAAGCATAAATCCTTCTTTCAAACTCATCCTCAAATACCCATAAACAAAGAAAGTCTTAAAGATAATAAAGAGCATAAATTTTGCAATATATAAAGACAGAAATAATTATGAGACACACTTCAGGATTCAAGATACCATCCTAAAGAAAAGTCAAAGAAACACGACAATCCAATGCCGTATATGTATGAAATATTGAAACATGAGAGTTTTGGAGGACAAAATTAAGAAACAGGTATGTGTGTCATGGAGCATTATGATTTTGAGAAAAATAAATATGAATTTGTAATGCTGTTATTCTATAATAAATTTGTTAAACAGTATAGTGAATGGGAATTGGAGACATCAGTGGGTGCTCAAAATGAAATTATCCTTTTGTTATATGATTTCATTTTTGATAAATTCATTTTAGCATGCTGAAGAGCTGTAGGCATCATCAACTTGATTAAAGATTAGAATCACATAAGAAATTAAAACGCGAGAGAAAGAGAGAGAGAGAGAGAGAGAGAGAGAGAGAGAGAGAGAGAGAGAGAGAGAGAGAAACTGACGGATTTCTCATAGCGGTCACGCTCAGCAGCGGTGCAGATCTCAGAGGTGCAGGACAGGCGGTGCTCATTCTTCCAATATATATCTACACAGAATTTAAAAGAAAAGAGAAAGTAAGAAAGAGCCAAGTCAAAGATCAATTGGAAATCCATTACCTAAAAAGGAAAAATGATCAAATTGAAAATCCGATGCTAGATTGTTGCCATGGTATGGTATGCCCTAGGAATCAAATCAAATAAGAAGAATAAACAAACCAAGGAGCTGAAAGCCGGCGAATGGAACGATGAAGAGGGCAGGTTGGAGGATGAGAGAGACCAACGACACGAATTGATTCTTCAAGAGCTTCGGCGCAGGAAGGGTTAAGAGGAAGGCCAAGGCTGCCTCTGCTGCCACCACGTACGTCAGTATCATCCACTGCAACGCCATTTCGCGATCTCTCACTGTTTCTCTCTCTCTCTCTCTCTTTGTCAAATTCGATTGCTTCGCTTTGATATTTGTTTGTGAGGCTGAGGCTTACTTAATTACTTGCTACTTCTTCTGAATCTGAATGATGCTGCTCTGGCTGCCGCTTTGCCTTAGTTAGGCTTAATCACCAAGCAAGCAAAGCATAAGTTGCTAAAGCAAAGAAGACTGAGAGGATCGGCCATGGTTTCGGAACCGGTTCACTCGCCCAAAATCAACAGTTTGGGCAACTTCAATATTATGATCCACCTCTACCACTTAAAAGCCCAAAAGCACAGTCCAATACGGTATTTAAATTTGGTCCTTTACTTCATTTTTGGGCCCAAAATAATATTATTGGCCGGACAAAAAAAAACAGAAAAAAGATGCCAACTTAATTATTAGCTGCCAGCTTGAACAATTATTATCATTATTTTTTTGGGTAAAGATTAGCTGGAACAATCCCTTCAACCTTTGTTTTTCAATCCTAATTCATAAATGCCTATGGGCCTCCACAAGTACAAAGTAGAAATTTATTAATGAAGTTTACATAATAAGGACATGCTAATTCTTCTGTCTTAGAGCAAGTCCAGTGCAAGGGGCTAGTCCAGGTAGGAGGTTGCTTAAGGTCCGAAAGGTAGTTCCAGTCCGCAAGACCCAATTCGGGTAGGCATGGGACCCACGGGGAGATCTGGCTTGTCGTATTGCCTTCATGCAGCTGACGTCAGCGCAAGAATTTAAAAAAATTAGCGCTGTCAGAAACCAACAGCTACAAGCCACATAGCTTCTCCTGAAGACTCCGATCCGAAAATGTCCTCAATCCAACGGCTGCCCATTTTTGGCTTAAAAAAAGCTGTAAAAAAATATTAAAAAATTTCTGAAAATTTTTTTCCATACAAATTTATCTCATTCCAATATTTTTCACTTTCCACACCAAATTTCTACTACAAAATTCCATTTATGTAAAAATACAAATGGCATCTTCCATCGAAACTGGATGGTCGTGGACAAACGTTCGAAGTAGTTAAAATCTGGTGGTGACAAAAAAAAAAAAAAAAAAAAAAAATATAAATTCATTTTAATATCATTTAAAATATATATTTTCTTGTATTTCCAATTTCATTTTTTAATACATTATTCAAGGCAAAAAAAAGAAGAAGAAAACCATTACACATGGCTACTCAAGTGAACAATGCCAGTAGTCGGTTCTAGTGGTGCGTTCCGTGTCGAAAATAATGGCACTATTACTTCTTTCGAAGGAAAATACTCCCCCACGTCGTGATCCGGTGGAATCGCCTTCGCTAATGATTGAGTCGTCCTTGTACTCTATTGTGTCGAACTATGAGGACCGGGAGTATTTCAATTGTATGATGAGTAAATAGGTATTTCAATTGTATGATGAGTCAAATGTGACTTTTATAATAAATATGGACACGTGGCAACCGAAAATCTTATTCGAAAATTTTATCTGAAATTTGAGATGTAAATGTTATAATAAATATGGACAAGTGACAACCGAAAATCTTATCCTAAATTCTTGCTCTTGCCTTGCCCTTGCCGCTAGAGTGGAAGTGCTCAATGACGTTTCAATCAATCACATGGTTTTGTTTTGTATTGAGGATACGTTCCAATCAATCAATCACATTCGGTAATTCAAAGACTTATCCGATGCCATCAGATCAGTGATGATGCTCTAGGAAATCCAACTTAATCTAATTGAAAACCAAAACAAATAAAATTTAATATTAATTTTGAAATGAATTTAAAAGCTTCACACAAGAAATTGAGATATATGAATTTATATTCTCTTCTTCTTTTACTTTTTTTTCTTTAATTTATTTGTTTGTAGGGTCCAAATTAAAAAAAATCGTCCACAAGTGTCTTAATCTTACCAAAAATCGATAGATTTTGCTTAAGAGAAAGGGGTTTAGGGTTTAAAGTTTAGGGTATATGTGAAAGGAATAATTGAAACTATATATCACTCTCCTAAACTTATCATATGTATGTAATTAAAGTATGTAAACATCTCAACGACCTTGTTGTTCAATCCTAATTAATGACATCATTATAATTTGATAAATGGCTATGGCCCATAAGTACAAGTAGTAGAAGTTACATAATGAAGTTCACATTAAGCACCGAAACAACAAATAAGAAAATACTAGGCTTAACTTTGTTTTATTTGAAGACGTGAAGCACGCTTTAGAAATGGCATTACAATCATATTGTTCAATCCTAATTAATGACATAATTATAATTGATAAATGGCTTTAGTAGCTTGTAACTTTGATTTGAAATTCATTTACGTTCTTAGTGGGTGGGAGGGTTAAGCTTATGATTCAAATCTATTAAGTGATGCTTTATTAAGGAGGAACATACTTAAAGTGCACTAAGGTAAAATTCTATAAGTCATTACATTATGATTAAATCCGCTAATTTTTTATAGAGATATTTAGTCATATACCTATTCTTAGCACCAAAACTATAAATAAACCTTACACAATTTAAAAGAAAAGAGAAAGTAAGTAAGAAAGAGCCAAGTCAAAGATCAATTGGTAATCCATTACCCAACAGGTACAAAAGATCAAATGGAAAATCCGATGCTAGATTGTTGCTATGGTATGGTATGCCCAAGGAATCAAATCAAATCAAATCAAATCAAATCAAATAAGAAGAAGAAACAAACCAAGGAGCTAAAAGCCGGCGAATGGAACGATAAAGAGGGCAGGTTGGGGATGAGAGAGACCAACGACACGAATTGATGCCTCTGCTGCCATCACGTACGTCAGTATCATCCACTGCAACGCCATTTCGCGATCTCTCACTGTTTCTCTCTCTCTTTGTCAAATTCGATTGCTTCGCTTTGATATTTGTTTGCGAGGCTGAGGCTTACTTAATTACTTGCTACTTCTTCTGAATCTGAATGACGCTACTCTGGCTGCCGCTTTGCCTTAGTTAGGCTCAATCACCAAGCAAGCAAAGCATAAGTTGCTAAAGCAAAGAAGACTGAGAGGATCGGCCATGGTTTCGGAACCGGTTCACTCGCCCAAAATCAACAGTTTGGGCTACTTCAATATTATGATCCATCTCTACCACTTAAAAGCCCAAAAGCACATTCCAATTCTGTATTTACATTTGGTCCTTTACTTCATTTTTGGGCCCAAAATAATATTATTTGGACCAAAAAAAAAAAAAAAAAAAAAAAAAAAAAAAAAAAAAAAAAAAATTGCCAACTTAATTATTTAGCTTGACACAATTATTTTTTTTTCTTTTGGTTTTTTTGATTAGCTGAAGAACAACCCCTTGAACCATTGTTCTTAAATCCTAATTTATAAATGCCTATGGGCCTCCACAAGTACAAAGTAAAAATTTATTAATAAAGTTCATATAATAAGGACATGCTAATTCTTCTGTCTTAGAGCGAGTGCAGCGCAAGGGGTTAGCCCAGGCAGGAGGGTGCTCTAGGTCCAAAAGACAGCTCCAGCCGGCAAGACCTAGCCCAGGCAATGCGTGGGACCCACGGGGAGATCTGGCCCATCGTATTGCCTTCGTGCAGCTGACGTCAGCGCAAGAATTAAGAAAAATTGAAAATCTTGCATTGACTCCAGCGTTGCGTCAGCACTACCAGAAACCAACAGCTACAAGCCACATAGCTTCTCCTGAAGGCTCCGATCCGAAAATGTCCTCTAATCCAACGGTTGCCCATTTTTTGGCTAAAAAAAATCAAAAAAATATGGAAATTTTTTCCATAAATACCTACCAATATTATGCACTTTTCACACTAAATCTTCATACAAATTCATCTCCTTCAAATATTTTTCACTTTCCACACCAAATTTTCTACTACAAAATTCCGTTTGTGTAAAAATACAATGGCCTTTTCCATCAAACTGGATGATCGTTGACAAACGTTCGAAGCGGTCAAAATAAAAAAAAAAAAAAAAAAAAAATTTAATTCAATTTTAAAAAATATATTTTCTTGTATTTCCAATTTCATTTTTTTTAATACATTATTCAAGGCAAAACAAAAAGAAGAAAACCATTACACATGGCTCCTCAAGTGAACAATGTCAGCAGTAGGTTCCAGTGGTGCGTTCTGTGTCGGAAATAATGGCACTATTACTTCCTCTGAAAGAAAATACTCCCCCACGTCGTAATCCGGTGGAACCGCCTCCGCCAATGATTGAGTCTTCCTTGTACTCGATTGTGTCGAATTATGAGGATCTGTAGTATTTCAATTGTATGATGAGTGAATAGGTATTTCAATTGTATGATGAGTGAGATGTGAATTTTATAATAAATATGGACACGTGGCAATTAAAAATCTTATCTGAAAATTTTATCTGAAATTTGAGATGTGAATGTTATAATAAATATGGACACGTAGCAATCGAAAATCTTATCATAAACCCTTACTCTTACCTTGCCCTTGCCGGTAGGGTGGAAGTGCTCAATGACATTTCAATCAATCACATGATTTTGTTTTGTATTAAGGATACCTTTCAATCAATCACATGGTTTTGTTTTGTTTTAAGGATACGTTCCAATCAATGTTTTGTATTAAGGATACGTTTCAATCGATCACATGGTTTTTCCGGGAAAGAAAAAAAAAAACATGGTTTTGTTTTGTATTAAGGATACGTTCCAATCAATCAATCACATTGGTTAATTCAAAGACTTATATGATGCCATCATATCAGTGATGATGCTCTAGGAAATCCAACTTAATCTTATTGAAAACCAAAACAAATAAAATTTAATATTAATTTGAAATGAATTTAAAAGCTTCACACAAGAAATTGAAATATATGAATTTATATGAATTTAAAAGCTTCGTTTGAGAGTCTCAAAGTTATCCATTCTGCAGTAGTAGAAAATACTAGGCTGAACTTTGTTTTATTTGAAGACGTGAAGCACACTCTAGTTTGTTTTATTTGAAAAATATTATTACTTCAATTGTAAGATAAATTTTTATATATTTCAAGTACATCACGTGGTTGATCATGATTTTGGAATAGGTTCCCTCACCCAAAATCAACAGTTTGAGCTACTTCAATATTATGGTCCACCTCTGTCACTTAAAAGGCCCAAAAGTACATTCCAATTATATATTAGCAGGCCAAAATGAACAATATAATTATTATGGGCGCTAATAATATTTTGGTCCCTCACTTAAAAGGCCAAAATTAATTTAACTCAAAAAAATTATAAGTTAACTCTTAATTACTTAAACTACAAACTTCATGCACAAGCCATATAGTTAAGTCCAACCCAAAAATATATACAGTTAAGAGGAAATAATTGAAGAAACTACATAATAATAAAAAACAGGTTTATTTAAAATTATTAGTATAAAAAAACAACACATTTGAAATGAATTTAATAGCTTCACACAAGAAATTGAAATACAAATTCATGTCATCTCCTTTTTTTTCCCCTTTAATTTAGTTGTTTGTAGGATATAAATTAAAAAGAATCGTCCACTGTTCATCACCACTTTCATTTTTAACTTCTATTCATGTAGTTTTCCTAGTTTGCCCTTGTGCGCGCGTCTCTCCAACTTCTCTTTAATTACTTCTTCCAGCTGTTATCCAACTTCTCTTCAATTTATTAATGAAGTTGTCATTGAGGATATGCTAATACTTATGTCTTATGGAAATGTCTATCTAGAATGAATCAATGCAAATGCCTATATGTCTAAATTAATTAATGACATTTCAATCAATCACATAGTTTTGTTTTGTATTAAGGAAAAGTCTAGAATGCAATCATAAAAATGGAGCACCCACATTGGGTAAATTCAAAGACTGATAAAAAGATTTCACATATATGATATCTTATCAGTGATGCTCAGGGAAACCAAACTTATTGAAAACCAAAACAAAGAAAATTTGGCCAGCAACTTTCAAGGAAATGTGTGTTCATAGGACTTGAGTTGGCATTTTAAAGTTAGCTACGTGCACACAGACTAGTTTTGCAGACCCTCCAATTATATGGTTTTTCAAGAGAGATTTTTTCAGCCGATGTGGTTTTCAGTTGCTTAATTTGCTTCCTTCTATGACCTAGCTTGGTTTGGTTATAAATTTATAAAATGAAACCCAGCACATGTTTTGTTCCCTAAGATTAAGAATGACCTGGGCCTTCAGCCCTCGCTGTTCAGTCCTAATTGATGACATTATTATAATTGATAAATGGCTATGGCCCATAAGTGCATGTGGTAGAAATTACATAATCAAGTTCACATTACAACAGAGAAGAAAATACTAGGCTTAACTTTGTTTTATTTGAAGACGTGAAGCACGCTTTAGTTTGTTTTATTTCAAGAATATTATTACTTGACCTTTCAAAACTGCCACCTGGCTTGACTCTCTTTGCTGGCTTCAATTTTCTCTGTTATCGCGGGCCAGTACAGCAAGAAAAAGAAACGAAAGCTGCATGCATGGTTTGGGTTTGCTTCATTATAAATAGCACAGCAGGTTGGAGCTAGGAAAAGCAATAAGCAATGAGAGAGAAAGAAAGAGAGAAGTGAGTTTACATTTGTATACATTGAAAAAGAAAAAACTCAATCATATTCAAGCGCGAGCGAGAGATCATCAGAAATGGCATTACCAGCAGGGACTTATACGATTAAATCAACCATGCTCACGCACGAAAAATAGTAATCTCCAATTCTCCGGAGATGATGGGACGCTCGAAAACGCAAAGTTCCAATTGGAGGATAACAAAGACCGCAGCGGTCTGATGAATATACAATCCTCCAACGGCCAATACTGGGTGAGGGAAGACCAAGACAGATACCGTATTATGTCCACCGCTGCCAAGAAAAATGAAGATGAAAAGACGTGGTCATGTACACTCTTCAATATTGAGCTAAAAGACAGCGAATACCGAATCCTCCACCAGGTACTCAAAAAATATATAGAGCCGTTCTCTAATGACAATTTCAATGCCTATGCATTACACGACGACCACAATGTGAATCAAATCGTCCAACTCCGTAAGATATGATCATCCTGTTGAGTTAATTTGATGTTTGTGGGTAGCGTCGCTGGAAACCCTCACAAGACTTCACTCATCCCATAAGGGTCACCTATGGGTTTAAAGGCTTGTTGCATACGCTAAATGCAATCGCGTTCCCTGTGAAAGTGGCATTTTCTTAAGTTTCCCTTCTGTTGTGATTTGGGTTTCAATAATATTGCATGCAGCTGCTGCTCATGCATTAATTTATGTAACCTATAGCTAAGAATATCTGTGAGAATAAAAGTTGTGCTTCTTTCGTTTTATTATTCCGTTCTAGATTACTTGATGCATTCATGCATTACTTCCATGATTCAAGAGCTTTAATTAATTAATTACTCAAATCCTTGATTATTACAAGACCAGTAAGAATAATTGACGCTGAGAATTGTCAAGCCAGATCAACAATAATAATAGTTCAATCCATACTTTTCAAAGTACGCATATTAGAAAATCAAAGAGGGAATTAAAGATTCTGACAAAATTCACACATATAACATCTCACAACTTTTGTTCCAAGTCCAATAAACATTTATCATTTAATCAAAGAATAAATGTATTGCGATAATTTATCATTTTGATCAGAGAAATACTTAGCTAGCTAATTTCTTAATGATATTCATCAGAGAACTGCGAAGTTCTAGCAACTTCAAGCAGTTTGATTAGTTTCTTATTTCCACCTATGCGGGCTTCATCAAGTGGAGTTCTTCCCCATCTGCAATCAGGAAGTAGACTAATTAAAAAGGTTGCATGTTGGAATTATTTTTTAATAGACAGTCCTTAGCTTTTAGTCTAAACAGAATTATCAAAATGCTGTCCATCTTCTCGTGTATTGCCTATATACTCTAAAGTCAAAACTGTGACTTGACCGGTTTCTATGGGCTTTAAGGAGCTTTAAATTTTTGTAAAGAATATTTATATATATATACATATTCCAGTCATAATTAAGGTTGAGGATAAGCTACGTACGTACAGTCGATTCACATAGATACTAAAGTTGGTTGCAGAAATAAGGATTTTAATTCGTCTCTTAAATGGTTTTAATCATCTTACTTTTAGGTACGCAATTTGGCTGATATTTAAATAATAGTTTCAAAAGGAGACCATAAGGTCAGTCAACCCTGCCTAACGAACCAGATGACCATTCGGATTGTACCTGTCCTTTGATAGAACACTTGCACCTGCTTCTAAAAGGAATTTTGCCATTGAATATAAGCCTTCTGAAGCAGCTAAGTGTCGTTTATCATAATTTTTCACATTTGGGTTGATGTCATCGGCTAAAAGCCTTTTCAGCATGTCCAAATTCCTCCTTGATACCGTATTACAGAGAAAATCACCAGCATCATCAATAGTAAGTGACGCCCCCACATTAGAAGCTACTTGATCATGCCCATTTTTAATGGCTTCAAGCAAAGGAGTGTTCCCAAATTTATCTAACATTCAAAGTTAATCAACAATAGTGGTAGTAGATTGTAAGAATTCTTCAGAAAATACATGATCCAGTTGATTTTTTATTTTTTTTTGGCAGAGCTCGTTAGAAGATCACCTGACAACTCGACGTCTGCTCCTTGATCAATAAGGAAACGAGTAATATCCTCATACCCTTTTGATGCAGCAACATGCTGTGGGTAGCAAATAAAGATGAAGTAAACCACACACACACACACACACATATCAGCAAGGGTGTCATCAAAGAGAAGTTATTTACGTTATTCTAGCACCATTTTTCTAATTTTATAAAGATTAATTAGTAGCTTGGGCATCTAGATTTGTTGACACCATGTTAAACCTCACCTTCCCTCTTAAGCAAATCGCTTATTGACGCACGGTTATGACTAAGGCCGATATTGCATTTGGGCCTCACCGTTACGGGCCCAATAGTCTCATTATGCCCAGACCCACTGCCAAAATCGGTTGGGAAAGGCCTATAAAAGGCAAAGGTGTTGATCACTCTCTAACTCTCTCCAGGTTGCTCGGCTGAGAACCAGCAACTCTCTCGTCTTCTCCCAAAGTTCCCTCCTCTTTATTTACTATGGCTCTCAAGCCTATCTCAATGTAATACAACTCCCTATACATATATACAAATACAACAACCAGTGGATGTAACCCGAATTTATGGGTGAACCACTCAATCTCTTCGTTTTACTTGTATAATTGCGATATTACGGCTATCCCAAAAGTATGGGTTTAACAAGATTCATACCAAAGGAGACCTTCCATCATAATCCATCCTGTTTGGATCTGGCCCTGCTCCAATCAAACATTTTACTAGATAGTAATCTTCATCATAGACAGCACAATTTACTCCATTTCATGCTTTCCAATATATAGTATGATATATGATTCCAAAAGCTTGTTCTTGGTATTCAAATATTTTCCCTGTAAGTTGAGAAGTGAGTGTAGGGGACTTTTTCTTCCGGCAGCTAACGGGCTAGGCTACTGCAAAAGGCGGACTGAGGAGATTGCCCCTTTTTGTTTAGGTTCGAAAATTAAGCCCCAAAATACCTCGAAAGGGCAGTGGAACCTTAGGAGATATTTTGGATAATCTTCACCAATGAGAATAATAGTGACTTGCAGATAGTCTTGGCATGCTTACAGATGGTTTTTTTTTAACTCAGCATGAGTGGCATGAGGCATGGGGAGCAAAACCAACATGGGTTTAGCACTAAGAGAGAAATTAGGCTTGGTTTATGAGAAATGAAAGTGTTTAAGTAAGGAATGAGGTGTTTTGTGAGGAATTTTGACTAGAGAAAGAGAAAAAAGAAAGACAGGGTTCTTCCGGCAGCTACCAGAAAAAACAAATCGGAGAAGAAGATGAACAGTGCACGAGTCTGAGTTTTGCAAGATAGAGAGAAAAGCTTGCTCTCTGCAGGTTGTGAGTTGTTTTTGTTGGGTAAGGGATGGCTCAATTTATAGCTGCCGGAAATCACCATTTTTCAAGAAACCCTAATGGCTTCTACTTACTTTGGCTAAGCTTTTCTTCCTTTCTCCTCCCCTTCTCTGACTTCCCTTTCTTGGCAAAGATTGCTTCTGTCTATTTTCATGAATTCAGGGGATTTGGGGGCTCAACATCCTCCTTTCCCGCGGCTGTGCAATGGGAGCTTCCACTCTTGGTTTGCTGTTTTTTCTTCTTTTCTTTCCTCTTCCTTGGCTGAATCTGATGAAGGAAAAGAGGTGAAAATATATGCTGGTCCAAGGGATGCTTCTGACAGCATGCGGGATGATATTCATCGGTTCTTCGGATGTCTCTGGCTTGGGACTGGTTTCCAGCAACTTTGCTTAAGGAGTCTACCAACCTCCTCCTTCACGTGTTCTCTGTTTTTCAAAAGAGCTGAAGCTCTTGTGGGCTATTTTGGGTTTTTCTAAGGGTCAAGATGGCTTTCTAAGCAAATGGGCTTGTTGGGCTTCTTGATTTGGGCTTATTATTTTTTTGGTTGGGTTATCTCTTGGCTAGGTTATTTTGCTTGGGCTTTTGGGCTATTTTTTCTCTCTTGTGCTTACCCACATGTTTGGGCCTAAGAAATGGGCTTGAGTCTCGAGGCTCCCAAGCAACCCGAGACTTTCCATTTCTTGGTCCATCAATGGGTCTCATGTTGATTTATCACTATCCATGCCACAACCCACTCAAGCAAGCCCCGGGTTTTTTGAGTGGCTTGGGCCCACCTAGGCTTGTAGCGTGGTTGGGTGCGAGATAACGGCATGGCATGTTGCTCGGCATATTTTACCTTATCGCCCTTGGGAAGGATTGTTTTAATTTTTAGCATGAGTTAATTATATTTTTATCGCGAATCATAGCATGATAATTTGTTTATTTAGCGTGGCATGTGAATTATAACTCGCATGCGATATATCCTTTTTTCTTTTCCCTTATGGAATATTGTATTGGGCTGATAATTGCTCGGGCCCAGTCCATGGATTTTTTGGGCCTCAACAGTGAGCTAAATGAATTTTTTATTATAGAAAAGTTTATATAAATCCAAATTCTTATTGAAGAGTTGAGTTTAATCCTCGAATTTGGTGACTTTGATCCAAGTCCTCTCACTTTTGTGCCACATAGAATTACATTTCTTTTTAAATATTTTATGATGTAATCTTTTTATTATTTTATTTTTAAAATCATTTTTTGTTCCAATGTTGCCTCTTATGACTTGAATCAGGTAAGTCATTTATGTCATATTGCGTATTGCCTTATATGGTTTTTCATATTTTCGACAATGTGTAATAGCATTCTATGTACCTTTTTTTATAGGTAACATACAATTTTATTTTGTCTATTTTTGTATATGACTTATAAGTAGTCTTCTAATTTATGTTCCTAACTTATAAGTAACACGATTTATCACTAAGTATTTTTCGTTGCTAATAATAACATTATTTACCTGCATGTCAGGTACATAATTTAATGTGGTTGCTTGTTTGATCGATTGGTATAATATGTGGGTCTTTACTTTTTATTGATTAAATTATATTTTATCCATATATTAGGAATATCATCAAGGAAAGAATTCAAAATTTAAATTATGGAATTCAACAAGAAAATAATGCATTAAATTTAGATTTTCGATGTGTTTTCCTTATTTACCTCAAAGGGTAAAATCGACATAACAAAAAAGTAATAAATGTTAAAGGACCTACTTCTAAAACCAAAAACGCGAGGATTAAACCCAATGATAGCTAATTGTTTTGGACTAGGGATGACAATTTTCCCTGTGAGTAAGGGTCTTCGTGGGGATTCGACCCTAATGGGTCGGGTATGAAGTACAAAAAATGGGTCTGGGGATGAGTACGGAGAATTTTTTGGGTATGGTGTTTGGGGAGGGGCGAGTATGGTATTTTAGTCCCCAACCCGAACCCTCCCCATTTAGAATATATATATATATTAATTTTTTGATGAGGTATATATATTATAGTATATATAAATATGCTATTAAAGTAATTGTACCAACTAAGTTTTATATTATTATATTATGTACTTATATAATTTATACAAATCTTAAGTCACACTACTTATTTATTTAGTTAACTTCTAGTACATATATAAACATTCTTATATTGTCTTATAAGTATATATTATATCTTGCCTTAGCACTATTTTTTTCTTCTTTAACAAAGTAGTTGTTTATTGGTTTTTTCTTCCATAATGGGGCGGGTTGGGGAACCCATTCCCCAACGAAGGTGGGGATGGGGAATCCCCGATATGAATATTGCGGGTATGAAGACGGGGATGGGGGAAAAAAGTTTAACAAGGATGGGGATGGGAATAGCATACCCACCCCCGATTCGATCCATTGCCATAAGAAGCCCTTTTTTTTTCATTTGCAAATTGCAGGGGCACAATTCAGCATATCTCTTGCGGGTGGAAGCAAGAAAAAGAAGACTACAAAAATTTCCAAGTCTATTTACCTCAATGAGGTTGTTTAGAATAATCCGCCCATCTAAGAAATGTATCTCCAAGATTTTTCTAAACGATTGTTTATCAAGTTGCAAGACCCTGCACAGTTGACGAACCCAAAGGAAACCTCGCCAAATGAGCTATAGGTTTGCAGACGCTCAAGGAACTCTTCATTTTCATTATTATCATCCCATCCCACCTTCTCCTGTATACAATATCAAATATATTAGACATAATAAGGGGTCAATGAATGAAGGTATGCACGTAAACATAAAAGAATGAATACAGGAAAACAGAGAAGGGTGGGTCGTGTGTGCCGCGTGCAGCTGCGCAGCTTTGCATGTATGCTACAAAACCACTAGTTTTATGTGTGTGTGGTGCGCACTATTATATATAACCAAAAGTAGCAGCCAGCCCAACCAGAAGGGTTTGAGGCTTTGCTGTCTTGATTTCCCCTATGAATGCATGATACCATATTATTATTCATATGGGGACACAAAGATCAATGCTTGAGAAACTGATACAATTTAAGGACAATTTTGGACAGAGTGACTTTATTATGTTTGAGAACACGTAAATGCATTAAAAGCAGAATAACGGTATAGACATAATGGGACACAATGGCATACTAAGTATAGTTGATCAACTGATCACCTAAAACTCCTCATGAATTCTGGTTGCCTGATAAACCAGAAACATAGGTTAGATGCCTCTACTATAAAAGAAGCAAAGTCTAGAATTGTTAACATTTATGTTATGAATAATCGAAGGTGATGAAAATATCCAACGATGTCAGCATTTTGTTAATCAGATCAGATAAAATTACTGAAGACAGTGGCTTACAAACTGCTTTATGAAGCCTAAAGAGCACCCCTTAAACAGAAAAACTTCTTCGATGTACGGCTCATATAATTTCTGGGAAATCTGCAAAGAAGAAACAATAGATTTTAGTACAGTTTCACAATCAGCAGTACGCCAATCAAAAGTAAGATCCTATGTATAGTGTATGCTACTTGGCCACCAATCACCTCATATGTTGGTTATCTTTATGTTAATACTTTAAAGACAAGACGACAGAAGGTCAGCATGACAGCATCTAAGATGACATTCTTGTTTTCATAGTTCACCAAATGAAGCAAAACCATTCTACAGGCTTGTCCTCTTATACTACAAATAAAATTATACAGAGTCCGAAGACAAGGCATCATAGGCTAAGAACAAAATGTGTCAGTGATAAGAAAGAGATTATTTGATTAAATTCCAAATCCATAGTTTTCAGCCCGAATTTAAACAACTACCTTGCTGCAAATAAAGGCTGGAATGTCCCAAAGAACAGCGGCTTCGGTGTAGCTACGGTCATACTGTAACCTGAGATGGTTTTTAATTTCCTTACTTATGCCCCTGTCAAGCCTGTTTTTGTTCATATATTTGATTAGTTCAGTCATCTTGTCCCTAAACTTTTCTGTTTTCGATCCTTTCACAATCAATGCAGCCACGTTACCCAGCAGATAAGCACTAGGAATCATGTCAAAAGACACATAAAACCTGATGAATAAATATCATCTCCCTCACATTCACTGCATGCATCTCTCCATATCCTGGAAAACAAAAAAGGAAAAAGCATAGGCGTTTATGACCCATCTTGAAAATAAATCAGGGATATATAAGAAGAAATGAATTAAGAAGCTTAATTAATTGATTAATTACCAATCATTTAAAAATCACACATCACAACCGTACATACAGCCCTAAAGTTAGCCTAGAACGGAGGAGCTTGTATTTAATTTATGGGCTACGTATTCGCGCCAACATATAGAGTGTGCCCGATCCTTACTTCTTCCGGCCTGAAATACAAAGCCTAAGCCCAATTACAACTTTGGACCTGAACTCAACCAGCCCAACTTAAAGTTTCTTTTCCCTTTTCGTTTTTTTTTGCTCTCTCTCTCTCTCTCTCTCTCTCTCTCTCTCTCTCTTTATGTACTGCATCAAAAAGTTTTTCTTGCAAGTTCTATAGGAAAGTCATGAAGTCCGTTATTTGACTTTTTCTTTTTCACCCAAGGAAATACTTCCCTCCTTAAAAGAAAAGAGAGAGTAAGAAAGAGCCAAGTCAAAGATCAATTGGAAATCCATTACCCAAAAAGGTAAAAAAGATCAAATGGAAAATCCGATGCTAGATTTTTGCTATGGGGGAATCAAATAAAATCAAATCAAATAAGAAGAAGAAAGAAACCAAGGAGCTCAAAGCCGGCGAAGGAAACGATGAAGAGGGCAGGTTGGAGGATGAGAGAGACTAACGACACGAATTGATTCTTCAAGAGCTTGGGCGCAGGAAGGGTTAAGAGGAAGGCCAAGGCTGCCTCAGCTGCCACCACGTACGTCAGTACCATTCACTGCAACGCCATTTCGAGATCTCTCTTTGTAAAATTCGATTGCTTCGCTTTGATTTAATATTTGTTTGTGAGGTTGAGGCCTACTTAATTACTTGCTACTTGTTCTGAATCTGAATGCTGCTGCCTTGGCTGTCGCTTTGCCTTAAAAGGCTTAATCACGAAGCAAGCAAGCAAAACATAAGTAGCCGAAGCAAAGAAGACTGAGAGGACCGGCCATGGTTTGGGAACCGGTTCACTCGCCCAAAATCAACAGTTTGGGTTACTTCAATATTATATTATGGTCCACCTCTGCCAATTAAAAGGCCCAAAAGCACGTTCCAATTTTGTATTTACATTTGGTCCTTTACTTCATTTTGGCCACAAAATAATTTTATTGGCCGGACCAAAAACAAATGCCAACTTAATTATTAGCCAGCAGCTGGAACAATTATTATTATTATTTTGGTAAAGATTAGCTGGAACTATCCCTTGAACCTTTGTTTTTCAATCCTAATTCATAAATGCCTATGGGCCTCCACAATTTATTAATGAAGTTTACATAATGGAGATGTTTCAATCCTAATTCATACTTGCGCTACATACACAAAGACATCGAGGGGGTGCATGGGATCCTCCAATTCTCCGGAGAGGAGGTTCTGAGCCCATACGCAAAGTTCCAATTCTTCGAAGTGCACGGTCGCGGCAACAACCTCCGTCTGGTGCATATAAGATCCTGCTACAACAACAAATACTGGAGGAGGGCAGACCAAAACAGTAGGTGGATTGTAGCCGGGGCTGACGAGCGGCAGGCAGATCAAAACCTTTGGTCATGTACGCTCTTCGAGCCCATCATGAACAACATAAACTCCTCCCAAATCCGATTGCGCCACGTGCACTCCGGTCATTATTTAAAGATATCCGCTACAAACGAATGCCTCTTTATAAGCCAAAACTTTGATGTCTTCACAGTCATCGACCGGAACGCGCTGGTGATTCTTCCCGAGCATCTTGCCTTCAAAGTCAACGTCAATGGCATTGGCAACTACCTCCGCATCCAAATCATTGATACACACCCATATCTGCAGTACTCAGCCACAGCTCCTACTGAACTAGAGAAGGAGAACAAGGTGGTCACCGCCGGTGATGGAAGCGTTCGCATAAAGTCCATCTTCACTAAAAAGTTCTGGAGGCGCAACAGTAGCCGTCATGATAATACTAGCAACAACTGGATTTGGGCTGACTCAGACGACACCACCAACCGAGACTCAAACACGTTATTTTGGCCAGTCAAGTTAGAAACCTCTACCGACCGCGACGTCAATGTTGTTGTAGCTCTCCGCAACCTGGCCAACAAGAAGTTCTGCAACAGGAACAACGATGTAAGCTGTCTGACTGCCGATACTCCAAATACAACTACCCCAGCTCCAGAGGCGCACCTGGCAGTCGAAGAGCTTGTTATGTCCCGGACCATCTCTGATCTCAATTTCCGCCTGGCCGATGCCAGGATCTATAACCGCGAGATCGACCAGAACATGGCCGAGGTAGAATACGTAAACCCCTCCCCCCAAATACCGGCCTCTAAAACTCTCAAGCTCTTCTATGAAGACGAAAGGACTAGTACTTGGAATACCAGTGCCGACGACGTCTCTTTCACGGCCTTCATCCAAACCACCCTCACCTCCGACACTCCATTCGTCGTACAGGACGAGGGAGTCCGCATCCGAGTTTCGGGTAACTTTAACGGAGCCTACCAGTGGGGTCAACACCTCAAATCAAAAACTCAAATTGAGCGTCGGTTCCCGGTTGTTGTGCCGCCAAGGCATAAGGTGACGGTGAAACTGCTAGCAACAAAGGCTTCATGCGACATTCCCTTCTCCTACTCTCAGCGGGACACTCTTATTAGCCAAACCCCGGCAATTATTACCTGCCTCAAGGAAGGTGGCCTTTACAGTGGTAAAAGTTTATACAACTTCTACCACACGACAGAAACAGAACCGCTTCCATGATGATCATCATCCTGTGAAATTAATTTGATGTTTGTGGGTAGCGTCACTGGAAATCCTAATGAGACTTCACTCGTCCAATCATGGTCACCTATGAGTTTAAAAAGCTTGTTGCATACACAAAATACAATTGCGTTCCCTGCAAAGTGGCATTGTCTTAAGTTTTCCTTTTGTTGTGATTTGGGTTCAATAATATTGCATGCAGCTGCTGCTCATGCTTTCATGCATTAATTTATGTAACCTATAGCTAAGACTATCTCTGGGAATAAAAGTTGTGCTTCTTTTGTTTTATTATTCCGATCCAGATTACTTTATGCATTCATGCATTACTTCCATGATTCAAGAGCTTTAATTAATTAATACTCGAGTCCTTGATTATTACAAAACCAGTGAGAATAATTGACGCTGAGAATTGTCAAGCTAGATAAACAATAATAGTTCAATCCATGCATTCCAAGGAACGCACGTTAGAAAATCAAAAGGGGGATTAAAGATTCTAACAAAATTCTCAACACATATATCAACATAACATCTCATAACTTTTGTTCCAACTCCTATAAACATTCATCATTTAATCGATAAACATATTATCGATAAAACACATTGATCATAGACATGCTTGGGTAGTTTCTTGATGATATTGATCAGAGAACTCTGACAACTGCGAAGCTCTAGCAACTTCAAGCAGTTTGATTAGTTTCTTATTTCCACCAATACGGGCTTCATCAAGTGGAGTGCTTCCCCATCTGCAATCAGGAAGTAGACTAATTAGAAAGGTTAAATATGCGTGTTGGAATTAATTTTTCACGGAGCTTATATATATATGTGCGTGTGCGTGTGTGTGTATTCCAGTTATAATTATGGTTAAGGATAAGCTACAGCGGATTCACATAGATACTAAAGTTTCAGAACACATACAAGTACAACTTGGTTGCCTAAATAAAGATTTTAATTCGTCTATTAAATGGTTTTAAACGTGTTTGTTGCAGAAAGAAGGCAGTAATCATGTTACTTTTGGGTATACGCAATTGGGCTGATATTTAAACAATAAAAGTTTCAAGAAGACCATAAGGTCAGTCATCCCTGCCTCACAAACCAGATGAACATTCAGATTGTACCTGTCTTTTGATAGAACACTTGCTCCTGCTTCTAAAAGGAACTCTGCCATTGGATATAATCCTTCTGAAGCAGCTACATGAAGCGCTGTTCGCTGATCATAATTTTTTGCATTTGGGTTAATGTCATTGGCTAAGAGCCTTTTCAGAAGGTCCAAATTCCTCCTTGCTACTGTAATACAGAGAAAATCACCAGCATCATCAATAGTAAGCGACGCCCCTGCCTTAACGAGTAAAGAAGCTACTTGATCGTGCCCATGTTTAATGGCTTCAAGCAAAGGAGTGTTCCCAAATTTATCTAAAATTACAGTAACATTCAGGGTTAATCAACAATAGTAGTAGTAGTAACTAATAAGATTTCTTCAGAAAATACATGATCCAGTTGATTTTTTTAGCCAAGCTCGAGATCACCTGAAATCTCAGCGTCTGCTCCTTGATCAATAAGGAAACAAGTGATATCTTCATACCCTTTTGATGCTGCAACAAGCTGCGGGAAACAAACAAAGATGAAGTAAACCACACACATACACATCAGCAGGGGTGTCATCAAGGAGAAGTTATTTATGTTATTCTAGCACCATTGTTCTAATTTATAAAGATCAATTAGTAGCTTGGGCATCTAGATTCATACCAAAGGCGACCTTCCATCATAATCCATCTTGTTTGGATCTGCTCCTGCTCCAATCAAACGCTTTACTCGATAGTAATCTCCATCATAAGCAGCACAATTTACTTTCATAATTAACTCCATTTCATGATTTCCAATATATAGTATGATATCTGATTCCAAAAGCTTGTTCCGGGTATTCAAATCTTTTCCCTGTAAGTTCAGAAGTGAGCTTATGGAATTAATTTTTTTCATTTGCAAATTGCATGGGCACAACTCAGCATCTCTTGCGAGTGAAAGCAAGAAAAAGAAGACTACAAAAATTTCCAAGTCTATTTACCTCAATGAGGTTGTTTAGGATAATACGCCCATCTAAAAAATGTATCTCCAAGATTTCTCTAAAGGATTGTTTATCAAGTCGCAAGACCCTGCACAGTTGACGAACCCGAACAGCATACGGCTGGGGAGTGTTACAAAGAAAGGAAACCTCACCAAATGAGCTATAGGTTTGCAGACGCTCAAGGAGCTCTTCAGTTTCATTATCTTCATCCCTTCCCACCTTCTCCTGTAGACAATATCAAATCCATTGACATAATAATTCAGAAATACATATTGTGGTAAGCATAGACTACATATAGTAACTATTATTTTACCCTTTACTAAGGGGTCAATGAATGAATATATACATGTAAACATAAAAGAATGAATATGGGAAAACAGAGAAGGGTGGGTCATGTGTGCATGCATGTGTGTGTGTGTGTGTGTGCTCGCTTTGTTATATATAACCAAAAGGTAGCAGCCAGCCCAACCAGAAGGGTTTGAGGCTTTGCTGTCTTGATTTACCCTGCAAATGAATGCATGATACCATATTATTATTCACATGAATTCCGCTTATGTGTTATACTAAGAGCAACACAAAGATCAATGTTTGAGAAACTGATACAATTAATTTTGGACAGAGTGACTTTATTATGTTTGAGAACACATAACACAGTACTGCAAATGCATTAAAAACAGAATAAAGGTATAGACATAATGAGACTAAACAATTAAATTCGTAACTCATACCAGCTCACCATGGCATACTATATATAGTTGATCAACTGCTTGCCCCTGCTCTATAATCACTTCTGGTGGAAGGAAAAACTCCTCGTGAATTCTGGTTGCCTGATAAACCAGAAACCTAGGTTAGATTCCTCTACTGTAAAAGATGTGAAGTCTAGAATTGTTAACATTTATGTTATGAATAATCAAAGGTGATGAAATATCCAACAATGACGGTATTTTGCTCGTCAGATAGGATAAAGTTACTGAAGACAATGGCTTACAATCTGCTTTATGAAGCCTAAAGAGCATCCCTTAAACAAAGGAACTTCTTTGATGTACGGCTCATATAATTTCTGGGAAATCTACAAAGAAGAAACAATAGATTTTAGTACAGTTTCACAATCATCCGTACGCCAATCAAAAGTAAGATCCTAACTGTATAGTGTATACTACTTGGCCACCAATAAACTCATATGTTGGTTATCTTTATATTAATACTTTAAAGACAAGACTGTAGAAGGTCAGCTTCTAAGATGACATTCTTGTTTTCATAGTTCACCAAATGAAGCAAAACCATTCAACAAGCTTGTTCTCTAATAGTACAAATAAAATTATGCAGAGTCTGGAAGACAAGGCATCATAGGCTAAGAACAAAATGTATCAAATAAAAAGAAAAAAAGAAAACCAAGAATAAGAAAGAGATTATTTGATTAAATTCGAAATCCATAGTTTTCAGCCTCAATTTAAACAACTACCTTGCTGCAAATAGAGGCTGGAATGTCCTGAAGAACAGTGGCTTCGGTGTAGCTGCGGTCATACTGTAACCTGAGATGGTTTTTAATTTCCTTACTTATGCCCCTGTCAAGCCTGTTTTTGTTCATGTATTTGATTAGTTCTGTCATCTTGTCCCTAAACTTTTCTGTTTTCGATCCTTTCACAATCAATGCAGCGATGTTACCCAGCAAATAAGCACCAAGAATCATGTCAAAAGACACATAAAACATGATGAATATCATCTCCCTCACGTTCACTGCATGTATCTCTCCATATCCTGGAAAACAAAAAAGGAAAAAGCATACCCATTTATGACCCATCTTGAAAATAAATCAGGGATATATAATAAGAAATGAATTAAGAAGCTTAATTAATTGATTAATTACCAACAGTGGCCATGGTAACAACGGCAAAATAGAGTGAGGTGATGTAACGCTTCCAGAGGTCAATCTCTCGGAAATGGGAATAGCTATAGTCACCCATCTTCAAGCTTCCAATCCAAGTGTATCCCTCCTGGGAGGGAGGCATGGTTGTGGCCAGATAATAAAAGAAGCAGGCAGCCGTATGTGTGCTGTAAAGTTCCACAACAAAAAGCTTGGCAATTCTTGTGAAAAGGTAGTTGATCCTTATATCTTTCTCCAGCTTCTCAAAAAACTCTGTCACTCGGCATGCTCGGCTCAGACGTATCCACAACAGGTACCTCACACCCTCTTCTCTTCCAGAAGCCTGCAATGCAATTAAGATAAGATATCATTTATTAAATCAATTTAATATTTGAAATTGAAGTTAATTAATTGTAGCCCTAGCTTACCTTGTAGATGGCGTCCCAAGGCAGACAACCCAGCAAATCGAGGAGGAAGCGAGACTTTAAGTAGCGGATGGCGATGAGGTTGCGATTGTAGACAAGTCGGTGGGAGTGGAAGTCGCGGTAGGCGACGAAGAAGCGGACGACGATGTCGATGAGAAAGGCGAGCTGACCTGCGATGTCGAGCAGGAAGAGGTTCTCCGGCAGACCTCTGAAGAAGCCGAACTCCAAGGGGGTGAAGAAGGACGAGTAGACTGCCCATATTAGAATGAAATGCGTCCACGCCACGTACCACCTGCATTTCCAATTCCACCATTAACAACTTATTCACTTGATCTACACAGTTTTTGTCTCATTTAAACCACACATCACAACCGTACACAGAGGCCTGAAGCTAGCCTAGAGCGGACGAGCTTGTATTTACGGGCTATGTATTCGCGCCAAAATATGGAGTGGGCCCTATCCTTACTTCTTTCATCCTAAAACATGACGCCTAAGCCCAATTTTGGACTATACGTACTACAACTTTGGACCTGAACCGAACCGGCCCAACTTAAAGTTCCTTTTTCCTTTTGTGTCTGCTTTTTTTTCTCTCTCCCTTATGTACATCAAAAAGTTTTTCTTGTAAGTTCTATAGAAAGTCATGAATTCCGTGATTTCACCTTTTCTTTTTCACCCAAATATATGAAGAGAGAGAGAGAACAAAATATTATTGTGAAAGGTTTCTACTTAGGCCTACAAATTTCAAGAGAGTAGTATTGTCGTTACGTTGTATTACAACAAAATGTTAATGTTTACAAAGATTATACTAAGTACACCATTCATCAATAAAATAGTGATTTTCATGGTCTAATCAAGTGAATTACATAGAACTTGTAGTTCAAGTGACTGAAAAAGTCGACTATACACCGAAAATCTTATGTTAAATTTCCTCTAATTTACACCACTACTCCTCCCGTGTGTAGAATATAGAATATTACTTAATTTCATAATGATAAATAAGTAGGTTTCTCAGGATTAATTGTAGACCACATTTTAGAATTATGGCTGCATCCGAGGCAAAGGACAACACCATGGACCATGGTGTTTCATGCACAGAAATTTAAACTAGCTAATAGACAGAAATTGAAAGTACCATACATACCAGTTATCAGGATGAATGACGAGACGATCGAAAAAGGAAGATGCAGCAGATGATCTAGAACCAGTAGTTGCAAGACTGGAGTCGGTATTGCTGAAAGTGAAACGCCTTTTCCACCACCACCACCAGGGTGTTGTTGAAAGCTCCTCCTCATCCTCAACCTCAAACGTCGACTCTCCATCTTCATCATACTCATCATCATGATTATCCTGATGATGATGATCACCTCCTCCTCCTGATGATGTTGATCTTCTTCTCTCAGCTCCATGCATTTTTCACCCCTCACTCTCCCTCTCTCTCTCTCTCTCTCAATTTTTCAAATGAAACCAATAATATAATGTCCTGTCCAACACCTATACTTTATTAGCTAGCTATATCTATATGTGTCAAGAAAGAGAAGAAAGTGAAAGGAGGGAGGGCCAACATGTAATTAATGCCAATGCGGTATTTACTATCGGAATTAATGCAAAAACAGTAACTTAATTTGTGGTGACAAAAAGAATCCAGGCAATGGTACTTTCTAGATAAGAAAAGCTTCACTTGGTTGAATTCGGTTCACTCCTGTTTAAGGTATCCAAATGTTTTAGAACACCCAATTAATCTTCCCCGTCCAATTATCTGCTGCATCTATGGGTGGTGATTTTTTGTTTGTACATGTGTAAGTAAGATGCTTGCAAATTAAAGTTGAAGACGTATCGATCTGATCATAATGAAAAAGAATGCATATACAACATACAAGGGAGGGGAGTGGACATGGAATTTATACTTATTCAGACGGAGGATGGGACACCACCTAACGCAATCTCGTTTTTGAAGAAAAACTGCAGAAGAGGAGATCTTTGACCTTTTTCCTTGTTTTGCTTTTAATAATTAATATTCTGAGAAAACTCAAGAGAGAGAGAGAGAGAGAGAGATTACTGTTGTGTTGGGGATAATACATTTCCATCTACATGTACGAGCTCACCCTAATTAAACCTCTTAGTAACAAGATGCTAACTAGAAACGTGAAGTTACAACCTAGAATAACTAGAAACTGCTCTTGCCTATCTATAAATAGTCTTGTCTTGTGTTTCTTCAAACTTTTATAACTGTGAATGGATAACTAACTTAATCATCGTCAGGTTATAGTTACTATTACTAACTTACTAGTTTCAGAGCTTCCCCATTCATTCACCAAACTCAAACAAATCACACGTTTCTGTTCCAAATCCTAATAATACCCAACCTACCTGCAAATAAGTTTGGGCCTATCTTATCTTTCGAGTTTGGTTGGCCTCCTGAGGCCTCCCCCCGTCTACTCTACATTTTGGGTGTTAAGCGTTTGGGCTTCAGTAGTCAAAACATACTTGACCCTTTGGGCTTTACATAGTTATTATGAACCAATAAAAGAAGACAATGACAATGTGGACTTAAAAGCAGTCCATGTGTGGGGGCGCCACTGAATACAATTTGGGATTGATAGGGAAGTAGAGGGCGAAGCAAGCAACAGCTCACACAGTTATTTACCAAATAAATAAATCAGACTTTTTCATGGACTGCTGCTGATGTTACGTGCAACTTGCTGCTTATAGGGAGAGGGAGAAGGAGAGGGCTTCTGTCTGAGCTCGCCACTGGCAGGCATGATATTATTATTGTTGATGATGACGTTGCTTTCATGCACTGAATATTGTCATCAATATTTTAGATAATAATAGCCAATTTGGAATCTTTTTTTCATATATAAATACAATAAAATAGCCATCCTTGTCTCGCTATCAATCCACCAATGTGATTATGCGATGGATAATAATCTATTACGTTTTTAACGTTTTAAATTGAAATTCACGTTTGAATATATACTTACTCATATTATTTTAATCGTTTTAATTGCTCACATCAAATATGTTATGTGCGTGTACTTATAATCTGACAATTTTACAAGTAATATCAAAAAAATCAAAACATCAAATCAAACAATCAAACAAAAAAAATTAACTGTTTTTATATATTAAAAGTTAGGAAACGCAACAAGGACATATTGATTAAGACATAGGGGCACAGCACAGGGCCACCTCAGGTACATTGATTAAACCAAGTTCAATGTACACACCAATTGCAACTTGATGAGCCAACTTCCTAATCTTACAACAAACTAATTTTTGTTTAACCTAAACAACCTTAATATATCCATGATCCACATCAGCTCAAATTTCCTAACCCTAAACAAAATCCATTTTGAATTTTATTATTAACCATGTGACTCAATCATTATAAAAGAGAGTGATCTGTTAATAATTTATTCACGCATATTGGAATCTTGATATCATAGAGGGTGATTTGGCGCTGTACATGACGAATACTCTTCAAAACGTACCTAACTTTATAGTTTTTCTGACCATAGCTATGGCGGGTGAAAAAACAATAATACCCGCCATTGACACGAATCTAATTTTCTATCTAGGAAGATAAATATACCAAATTAAGAATTAGCTTGTCTTTTTTTATGAGTGGTTCGTTGCTTGGTTTGTTTTAAAATGAGGTGGCAGGCTAGCCACTTGCCCTTTAAATCACGTGTGGATAAACTCACACAAGCAAGTAGCACTAAAAACTTGGACACCACACCACACCCATCCATCCCTAAAAGATCTATAATTGTATATACAGCAATGGAGCCCACATCCTCTTATAAAACAAAATAAAAATATTAAAAAATTGGATCCCATATCCTTCCCCTCTATCCATGAAGCCTCCTACGCCGGCTGCTTTGGTCCGCACGTGCTTTTTTTCTCACTTCTTACTTATATAAGGAAAAAGGAAGACAAAAGTAAGTACTCGACTCCACACCAACACCCCCACAAACCCCCAAAACAAATGGCTCTCATACGAGAACGCCGACAGCTTAATCTCCGCCTACCCTTGCCCGAACCCTCCGAGTGCCGCCCACGTTTCGCCCTTCCCCTTCCTCCCACAGCCGCCGCCACCACCGCCCTCACAAACAACTCTTCCTCCGCCGCTATATCCGCCGCCGATCTCGACACACTCCAAGTCCTCGGCCACGGTAACGGCGGCACCGTCTACAAGGTACGCCACAAGCGCACTTCCACCACTTACGCTCTCAAACTCGTCTACGGCGACTCCGACCCCACCGTCCGCCGTCAGATCTTCCGCGAGATGGAGATCCTCCGCCGCACGGACTCTCCCTACGTCGTCCGCTGCCACGCAATCTTTGAGAAGCCGTCGGGAGATATCGGGATCGTAATGGAGTACATGGACTCCGGCACCCTCGAGACCTTGCTTAAAGCCCACGGCACCTTCTCCGAGCCCAAGCTTGCCCACGTCGCCCGCCAAGTTCTCAACGGCCTCAACTACCTCCACACCCACAAGATCATCCACCGCGACATTAAACCCACCAATCTTTTGGTCAACAGCAACATGGAAGTGAAGATCGCCGACTTTGGCGTGAGCAAGATCATGTGCCGGACCTTGGACGCCTGCAATTCCTACGTGGGTACTTGCGCTTACATGAGCCCGGAAAGATTCGACCCGGACACTTACGGTGGCAATTACAACGGCTACGCCAGTGATATATGGAGCCTGGGGCTGACCCTGATGGAGCTTTACATGGGTCACTTTCCGTTCTTGCCTCCGGGTCAGAGACCCGACTGGGCCACCCTTATGTGCGCCATATGTTTCGGAGAGCCGCCGAGCTTGCCCGATGGGGTGTCGGAGGAGTTCAGGAGTTTCATGGAGTGTTGCTTGCAGAAGGAGTCCGGAAAACGGTGGACCGCCGCTCAGCTTTTGACCCACCCGTTCGTCTGTAAAGATCCGAGTATATCCGTTTTTTGATGATGGGTTGTTCAATTGTCCAGTGTCGAATATCCGTGCGAGTGGATCCGCCTGTAATTAGGAGTCGGGTCGCCGGGTTTGGCACTGAATATTTTTGGACACTAGTTACCGTTGTAGGTTTCTGAGTTGTATGTATATACTGGGCCAGAATCGAATTCGGATTCTTTCTTTATAAAGTTAATTAATTCCTCACAATCTTTATCTGTTGATTAAACTCCATTTAAGAGAATCGAAATCAAATTTACTCTGATTCCTTTGATTAATTATGGTTCTTGAACATCGGCAAATTAATTAACTGACTTCCCAAGTGACTAGAAAAGAAAAGTCGGACTTGTTGCATATACTCAAGTTGAAATTGACGAGGAAATGACCACGAGGATTATTACAAGTATGATTTGATTATGACATATAGGAAGAAAGAGGTTGTACGTAATTGATCAACGATACTAGCTTAGCTAGTGTACTCAGACCAACAAAAAAAGCTTAGCTAGTGTACAAGACTAGACTAGTCAATTTGGATCCATATAGGAAGATACTAGGAATTAGCAAAGCAGAGAGAGAGTTCAATTAGAAACCTAAACACTTAAAATTTGGTCAATTTTGCATATATAGGTTAGATCAGTTAGTCAATGGTTATGAATTCGCCTTACGTCTCTAACTTCGAATCCCCATCTCCATAATTGATCAAAATAGTGGACTTGCCCCTTTATCCCAACTTCAAATTCCCTTCCTCATAAATTATATATATTAAGTTTTTAAAAATATGCCATCTTTTCGTTACCCCCCAATTCTTCTTCTTTTTGTATGTTTTTCCCTAATAAATTAAGAGCTTGGCTAAAGCGTGCAAGAAATAAATAGATCCTGCTGCTAACAATTCACCCCTAAATCCAACAACAAAGATTGAGATTAAACAATGATAATGTCCAACCAACATGCTTAATTATTGTTTGTTGTTATCCAATCTGGATGAATATCTTATGAGGTTGGTTTCTAACTTTCTAGGTAGCCCTCCACTGGCAAGTGGCAAAGTTCCAAGTTGCTATATAAATAAGAGATATTTAGTGATATACCCATTCTTAGCACTAATATTATAGATAAACCCTCCATCATTGAATTTCTATAAACAAACTCAAAAAAACCTCCAAAAATGACAGCTGGCCTTATTGAATTTAATATTGATTATTAAATTACTTTAATGCCCTATTGAGTGTTTTGGCTATTTTTATGAGATTTTGGGGTTGGACTTGTTTTAAGAAATTTATGGTAGTTTTGTAATTTATAAGAAGTTAAAGCCTCTTTGTTATGTTGTAAATGAGTTTTGAGTGTGTTTATAAAGTTCATTTCATATGGGGTATTTTTATAATTTGAATCCCCATATTGGGTATATTAGTGAATCTCCCCATAAATAATGGAGAGAATATGCCCCGCTCATGCGTCTCTAAGCAGATACATGTGACATCACAGATTAAGATTATAAACTTTTTTTCTTTTGGGAAACGATCCTAGCCGTTCAATGATTTTTGTTGTCTTTTTCCAGCTGGAAGATGATCTGGTGGTCCATATTATACATAAATATATTATTATACGATTGGCTACCCCGCCTACCTAATCCGGTGGATAACAAATTTGGCGCAAGTGTGTGCTATCATCATGGCACGAAAGTTGGGTGCGCTGCTTCGCGACAGCTTCGATCCTAGAAATAAAAATAGAAAAATATGATGAGTCGGTAAATAAACTTCCTACAAAGTTGAGAAATACATGTCAAAATCAAAGCTTGTCCTGTTGCCCGTGCATGAACCCCGCAACGCCCTTTGTCTCACGATACACCCCAACTTTTAGTCTTGAGGGGCCATCAATCATGTTTCATGTCATCATCTAAATACCTTAACTAATGTTATTTATTTCAACTTTCTTTCTGAAAAAGTAAAATTCATTACATATGTGGTGATGTCAGTTGTTCAGAATAATAAATTTATTCACTGACATGGAAGTTCGAATATCTTTCATTTCTTATATATTAGAATAATTAAGAAGATAACAAAAATCTTCTCGAAAAGAAAAAAGCGACTATTTATTAGACACATTATAAATAGCAGGAAAAAAAATATAGGCCGAGTATAATAATGTGAGTTTGTAATTAAACTGGACATTAAAGTGATTGATTGTTTGATTGAAACCTTCTTAAATGAGGCATAGCGGGTGAAGTCGCACAAAACACGCCCCTTACCGTCGGGTTAGTAAGTCCCCCAACCACAAAAGTTGGGTAGCAAACCTCCAAAAAAGAAAATAATAGATCCACGATAATAAAAAAGAAAAAGAAAGAGACTATCCAACTCATTTTTAATGGGCATAGTGAACTTGACCCAATCAATTACATGGACTGGACCTTTTTATGTTTGAGAGCAATTCAGTTAGCCCAGCTGCATTACGAAGCCTTAGAAACTGTTTTGTTTTTGGGCCTTGAAATTCTTGTAATTCAATTCACACTTGTTGGGCGTTAGCTCTCCTCCTCCTCAGTGCCCAGAAGGATAGAATTCGTCAGATTTTGCAAGCCACGTGAGTTTCTTACTCGTACAGTCGCATTGACGCGTCACTGCTCATGACAAAAAAAAACAAGAAGCTCATGCAAGATGTCCGGTACAAACTGCAACCTTTTACTTTGTTTAATTTTGGCCTTCACGTAATTGAAAAGAAAAAAGGATTTAGAGGTGGCAGGATAAAATGATAAAAATTCCTAATTTTAGTTAATAAAGATTTGGATTTAATTTAATTTTTTAATATGTAATTGATTTGGTAATTTTGGTTGTAGAATCCTTTTATTTGGCACAGCCGCACAGGGTCAGGGAGCATTGGGCGACTGAGTTAACAAACGGAAAATGGTAAAAAATGAAGTTAATCTATCTTCTGCCAATCCCATCTGTCGCCATCAACATGCAGTCCCTCTAATCTAATCTTTGGGCATTAAAATATTCAAACTTTGCACCATCAAATTCAACCAAATGCTAGAAGACGCAATCGATTCCTATAACTCCACGTTCTCATAGAGCCCACTGAATATTTTTAACTCGGATTCAATCTTGATCATCATCATCATCTTCTTCTTCTTCTCGGTCTTGTTATTCACACCTCGAGACTACTTGCACAAGAGTTAGCTGAAAATTCTTGATCCATGGCGTCTCTCAGTTTTACTCAGATCAGAGGCAAGAACCCAGTTGCTGAATTTTCCAGGACTCGTCCAGAGTTGGGTTTGACTCGGCCTAACAGAGTTGGGTTTAGGGTGTTTGCCTCTGAGTCTGAGACCAAGGCCGAGCCTGATCTTAGTGTTACTGTTAATGGTTTGCACATGCCCAATCCCTTTGTTATTGGCTCCGGTCCACCCGGTACAAACTATACGGTCATGAAGAGGGCGTTTGATGAAGGGTGGGGTGCTGTGATTGCCAAAACTGTAAGTCTTGCTCTTCTTTTATTTCTGTGTTCGGATCCTCACTTTGAGTTATAAAATTGTGAGCTAGTGCTGCTGATTGATGGTAGCTTATTCATCTGTTTGGTTGGTTACTGAGAAATTTGGAAGAAAGTATGTGAAAATCCAGAATTTGTTTAGCAAAGGTACTGCTTTTGATATCTTTGATTTTGTGTAGCTAGTGCCATTCTACCTGAATGACTTAAAATCAATTGACAATAATGTTGAACATCTTCAGATTCATTGATTTGGGGGAAAGCCCATTTTCTGAACTTTGTTGCAGACCTTAATTCTTCAAAACGAATTTTGAGGTCATTTCCGTAGCTGAACCATTTCCAGTGCTGGATATTGAGTCATTTTCTGTCTTGTATGTGGGTTGCAATTTTTGCATTCAATCTTAACTTACGTTTTCATAGGTGTCACTAGACGCAGCAAAAGTAAAAAATGTCACTCCTCGATATGCTAGGCTACGAGCAGATGCAAATGGCTCACCCAAGGGGCAAATTATTGGGTGGGAGAACATAGAACTGATAAGTGATCGACCTCTTGAAATCATGTTGAAAGAATTCAAGCAATTAAAACAAGAGTATCCAGACAGGATTCTGATTGCTTCAATTATGGAGGAATATAACAAAGCTGGCTGGGAGGAACTTATTGACCGTGTCGAGCAAACTGGAGTTGTAAGATATAGCAATTAACTAAGTTTCTATTACAATTTTCGTACTTTGAGCTTGGAGCTTGCAGCATTTGTCATCTAACATCTGATATTTTTCTTAGGATGCCTTTGAAATCAATTTCTCCTGTCCTCATGGTATGCCAGAACGCAAGATGGGTGCTGCAGTTGGCCAAGACTGCGCACTTTTGGAAGAAGTCTGTGGATGGATTAATGCCAAAGCTACAATTCCTGTTTGGGCTAAGATGACTCCTAACATCACCGACATCACACAGGTCAGCTTGCTTAACTTCTCCCACTTTTGCATTACTTAAAGATGTGTTCTTGTTCAGAAAAATTCAAAATGAACAGGTCTAAATTAACAGCAGTTTCATTTCTTTACTATTTCATATTTCTTCTCTTTTTCCTTTAGATGTATGCTACAAGATGTTTATCACTATCGTTTACAGTAAATTCTATTATAATCTTCCTCGTATCATTTATCCTTTTGTTTGTAGCCAGCTAGAGTGGCTCTGAGCTCAGGATGTGAGGGGGTGGCCGCTATTAATACAATCATGAGTGTAATGGGGATCAATCTAACTACCTTACGGCCTGAACCTTGTGTGGAGGGGTATGCATGCTGAAACTAGAAATATTATATTATTTAGTTTGACTTGTCATTTATCTCAGGAAAACATGCCTAATTTTCTGTCAGATACTCAACTCCCGGAGGCTATTCTTCTAAGGCAGTTCATCCTATTGCACTTGCAAAAGTGATGAATATTGCACAAATGATGAAATCAGAGTTTGGTGATAAGGATTACTCACTTTCTGGTATTGGGGGTGTTGAGTCCGGTGGTGATGCTGCTGAATTTATTCTGCTTGGAGCAAATACTGTTCAGGTATGTTGAGAAACTAACTTTTGTAGTTTTTGTATATTACTCTCTACAATTATGTGTAGTAATGGACTCTACAACCTTCAACACACACGATTTGACTTCGTGGCCAATAGTGTTTATCTCCATAATTGACTTAATAATGTACAGATTTTGAGGTTATTCTGCACATGTTAAGTTAGGCAGCATACCATGATAAGTGGCAGGACCGGCCTAAACAGTTTGAGGCTCAATACTACTTGACTGTAGAAGAAATAAAATTCTGTGATTGCTCTTGCAGGTCTGTACTGGGGTCATGATGCATGGATATGGTATGGTGAAAAAACTCTGTTCTGAGCTTCAGGATTTTATGAAACTACACAATTTCTCATCTATAGAAGATTTCAGGGGGTAAGCAATTTCTTTTTAGAATGAATGTTACATCTAAACAGAATTATAATTTCAGGTGAAAAATCGAGTATACTGATATTTGCGGTCGGTCTTTTCTTTTCAATGAATATGCAGGGTTTCCCTTGAATATTTTACAACACATACTGATTTAGTACGAAGGCAACAAGAAGCAATACAACAGAGGAAAGCTGTCCGGAAAGGTTTGCAATCGGACAAGGAGTGGACAGGAGACGGCTTCGTCAAAGAGACTGAAAGCATGGTTTCCAACTAAATTACACAACCATACAAGCATTGGCCGGCATATGATTGAAATATATGGGATGTTCATCTTTTTTCTGGTGTAGAGTTTAGCCCAAATTTCTTTTAATTTGGAGAAATGAACTGTGTATGTATGAACATCTCAGTTGATGTAATAACTTGTTAAGATATATACTTTCCAATCCATCCAATCAAGCTAATTAGCTTCTTCTTTTTTCTTTTTCTTTTTCGGGTTTCAGTTTCTGACAAGGCATGAAAAATCTATATTATCCTCCAGAGTCCAGACGTATTTATAAATAAATCGATTGTGCTATTGTTAGTAAAAATAATGCATTGGAAATAGATTGGTTGGTGAAGACAAAACCAGCTTCGTTCAATTTGGTTGATTCCCTGGAAATATCAGACTAATAAATGAAACAGCTTGAGATAGACGCATAATTAAAATTAAGGACCAAATTTTACATGCCATGTTGCGCACGAGTGTGTCACAACTCACAAACGTGATTGGATTGGAGGCAAATATCATACCATATATATATAAATTATATTCTGGAAAAATACATCAGGTTCCATGAAAGCACTGCATCCTTTTGCCCGTCTGCAGACTGCAGGCACAATCAATTGTAGCTTTCACCTACGATATTACAAGATTAATTCACAACAGAAATTAACTAGCTATAGTATTATATTTGTATATGCATGTGGTGGGTGTGGGTGTGTTTAATTTAGATGGTCAACAGACTGACCGGAAAGTGAGGTGGCCGGTTCAGGTTGATGAGATCCTGTTAGCTCCTTGAGTTGCAGGTGCATGTTACTTATGAAGGCCATCGACGTTTGCTGCGGTTCCTCCATTGCTTCTTTCAGCTTCCCGAGTGCCAAGCAATATGCTTCCTGCATCAATAATATATTATACATACCCCAGTCCAAGTCCAAGTCCCAGTCACAGTCCAAGTCCCAGTCCCAGTCCCAGTCCAGTCCAGTACCAGACAAGTAATAATAATTAATAATTTTTGTTAAAAACAGAGACAGCAGTATATTTAATTATAGATATATATGCTTCCAGCTCATATTGCTTGGTCTTTATATCTACACAGTTAATTGCATGCGTTGCTGTAAAGACTTAGTGTGCATTAATTTGGGGTATTAATTAACTTCCTTGAGTACGTACTACCACTAGCTAGCTACTACTGTTGGTGTGCATTAATTTGTGTGTACGATGATGGAGCTAGCACACAAGAGAGAAGGATAAGGTTAATATATGTGAAGAGGGATCAATTTTAATTAATTACCATGAAATGATCGAGGTCAGATTGTCGATTTTCACTGGCCTTGTACTTGTTGTCAAGCTGCTTCATATCTCTGCTAACATCTCCCTCTAGGTCTAGGTCACCACTAATTCCACCGACCTGATGAAGATTTGAAAGAAGAAGAAGAAGACCACGACGGATCTAATTAATTAGTAATTAATAAGAATATATGCAGGCAGCAGGAGGATGGATGCCCTATTTTGTATCAGATAGAAGGCACATATACAGATTGTGCAAGCAAGCTAGGTATACCCCAATAAGGCACATATTTAAGCCTTAACCAAACTTGTATTGTAGCTACAAAAACCTTCACTGCAAATCAATTTACACACACACTCTCACACAAACACGCAAACATAGGGAGTGGGAGAGGGATCTAGAGAGAGAGAGAGAGAGAGAGAGAGAGAGAGACCTTCAAACAATCCAAGTGAGCTTCAACCAACAGCCCATATAAGGGATGGGTAGAGATTCTGTTTTTGAGGATCTCATGGTCTTCAACATTCTCTTGATTTTCTTTCTCCTTGTAAGTAGTAGAACTACTCAAAGCTCCTTCCATATTATAATTACAAATCTTCCAACGTACCCTGGAGAGGAGATCGACTCTAGCTATATATACCTATAAGTATAAGCAAATACAAATTCTCTGGACCTCACTAACAACAATTATGCATCATACCAGTCTTACCATTTTTGTTCACATTAACTATATATATACTAGTCTACTAGTACTGTGACTCTCTCTCTCTCTCTCTCTCTCTCTCTCTCTCTCTCTCTCTCTCTATATATATATTATATATTACAACTAAGTGATCAGTGCAAAGAGAGTACAGACGCTCCTATTTTTGGAATTCACCACTGGAATGACTCGTGCATGCATATAATTTATATTTCATATATTAATTTGATCAGTCTCTCATCATGATCAGTCGGTCAGAAACACTAATGCGTAATTGGGGTGTGGGTTTTTGGCCTTTGAAATCTCTCTCTGTCTCTCTCTCTCTCTCTCTCTCTCTCCTCTCTCTCTCTCTCTCTCTCTCTCTCTTTTTCTGTCTTTATACATGAAAGAAAGTAACATATCAAAGGGGTTTCTCGAACTGCGGGGACTTTGCTGGTACGTTTCTTCTATTCATCCGTCTGCATTGTGTGTCTTTATATAAGTTTCCTTTTTTACTAGTCAATCCCTCACTTTTTCAAGCAGTACTTCCAAATTCCCCACTGTTGATGTATCAAGGCTGCTTTCTTTTATCAATGTTTGCTCACATTTATTTGAGGAAGAGAATGTTTCCACTACTGTGGATGCACTCATACGAAAATGACCCTTCATTGCTGTGCCTGTGATATATATGGTATCATAGATTATGTACGTACGTACCCAGACATTAATTGATCCACCAAAAGCTTTTTAATAAATTATTATTCAACCATTTTCCTTTATATATATATCATACAACCAAACTAACTGGTAATCAAAGGCAGATATATATATATATATATATATCTGCCTATCTATCTATCTATAATGGATTAATTTGTAGTTAAAGTTGTTCATAATCTTTATTTTAACACAAGATCAGACTGGTTTTAGGATTTCACATCATTTGGTTATTGCACACGCCAATTTAGGGTTCTCCAATCGCTTTGTTGCAGGTCTCAAATTAGGGTTTTGATTTTGGGAAGAATTGGGGCAAATTGGCGGGCTAAATACAACTGATGGGTGAGAATATGCTAAATGACCATATACCCCAAGTTGAAATGCCACATTGCTTCCACATCAGCTGATTTAACAATTTTTTTTCTAAAAACTAACAGAATGAGGCAACCTTGGTCGCATAATGGAAGTTCAGAGAGGGGCGTTGAGTCATTATAAACTTCAAGGGGCAACCTGAGATAATTTTGAAACCACATAGGGTATTTCAACAAATAACCCTAAATTATATATGTGGACTACGTTTTCATTTAGATAGATCTACTAATGATTGTAAGAGCAGTTCAACCGGGAGGCCCCAACTCGGGCAAGAGGCCCCCAATCCGGTTTTCAACGCCCAAGTCTTGCTAGGGCAAGAGCTGGGCTCCACTAGCCCGGGCAAGTCTAAAGGCAAGACTTGCTTGGGTTGCTGCTTAGGCAAGCTGACATAATATTGACATCAACAATCAATTTAAATAACCAAAAATTTGAAAGAAAAAAAAACCAAAAAACCAAAAAAAATTATTTATTTTTAATTATTTATAAATACCAAGTCATATTCTTCACTTCCCACACCAAAACTCTATACAAATTCATCTTCTCATATCTCATATGAATAGTTGTTGTCCTTGGGTTGCAGTGGCAATTGGTGGAAAACAAAATAAAAAAATTGCCAGGGCAAGCACTATTCATGTGAATAGTAATAGCTATTACTTCCCCTTGTCTTTTACCATGGCAAATGGATGGAAATGTCCTAAAAGATAAATAATTTTCATTCCCCGACCCTCTTTTCTTATCTCTCTCCTCAGGTTATAACACATTTTAACTTAATCTGGTACCCTATAATCTATGTTGTGCTAGAATACTTTACTAGCTACTTGTATATTATGCATGCCCTTTTATATTACGTTATGCTAGACTTGTGAAACGTGATAATTCCAAAAAATAGTTAGTCTTAGACTAGTAATGGTAGTATGTAATGTAAAAACCCAAAGGTCATTGTTCAACGTGCATGAGGTGGTAGTATTAGACTAGTAATAGTATATGAGATACTGGATGGCCCTAATTACGGCCTATGATTCTATGAATAATAGACTGCCTTATACCTAGTCCTTTTGGGCATGCGCAGCAGTATACACGCGAATTGCAATGCTATCTTAAATCTTTTGTTGGGTTGGGTTGGGTGATCCTCTCCCCTGCTCTCCTTGTCCTGTTAAAAAACTTAAAGCTAGCCCAATGTCGTGCAAACCAAGCCCATCTTCAGATTTATCTCTGGCTCTGGCACAACAATTGAGCCCATATATTTGTTGAGATAACACGCCCTAGTCGTTAATTAGTATGGTAATTTGGTCATGACTGATGATTGATGATTGAATTGAAGAGTTGCAAATTCATGAGTCGTGAGCTTTCCACGTATATACATATATATCAGAAAGAATCTGTCGCTACACAGCGGGCCATAGGATGCTTATCTTGTCTACAACAGACAGTGGCAATAACCAACACATACATGTGGGTTTCTGCAGTTAAACAGCATCCGTGTTGGAAGGTTTGATATGCATCAGGCACCCCCCATATATATACATACATACATGCATATATAGCTAGCAGATATATGGCTGATATGGTATGATATAATATAATATAACAAGCTGAAAATTGAAGATTATGACTAAATGATTTGACATGGGGGATCAGAGCTAGCCTAGGTAGCAGATATCTGGCCGGCCATGTGATAATTTTTATGGGTTTATTTATATATGTGTACAATTAGGACTTTACGAGCCAAATTCATGCATATATATAAATACTTCACGTGATGCTCGCGATGGACCATGTGCTTTGGAGGTGAACGATGATTGGGTTTGTTTTGAGGTTGACATGGTCTGCATTGCAACTTGCATGTACAGGAAGGAACAGAGATGATGATATATGATCTGGCTTTCAAAATTAATTGTGTGCCAATGCCAAGTGCCAATCTATCAGAGACTAAGAATATTATATTATATTTACCCTAAATTCTCTTCTAATTAAGCTTTTCCATTAATACTACTGTTGGATCCGAAGCATATATATATCCAGGACGGGGAAGGAATTAAGGTAAGGTCTTAGTTTAGCTAATTAATAACTTGGCTATGTGTAATATGTTAACATCTCCATCTCCATCTCCATGTAATCTTCATTGACAGTACTGTAAGGAATACAACAACGTACTTACGGTACGACGATGATCAATTGCAACTATATAAGTGTGTGTGTTTGTCTGTCTGTCTGTGCTTGCATGTTGGCTCACTCATCGCCCTCCTCTAATATTAATTATATGCGTATATATGTAACACTGAAACATCAAGGTAGGAAGGATCAACTTCAGGACTTTCCGATGGTAAATAAATTATATAGGGCTCTTCTTCTTCTTTCTCAGTGCATGTATGATGTGTGCATGGTGGAAGTAGTACTGCATATATTAAAGGCATGCATCCATCCACATATATATATATATATATATATATATGTATATATATTTTTTTTAAAGAAGCATGCATCCATATTATATTCAAGAAAAATAGCTATAGAGTAACAGTACGTACTGTTTCTCGCTAGTATCTCCGTACCAAGATGTGACTGAAGACTGGAGTTGATATATATATATATATATATATATGAATTTTTTATATACGTTCAAAACTTCTGGTTTTGCTTATGCCTACGCTAACTTACTCCAACATCCACTTGCCCCACCTGTCCAAGGCAAGAATCATATATATACAGGCAGCGCAGGCCATCAACACACACACACACACACACATATAAATATATAGAGATAAGAGGAAGAGGCAAAAAGGTGTGGACTGTTTTCCTCTATCGGCACAGTTGCAATTAATGGCTTTTGGGATGAATAACAAGCTGCGCATTAATACTGCTCTGGTTGCATTTATGCTGCTGCTACTGCTGCTGCTATTCATCGTCGTATGCATAGCTGATGATGGTAAACATTATATATGGTTAACTCTCAAATTAAAACTATACTTGTTGATCATGTTCATGATATCTAATTGTCAAAAACTTATTTAAATTAAGTCCTTCAATTATTTATAACATGACATTCTTTTTCTTCTTCTTGTCACTCACGCCTATATATAGGTACAGGAACAGGAGGAGTTAATGACAAAGTTGCAAGTCTTGTTGAAGATGAAGCCGCCAAGACCAAAACTACCAAAACCAAAACAAAGCAAGAGACTAATCTCATGAGGGGAGAAGACTTGGACTTACTGGTCATGGATTACACCCCAGCTAGAAAGAAGTCCCCCATTCATAACTAAATAATTATTTTATTATATATTATATATTATAGTGAGAATTAAAAATGTAAAAGTTTTATTTCTTAAATATTTATAGAAAAGTATGTATTATAGCAGGGTTCAATAAAACCCGGGAAGGAATAATGGTGTAGTGCGGTCGTATTTATTTGCCACGACTATATATGTTCCATTGCATGGCAGAATTAAACTTTTCAATATATATATATATATATATATATATATCTATTTCTCATTTTCCTTAATTATTATCTGCTGCTAATTTGTGAGCCAGCCAATTAATTATACACTGACGTGATAGGCAATGATCAAGGATAGTTCTTTTCTGTGTTTTGATTGAAGGAGTTAGTTAGTCACCCAATTGCTTGAACTTAAAGATCCCTTTCCTCTCCTTCCCGCCCTTTTCTATCGATTCGTTGTTTTTTGTTTTGTGCTGTAAATGCAGTCGTCGTGAAATGCTGCCGTCGCCATGATATAATTGTCATCTTTTGGCCTATGTATGCAAGGATTTGGCTCCAATTGTCAGCCTTCAATATAGATTCGGAACTACGACGTGGGGAGGATGCCAGGTTGGGTCGATTTCAAGTTTAGCCTGTGTGGCACTATGGCTCTCTTCAGGTTGCCCGAGAGAATATGGAGTAGTGATCTTGTTTTAGTTTAATAATTCCCATGAAATCTTTAGGAGTTTGATGTGGTTTGTTTTTTGTTTAGGATTTTTTTATTTCCTTTTGGCTTTTGATATAGATTTGTCGTTTCTACTGTTGTATGGCAAATCTTTTTATATGTTTGAGTACATGTGCTTATGGTTGCTGATTTGGGAATTTTAATCATTTTTCTCTCCAGGTCAATTCAACTTGTTGTAATATTTTGTCAGTGGAGAAGTTGGCAATGTGCTTCTTCCAATCCAAAACTAAGAGACCATAGATTTTGGTTGTTCACTGCCATCCTTATTTTTTTCATTATTGTAAATTTAAGGAATTTGAAATAAAATACTTCATCTTATTGTTACATTTGAAGGATTAATAGCTATGCAATTAGACTTTGCCATTAATTTCTTTCCACAAGAATGTCTAATTTTCTGTTCTGTTAGGAAGTACTTTTGGATTAATAATTAAAAAAACCTAACTGAAAATTGGAATCAAAGCCTATATATATAGTTTGAAAGAGCAGGAACTTTGGTATTGAACAATTAGGCTTAATAAGTAGTAAGGCAGGCATGGATATATATGCATAATTCACCAATATGGACAGATTTTAGGTTTCATTGTATATTTCTTGTCAACTTTTTATATGGATTCCGAACTACTACAACAAGTTTAAAAACTTAAACTATAGAAGTGTTTTCTTATATATCTCTCTCATCTCCGATGAATTCTTTCCTGATTTTGTACAAATCATTGCTCCTCTGCCCCAACGTCTGGCATGGCCTTACAATTAATGCTTTATATGCAACAGACCATACCAACCTCAACAAGAGCGGCATGAGGAATGTTGAGAGCAACTGGAGGCTCTCTGCAATTTTTATCACAAAACGCATAAGTCATGATCAGAAAGCGCTTCAAAACGTCTGAGCCATCACGCACTGCTAAATGCACCTGCCCCAGGAAGTACGCTGTGCCACTCTCCCTTGCATCTATTAGTTCTTGCAGCTCATCCCTAACAGATGCTCGCATTTTCGGACTATTCGCCGGCAACATGAACCGCACCTTTTTTCTCATCACTGAACCCAAACCACTCTCCACTGCATCGGCCACCATTGGAGCTAGCTGAGTTTCAATATTGCTCACCAAGCTCACGGACTCCTCTACTGAGTTTGTTTCATTCAATGGAATCAAAGCGCTTCCATCAGCTGGTGGCTTTCCAACAACCACCATTCTTCCTTCGGATGAATTCAGGGATTCAAACTCATTTTCTTCCATGGTAATGAACTCTCCGATTGAACTAATAATCTGTTCTTCAAAATTATCAGTGTCCCTAATAGGATCACAGTATCCATATCTCACGACACACCGATAAATCTTCAAATCTTTTGGGCCAACCCTGCCAATAAGATACCTCCGACTTGCAGGGACATAAGGCATTGGTAGGGACTTGAACGACACGAAGATCAAAACTTGGTGAAATGCAGGAATGTTGGTAATGAAGTGTGAGAAGAAAGCTGGAATTCCTGTCACTATATCAGTATAAATGAAACCAATGCCGGGAACCCTGGTAACCCCCAGGCCTGGGCTAATATCAGTAAGCCATTCTGCAGATACCTTGTTTTGTAAGTCAAATTCGAGCTTCTTCTTGGTTCCATAATGCCATGAAAGCATGACCGTCAAGGACAATGCCAAAAGGACAACCAAATACCAAGCTCCCTTATGGAAATTCAACATACAAGCTGATACATACATTACCTCAATGGATCCAAAGAATATCAGACAACAGACAGATTCGAACAAATTCTTCTCCCAGTACAGGGCAATTACGAGTGACATGAGACAAGTCGTTACGAGCATTCCAGAAATTACGGCCAAACCTGTGGGAGATTGAGCTATTAATATCTATCAGATAACAGCTATATGTAAATAATGAAGTTCCTAGAGAGTATGTCAGGGGTTGCTATACTGGAACCCTAGTACTAAAGAATACAGATATTGTTTGGAATGCATACCTGTGGCAGAACCAATTCTCATAATATCATGAAAACCAATTGTAACAGCGAGGCTTAGAACCATCAATAGCCAGTTGATATCAGGAATGTAAACCTGCCCATGTATCCTATCTGATGTGTGAATAACTTTTACTCTGGGGAAACAACCAAGTGCTAGGCACTGATTTATGATGGAAAAACTGGCTGTTATGGTTGCTTGGCTTCCCACCACTGAAGCAAGAAGGGATAATGCTATGAACCAGTGGCGAATTTGGTCTGGACTTTGCATAAACAGTACATTCTTTATGTTAGATATCTAAAGTTGGCAGATGAAGCAACTAATAAAGAAAAATAAGTGTGCTTACGGGGGATGGATTCACTGAGATGATTGAAATCTGCAACATGCAAGTTTTTGGAGATATATGCAGCCTGGCCGGCATAGCATAAAACAAGGACTGGATAAATCAAGCATACAAATGTAATCTGCAGCAGGACACCATCCACAAGTTCATTTTAATTTCAGAACACACTTTGATATAAGATTCAAAGAATTTGAGATATATCAAAAACCTTGATCGATTTCTTTCTGAAATGACCTAGATCTGCAAACATTGCCTCTGATCCTGCAAAAGGTACTGTGTTTCAGGATCTAATGAAAACATCTGGTTCCGAATAAAATTACAACATTAATTAAAGATAGTAAAATGAAGCTCATGGGATCTTAGTAAAACCTGCTACACACAAAACGATGCTGCCTAGAGACCTCCAACTTTTGATTTCAATGTTCTTAACAAATCTGTACATGTACATTGGGGAGACAGCATGGATAATTTGTTCGTTCCAGTGGAAAATGTTATATACACCGCCTCCACCGATGAATATCAGCCAAATGACAATAATTGGAGCAAAAATAAACCCAATTTTATGAGTCCCATAGTGCTGTAGTGTGAAGAGGCACACCAATATAGCAGATGCCGTTGGAACTGGTACATCTATAACAAATACGATTCCAAGTGAATAAACAGATTAGCTAAGATATCCAAGTCATGACCAATATAGTAGATGCAATGGGAACCAGATAAACTTTGGCCATCATGATTGACAGGCTCAGAATTTGTTGTGTTTATTTTCTAGGTGTAGTGTGTATTTCTCCTTTTAGTTTCTCCGGTTTCTTTGCTTTCCATTTTACTGGACATGTGTGCAAGAGTGCCTCTACAAAAATTATGTTGAGTTATCATGAAAAAAGTGTTCAAGCTTCTTCAGGTCACTGAACAGGAAACAACATAAGCAAAGAAGGTGGAACAGATGCAGTGGAAGTACCTACTTGATGACAGAGTACTCACATTTCTCAAAAGCATTTGATATGGCCTCCTGTTTTCTTGGTGAAGATGAAACTGGTAAGAACCACAAGATACAACTTAAGTGTCAGAGTAATGATTGACTATATAGCTATTAAAGGATGATTGAAAGAAATATATACTTCTCTAATTGAAGTTACGGCTAGGTCTTACATAAGTGTGCCATATCTGACATTGATCTTTGAACACCTGATGAAACTGAATACACTGAGGAAGACAAAGACAAAGAAAACGAATCATTCAAACATTTAATCATATCTGACATAAGTTTAATGCAGAAATCCAATTTTCTTAGAAATTTCTAATATTATTTAGAAAAATTGACGAGAATGCCAAACCAGATAGAGCTGGGGTAAGCACCCCAACACCGATCGTCATGCAGGAACCGAACAGAGCAAGGAACAACATTAAATAGTGGCTACTTTTATGTTTCTCAATGGCTCTTCTAGCCCTTGATTCCACCTTTATCTTGAAAGGACTTCCCGTCTCATAATGCATAACCTCATTAGCACTTGTGTCATTTGGAAGCAGACCCACTTTAGCATGCCTACACAGGAGTGAATACAAAGCAAAAGTACCACCTACAAGATGATAAAAGCGAAAAATTATTGCACAATCCTAGCACATAAATTCCTGTCATTAAGAGGATAGTAGATAATTACCTTCTCCATTGTCATCAGCTCTTAATACTATAAAGGCATACTTGAGTAAAGAAATGATGGTAATAGTCCAGAAAATACAGGAGAATAGTTCATAAACAGTCTCCTCTGATTTGATATCTTCTGCAATCATTGTCCCAAAGACATATAAGGGAGCAGTACTCAGTTGACCATATATTACTCCAAGGCTCTGAAATGACAAAAGAAGTGTATGCTTCCATGTCTCCTGTATATTATATGAAGTCAAAAATTAGATGGTAATAAGGTGAAGCTCATGATAAATGCTGCGCTTGTATCTCTATTGCTTTATTACTCATTGTGGGGCAACACTAAGGCACTGATTGGTAACCTTGTATTTCTTTAGCTGGAGTTAGCACCAAGAAGCAACTGAAATTGCAATTTCAATTGGTCCGGTAAGTAATTAGGAGTATTTCAACACAGGCACACACACTTGATGATGGATATAATGATGCATGCATATGCATTTTTTCTTTTTTCATATTGAGCATGTGATCTGGTGATCTGCAATCCCAGAAATGGAAACAGAAAAAGTTGGTAAAACCCCAATTGATCAAATAAAACAAGCTTATTTACGACGCCAACCTACGTGAAATGCCAGATATCGAGCTCCAATTTGAAGACTAAATGCAAAAGGAAATATACTGTAAGCAGTACATATCATGGAAAGTTTGGATCTTGGCTTTTTTTCCTTTTTTGCTCTTCATGGTAAAACATCAAAATTTACTAGCTACAGAAATATCAGAGCAATACAAATCAACTAACTATAACAACCCAAAGAGAGAGATCATGGGTCAATGCTTCTGCAAGTTCATACATCCATTTAGTACCAAAGCAGGCAACTTTCTTAAAAGAAAAACAAATAAGTAAATAGATTATAGACAAAGTTTTCTACTTGAAAAGAAAAACAGAAGCAAGAAAGTAACCTTGAACTGGTTAGAAGAACCGAGCTGAGGATCCATGTATGATGTATGTATGTCTGAAAGGAGTAGACAGATTGGAAAGAAAAGATTAAACTGAATTCTAAAAAATGTGTGTTGATTTATATATAAATGAAAGACGGAGAGCTGGGAATGCCAAGCGACTTACACAATGCCTCGTACACGGAGTTCACAATGTAAAGGATTACAACTTACAGAGAAGAGAGAGAGAGAGAGAGACAATAGTTGATAGTTTTGTTTGAGGTGATACAATTACTCCTACTTCTAACCTTACCAATAAATAAAGAAGACGGTCTGTTTTTCTGTTTTTAATTTTTTAAAATTCGTGGTTTGTGGAGGGGATATTTTTATATCGGTAGTAGAGAGGGAATGCCGGACTGAAGGCGACGCCTATGATTTTGAAATAAAGAGTATGAGGAGTTTATTAAATTTATTATTATTTTAAGAAATGCATTTGTGTTTAATTGGTAAATGATAGAAGGCAAATCACATCCACATGGCTTTCCGTTTGGAGTTGGTGTTTTGGGTAGGAACCGCCCACATGTTGTGTGAGCGATTATTGATTTTGCATGTTTGCAACTTATGGACTAGTACTTTGTCCAACTTGACTTTAGTTTGTTGATCAGACTCTCTAACTCATCACAACGAGAAATACTTGCGTTTCACGGAGATAACATTATTTTGCTATCTTTAAACACAACCAATCAAACTAGTCAAAATCAACCAATCAATAATGAATGAAAGAAAATGAAAGAAAGGGATCATCTTTCGTTCTTCCGGAGCCCAAAAACTGGTCAAACCAAGAAAAAAAAAAGCAGACTGCAGAATATCAGAGTTCGCATAAATCATAATTTATAGGAAGAGTGAAGACTTGGATTAGAGGTGTGTCATCCATAAACCATGTCTAAGAAATGCAATTGCGAGCAACCCACTAACTGGATTCTGCCATTGATATACAGTGGAAGCAAATAATTAATTCCATGCAGCCATCTTCAAACCCACTTCCTCACCTCAAAATTCAATTTTAAACCCCTATTGCAAGTTTCCTCAAAATTCTCTTTGACAAGTTAAAAGAAGACAAACACTAGGTATATTAAGCATAAACCAGCCAACGGGATCTAGTCTAGTGAAAAAGGACATTGACTTGCAAATCAGAGGTCTTGAAGTTCAAATCCCCAGCATCATAATTGTGTGTGTGTGAGAAATCTCACTCCCTAATAGTTTAGACTATAACTTGTACTTAAAAAAAATACATGGAAACCAGAAATTTTGACTGTAGCTTTTAAAAAACCATAGCTATATAGCTATTTTAAAAAAACCATAGCTATATAGCTATATACTTCTACCCTAATCAAAATTGACCATTTACAGAATCATGTTCTCCCACACAGCAGCACTAACAACACAGCTGCCTCCACAAGTATGCTGCTGCAGTCTACAATGGGAGATACCAAAGCAGATAATAGAAGGCAATAAAATTTTGACGGCAGCCCAACTAAAATCCAAAAAGGATTCTATTTGAACCAAAAAGTCACTCAAATAAGATAAAAGAATACTTTCATGACAACGATAAAATTGTGGAGCTAACTGAACAACTCTTTGGGTTTGGGCTAAAAAACGATCATCCAAATGCAAAAAATAAAAAAGCCAGGGTATTTGATTTACTACCAACCCCCCTTCCGCCGGTACTAAAGTTATCAAAATATTGATCAATTGCTTCATTCTATCTTTTATTCATAAGCCTTCTCCCAGTCATCAACCACTTCAGATGTATCTGCAATATTTCCTCCACGCTGCTGCCCTGCTGAAGTCGAACCACTTGCATTTGATTCCAAAGCCGGATTTAAACCACCCAAAGACTGTTTTCCAGAGTCCTCAATGCTAGGAGATACAGAAGATGAACCCAAAGCTCCATCACTGTCTAGTACACTCCATCGATTTAGTGAGGCAGTGATTGGAGCTTCTTTTTTCCACACAGATGCCTGCACATCCGCAGAACCACCAGCCCACTCTTCATCACCCCATGAATCTTCCCTCCAACCAGGCTCCCTAATAACAGCCTTCTTCCATGGATTACCCCTCAGTGCTGTAGACACTCCGCCTTCCTTAGCTGTCCCCAATCCAACCCAAGCATTAGAACCCGATGATGCCACAGATGCACTGCCATTTGAGAGAACGTTAATAGCCCCGTGATATAGTGTACCATTATCCAACCTCCTCATTGCGGTTGCTGCTCGAGCAGGATCATTAAATACAGCTAATGCATTCTTATCATTCAACCAGACTAACTCGCATTCCCCACCAAACCTCAAGACCAGTGCACTAATATCTGCATCTCTCGGCAGATCTGGGAAAGAAACTACAAGCCTGGGATCCATGTCTACTAAATGATCAAAAGCAGGAGGCTGGGGTGCATTCACTGTCGTCGTACCCTTAACCCCAATCACCCGAGCTGGGGTTTTGGATTTAGGTGTAACATGAACCACAATAAATCGCTTGGGCTCCCAACCAGCGGATTGAACTGCAAGCTTCCATCTTTCAGCAATCATCCTAACAACATCTCTCTTCTCCTTCAGCATTGGACAGAAAACATGAACTCTGAGGCCACTTGTAGGACCTCTGCTCTTGCCAAGCACCAAGTACTTGCATCTCTCCTCCACAGATAATACCCACTTGGCATCACGTCTAAAAAGGTCTGAAAGCAACTCAGAAACAGCAGAATTCTCACCAAAATGGAGTGCATCCAAGTTTGGAGAAGCTATATCAAAAGCATCTGCAAGAACCCGTTTCCGCTCCAACTTAGCACATTCATCATCACACATAAATTTCCTCTGTCCAAGTGGGATCTTCTTGGTCATTGATTCAATTGGTTGAAGTGGTGCTGGCAACCTTTGGATAATAGAAGCTTCATACACAGTATCAGCCTTGAAACTAGCATTGCTGCCACCAGAGTCACAAGGAACATTTGCTGTTATCCGGCCACAAGAACATGTGATTGTGACGGGGAAATCACATCTGTTATCAGGACAAGGAGCATACGGGTGACATAGTGCAGTACATGTATGCCTGCAATCTCTCCTAGGAGCACCACATGTCTGTCCACAAGAAGTTTTTGTACCTGGTTCCACTGAAGAGGAAATATCACAAGGCAGTGGGTGACAAGTCCTGCCACAAGCATGCATACCACACTGCCTTGTCTTCCCACAGAGCTTGTTACATTTGATGTCCCTCGACCCACAAGGAATGTTCCTGAGGACGACATGCCCACCGATGCACTCCTTTGCCACAGGCACTGAACAAGGTGGACATTCTCCAAAGTGGCAGCTGTGAGAAGATGAATGCCCACAAGGCTGAGGGACTGAACATGGGAGCTGACATGATGGGGGAGGTGTACCACATGGCAATGGAGGAGGGATTGAAGTCCTCCCACATGCACAGGTTAAGTCAGTGAAGATTGTATCAAGGCAGGGAGGGCAGTGGCCACTGTGGCAAAGTGATTCACAAGAATGCTGCCCACACCTTAACTTCTTCCCACAAGGCATAGAGCAAAAGTGAGGATCCCAATCCCCTGAGAGAACATTATTCGAATTAGAAAGAGGACAGCACCTCTCACTGCAACGGTGCCTTCCACAATTCTTCTTCCGCCCACAAGGCTTATCACAAGTAAACTTCTCAATCTCCATTGTGGTCTTAAAGCATTCCACAGTCCGAGAAGTTGATCCACAACGGCATTTCTGGCTCACTTTAACCAAGCAAGGTGGGCAATCCCCAGTATGGCATATCTCTTGACACTGGTGCATCTCACACGGGAGGAACTTGCCACATGTTTGTGAACAAGTTGGAACTGGATCCAAACAACTCTGTCGTTCCCCTTGCAAGCTTGTTTTCCCACAGTGGCATGTCTTAATCTTCGTTGGCATTAAATTGCACTCTCCACAGGGGCCTGGATGGCAAACTTCACCGCAGGCATGATTACCACAGGTAAGCTTTTTTCCACAAGTGGAACTGCAAGAAAAAACACCGTCTTCTGCTTTCACCTCTCCCTTCACAGTCATGTCTCCACAAAGAACAACCTCCACCTTTTTCTTGCAAAAGCAAGAAGCATCAACCAGAACCTGACAAGGATCACAAGGACCCACATGGCAAGTTCTCTCACAACGGTGACGCAAACAATCAAGAAGCTTATTACAATGCTGGCCACAAGTTAGAACAGACGTCCGGTCTGAGCATCTTGTGGTAATTACTTTCTTTCCACAAGGGCATAAACGTGGCGGGGCAAATGCTTTACAAGGAGGGCATGGACCTGGGTGACACTGCAAGACACAAACATGAGGGCAAAGATCATCCTCACTCACACCCCTGCCAGGGACATCCCTCTCAAGTTGCTTCCCACAAGGCTCACCACATGAATGTGGTGTCAAATACAAATCTGAAGGCGGGTCTGTCCTCTTACCACAAAAACAAACATAACGAATCTCCTTCGAGGATGTAAGCTGTACGTACTGACATCCAGGACACCGCCAATTAAATCCCTGATTCTTCCCTGCAGACATGTCGATAGAAGTTGGGGCTCGAGCCCATTTCTTGATGCAATTCAGATGGAAAATTGAGTAACAGCTTGAGCAAGACCAAACAGGTGCAGACCTCCTCACCATATCATAACAAATCATGCATTCAACAGTGCCCTTTGTCAGTTTATCCTGAATTTCTTGCACAAGCTGAGGTAAATTAGAGTCCTTCAATCTAACCTCTTCCTGATTCTCGCTCCTTCCCCTCTCCCTTCCATGGTTCATTGGCCGACCCATATGACCTCTAGAAGCATTATTTCCTCTGTGCTGCTGCCGACTCTCTGATGGAGCAGAGCTATAATTGGGCTGTCCTACACTCCCATTCGGGATGTTTGAATTGAAGCTTAGAGGTGGGTTCACGGCAGCAGTGGTAGGGTTGGATCCTCTTGGGACCCACTCTCGACGAGCAGACTGAGCGGGCTGAGGAGGCTGAGCAGGAAACCTGGACCTATCCCTTCGCTCATTTGGGACCTGAGAACTCATATTCTGCGAAACCACCGAACCCTCAAGCCGCCTATTCTCCGACAGGGTGCCGAAATAGGCTGATCGAACCCAAACAAAGACCAAAGGGATTCACAAACACAAAAGTTTGCACTAACTGCATCAAAAAGACAATTGAATCAGATTAGAATTCAATAAATAAATAAATAAATCAACAAACATCCAGGAGTTTAGTAAACTAAAGCCCTACGGCCCATACCCATAGAGATGCACCAAAGTGAACTCTTAAATTTTGTCCGAAAACGAATTTAATTCGTATTACTTTCTAATCCTAATCAAGCTTGAAACTTTTCAACATTTCCGAACAAAGAAACAAAACCCTAAAAGCAGGAACAACTAAAAATCGAATTGAAATGAAAACAATATGAGAGAACAAAAACAAAGGCAAATTACCTGATCGGATAGTCCCAAGTGATAAGAAACAGAGAGAAGATTTTCCCGCACTTCTCTGAGTATCTCTCTAGCCTTCCTCAGGTGTTAAAAATGCTCTCTCTTTTTTATCTCTCTCTTTTTTTTTCTTTTCTTTTTTCTGTGCTGTTGTTGTATGGTGGGTCCCTGTTTTGTGTTTTTATGAGATGGATATTTTTACAGTTGGGTTTGTCTCAGAAGGGAAACCGACCCAGACCCAGACCCAGACCCAGAGAAAAAAGAGAGAGGAGGGTATATATAGAGGAGGAGAGAGAGTTGTGGCTTGGGGGTTACGAAAAACTGAAAGGGGAAGGCGGTGAGGGTAGTTCGTCACCGAAATCGCAATCGCGTGTTCTCTGACCTTTTGTTTACTGCCATTTGTTTAAAGTCCTCTCCAAGTATTTGCGTGGTCGCCACACCACTCAGCCGCCAGTCCCACCATCCAATCCGTCGCACAGGCCCAGACCTTTTCTTCATTGGGCCCGACCTGCTCATGGGCTTTCTTGAACAATTATTTAGAAGTAGACCTTGCAATATTATACATGACGTGCGAATATCCGTTGTCCACCCACTTGTATATCCGTTATTCGCCCACGAATACCCTGTTTGAAACTTTGGTATGGGTTTTGTTGTGTCATTAATTATTTTAACAGGTCGTGTTCGTGTTTGGTACTTTTCACCCGTTAACTTAAGGGTTGACACGACTTGTTAAGAAATCAGAATGACATGAAAATAACAAACACAAGCCGTTTGCTAGTAGGACTTGAAAGAATCAAATCAAAGTCCCTTCCATCCAAACAAAGGAATAAAAAGAAAAGAATCAAATTGCCTTGCAAACTGACAAAGCGTATTTCACTAAATAAATGCAGTAGCCTCGCCAGCACTAGGAGAATTGGGCAAGAATAGATGAGAACCTACTCTTATTAGGAAAAGACTTAAGGCAAGTATGTCATCAAATCAAATCCCACAACAACTGAGGATGTATTGGTTTCAGTTTGGACTTTTTAAACGTAGATAGATGCCTTAGCCTAGACTCTTATCAGTTAGTTAGTTTTCTGTCTACCCTTCACTCTTCTTTAGGAATAGGATAGATAGATATCTGATAGATGCCTGCAATGCAACCCGTCCCGTGAAGGGTGGTGTTGGTTTGGTTTCTTCTGGTAAGTGTAAAACAAAGGAAAACAACAACTTCATTTGCAACTTTCTTTATCTCGTGTCTGAATCTCAATCTCAAATATGATGTCCTAGTTTACCTAGCTTGGATAAACTCTACTTGCTCACCCTGAAATCCTCAATTTCGAGTAGACATGTGGTCGTGTGGTGTGATGCAAATTGCACTTCCTTTATTTCAGTGTTATACAACCTCCATATTTATTATTTCTTCCTTCTTCTTCTATTTAATTAATAGTATTTAGGACATTCTTTATTTATTTATTTATTTATTTATTAGATGAAACGAAACGGGTCTGCTAAAGTTTCATTAGTATGCAATGCTTTGTGTTTATAGGTGTCCGGGTAAATGAATAGTATTCATTCAGCTCTCAGCACCTGCCGTTCATAATTATTTATTAGTTTAGTGATGCTAATTTTCCATTTTTAAATAGAATTTCTTTTTCGGTTGATATTTATGATATTTATTTCACACTAAAGAAACTATTTTTTGTTTTATTTTTTATTTATTTTTATGTGTGGTGATATTTTGGTATAATAAAACAAAGATCTTTGTAAAAAGAATTTCATATATGTAAGGCTTGGAAAATAAAGAAAATATATATATTTAAATATAAGCTGTTGCTTATTTTTTTCCGTGTCACGGACGTAGTAATGAATTCTCAACAGCAGGAGCGCACCATGAAATAATACAACTCAAACCCAACTCAACTCAACTCAACTCGTATTTCTGAAGAGTGTGACTCTCTCACACACTCCTATTTATGCTACATTCTTCACAAAAATACGTTATCATTATATTATATCAAGCCCCAAGCAAAGCAAAGAGCCAAAAGCCAAAAGCCAAAATCTCAAACTCTCTCTCTTCCTCATCCTATCTTTCTTTCTCTTTCCTTTGGCTTTTGTTTGTAAAAATGTCTCTGCTCCTCACTGATCTTCTCAACCTCAACCTCTCTGATTACACTGAAAAGATTATTGCAGAGTACATATGGTTAGCACTAAGCTTACTTCATTCCAATCACTCTCTCTGTTTCTCACTTTTCCTTCTCTCCCTCTCTACATAGTATATTTTTCTCTTCTTGTCTATGTTTTCTGTTTCTAGGTTTCTTTTTCTTTTTCTTGTCTAATGGTGATAAGTTTCTAAAAAATCTGTTTTGAGCATGTCTTTCTTTCTCAACTAGCAGTGTTTTCAATCCTGGTTGTGTTACTTGTGTCATGTGTATGTGTGTGGTTATATTTTCCAATGGGGTGATAATTAACTGAGTATACTGATTTTGGTATGGTTGTTCTTTTTATAATCATAAAACAGGATCGGTGGGTCTGGCATAGACATCAGAAGCAAAGCCAAGGTAGCTTCTCTCTACTTATTCATTTCCTGATAAATCGATACACACACAAACAGATGATATTTAATATTTGTCAAAGTTGCACTAATTTGATTTTGTACGAGGCAGACTCTTCCTGCACCAGTTAGCGATCCCTCAAAGCTTCCCAAGTGGAACTATGACGGTTCTAGCACTGGCCAAGCTCCTGGGAAAGACAGTGAAGTCATCCTATAGTATGCTATTTCTCTGTTTCTCCCTGTTTTTCTCTGTTTTCATCCCTCCCTCACTCTCTGTTTTTCAAATCTTACTAATGAAAACTGCTTTCGTTGGTGCTTTAAATATAGTCCACAAGCCATTTTCAGGGACCCATTTAGGAGGGGCAATAATATTCTTGTAAGTCCCCACCGCTTTGAATAATTAACTAGTTTCAGGGACCCATTTAGGAAGGGAAACAATATTGTGTCGCAGTAGAGTTGCATTTAGTTATTTCTTAAAGTTAAGAATTTTAATTATTAATTACTTGTAGGTCATATGTGATACATACACCCCGGATGGAGAGCCAATTCCAACCAATAAGAGGGCTAATGCAGCAAAGATTTTCAGCCATCCTGATGTTGTAGCTGAAGAACCCTGGTGATAAGTTCTACCATCGATCTTCAGTCTTGATTCTGTTTGCAGTTGGTTCATTTCTATAATTGCTTTGTTTGAGTGGTTTAATTGAATGTAAAACATACAGGTTTGGATTAGAGCAAGAGTATACTTTGTTGCAGAAAGATGTAAAATGGCCAATTGGGTGGCCTCTCGGTGGATATCCTGGACCACAGGTGACAAATTATCATATGAATCTTGTAATATTTACTTTACTATCAAGTATGAATCTCCTTGTTTATTTGAAGATGTAACTGGTTTTTTTGTTTTCGTTTTCTTTTGTGAAAATAAAATAAAAGCAGGGGCCATACTATTGTGGGGCTGGAGCTGATAAGGCCTTTGGGCGTGACATTGTAGATTCTCACTACAAAGCATGTCTTTATGCCGGCATCGACATCAGTGGCATCAATGGTGAAGTTATGCCTGGCCAGGTTAATATATTTACACATACATATCGTTTTTGTGTAAAATCTTCTCTTAAATTTAGCTTATTGCTTTGCTTCTGTTGCATATACTATATATAGTGGGAATTCCAAGTTGGACCTACTGTCGGCATCTCTGCCGGAGATCAGTTATGGGCTGCTCGTTACATTTTGGAGGTACTATAACTTATAAGCTACTCAAATGAACTGTTTTCTTTTCCCTCTCTGTTATAATTCTACAATGAATGTGCTAAATCATATCTGATATGTGATTATTTATTGTTAATACAGAGGATTACAGAGATAGCTGGAGTGGTGCTTTCCTTTGATCCCAAACCTATTGAGGTCAGAAGAGATATCCAAATTTTCTATTATTTCGTTGGATTAAAATCGGTATAGTTTTAGCTTCATTTGAGTTTGAGGGTATGTGTGTGTGACCAGGGCGACTGGAATGGGGCTGGTGCTCACACAAACTACAGGTAGCACTTGAAATATTATGCTTGCTTTTGTTTTCATTCATCGGCATTTTGTAAAGTGTTTTGATGGGATGTGATGCTTCAGCACCAAGTCCATGAGAAGCGATGGAGGATATGAAGTTATCAAAAAGGCAATTGAAAAGCTTGGGTTGAGGCACAAGGAACACATTGCTGCTTATGGGGATGGCAACGAGCGCCGTCTCACTGGGCGACATGAAACAGCAGACATCCATAGGTTCATATGGGTAAATTAACATACTTGAGCTTATTATGCACCTTGTTTGCATTTGCATTGATTTGTTTTGCTTAATGGGTTGAGAACTGAGACTTGACAGGGAGTGGCAAACCGTGGAGCTTCCATAAGAGTTGGGAGGGACACGGAGAAAGATGGGAAAGGCTATTTCGAGGATCGGAGGCCTGCTTCAAACATGGATCCTTATGTTGTCACTTCCATGATTGCTGAAACTACAATTCTCTGGAAACCATAGGCTTACATTTTCGGGGTGGTGAGGGAGTGAAAATGAATAAATTTTATCTTGTTTTTGTGTTCCTCTTCCACCCTGCAACCAAAACCACAAGTTGTGTGTTTAACCTTGTGATTGAAGAAGGCTTGTCTGAATTGTGCCAATACTGGATCACAGCAATAATATTTGACATTAAAGTGATTGGAATTAGATCAATGTCCTTCCCTTTGTGATGGTTTTACTGTTTTTTTCTTTGAGAATAATTGGTGATAATGTCTGGTGATAGTACAAAAAACTACAAAGACAACTTTATTTACAAAAGGGTCACCCTTAACATAAATTTACAGAGACTGAAAGAGCCAAAAATGATATTCTTCATGAAATTGCAGTTCAAACTTTGTTGTTTTTCAAACACAAAAATGGAAAACTCTGTTGTTTTCAAAAAATTACATGCATAGATAGAGATGATGATGATGATGATGATGATGATGGCATTTTGTACACGTGAATAGCCGAAATTGCAGGGTACACGAAAGCTTTACCTTAGCTTATGAAAGTCTTGCAGGCTTGTAGCTATTTTTGGGGAGGGGAGAAGGGAAGGTAGTACATTGATGTGTGTGCAGCGCTGCTACCACTGCATATTATTTATTTGGTGCCAAAAGCAATTGTGTTTGTTCCCAAAAATAATAACAAACACAATGAGATTGCAGAGACTGGTATGCGGTCCTACCATCTGCAACTGCTATCTTAATAATTTCTTGAGGAAAAGCTTGCGTTTGCGGCAAATTTGCAGTCTTTTTAAGTTGTTAACAATATCCATCCACGCCCTCGGGCTAAGATACACAAAAAAGTCTCATGAAATCTCCACACCCTCAGGCTGTTTTGTTGAATTGTTAGGTGTAACTAAACATAGAATCACTAGTAATTTGTGTTCAAAAATACAAAGAACAGGTCAATGATGGTGATCAGCATAAGATATTAGGGTAGGTTTGTTTTGTACATAACATTTGAAAGTATTTTTTCATTAAACCAAATTTTGTATTTTAGTATTAGATGAGAGCGACCCATCAGCAACTTTGACCTTTCATTTAAAACCTAGAGCATACAAACAATCAAGATTGCCCAAAGTAGCGCATACAAACAATCAAGATTGCCCAAAGTATAGTCTTTCCAGAATACTCAATCAAACTTGGAACTTTCTTGCTACCAAACACAGATATGGCGCCAACCTTTTGGTCGATCATGAAAAGAAAATACCAATCGTACCTCTTCATAGAAGAAAAAAATGTACAACAAGAACCAAGAACGTCCAAAGATCAGTACTTTCTGAGATACTAACCCAACAGCACACATGATTTCTATTATATCTTTAGATCACCAAAGAGCGAACAACTTTGTATTGTTTGCTAAAGTGTACATATTGTCTAAATAAGAGAAAATTTGAAACACAACAGGATTGGTGGGCTTCCTACTTAATCAATCTTGACTGATGGATATTCTATGAAAACAATCAAATCTGCAACCTATGATCCTCAAGATCAGAAAGCCAAATTCAAAAAGGAGCAAGACTGCCATATCATTAAACTAAAATATGTATTATTTACAAGGGGAACATGGCCAAAAAGTACTGGATAAAGAAAAAAGAAAACAGGGGAGCAAGAGCTGAAAAAAAAACAGAACAAAACCCTCTGTTTTTCAATTCTAGAGAGATGCATAGACCATCCACCAAAACCCCCATCTTCACTAAGCTCCAAGAAACGAGGACTCGTCCTAAGAGTCACCAACAGAGATGGGTCAGCATGAAATTCCCAAAGGGGATCGAGAGATCTGCCTGGTCATGGTGATCTCTCCAAGGACAGGTCTCATCTCTGGCTTTCCCGGCAGCCAATCAATTATTTTCTCGGATTCTTGCTTGATCTTTCTCACTTGGCTGTGAACAGGAAAACCCATTTCCTCAAAGTCCTCCCTCTGTCTGTTGTTGTTGTTGCTGTTCCTGTTCTCCATCTTCTTGTTGTGGATTCACAGAGGCTCTGCTTCCAACTATACTTATCCTATTTTTCCCTAGCTAGTATATGTTTATGTATATATCTGTATGTAAATCTTACAGGACAGTTGAGAAGCATGTGGGTATATATAGGGGCAGAAGGTCGGGTCGATCGAGAAGAAGATCAAGTATGAGACGTAAGATGGCAAGGAAGAGAAGTTTGGTGGAAAAAGATCAAATCTTTGGATTAGTTTGAGTCGACTGTTATGGACCTCGTTGACACGTAAAGTTGTAATCCTCTGTATCCCATCACATCATCTACACGTTGTACAGCCACTTCATCACCAATCATAGTCCAAGATCAAATGTTAATCTCAAGTCATTCACATCTGTGCTTCCTTGCGCTAGATTGATCTGACGGTCACAAAATGGATTTCACAACTACATAATGAACTTCCTTCTAGATGATTTCCCTCTCTCTCTATAGATATTTATCTTGATTTCAATTATTTTCTAATCTTGGTATTAAATCCTTAAAAATTGCCGGGACAATTAGTATTTACAAAATTGGATGGATCTGCCAATCAATGGCGACTTTGTTATGTGAAAGGTTTCGCGTATCACAGAATTTCCTTTTAAAATTGATTTGAAAGGTCTCGAGTGTGAACATTAAATTTGAATGGACATCTTGAGGTCTAAATTTTGTATTATAAATTCTCTGTTGCCATGCCAAGAGGTTTACCAAATGAATACCAAACCATTTTTTTTTTTTCTAGGGCCAAAGTGTCTATTATTTGACTGGTCCTTAGATTGTCAAATTACTCTAAATTGCCCCTCTTTTTAAAAAAATTATTTAACTATATTTATTCCACAAGTTTACTAAAAAGTTTGGTCCCCTTGGAGTTTGGCTCGAAATCGTGGGTTCAGTCAAGTCAACGTTCAAAACTCATGCTACAACAGTTCGACTCTTCACACCAGCCATCTCCGTTTATTTCACGGTAAAAGTCAAATATTCGTGTTCGGACATGGCTACTTTCGTCATTCCACTTAATCTTACGTTGACGTGGAACATAAACGTGGGCTTTGACGTGGTGGGTTGGGGCCGTTAAGTTTGTTGATAGGGCAGCCGGCAGTCGTCAGCGTGAAGTTGCAAATTGTGCCACGTGGGTCGACCTCACCAGCTCTTTATTTCCACGCCATGGGCCATCAATTTGTTATGATACACATGCATACGTAGGCCCATCGTTCTTTCATCTTTTCGTATCGGCTTGTAAAACGCAAACGACACAAGATGATGACACGTGCAAATGCTGGAAGCATGCATGATTATTGTTAAGTTTTTTGTTTTTTATTTTTGGCGTGAGATTTAAGTCTCGTGGTAATTTACTCCAACACATACTAATTGTCTAATTTATTCATTTTGATTGAAATTTAAGCATTAGATTTGTGTAACTTTTACAAACATTCTTAGACACATTGCATTCTTTTTCAGCATTAGTGATTTGCGATCTTTTCTTTTTTCACTTTTTATCGAGTGAGACCTAAGCATTAAAATGATGAATTCCTCGTGTCCAATATTCACTTGTCCCATCACACTAGTTATTTACAACTAATTATAAATGATTACCATGTTGTTCACATTACGTAGAATGATTTTAAATTGGCTGTTTTGGGCATGTCACCATTAAAATAACAATATTTCCTTCTCATCATTTGTTTCTTTTTCTTTCATGTATGGGTAATTTTCTTATGTGGAAAGCAACTTTTGATTATTTTGATTTTCTTTATTTTAATATTGGGAACGAAATAAACATGATTACTATTAGCCTACAACATTGAACTTGGATTTAGTTAATCAACAAATGGTGGCGATTTTCGGTAAAGGTAGTGATACGTAAACACATGTTTTTTTATATTTATTTATTTATAAATACAATCTTTTGGGGGGGAGGAGAATGTAGCCTATAGCTGAGGTGTAAGGGCCCGTCTGGTAACGTTTTCGGAGAGTGTTTTCTGAGAATATTTTCAGAGAATGAAAACAAGAAAACAAATTTGCATTTTCAGGAAATGAAAATGCGTCTGGTAGATTAATTAGAAAACATCTTTAGAAAACAAAAACAATGAAAACGTGTTTGGTAGTACAATTATTTTTCAAGTGTATTTTTGCTAATTTATGTTCTAAAATTTTTTTTTAATGTATAATTTGACAAATAAAAAATTATATTGTTTTTTTTAAGTTAAACTTTTTTTTATCTTCCTCCTTTCTTCTTTTTTCCTTTTCTTTCTTCCTCTTCTCTCCTTTCTCCTTTCTTCTCCCTTCCCAGGCCGTCCTCTTTTCTTCTTTTGTCCTTTTCTTTCTTCCTCTTCTCTCCTTTATCTTTTCTTCTCCCTTCCCAGGGCGTTCCTTTCTTCCTCTTTTTTTCTTTTTTCCTTTTCTTTCTTCCTCTTCTCTCCTCTCTCTCTCTCTCTCTCTCTCTCTCTCTCTCTCTCTCTCTCTCTCTCTTAATTGGGTGGTGATGGCAATGGTGATGCTTTGATTGGGTATGGGTGGTGGAGGTGTCGATTGCTTTTTTACTAGGTGGCGAGATGTGTATTGGGTTCGATTGGGTGTTTGGTTTTGATTCCATTGGCATGGTGGTGGTGTTGGTGTTGGTGTCGGTTGGGTTTGATAGGTGGTGGTGATGTGGGGACTGGGTCTGTGAGGTTTGGTGGCAGTGGCAGAATCAGTGGCGGTTGTGATGATGATGGTCTGACAATCATGGCCATGGTGAGTTTGATTTTCGTTTCGTTTCTGTTTTGCTGGGTAGAGCGATGGGGTTGTGCATTTCGGTTTATGTTTTAGGCGTTTGTTTTCTGTGAGAATGAAAACACATTTTTTCTGTTTTTCCGAAGTACACGTGATGTTGTTTTCATTTTATGAAAACATTCTCAGTGTTTTCTGTTTTAGTCCACCGAACGGATTCTTGGTTTGTTTTTGTTTTTTGAAAATGAAAACGGGCGCTGAAAACTTAAACGAACGGGCCCTAAGATCGTAATGGCAAGGATGATGAAGAAATTTGCAATTGATGGTGAAAAATGATGGTAAGCAAATAGGTGTTTTTCTTGAAAATAGGTAGAGATCAATTTAGCTTCTCAATCAAAGACTTGACGTGAAGGAATATTTTTCAAAGCTGTTAAGAGTGTTAGGTCAGCCTAAAAACAAACATGACTGAAGGCTCACCTAATTTCCTCCAATGTCATTTTGAATCCTTATATAGGACTTGTTTATATTTGCCCATTCGCCAGCTTCCATGTTATCATTCAATCTATTCAAAACCACGTATGGAAAAAAAAGAAGAAAAAAAAGAGAAGTATTTTAATTTCTAGATGGATTATGAAGTATAAGTTCTCAATTCACAGGTGGGTATGTGTTAAACATGTCGTGTTGGGCCCGCTCGGCCCGTTTAGAGTCAATTCATTTAATAAGTAAGCTATGTCGGTTCCATTCATTTATGAAACTCATCAATCCGACTCCAAGTTCATGTTCCAAGCCCAAATAGACTTGGATTGTGCTCGTGCAGGCCACTAAACATGCCAAGATGGGGCTACGTCAAATTAACTTATGTATTGCATTTTTTTTTTGGTAATTTTTGTTTACTACTTCATTTAAATATTGTTTATAATTATGTATATACTAACAAGATTTATTATTTGTTGAAAAAAGTGGACAATAACTTTATTTAAAGTACATTTAAATAAACCACACGTTGTGGTGTGGTTGACAAACTGCCACATCCAGTTGGCGAGCTACATGATGTCTCAATGGTATGAATTCAAAACCTGTTTGAAGCACTTTATGATCAGGAGTAAGCCGAACCCCCAGCAGGAATTAATCCCACCCTTCGGAGGTAGGGACACCTCATGGTATTTACTTTTTTTTAAAACAAATGTACATTTAAATTGAAAATGACTACATTATTGTTTGGGTTTTCAAAATAAAAACTCAATAGATAAAATCATTATTTTATATATAAAAAAATATTAAATATTAATATATATATTATTAGAGAAAATAAATATACTTGAATTTTAAGATATTAATGTAATAAATTATGTATTATTTTTATCTAAAATAAATATAATTGAATAAATGTACTTTAAATGGGTCGGCTCGGCCCATTGGGCCTAATTATCTTGTCATGGCAAGGCCCAAAAATAAGGGTCATGTCATGCCGGCCTTACTTAAGTGGGCCGAGCTTGTACCGTATTGGGCCAGTTCAATCTGTTTGACACCTGAGTGATTCCAGTCTAATTAAGGCTGGACTTCTTGCTGAACCTTCTAGTCCAATGGGCTCATACACATAATGGGGAAAACAGCCCATAAATAATTTGGTTCTCCTTACCTGACCAAAAAAAACAGATTTGGTTGTCTTTTGTACTGTGGGCTAGTGGGCTCGATTCATTACGATCACTTTCCAAAAGTAAAGCAAAAGACTAAAAAGGAAAAAAAGACATTAGGATTTTGATAAAGTGGAACCAAATCATGTCGGATTATGATCACATATTAAACAAACAAGAAATGAGAGATAAGGGTATAAGGAAGCAAAGCCAAAGCTACTGATTTTGAAAGATACACAGACCAAGACAGGAGGGAAGATTGGACATATCCTATCCTAAGTAACTACCTTTTGTAAAGTTGTATCCCACCATTTCCCCAACTTGCTCCCTGTTCATATTTGAAGTCTTGTAGGCTTCTGTCGACATTTGAAATCTCACGACACTTTAATAGTTTATGTGAAAAAATCTCTTTTTTATTTTATAATTTAGATTATCACTTATATATATATTTTATTTTTAAAAAAGCCACTGTAGCTTCCCCCTCGTCAACTCAATTAAAATATACATTGCTAAATTCTGTAGCATCTGGAATCTCAGATTAGGACTGTTAATATGTTGGTATTAGTTTTTGACATTATGAATTAATGCTGCTAATGATTTGAATCACAACCTCCTTATCGCTTCAACCACTCAAGTTGGTCGTCATATTACGTACCTTTCTTTCTAAGATGCAAACGCAAGCAATCAAATGATATGTTTCACACTTCGTGGCAAAAAGTAGGGGTTTTTCTGGGCTTCCTTCATCCCCAACGGTCCCTAGCATGTGCATTCCAACGATTTCTTTCACTTGGCCAAGGAAAAAGTTAGTGGGAATCTAATCAGTAACCGAGAGTTCTGGTCCCTGAGCTGGATTAGACTAGACCCCATCAATTGACTCCACAGAAAATTAATGAGCACCACAGAAATGGCATCACTAACAAGCGGACCCTTGCATATAAATATCTTTTGTGCCTTTTGTGTTGTATATGGAATGGCGACAGTTTACTTGTATGGGTTCACTCATCACTAAAGGGGTGATGAGTGAGTAGTTGCAACTTCCATTGCATGGGTTGTTGTTGTTGTTATTGGGTGTGTGTGTACGCAGATATATATATATATATATATTGAAAATACCTGCATGATGTCTAAGAAGTGCCTAGAGGAGGGTGAATAGACCAATTTAAGATTATAATCAAATAAGTAAAATAAATTTCGGTAGCAGAATTGATATGGCTTATCAATCTTGAAACGTGCTGAGCAAAAAATAAAAGAACACGTAGAGAATTATTTTACGTGGTAAAACCCTATCTCTGGAGAAAATCCACGGGACTCCTCACCTTTTATTCAATTCAGGTTTTCTCTCTCAAGAGAGAAACCCACGTGACACACTTCCTAGGCACCAATAATTCTCCAAACCAATTCAACTAGGACTTCTAAACATGATGCTAAAAGGTCTCTTGCTTGAGACGCGAAAACAGCAGCCAAACAAATATCCAAATGTCAATATACATTCTAATTCGATTTACATGCTATGTGATGACGCCAACTAATGCAAGATGTGAGGAAACCTAATGACTTTCCACTACAACCAATCTTTTAAAACAATATATGCCTAAACAAATTAATTTAACCAATCAAGTAGGAAATAATATCAAGAGATAACATATAATCCTATTAAAAATAGGATTAACATTAAATTACTTGAGTGAAAATAAGAATGAATGCATGATTATATTATGATTTACCTGAAATCAGTTTCTCATATCGGTCAAGTCATGCCTCGGATGTATGGGGTTGAATGAGTTGTGCCAAAACGTCTAATAACAATTCTTCACACACTAATTTTCTACCTATGCTAGAGTCTAAGAAATGAAAATACAAATTTCATACTAACATATACATTGTTGGTCAGCTGGGTAGCAGCTTAAGCGCAGTTGTGTTCAAAGTTCAACCCACGGAACACACAGCAACGAAATTTGTATTACATATCCCACCTTTTCAACGTGCTTGAAAATGTACGTAAGTACTGAGTAATTTACTAATTTGTGCAGGAGACTAAAGAAGAGTCAAGGCCTGGCCAGAGATCCATCACGTTTCATTATTTTATTTCTGCAGCAAATAAACCCACAAAAAAAAAAAAAAAAAAAAAAAAAAAAAAATTAAACTTAAATTTGTTAAACAAAAAAACTTAAAAAAACAGCTTTGAAAAGCAAGAAAGGAAGAGAAAGGATCAATATTTACACGCATATAATGTATAATATATATATATAGGTTTTGGTTTGCGTTTGAAAGCAGCAGCAATAGAAGCACAGTAGTGTGAGTGAGAGTGTGGAAAATGTCGTCGCAAGGCCGGAGCAGAAACGACTTTCCTAATTAGGCATATCATACTAGTCGTATCAGTCGTAAATAGAGAAGTATGGAGCTTTGAATTGAAACCGTGTTAAGCTAATTAGCTAGGGTCTGGCGGGTTACTGGTTTCAACTTTCATCAATCAGAGTCAGAGCCCACATTTTTTTTTTAATGTTTGAAGAAACCGAGTGCTGCTACTCTATTCCACTATTTCTTACCCAAAACGCGTCAGCTACACTTTCGTCATCGTCGAGATAAGCCAACCAAACCAAACCCCAAGCCTCTCTCTCCCCAACGCGTCAGCTACATTTTTTGTTCTTATCTCCCAATCATGCAACATTATTTTATTATTTATTTCTCAATATTCAAGGAGTTGAAAATTCTTCCTACTCTCGCTTTAGCGCGTTGACTTAACACTCTACTCTCCATGACACATCCTAAAATTTTACACTAGTAAACACATATATTTACTCTATTACAATTTTTCTTATTTCTATTTTTCACATATAGTATAAGCAAACGTGGATTAATCCATTTGGCAAATGAGCAAGGACAGTGAGCCCATCATGGTAAACTCAAGTTCAAATCTCCCTCCGCATAAATTGAAGAGTAGTTTAGATTACCGTTAGTAAAGTTATTTGATCTCTTATAACTTGTCATATAGATAGTGTGTTAGAAGTTAAAACCATGTTATTTCCTTTTTGAGATCATTTAGTTATGCAACATGAATCGTCATATAATTAATAAAGAAAGTTACACAAACTGTTTATAAAAAATAAAATGAACAGAAAAGAGAAAATAGGTAAGGTAAAACTAAATAAAAATGAGAGAGGTTCTAGTAACGTTTGGTTATTTGTTGTGTGTTTTTGGTTTTTACTATATCTATTAACCTTTTTATTCCGTTAATTAAAGCAACAAAAAACGGAAAACAGAAAAAACAAAGACGGTAGAAAAATGGGGCCAGGTAGGAAGGATAAATAGCAGACGCGATATGATTTTATGACTTAAGAGAGAGTAAAAAGACAAAGGGGAAAAGAAAGGTCTTTGTCAAGCGTCGCTTCTTCGCTTCCACATGCGCGTCCGTTGCCATTCTAAATCAAACAGCTGTGGCTTTTCTTCCCTCCTCTTCTATATAATTCCAGATATTTATCAATTGAAGGAAGGAGCTTGAAGAAGCAGTTTCATACTCACTCACTCAAATTCGCATTTCGATACAAAAAAAAGGCTTTTGCTCCTCCCAAGCTGAAAACTATCAAAGGCCTCTCCTTTGCTCCCTCGCATATTCCAATCTATTTTTAGAATTTCCATTTCCTTCTTTGCCCAATTTGGTTCCTTAGATATCCCCCAAAATTGGTGGGTCTCTTTCTTTGAATCTTTGAAGAAGAAATATTCAATTTCTTTCCTTTCTCCTACACGTAGCGAAAGTTTGCCTAGCAAGTGACCATGGGTCTCTTTCTCTCAAGAAATATTGCAGATTTTGTTTTCTCTTCTCTGTTCTCCAAGAAAAATGGTGGGAATTTCATTCCCATGCAAATTCAGGACGTGGTTTCCTTGGTGTCCCGGACGGGAAGGCATATGCAGCGCTATGATAAAGGTTGTCGCCAAGTTGTAGGGTATGTTTCCCTCCTCCAATTTCACAGCTTTGTTTTGTAGGCTCTAAGATTCTTGAATATTAGAGCCTTGAATTAAGAAATTCTCAAGTGGGTCTTTGTTAAATGAATGAACTTTGTGATCAAATTTCGATATGGTTTATCCTTCTTCTTCTTTTTCGTTAAAGTATTTGTTGGGATTTTGTATCTTGTAATCTAATTGTTTGGGGTTAATTCTGCAGATGCGTACCGTACAGATTTAGGAAAACCGAACAATCTTCATCTCTTGAGGAGTTAGAAGTTCTTGTGATTAGTTCACAGAAGGGTCAAGGAATGTTGTTCCCAAAGGTACTGCCTTTGATCCCAGGATTTGTTTCTTATGGCTGTGCTCCTGCCATTTTAAATTAGACGCATTTTCTGTTTTATTCATTATCCTAAACGTTTGCGCAACTGCAATGTGATTGATTATAGGGAGGTTGGGAAATTGATGAGTCTATCGAGGACGCGGCTAAAAGAGAGACGCTAGAGGAAGCCGGTGTGATTGGCCATCTTGGAGTGAGTATCTGCAAAACTAATCCTAAATCAGTCCAGCTTAATTTTCATCGAATTGCATCCATTTACTCATCCATTGTTTTTATGTACTTGCAGAGTAGATTGGGTATGTGGCGTTATAAGAGCAAAAGCCATGGCACAGTTCATGAGGGGTACATGTTCCCTTTACTCGTCCAGCAGCAACTGGACTTATGGCCCGAGCAAAGTGCCAGAAAACGACAATGGGTATGTAGAATTGCAATATATGCTTTACTGTCTCCGGACATCTTTACTTTCTGGTTCAATTGTGTGTAGATTTCTCACATTCATAGTATCAGTAGTTCTAAAATTTATGGTATATATTTTGTAGATGTCTGTTGCCGAAGCTAGAGAAGCATGTCAAAATTGGTGGATGAGGGAAGCTTTGGAGAAGTTAGTTTGTCTCCAACAGGCAGGAGAAGAAACAAAATGCACGTAGAATTCCATAGCTTTGGAGTTTGTTTTCTTCCTCTCAAATTTTGGAGGACCAAACGGATGTAGGCAGTAGTTTTCTTTGTCCAAAGAAAGCTCAGATTAGGAATGAGGAAGTCGAATAGAACCATCATCTTAGGTGTTTGTGGCCTTCACAGAATCACAGTTGGGGGGGTGTTCCCCATGTTTTGTTCCTGCCATCGTTCCTTCTCGAGTTAACTTGTCACCAAAACGAGAGCTGATTGTAAAACTGTACAATGTAGTTGAAGATCTTAGAGACAAAACAACTTGTACATGTACAAATTCCATTCTTTCAATTCAATTTCAATTGATTCATTCTTTTCTATGTGAACTTGTCCCCTCTGTATTTGAATATAAATTATAATAGTAAAATGGTTAAGAATACATACTCATGCAGCGGAGGTCTTTAGATTCGATTCCAGATCATCCAATATCGCTTGTATAAAAAAACTATATATAAATACAATGTGAGATAGATCCAAGCGTTCATTCACCGATGGTTCAGATCTTTAATTGCCCTTAAAATTTAACATTGCCCGTTCATTCCCCTTAATTGAAGTCAGCAAATGGTTTCTGGTAAGGTGGCGTTCATCAAATGGTCGATGCATTATTTATGCTTCTCCGCCATTTAAAATTCAAAATGATTAAAACAAGAGGGAAAAACGTATCTTAATTCCTCGTCTCGTGTAAGCTTTTAAAAGCTCGTCCCCTTGAAATTGAATCGAAGCAAAACAAGAATGGGGAGGGGCCAAGCTAACAGTGACTATGAAAATGTCAGAAAAGCTCGAATATTGGAAAATCAGGTAGGTGACAGGTCCTCTTCTCTTCTCTTCTCTTCTCTTTCGCTGACACTCTTGTTTATTCTTTTCTTTTCATTTCTTGCTTGATAAACGAAAAATGTTGGCTTGACTATTGGCTAATGGGAATGGTGAATTTACAGGCTCGGTTGACTTCGTTGGGACTGCACAAAACCATCACCGAGCTCCGATCCATAGCTTCATCTGCAAAACCACCCAAAACCCATGTCAGAGATTACCGCAAGAAAGTCTACGAGCTCACCTCTTTGCGCCGCTCTAATCGCTTGAAGGAAATAACTGCCACTGCTACTGCCACTGTCTCAAAGAACGCTTCATTTCGACGTTCTGAGAGGTTAAGAGGCAAATCCGGTAATCAATTCAATCCTTTTTCTCTGTTTGGTAGCTGAGAAATCCTTACAAGTTCTTTTATTTGGAAGTTCTAAATTGTTTTTCGTGAAGGGAGTTTAACTGGCGGAGAAAGTGAAGAGAGGAGGCCTGCAAATGCGCCTTTGGTGGATGTAAGGAAATCGGAGCTCCAGCTTTCTTCCGAGTCTGCGGCTCAGCGTTGCAATAGCAAGGGCCGTGGCAGTGTCTATCACCCGGTTTTCGGGATTTATTGCCATTTATGCAGGTTTTATGCCTTAACCTTTTGGTTACAATTTTTTGTCTTCTTTGAGTTGTATAGCAAGACAGAATGAAGTTTGATACCAAGATATTAGATAGCTAATTGAACATGGCCATCTTGTTGCTTTTGGTTTGATTGTTAGATTTTGGACAGTAAACTTCAGTTATAACTCATCTGGATTTTGATTGGTTCTATTGATTGATTATTGGTGTGGACAGTCTGTTTGCCTAGCCTGCTTTTAATGAACTAAAATGTACAGATTTTGTCCACTTTTTTTCTCCTGATTTGTGGAGGGCTGTGAGGGCTGTGAGTAACTAACTAGTTTGCTTCACAATGTTGCCATATTTGAATCAATTGCGTAACACTAACAGGCGGTAAAGATCAAATAAGTATCAAAACCTGTGAATTAATAATGTTCTTTTAACTTTACTAAAACTATTCAATTATATTTTTACTAGTATAAGATTCTGATGCATGTAAGTGCAGGCAAAAGAAGTTGTGCGGTGAAGAAGATTGCAAGCGATGCGGTAATCTTGATGTGGACCAGCCGTGCATTGGTTAGTTCTCTAAAATGTGATCATCACTTTGACATTCTGAGTCTGACACACCTTCAACTGTTGTGACATTTCTTAAACCTTATATGTGCTTAGGAAAAACGGATTGTTCAGTTTGTCATTCTAGCAGAGGTGTTCTTTGTCGAGGTTGTCTCAAGGTTAGGTACGGTGAAGGTAAGTCGTTTTACAAAGACAGACATAAGAAAAGCAATTACATGCACCATATGAGGAAAATTCTTAGGTATTGAATTGCATTTCCTTGTCAGAATTGGAGGAAGTGAGAGAAAACAGGAAATGGATGTGCCCACATTGCATAGAAGAGAAAGGAGTAAACCCTTACTGGATATGTAACAGGTATATATTTACTGATTCAACTTTATGAGCTTATGTTATGGAGACTGAATGAAGACTGAATGTTCTTTATATATACATTAGTTCGATTTGCCTAAACAAGCGAAATATGGCTCCAACTGGAGTAGCAATATACAGATGTATGTGTCTAGTTCTCCATTAATTGTTGATTCAGATTTGTTATATCCGTTTGTTCTAAATCTCATATTCAATGCTTAGTTTTCTGCATAATAATAATTTTGTGTTTAATTCCTTCAATTGAGTTCAAATTATAGGTCAAGGGATGGGATACAAATCAGTGGCACATCTGCTGATGGATGAACTTAAACTAGCAGACAAGATGCCCTCTCTATAACCTCGAGTCGATGAAGCAAGAGCACTTTAGTTGTTTTTTATCTGAGTGTTTTGAGCCTAGGTGGAATTTTGTATGACTCATGTTTTAGGAACAGACCTTTGACCTGCTGTGGCATTGACTGTATTATTAGTTCCTAACTCTTGAAAAGACCCTACTATGATTCAGTACTTCATTTCATATGCTGGAAATCAACTGAATGATTTTATGTAAATAAGTTGTTTGGATAATCCCATGCCCCAATTATTCATGCACTCAATCAGTTGTCACTCGTGGGTAGTGTTCATGCAACATATTGATCACCAAACAAAGCAGCACAGCACTCACTCTTGCTCTGCTAAAAACGCGTGAGGACGTTTTTATTTATTTATACAAGTGATATTGGAGGAAGGAAGGATAGACGAAAATGCATTTTTGGTACATATTTGCGCATGCATTTTTAGCCAGATTAACTCAGTTTTGATGGTTAAGATAGAATCTGAGCTATTATTGCTTCATAATTTGAATTACTATAGTTCAATGCAATCTTAGCCATCAAAATTGGGTTAATCTGCTAATAGCCAAAAATGTGTCACCTCTGTTGAAATTTCATATCACAATTGAAACCAAAAAAGTCCATTATGCCCTTACTACTTTTGTACTCTACTATGGTAAAAAGGACATTATATATTTTGTAATATTCTCATATTAGCCTCAAGATCTTTTGTCGTATCCGCAAATATATTTGCCGCTCAGGACAGTACTTTAGTTTTGTTCGTTCTGACTACCTTCTACTTCTTCTTCAGCATAATATCCAATCACCCTAAAACCTCTGCAAACCCCCACAACCTTTAATCTCCGTTAACCATCCGTACCACCAGTCCAATTCCGAGAATCTAAAAATTCAAGCATGCCCATCATCCAAAGCACCTGCATCTCAAATGTCCTGCCAATCCCCAACTCTGCGGTTCCACTTCCACCCTATTCTTTGAGCTGCTCCACCCTCAGCTCCAGAGCTTCTGCATTCTTTACCAGAAATAGCAACCCAATCTTCAAGCCCAATTACGCTCCTTTCCTCCGTACGAAGCCCCCAAGGGGTGCTCGTTTGGTCATCCAGGCCGCTGGAACTGATTATTATAAGACTCTCAACGTCCCTAGAAGTGCCACGTTGCAGGAGATCAAGTCCTCTTATCGGAAGCTCGCTCGCAAGGTTAGCTTGTTCTTATTCGTTTTCTGTTTGTTTTCAGTTTCTTTTGCAATTCATGTTATTTGTAAAGAAATTGAAGAAAAAGGAAAGATTTTTAACTATCCATTTTACATGGCATTGAAATTTGATATCCCAATTGTTGGAACTTGGAACAGTATCATCCAGACTTAAACAAGGGTGCTGGGGCTGAGGACAAGTTTAAAGAGATTAGTTCTGCATATGAGGTATTACTGTTTCTAGTTTTGCTTCTCCCAAAATGCTGCATTGTCATTTTGTCTCTTCATTTTCCCATTTATGTATTTTTGCTTCAATTTTGAGTAAAAGATGGATATTTTAAATTCACTTATCTTCAAATGCAAACGTTAAACCCACACTTCATGTTTTAATTGAATAAATTTCACTCAGTCTGGTGATGTATTGTTTGATGTTGAATAAAGTTGCTTTGGCTGTTGTTATATGAAATTACTGAATATATTGCATGATGTATCAGTGCTTCCTTTTTCATTCATATGCTAATGAAGCAGTCGTGTAGGTCCTATCAGATGATGAGAAAAGGTCTTTATATGATCGCTTTGGTGAAGCAGGTTTACAGGGAGAATATGATTCTTCGACCATGGGTTCAACAGGGGTAAGATCTTCCCGGTCTTTACAGCAACACAGACATGCGCATACACATACACACATATCCTTTGGGTATTTTACTTAGTAATTTAATGGATTTGCTTTTCTAGTGAAAGAACTGGTCATTTTAACTGCATGCTGATGAATCATCAAAAATCATTAGGTGGATCCTTTTGACGTTTTTGATACATTCTTTGGAGGGTCAGATGGGATTTTTGGAGGAAGGGGTGAATCAGGAGGCTTTAACTTCAATTTGAGGAACAGGGGAAACCAGGGTCTAGACATTAGGTAACTGTCTAGCTGCAATGTTACTATTGAATGATCTGTCCCATTCTATTTTGTATGGAATATTTGAGTTTACTTATATTACGTATTGCAAATAATGTATTTGAGAAATGAAATGCATAACCTGCAAAGTTCAACCACCTAGAGGCTAATCTCTCTCTCTCTCTCTCTCTCTCTCAAGACTAGTATTTATGTGATATATTATATAAGAACTAGTAAGAGGTTGAAGACGAAAAATATTGTTGATATCAACTTATAACACTCAAACTTCAAATATTGACTTAGGGAAAATAGTGGCTCTAATAATAGTCTTTGAATTTAGCACCGAATCCACATGTTTGTTGTTGAAAGCACAAAATTTATGTTTTCCAGGCCTCTCCTTTTAATTTTCATACTGCAGGTATGATCTGTATCTGAGCTTTGAAGAATCCATTTTCGGAGTACAGAGGGAAATTGAAGTTTCTTCGGTTGAGACATGTGATAATTGTGGTGGAACAGGTGCTAAATCTGATAATTGCATAAAATCATGTACTGGTTGTGGAGGAAGAGGAGGGATGATGAAAACTCAGAGAACACCATTTGGCATGATATCACAGGTAAAAATACGTGTTTAGAACATTAAAAATCGTTGGAATTACATTACATATTTTGAATAAATTTTCTTAGCCTCATATTGCAGACACCATAGGTAGCTTGTAAGGAAATCTCTCAGTCGTTCTGTGTATATGAGTGTATTTTATAAGTTATTGGAATTTCAATGCAGTATGTTGATATGTGCCAATACTATATAGGATAGTTACCAAGCAATTGGTCAAACATATCTTAATTAATCTGCATTCTTCCTACCATTCTCTCAAGATCTCTATATATGTCTTAGAGATATGCTTTATAGATGATATTTTATGATTCATAGGTATCAACCTGCTCAAAGTGTGGCGGTGATGGTAGAATAATCACTGATCCTTGCCAAAGATGCAGTGGCAAGGGACAAGTACAGTCCAAAAGACCTATGAGTGTGACCATCCCAGCCGGTGTTAACGATGGAGCCACAATGCAAATTCAAGGGGAGGGAAATTTTGATAAGAAAAGGTGTATACACGGTTCAAATTTATGTGTGCATCAAATATTGCTCGTATATTCTTTGCATTTAGATCTTAGAAAAGGCAGCACATCAGCTTTGTCTGTTTCTTACAGGTGGACACTGCTTAAAAGCTGAGCTAGATTAATGTTTGGGCGGGAGGATTGGAGAATTAGAAAGGGATTATTAAAGATGAAATGGGAATTAAAATAAATAAATCTGGTGTCGTAGTAGTAATCATGATTTGGTTGTCAAGAAGTGGTTTCTAGTTGTTGCTTTCTGTCCTAAGTGGTTGTTAATTCAATACGTTTGAAACATACAACCTTGTCGATAGAAACGAATTCCAAATAAAATACAAATCTACTCGTGGAGTTTACATTGGCTTTTGCAATTCCTTGGAATACCATTTGAGCTTTGGAATCTATTGTGATGTAGTACTGGAGTTCATATTGGCTTTTGCAATTTTTTGGAAATTCTAGTCCTGATTTGTTTGGAATTTGATTGTCTATGACAACCATGGCATGCACTTTTATGTTATACTAAAATTTCTGGGATCGGTTTTTACTTGTTCAATATTGTTGCTTTATGTGACTGGATATTAAGGCATGCCCTGCACTAATTTTCTTTATTATCTGCATTATGGCAGGGGTACAGTTGGTGATGTCTTCATAGTGCTTCATATAGACAGAAAGGCTGGAATTCATAGAGATGGACTCAATCTGTACTCAAAGATAAAGATTGATTATACTGAGGCCATTTTAGGGACTGTTATAAAGGTAATCCTAGCATTATCAATTAGTGTTAGTGAGGGTGTACAGGAATGGAGAAAATTCATTGCATTATCAAATTGAGCTCCTGTCTGTAGAAGCCTGCGATAGTAGTACCTCCTGAACGTCACTGAGGTTTAATTTACTGAGTAACAGATCATGGGACAAGATGATTGAATTGATATGCTTAACTTTACCAATGATACCCATGGGACCCATAACAGTATACAATTTTCGACATATATTGCTTGTGTACTGTCTTCCCTGATATGGTGTTTGATAAGCTTGGGGATTTGTAATATTTAGGGTGAAGCCAAGTGGTATCTCTGTGACTTGAAAAGTTTGTACAAGCTGTATGACATGGAAACTGTTAATTATCTTCAGGTTGAAACTGTTGAAGGCTTGAAAGAGCTTCAGATTCCTTCTGGAATTCAGCCTGGTGAAACAGTAAAGTTGCTGCGCATGGGGGTTCCAGACATGAACAAACCTTCTACTCGAGGAGATCATCACTTTGTTGTCAATGTTCTGATCCCAAAGATAATCAGGTTGATGTCCTCAAAACCATGTTATGATTCTTCTTCTAGTTTAAACTTTTCAGTTAAATATGGCATCCAGCTTGATATCCCAATACCTTGTGTTCTGTTTTTCATTGAATTTGTTGTAATTTTAATGACAGTGATAAGGAACGCGTACTTGTTGAAGAGCTGGCTTCACTTAAGGCATCTAGAGAGGGTCATTCAGTTGCTTCCAAAGGCACAGGTATAGTTTTCGAGTCTATTACGAACCACTATCTAATTAGAAAAATAAAAAAATAGTAGGTTTAAACAATGACTGAGAAAAATTCATGTTGTCCTGTTTCAGGGACACAAGATGCGAATTTTGCCATGCATAGAACCAGTGCTTCAAGCCAGGGGACTAGTCGTGTTGCATCCTTGTGGAACTCAATAAAGGGCGTACTGGGGTATGCCTCAGTGACAGTTCTTTTTAATAAGATCCGGTTTTTGGTCTTAGATATGCTTATACATTCAATTAAAAGAAGAGACGTTCCCTAGTTCAGTTTGTTATATACATGTGCATTCCGTGCTTCTGGTTCTGTCATTTCTTGCCTGATTTAATATCTAGCCTCTCTAACCATTTGTGCATTTCGCAGGAAGCGGCAGTCTTCGTCGGGAGAGGGTTTTGCATCAATTGGTGTAGGCAGCCCATGCCCACCATTATTATTATGGGAATCAACGAAGCCAAATTCGTGTTATTATATGGCATCGCTGTTTACAGTTTTAGTTGTAACTTGTATTTGTAGCATGATGGTAAAGACCCGTAACCTTACCTTATTACAACAACAAAGTGATGCTTCTCCTCCTCATACAACCAAAACGAACAGCGTAGATAGAAAGTCTAAAGTCTAACAAAGATGTAATGGCTACCTGCATTATTATATATTGGATCTCAGGATTTGCCCTGCCATCTGTATCCTTTTCCTCCGTAGTCCCAATGTCATAGTCTCGATTGTTTCTTTCTGATTCTGATAAATACAAGAAAACTGCATTTTGTGTTTTAGGTTAAAAAAAGGATTCAACTTGAACTTGCACCCCCAAGCTCTCAGTCTTTTTCTCTCTTAATCGTTTGGTTAAAATTGATTGAGAATTTACAAATACGTAAATAAGAAGCAGCACCGAAGTTGCAAAATAATGAGCATTTTAAGCTAGTTAAACTGGGCGGGCAAGGGGATTTTACGGGCAGACCCTATAAAACGCAAAACCAACAAGGATTTTAGCGAGGCCGTTTCTGCTTTACCGCTCAGCCATCTCCATACGAGGCAGCCGTTGCCACGGTACCTCTCTCCCTCTCTCTCTCTCTCTCTCATGTAGGCGATTTACCAATAACATTAGTCTTGTATTGACTATAGATGAGTCTGCTTCTGCGTCATTTTTTATTATAAACCTTTTTATTTACTGGTTACTGAGAAAATGGAGTGAATGGAAAGCACTGCAACTGTTTATATCAAGCATGGAAAGGACTGCTTATGTGATGATTGTTGAAAATGTTGATGCGATAATTGAAACAACCTAAAATTAGTATAACTTCGTCTTAGTTTCTGGTAATCTAGGACGAGTCTGTTCCTAGTCGAACCCAAGACCCTCTGAGCTTTTGATGTAACGCAAAACCAACAAACTAGAAGAACTAGTCTTAGTTTGGTTCAGCAGACAACGGTAACAATTCTTGGAAATTTGATATTTGCAATGATACTTGGAGCCTTGAACGACTTTTCTTAGTTGGCGTAGGTGTAGCCCCCATTTAGTCACGCCATAGTTTATGGATGTTGCTTAGGATATAAACTTCCCTGCCCCGGTGCCTCTGATAGGAAGAGAGGGGCAGTGGCACCAGGTCTTAGGCTTCAAAGTTATGTTTAACTGGACATGTAGTTTCCGACAATAAACTGGGCTAACCTAGTTTTTATTATCGAGGATGATTTGTTTAGTACGTTTAAAAAACATATATATAATTATTAGATTATTGTATCTAAGGTACTCTTGCTCTGCGCATAATCTCTGTTACAGTTCGCTTTTCTGTTTGATTTCTTTGATAATGGATAGTTACACATGTTGTAATGCTTGAGGTGAACGTTCCCAAGACAAAGAAGACACTGCAAGAGCAAGGAGTGTAAAAAGCACACTCCTCACAAGTTCACCCAATACAAGAAAGGAAAGGATAGCCTTGCTGCTCAAGGAAAGAGGCGTTACGGCGTTACGATCGTAAGCAATCAGGTTATGGAGGTCAAACCAAGCCAGTGTTCCTCAAGAAGGTAAGCATCGAGTTCCTGCTCCCTTTGCATTCTGGAATATGAAAAGAATAATTGAAAGCCGAAGACCAAGTATTTCCTATTTCCACAGATTGATTTTGGGAATTTTCATTTTGAACGTTTATATTTCTAAACAGGCAAAAACTACAAAGAAGATTGTCCTGAGGCTCCAATGCAAAGGTTGCAAGCATGTGTCTCAGCACCCAATCAAGGTTAGTGCATATGGTGTTTGTAATTTGCTCCTTTTCCATTTTTATCCAAGATTTTTGCTAATGCTCGAATGTCGTCACTGATTTCTGCAGAGGTGCAAGCACTTTGAGATTGGTGGAGACAAGAAGGGAAAGGGAACCTCTCTTTTCTAAGTGCACTGATTGGGTTGTATTTTGTGTTGCGTTCCATCTTGTTGGAGCTTTAAAGCTAATATGATAGTCCTTGTTCTTAGTTGTTCTGTTCAACATCAAATTGTTCTCAATAATCTTTTTCTTCTTTCAATTCAGATTAGAGTTCTAATTCACTAGTGTTGCCAATTCAATTTAAAACCTTCTTTCATTTCATTATCCTTGTTGTCTGTCCACCCCATCTTTGTTGTATCTTGTTATTGCCCAAAATTTCTTATGGTGATCAAAGTAAAGCCAGTTATGCGGGGTGTTTAATTGGAGTTTGCAGCACCTAATTGACTATTTACAGAATGGTAGCCTAGGGCTCTCTCTCTCTCTTTCCAATTTCATGTAACGTGCAGCCACGCAGCGCAAGCAGTCTGCTGAACTGATCTACTTGTGCAAATATGTAGGATGCCAGTTGTGTGCCAACCAAACTAGAGAGAGGGCCGGCTGCCTCTTGGATTTTAATTGTTTAAGGCCCGAGTCCTACAAGGCTACAGGGAATTTGCTTTTGCTTTCGTGTTAAGCTAACCCACTTGGTAAAAGCAAAAGTAGAGGAATCTGATCTGTGCTTTGCAAAGGCAGAGCACTTTCTGTAATAGATTAGCTAGCTAAAGAGAGAGCCAGAGTGGAGATATAAATTATTTCTGTGCTCTGAGAAAAGGAGATCTTATACAAAGTGCTGGTAGGTTAAAATACAATAGTAAGATGGTATTAGTACAAAAGATGCATGTAGCTTGGATTGTGATTTCTGAATTCAACATCAATCCTTTTCTTTTCTTTTCTTTTCTTTTCTTTTCTTGTGAATTATAATCTAGAGCTGTCAAATTTCCAATCTCCCCCGCACCGTAACTCTTTCTTAAGAAAATGTATAATATAAGTTGTGACTAATTGAGCAAAACAAAGTAATCTAGAGACGTTTATGTTGAGTGTTGAAACTTGAAATGCAAGTAAGCTTCGATGTTTTCTTACAAAGTAATTAACCCTCCTACACGTAACACACTAGTACAAGAGTAGGTAGCTAACAAGGGTCAGATTCATTGTGATGTTTAAATTGGGAATTGGTGGCCTGCGCTGGGTAGCTATTAGTCGTCTATGGTAATGTCTACGGTTGATCAAGCAAGCAAGCAACTCGTGTACCATACCATATGTATAGTATCAAAAGAATATATATGAAGTAAACCGAAAGAATGCTGCTTTCTGTCGGACCAACAACCTCAACTAACCTCCAATTTGTCACTTGAAGAAATCACACATTAGTAGTGGTATACTTACTGTGTGAGGTGAGTACGTGCAACGGTGCAAGAAATGGAAATATCAAATATGCACATCTGCCGGCCTGTCAATGGCCTCAGAATCAGAAAGCAGATAACAGATAGCAGTTAGGAAATTAAGTTGATGAATGAAATGGTGTAGTGTAGGGCTTCACATGTCCATGTTCATGCCCATGGGTGACCTAATTATGACTAAAACCCATCTTCCACGCACAACTTTCTCTCTCTTTCTCCTCTGTTTCACTCTCTGCATGTGTTGGTGTTTTTGTGCTTGTGTATTTGAGAGAGGGAGAGAGAGAGAGAGAGAGAGAGAGAGTGATGAGAAGAGCCGACACAAGAAAAGTAATCAAGCAAGCAACGTGAATGTTGGCTTTCCAAGTAAGAGTAAAAGGCCCTTTTAGTCAATAAACAGCTATATACATATATAATTTCTATGAACTATGAGATCTGGTTGGCAACTTGGCTAATATATACAATATTTTAATAGGCTAATTGGTTGGTAATAAATCACATACAATATTTCGTGATAATTAATTCACACCTCAACATTTCTTTTCTTGTGTCTCTACGACAATCCATACATACATTTATGTGTAGGATGTTAAAATCCTATCATCGTGAGAGACTTTCATGCAACGGATATAACACTTTTTATTATCTCCAGTCAATAACTTAATAACATGCGGAATAACTTTTCCACGTATCATTGCATTATTGATCGAATATAACAAAACAATATTACTCCCTTTACAATATAACTTTTATAAACCACCGCACCGCACCACACCTTCCATTTCATTAAAACTATTTTTTTTGTTTTGTTGCATGGTCCTACAGTCCTACTCCTAACGATCCAATTTCGTAACCACTAATTGTTCTTGATTTTTTAAATTCACTCATACCATGATAAGATTGCCAACAATAAAATACTCTTAACAATAATTGTCTTCGTATTCTTCAATTGATCACTGTGATTCGTATCATAAAGCCAGCATCCAATCCAACTAAGAAGGAAGTTTCCTTCCTTCCTTCCTTCCTTCCAAGTAAAATTAACTTAGTGCAGGCAAAAGCCAAATAAGCGCAAATAATTAAGAAGCCGAAAAATCCTTTAAGATTTCAGGTCATTATTAATTTACATTTCCAAGAGCAAACAATTCTAACCGGTTGTCCTTGTCACATGAAAACTTCACAATTCCAGTAAAATTATTCTCAACATTTTTAACCTCAAGTGGTATTAACTATTAAGCTCGGTGAAAAAGTTGATGATAGAATCATATCAGTTGAATAAAAGCAAAAAAAGAGAAAAGAAAACACTTTTTTTTATTTATGGATTATTGTTTGGATATGAATTAGTGTTATGGGAAAATAATAATATCCAATTCCCAATTGAGAGTTGAATTGATCATCAAGACAACTGGACAAGGTACCATTTGGAATCTGGGAAGGAACCATATAAAAAATTCAAAGGGAATACTAGCAAATTAAATTATTAAGTTGGTAGATATACGGTCTTAATCACAAAATTTAATTATTTCAAAAGCAAAATAATAAAATTGGTATTTTCAGAATATATATCTTTTAAACGTGGACCTGTGTAAGACATGAACAGAGCCCCACCCTCGGTTTGGTTGACAACAGTGCTGTGAGCCTGTGACTCCCAACGGTATGATTCGTCGGTGGGTGCGCCAATCATGTCAATCCATACGACGGGTTACCATGCATGCTCCTTTTTTTCTTTTTCTTTTTTTAATCAACGGTCCAAATATATTGAGAAAAACCAATTCAAACGTGTTAGGATTGGATTAATCTGCTTTGCATAACCAGCAAATTTTAATTAGGAAATATCATCCTCTAATATTATATGCCTATCTTTGATCTTTCTGATATAGTTGTACCACAATAAAAACCTAAGGCCGACCATACCCAATTGGACATTTCTTTTTTATTTTTCGAGTCAGAGTGTGACTAGGTGTTGTCCACCCTATATTGTACATGTACATATACACTATAATGTATGTTTTTTTGTTTTGTTTTGGAAATTACTACGTAAAGTGGTTTCTACTGCTCTGAATACTCACATTTTCTATGTATTTGTTTTCGGCCGAATAATTAATGAGTACATTTTGTATTTAAAAAAAGATAATCTAGTATTTTAATCTTGCTTGCAATGTGAGACAAAGCAAAGGGCAAGTATCCCAAGAAATAGAAAATGAAAGCTCAAATCACAGAGTTATAATTTTTAGCAGCGCAGTTTACTGAATTATGAATAAAAAGCAGGGCAGAGGGAAATGGTCAACCAACCTCTTTAGACACCTTGTTTTGTTTTTGTCTTCAAGTTTGGGAAGTTCAAAAGGTTAAGACAAAGATAGATATTGGTAATTGAACAAACCAAAATGACAAGAAAAGAAAAGAAATAGACATGTTGCTTGCTTGAGTTGAAAATTGAGACGAAAGCTTATGTCATTTCGCTGTCCCTCTTCCAAATCATAGCATCTCATTCTCAGCAGCCCAAACAGGTGATCCGAATCCAAACCAAAGTACGTTGTGTTTTGAATACAAATATAAAATGCATTTTGTCATATCGAATAAGGAAAAGGAAAAAAAAAGGTGAAAAGAAAGAAGATTATGGATGTTCCCTCTTTCAAAAGGAGAATTAATAAGAGTATTAATTGAGTTTATAGGAGCTGGTTGGCTGTAATGTTTGATGAATGAATGAGTTATGAGTGTACAACTTTCAAGTGGGTGACATGCCACCTCCCTTAACAGCTTATGCCAACTTGTGTTTCTTTCTGGTATATGTTTGCTATGCCCAATGAATAATTAGGTCGTTGTAACTTGTAATTAAATACAATGCCCATATGGCTCTCAAAACTGCACTCCATATTATATCAATTTTCTTAACCCCAAAAAAAATGTCACTTGGTGGCCTACCCATTGAATCATTACTCTTTTTTTTTGTTACAACAAATTTAGGGAGAGGGGTGACTATCCTATTCCAGGATCAGGTCATATCAAGGCCTTTTTGAGAATTTATAGAGGAGGTCTTAGATCATTTTTTAGTTTTTACAAATTACCCTCTAAAAGGGAATATTACAATTTCTCTTCTTCTTCTTCTTCTTTCTTTATGTTTTTTTTCTTCTGAAGAAATCAACAAGGGCAACTAATGACTTAAACAAAAAAAAGCATATATATTGTTTGTATAAAATCAGAAATAATATTGATCAAGGGAAACACTACATCAAATTGTTCATTTGGCTTGAAAATTTGATGTGTCATTCCCAATTTCTCAATTAATTCATTGTCGAACAAAAAGGCTTAGAAAAAAATGTTAAAGACAATTGAAGAGGCATAAAGCTAATATAAGGGGAAAAGTTGGTAATTGAGCTCAATAACATCCTCCACCATACAATAGGAAAAAGAAGCCAATTTCTTAAATAAATAACAAAAAATCAGAAAACAAACAAACCCATCTAACCGTCGCTCATCTAAATTTATTGGCTGAAAAACAAAGAAATATGTTTAAAAATCTTCCAGTAAAAAAAAAGCAAAAAGAAGAAAAGCAAAAGACAAATAAAAGTAAAGGAAAAAGATAAATGGCAGTTGACTACTGCCAACCAGGTCACCAGTTCTCCCTGACTGCGTACAGCTAGGGTTTCTTACTCTATTTGCTTTATTATTTCCCCCTATTTAGTAATTTACCCACAGCCTGGACTCTCTCTCTCTCTGTCTCTCTCTCCAAAGAACACCAGAAGGCCAACAACAAAAAGGCCAAAAAGAAAAGAGGAAATGCAGGTCCCAAAACACACTCTCCCTCTCTGCTCCACTCTCTCTCTTCCTCAGAAAGCCAAACCAAACAATGTATGAATTTTGAAAGAACAAAACAAAAAAATCCAGATATCCACAACCCCATTTCACCAAAACCATTTGGGTTTTCGCCAAAATGCATTCCCAGAGCCAAAGGCTTTCCCTTTTCCTTTTCTCTTTGCTGGTTTTGCTTCCCATTGCAAAACCAGATCTGGGTTCTGACCGAGCTGCTCTTCTAGCTCTGCGCTCAGCCGTGGGTGGCCGAACCCTGCTCTGGAATGTGTACCAGCCTACCCCATGTTCATGGGCTGGTGTCAAATGCGAGAACAATCGTGTCACTGTGCTTCGACTTCCTGGTGTGGCTCTCTCTGGCACCATACCCAGTGGCATTTTCGGCAATCTGACCAGTCTGCGCACACTCAGTCTTCGTCTCAATGCTTTAACTGGTCATCTCCCCTCAGATCTCTCTGCTTGCGTTACTCTTCGTAACCTTTACTTGCAGGGCAACTTGTTCTCCGGCGAAGTCCCGCAGTTCCTCTACAGTCTGCACGACTTGGTTCGGCTTAACTTGGCGTCCAACAATTTCTCAGGGGAGATCTCTCTGGGTTTCAACAATCTCACCCGCATAAGGACTTTGTACCTCCAAAACAACAAGCTTTCTGGGGTTATTCCAGAGCTGAACCTCCCCAATCTCGAACAGTTCAATGTATCAAATAATTTGCTAAACGGGTCTGTTCCAAAAAAATTACAGTCTTACTCTTCCAGCTCGTTTCTGGGTAATTTGCTATGTGGGCGTCCCCTTGGTAGTGCTTGTCCTGGAGAGAGCGGAGCTGCTCCAAATGGGGATATAAATATCAATGATGACCACAAGAAGAAAAGCAAGCTGTCTGGTGGTGCTATTGCTGGTATTGTCATTGGATCTGTACTGGGTTTTCTTCTAATTGTTATGATTTTAATCCTTTTGTGCCGAAAGAAAAGTAGCAAAAAGACGAGCTCGGTCGACATTGCTACGGTGAAGCATCCAGAAGTCGAGATTCCAGGCGATAAATTGCCAGCGGATGCTGAAAATGGGGGATACGGTAATGGGTATTCAGTTGCGGCGGCCGCGGCGGCGGCGATGGTGGGCAATGGGAAAAGTGAAGCCAATAGTGCCGGCGGTGCTGCCAGTGCCAAAAAGTTGGTGTTCTTTGGTAATGCGGCGAGGGTGTTCGATCTGGAGGACTTGTTGAGAGCTTCAGCGGAAGTTTTGGGGAAAGGGACTTTTGGGACTGCTTACAAGGCAGTTCTGGAAGTTGGGACTGTGGTGGCTGTGAAGAGGCTTAAGGATGTGACAATTTCTGAGAGTGAGTTTAAAGAAAAGATTGAAGCTGTGGGAGTGAAGGATCATGAGAATTTGGTCCCTCTAAGGGCTTATTACTTTAGCAGAGATGAGAAGCTTCTTGTCTATGATTACATGCCTATGGGAAGCTTATCTGCGCTTCTGCATGGTCAGTGTTTCTGGTTTGATTGCTTCCTTTTTCGGTTCATATATTGCTCTGCCTTTTCAGTTCTGTGGTTATTGCTTTACTTCTTTCTTTGCATTTTGATGATGATGGTTATGATTTCTACGGATGCATAAATTCCTCTGGATAATTATTTTAATCTTTTAGCCTTTTCTTTTTCGTTTCTGAAAAACGCGAGGAAGGCTGCATTAGACATGTTATTGAGTGGTCTTGAGGATTTGTTTTGCATCTCCAACAGTTCTGATGTCTGCATAGTCTTTCTATTTGCAACATATGTCTTGAGTTGCTGTGGTTTCAGCTGCATTTCATATGTTTCAGGTTTAATTTTAAATCCGCAATTCCCAATTGAGCTTTCTTCCAAGGGTGACATCAATAAGTGGAAAAAGCTTCAAACTTTTCAGCAATATTGTTACATTGCAATCTTTCAAACTCATAATATTCATTGAAGAATTTTAAGATTAAGGAAACAAAGGAGTTTTATCTTTACTACCATCTTGTCTTCTATCTCTGCACTACAGGAAACAAAGGAGCAGGAAGGACTCCATTGAATTGGGAAATCCGGTCTGGCATTGCCCTGGGAGCTGCCCGTGGAATTGAATACCTACACTCTCAAGGACAAACTGTCTCCCACGGAAACATAAAGTCGTCCAACATCCTGCTCACAAAATCCTATGAAGCTCGGGTTTCTGATTTTGGCCTAGCGCACCTTGTTGGGCCCTCCTCCACTCCCAACCGTGTTGCTGGCTATCGGGCACCAGAGGTGACAGATCCTCGCAAGGTGTCCCAAAAGGCCGATGTTTATAGCTTTGGGGTATTGCTCCTGGAGCTACTCACTGGGAAGCCCCCAACCCATGCCCTGCTGAATGAGGAAGGAGTTGACCTCCCAAGGTGGGTGCAGTCCATAGTTAAAGAGGAGTGGACTTCGGAGGTTTTCGATCTTGAGCTCCTCAGGTACCAGAATGTTGAGGAGGAGATGGTTCAGCTCTTGCAACTTGCAATAGATTGTTCAGCCCAGTATCCTGATAAACGCCCATCAATATCCGAAGTGACCAGGCGCATTGAGGAGCTACGTCGTTCTAGCTTGCGAGAGGATCATGAGCAGCAGCATCCTGATGTTGTCCATGATTTAGAGAATGTGTCTTCTCGATGAGCTGGTCTGGGGACCATCTTCTTCTTCCCTCGTGGATTTGTAGGACAATCCTTGCTTTCGCGTGTTAAATCTGGTGTTGTTGTTGTATGTTATTAAATCTGTGTCTCATCTCACTTTCCTTAGGAGCCAACTGTTATTTTTTTCTCTTTTCTTTTCACCCTTTTGTTCGCCCCATTGCACTTAGTTTTTTCCCTTTTTCTTTCATTAATACACTTTGGGGTGGATATCTGTTCCATTTCTTGTTGGTGGATAATGGTTGCTGTAATTATTACTTCACCTTTTGCCTTTGCCTTTATCACAACTGTTGGGCTATTGAGCTTTCGATTGAAATTAAGATGTTTTAGTTGCTTCATCTTCATGTGTTGGTTGGTTGTGATGTCTATTCAGCTCAACGAACGTCCCCACGCAACTCCTTTTCTTGGTTTGGCTTTTTAAAACGACAGATTTTGAACATGAACGTCCATAATTGAAGCAAAGCTCGGTTGTTAAGTTATTCTGGAAAAGGTTATTGTCAATTGTATTCTCATTTGGTAGTTGCTACTTGGTTAAATGACACAAGGAAGGAGGGGCTGTCTGGCAGTGGATGACACAGTAATGTTGAATTCAAAAAGTGGGTAGATGTTTTGTGAGATTGTGAATTTGTGAGGATGATGATGATGATGATGATGATGAGCAAAGCTTGCTTTATTTATGGTGGACCAAACTCTATTGCATTGAAGTGGAGGGAGGGCCAGGATGTAAAAAGTGAGTAGACAGTCTCTGATGTAGTGGTCCTTCCTTTTCTTTGGCGGTGTGATGGTTAAAATGTTTTTTATGGCATCCAAAGTCTTAAGGAGCTCTCTCTCTCTCTCTCTCTCTCTCTCTCTCTCTCTCGCGCGGGTGTATAAGGGTTTAGAAAACAAAAGAAAATAGAGTAAAAGTACTAACTAGAAAACAAAATTGGAGCTTGAATTTTCCAATATCGGATATTTTTGTCCTCTCGGGTGGTGCTGTGCTGTCCTATTCTGACGTTTTTATTCAAAATTCTTTCTTTTCTGGGCCAGAAAGAATACCAGAGCTTTGGTTATACTCATGCACAATACAAAATTTGGCAGTCCCACTCTCCATGCACAAGTGGCCTAAACAGTCATTCATGATGAACCTGTTTTCTTTCTCTTTTTAAAAATAAAATAAAAAATCAATCACTGAATTTCATTAAGCAGGCACATGTCCAACAACCCAGTCATCATCAAAACCTTGACCAAAGGCATATTTCAAATTAAATTGTTGCGGTTCAAGTCTACCAAAACTTTTCCCCAGAAAACTTATTAGTCATACTTTCGATCAATTGGTAATAATAATTTGGCCTATTTTCAATGAAAATATCCCATCCAGAAATCATTTGGGAGCAGTTTAGCTAGTCTATTTCGAGATGAGTTTTTAAGACTACTAGTCTAGAATGCACGCAATTATAAAATCCAGATTATATTTTCAGTGTCTTTTTTATATCTAAAATCACGTTTAGTATTGCAAGGGGCTTGTAACTCAAATGGTTAAAAGCATTTTGCTCGATGCTTGCTCAAGCTCCAAAACCCTTAACGAAGGCTCTGTGCGCACCCACAGCACAAAGGATCGAAATATGGATCCTATCTCTGCGTGTGTAAGTGTTTGAAAAGAAAGATTTTCAAAAGATGACTTTCCATCTTATATAACTTGCACTTGAAAAACACCGTACATACGATTTTCCAACATCTTATATAACTTGCAATTGAAAACCACTGTACATGGGGTCAAAATTTTGAGTAAAAGAAGTTAAAAGTTACATGGTGCGATTGGTACAGAAAGGGATGGGATGGAGATGTTTTCACATTGCCATGGAGAAACCAACAGTTCAGCTTATGAGAAAGATAATCGGCTATATTAATTAGGTTACGTCAAAGTCATCAAGATACAAAAGACTACTACTCTGAAGGTGAAATTGACGCCGCCACGGTGCGAACACACGTTACCTATATGAAGAAAGGGCACATCCAAAACTAGTTTCAGCATTTTGAGTTTTCTGATTTCTTCCATCTCTGCAAGTGCAAATTCATCACTCAAATTGCTTAACTGCACATACTATAAAAGCAAAAAATGATAACCACAAATTTTGAAGCTCATATATGTACAGGGTATACAAAACAACAAAGAGGTGATTAGGCCCCAAAAATACGCCCAAATCAATTGAGTGCCAAAACCCCAACCCCAGCTTTTGACAAGTAGGAGCAAGTTGCTATCCACTGGGATTCCCTGATGGATCATCCTTAAAACCCTTTGAAAGCAGATCATAGTTGATTGATGCAAGCTGGGAGAGATTCTGAACCACAATCAAAAGAACAACTAGTAAGATAGGTTTCAAAAGAAAAAAAAAATAGATCCATGCAAAGTGGTAGGTAAACCAAATCAGCAAAACATGAAAGAGAGAGATAAACCAGAAAAAAAAAATCAAATAAAAAGCAAAGATAACTTCAATTACACGGAAATGCCCTTTTTTTTAATGACCAAGGAAGGGCTATCATTCAACATAGAATAAACAGAGTGCTCAAATTGCATCTCAACACACCCTATGCATGAAGACTTTAGAACAGTAAAGGTTCACATTCTATAAAGGTCAACAATAAAAGATTAGAGATAAAATCAAACCCAATGACAATATACGCACCCTGAGTGGTCATTTTAGAGATAATAAAATAAAATAACCGCCTTGAAAGTTAAGAAATACCTTAAATGAGAAATTACTGAAAGAGTAATTGATAGAAGAGCCAGACTCGAACTCTGTGAGGCCCCCACATTCGTCACCCTGTCAATGAACAATTGCCCAAGATCACGTCAGTGCATCAAATTATATGTAACTACGGTACAAAATCTATTCTCAATGTTTGTTAAACGCGTTAGTTTCTGGGAATCATGTACCACTTCCTCATGACGGTTGCTCAAGCAACTGCTGCAGCCACTTAGGCTATCAGAATCACTGGAATCGTCAAGTTCACTAGTTGGATAAACATGTTCATCTGAAGGATTCCATGAGTAACGACTGGTGAAGTAACTGGTATCCAGTGCACTCTCTGAGGTGGGAACAAACGCAGCCTGCAAGAAGTGAAGTCATAACAAAGTGGTGTCAATCTAACCGAAGATGAAAAATCTGCATCATCATGTTTATGATTTATGACTATGATGTGTCACACCTTCTGCCTGGCAAGTGTGTCCCAGTTGATATCTTTAAAGAATGGATGCTGCTTCACCTGTATCATAAATTGGAGTGCCATTAGTTTATCTAAGAGGTTTTGAAGATCAGGCACTGAAAAAACAAATGAAACTCAAATAAAAACTCAGAAATACCTCTGATGCTCCTCTAGCTCCAAGTCTCTGATTAGGATCTTCTGTCAATAACCTAGAAACTAGTTGTATCAGCATCAACTAGACAAACATTTTAGCTAGATACTTTCACCAGACCTTCACATGGCATTTCATAAGGAAATTGATTCCATTTTAAAAGTTCAAATAAGAAAAAAGAAAAACTATATGTACTTACATAAAGATATATATAAAACTGGCGAACATGTGCTGATCCATTTCCACGTTTAAGAATTTATTTGGTGAACTTGTGCAGGAAAATAATGCAGCCTTACTGAGTGAATATTCATAAAATGATGGACCTTAAACTGGAAATCAGACTAAATCTAAGATCAGTTTTCAAGGCTACACCTCATAAAAAAAATTTCACAAATTTGATGCAAAATGGTATTCAAAGTTCAGACTTTATGTGGACTGAAGCTATAGTTGACAGGCTCATAACTTTAAGTAGAACTATAGAGAAGTTCAAGAATGTTATCATCAGTATTTTAAAACTAGACCATAATATTGCAACCAATTGGCTAATTGATGGGTCTTAATTCCAGTCTGCTACATCCCTCTGATAGTTTTTGGTCAACACACAGATTGACCAATGGTCAACTTCCATGGAGTTCAATGGAAACACATATTTCCATCCCTCCTTAGCTTAGCAATAACAAAACATATCTTTTAAAGCAACAACATAATGATTCACTTACTGATCAATAAGATCCCGTGCTTCAGGGCTCATCTCTCCAGGCCGAGGCCAAGGTATATTACGGTTGAGAATATTGTCAAATATAGTCTTCAAGAAAACAAACAAAAAAAGGTTAAAACAGCCGCCACAGAGTTAGAACTCAATCAAACCACGAAATCACAACTTTCTGCCTTACAAAAAGCAAACACAAAGCCCATGTATTATAACATATTTTAGAAGCAAGGTATTAACCTGAGGATGCTCTGCATTGAAGGGTGGAATACCAACGATCAATTCAAATAAAATGACACCAACTGACCACCAATCTGCAGTTGCACCTGTGAACCATAGAACAGTAGCAGCTTGTTAATCTTATCACGGAATTAACTGACCCCCAATAAGGGAAACAGAAAGCTGTTTGGAAAAAACACGAGCATAATAGATGTGCCCTTAAATACTGAATTAGGGATAAACCAAATAAGAGAACAGCTAGATGTTTGGGAGAAGGGATAAAACAAGATCATTATGGTTGGCTCCCCTTAAATCCTTGATTCAGCTTCCATGACAGACTAACCGGTACTAATAAATAATGATTTAAATATTCTATCACATAGCTGAACATTTTTTTCTAATTTATATTTCTTTGTTGATGTTGAAGGTTAACCTAAAGTTGAAGAGTTCAAAGACAAAATAAAGAAAATAATAGCACCTTAAACTTAGAAAAGGCTATACGAACCATGTCCTGTTCCTAAAAGTATCTCCGGTGCCAAATAGTCAGGTGTACCGACAGCAGAACGTTTCTTTCGGCTTTCTCGCTGTTGCTCAGACAGAGATAATTCGTGTTCATCTTCTCCAAGTAGGGATGTGCTACTAACTGCTGGACCAGATAAATCATCAGTGCTGTTGATGAGACCAACCTTTGAAAGCCCAAAGTCTGTCAACTGCTCAGATGGAATACGAAAAGTTAAATCTTTGGGGAGAGGGGTGGTGAAAGGCGATAACAATCCACATCCATAACTCCTAATTAACTGCTGCACAATTTGAATATTTTCCAACCCACAAACTACTGAAATTATGTACTTTTGAAGTAAAGAAAGAAAATTGTTGAGTACAATCTCACATGCGCATATGGAAATGCTAGTTCTCTAAATCTAATGTGAAATATTTGAAAATGGTACAATAAGTTTCATTTATCTTGAACCCAAAATATGCATATAACTAAAGCTGAACCATGTTTTACCAATCACCAGCTCTATTAGAGATGGATGTTCAAATTTCACTATCCTATTTCAACTGGAAAACCCGACTATATTAGAACTACTACTGTATTGGCACTGAAATTTCCACCCCAGGCATCAGTAAAAAATGGCAACAAAACAAGGAAAAATAATAACAAAGATATATAAATTAAATAAATAGATACCTTAACGTGGCCGTCATGAGCAATTAACAAATTGTCAGGCTTCAAATCACGATGAACCACACGAAGCGAATGTAAATATTCTAAAGCAAGCACCTGCAAAATCAAACATAGATAAACAGGACGTCAGATTAAAACTTGCACAGCAATGTCAGCAAATATATTTCTGAAGAAGATGCAAGCCCATACCACTTCAGCTATATATACACGAGCAACCTCCTCGTCTAAGCAGCCTAAATTTCTCAACAATGAGTATAGATCTCCTCCATTCAAATACTCCATCACAAGATACAAGTTTTCACGACAAGTAAAAGAATAGAAGAATCGAACCTGATACAGTTCAAGTTCTTGTTAGAATGAAACAAATGTTTCTCAACGCAAGGTAAAACACTTTGCTAGAACACCTGCTCACCACGAAAGGATTGCGGACAGAAATCAAGATGTCACGTTCTGCTAATATGCTTTCAACAGCATTCTTACGGATCATATCAGCCTTTTTAAGAACCTGTTACAAACGGTACACTAAGAGTGAACAAATCCTCTTCTTGAAAGACATAACAAAAGCAACCCCAAACAAAAAAAGAATTATCTGTTTTTGGGGTGTGGGTGGGGAGGGAAAGATTAAATTTTATTAAGACAGAAAAGAAAGACAAATAAGGTGTCCGTCCAAAGTAACATCCTTTTCATCAAGTATGGTACTTATTACAAAAATGTGGATACAGCTTCTGACCAAAATTAAAAACTGTATACTGCTTTAAACTGACCTATGCTATTCCACAGAATCTTCCACGAGTTCAAAGGAAAAAAAATACATAGATAGAAAGGGGAGAGGGAAGCTATCCAAATAAAAAGCAGACGACTGGATGTAAATTAGTAAGCCTTTATCTACTTTTCTGGTGAAGTCTAGTGAGATAAAATTCCACCTTCTGAAGCATGTAAATAAAGAAAAATATAGGCAGGAAAAAATTGAGCATAAAATGAATAAATCACAGAAAATAACTAAAAGCAAAAACTTGGTCATGGAAAATGATATTGAAGACATAACAGGAAGCTTAATCAAACTAACAGAGAAATAGAGCAACAAGATAAGCCAAAAATCACGTGTAATTATACGTACCTTAATCGCGAAAAGATCCCCTGTTGTTCTCTTTTTAGCTAAGAAAACTCGTCCAAAAGCCCCACGACTTATCGGTTTGATAATCTCAAAGTCATCTATAGACGTCCGGTCCTTGGAAAAATGTATAGGGCTTGTACGAACCACATCATCTTCTAGAGGAGCTTCTTCATCAATTACGGTACTCGTTATATCAACCTTTTCATCTTCCACTAACTCACAAAGCTGCAAATACTTTTCCCTAGAGTATCAACATTACCACATTGTAAAATTAATTTAAAAAAGGAACTGCAAAAGTTGCACTTAGTTTTCAAGATTTCCCAATTAAGTGTTTAAAAGACTTTCCATGAGAAATATAGATACCATAGTTCAAGGTATATTAATGAACACTTTAGTTGAAGGCTTGAAGCTTGTAAAAACCAAGAAACATAGCAGCAAGTACCCACCGGATCAGCTTCTCAATGCGTGCCCCAAATGTTTCCACAGTAAGTGCATCAAACTTTCTGCGGTCAATAACAACTCTCAAGTCTTCAAGACAAGTCAGTAGATACGGCATGGAGCGATCATCATCCAAAGGTGTATTTGCTACACAACGGGAAATATCAGATAGTTCATTCATCTGCATCAACCAAATGGAGTTATCTTTAATAGCATTAACAAAAATAAGACTTTGATACAAAATTGGGTATCAGTAAGCACAGCACCAAGGCCAGAAAGACACATGCTAAAATAACATCCAAGTCTCAAGCTACTTTGAAACATATATAACTTCTTCAGTTTTCTATGGATGGTACATTGCACACCTGACATATGTAGAGACACACATGTATGTATACATCCCCACTTCATCATGTGCAGACACACATAATCTGGAGAAGCTGGTGCGCAATAGTTGAGGTAATTAATTTTCATCTTCCTAAAATCTTAGGACTTGGAGAAGACAGTAAGATGTTTCTGTTGCATGTTGAATTTGACAATGATGATAGCTCAAGTTTTAAATTGATATTCAAATGTCATTTCACTAAATCCCAAGTATCATGAGCATGTTCTGTGCCAACCCCCAGAGCAAAGAAGTATTCATAAAATAAAATAGAGAAATGAGATACCTGAGGAAGATCATCTTGCTCAGAGAAAGAAGCCTTGCCTGCAAGGAGCAAGTCAATCTGACTGGCCCTTGGTGTCAATAACGGAGACCTAGGAGTCATGCTTCCTGCAGATGAAGTTGTCATTCCTTGATCAGACTTTGGACCAAAACGAGTTCTACATGACATGGAAGGTAGACCTTTCAGATCATCCATAAAAGCTGAATTATCAGCTTCAGGAAAACAATCAAGCATGTCTTCAGAGCCTCTGTGGGACCAGTCACTCAGTTTTGGAGATAGAACGTCAGATTCTTCAGTCACACTCGAATTAGATACTTTGGCAACATCTGGACTTCCTACGCCATGCTGGCTATCCTTTTGAGCAAAGGACTCCATCATTTTTTCAAGGGTTTCAGAAATTCTGACAAGACGCTCGTTGACACTTATACCCTTCTGATCACATCGATCAGCAATCGCACAAATTCTTGAATGGTCTTCCACATTTGCAGTTGGAACCTCCTCCTCACAGATACGACAAATCATAGAACTCTCGTCAGATACATTCTGTAGATTTCCCCAACCCCAAGAAGGTTTGTGTTGGTGCTTGGAAGAATGTTCATGAGAATCCTTGGCAGAAGGCTCAGGCGGCTTCACAGTAGTCGAATCAATGTCAGAAGTCCCTCTCCTGTTGTCTGAAGCTTTCAAAAGTTCAATCTTACCATCACTCTGGTCCTTCAATTCGGCATTTTCTTTCATGCTTTTTCCAACTGGAGACGGAAATTTTTTCCAAGATGTCATCCGGTCCCTACTAGCAGGAGAGTCCAAATTCTTAGAGGGTTGATCGGCAGGAGGTGAAAATAAATTTCCTGGTTGTATAACATGGTCTCTCTTCCATTCCATGCCACTTTGCTCCTGACTGTAAGATTTCCTAGCTGAAGCTGCTTTAGAGACCTTATTAACAGTTGAACTCTTTGGATCCTTTGCCAGACCTGGAGGAATTCTTTTATCTGCAGAGCGCAGAATCCTTGATTGACGAAGCTGGAAAACTTGTTCATCCTCAGCCAATCCGCTTTCCTTGTGGAACTGCAGCAACCTAGTGCACCTTGTGAGTATGAAAAGCATTCGAGTGTGAAGCTGCTTCAGCATACCCGGAGGAAGTTCTTGGCGTCTATCATCCAATTCCTGAACTATGCCTTCACACTGAAGCCAAAACTCTCCAGATGATGTCATTGCACAACTTCGAGCCAAAACCAGCAAATCCTCAAGGGTTTCCTGCCACTCTGGATGATTATCTGCATTTTTCTCAAGAATTCCAACTAAATCTGCTGCAAATATAGCCAGATCAGAGTTCACTTCTTCCTTTGCTTTGTCAAACTTTGCCCGAATGACAACCAAGATTTCCTGCATATTAGAAACATTATTACAAACAGGCCAAATTTCCTAGTTCAGATTCATCTCCGCATAAAAATATAATACAAGAGGAAGACATAAGTACCTCTAGGTTGTTCAAGCCTCGAGGCTTCCAAAATGGGAAAGGTCGTACACCTTTTGAATTCAGTTCATGGGAAAAACTTTTTATATCGGCAGGAAACCTCTTTCTAGGTGCACTCGTTAAACGGAGTATTGCTTGAAAGCGAGGAGATTCGGACTCCTTGGGATTTTCACAATCATATGCAGTCTATTGAAGTAAAATATCAATCACAAACACATTACGACAGGATATAATAGAATATGGAACAGCTAGAAACAAGAAAATACACAGAGAATAAATAAAATTAATTTTACCAGTACCTCTGGTGTACATACATCCGAACTTCTTAAGCCTCCAGAGTGACCCCAGGATGATGTGTTTCTCCCTGTTAAGGATGATTGAGGTATCAAAAGCCATTACAGGGGAAAAACATAACAGGCATCCCACTCATTATTGAAAAACGAAGGTGTACAAAATTTCAGAGATTTTCATAAAAGACCAAATGCATTCTAGTATCAATTCATGAAGAATGAAGGTCACTACACATAACCACACATATGGTCCATGTTTTCTTAAGCTTACACTAATTGTTGGGAAGAACAATGGATCAATACGTTAAGCTCTATTCCTCTTGTGGAAGGGGGCGCCTACTTGAACAGGAGCCATGCTTCACCCATTACACCATTGCACGTTAAACTAGCCGTCATGTTTGTCTACTGTACTATACTTGATTGCTTGACAAAAAATTTCAAGACCATGTGACTCCTAAGCTCAAAATACTACCATTTTCTAGCTAAAATAAATTTACAAACATTTACTAGTTTTATTTGGAGGTTAACACGTCTCATCTCTAAGCTTAAAACACGACCAATAGCCTTAACCACACCTCAGGACATAAACTAAATTAGCACAACTTATAAAACAGCAAGCATTGCATAATTGCTCAAATCATACCAGCTTCCGCTGAGGATTCGCCACCGTTCTGTAGCCGCGACGGTGCCAGCATGTTGGGGCTCTGGTCTCTCGAAGGCACGCTACCAGTTGACATAGCATCCGAATTACTGCCATTATCAACCCAACTCCCACTTGCCAAATTCTCATTGAACCCAATCCTGCTCTGGCTCCCAGCCTCCTTCTTCTTCCCCCCACTTCCCGACCCTAAACTCCCATCGCCGACAGCGCCCGGTCTGGACAAATTACTCGAACCCAGAGACGATCCTTTGTCGCCCCTAAACCCAAAAAAGCTCTCCTGCGGCAACGGCCCCGATCTCGTCTTTATTCTATTCAACCCGAGAGACGAAGCCAGAATGGGAGACACCGAAGCTGCTGGCTCCGCCGCCGCCGCCGCCGCCGCGGATGCCGATGTAGACGACTTCTTCGGAGTCGAAGTCGCGGCAGTTGAGCCGGACTTTGACGGCTTTTTAAGCTGAGCTTGACTCTCTTTGCCCTTGGTCTCCTTCTTCTTTGACCCGTCTTTGACTAGCGTTTGGCGACTCGCGCTACCAATACCGAAGGCTCCACCGGAACTGGTAGTCGGGCCTTGCGGGTCGTCTTTGGATGCGGATTTGGATTTCTTCTTATCGGATCTGATCGGGGAGTTGGAACCCAAAGATCGCGGGCTGTTGTTAGAGCCATCGGGACTGTTGGAGGAGTCAGATTTCTTGGAGGAGAAGAACCTCCCCTTGAACACCATTGTGACCGTTTCTATAGGTGTGTGAGAAACACAGAGAGAGATTTGTAGGGCTTGTGAAATTGATGCAGCCCTAGCATGGAAGCATAGGGCTGCTTTTAGAGAGAGAGAAGGTAAAGTTGTTGGAAGTTCGGAAATGGATATCGATAATTTGAATGTAAGAGAAGAAAGGGGTTGAAGCTGCAACGAAGAGAATGTGACTCGAGTCGAAACCCGTGGATATAGCGCCTTAAGTGCGTCCCCGTGTTATAACATCGAATCCTAATTTCAAACTTAATTAAAACGTTAACAGCATACTCTAATTTTGTGGGGTTTTTCTTTTTCCAGTTTGAAATTTATTTTTTCAAATAAAGTATGTTACTCCTACAATTAATGGTCTATGTATATTCCCAGTGTGTGTATTTAGAGCATCTGTAATGGTTAAGATCAATGCAATTTTATTACATAAAATTGAACTAAAATAGTAAAATCTCACTTGTAATGGTGTGATTTAGTTCATTATAATATATGCAATTATAATAGAGAGTGCTATATAATGAATCCGCTAACCTTGAGACCCATATGCCAATAAAAAAATGAAAAAAATCCAGCAATTAATGCACTATGTTGTTAAGGGCATCCGCAATAGTTGTTCAATGATTTAATGCAATAGAAAAAATACATCAATTAAAATAAATTTTTTCAAATATATTCAAAATTGGTCCCTTTTTAAAGATCCATATGAGAATATTGCTATGGTACAATTTTTAGTGTTATTAAATTATCCCTCTTATTTCATTTGAGTATGTAAAAAAAACGTGTAAGTTTATATAACTATTGGTCTGAAGCTATTGAACCGTACCATTGCAAGTAAAACTGCAATTCAGTTCAATATATGCCAAAAAATATCAACTTATTAAACTAATGCATTGAACTATTGAACAACTATTGCAGATGCTCTTATGATCACCATATAGCATCAGTTAATGGCTAGATATGTAGATATGCACACGTAGACAACTTATTCTACAATTTCTAAAATCTATCATGTTAAGACAACTTATTATGGTGTCTCTCTGTCTGTCTCTCTCTCTCTCTCTCTCTCTCTCACATCAAAATGCAATGGGGATTTCGAATCTGTCATCAAGTCAAGACCTTTTTTCACTGGAATAGATCCCGTTGACACGATTTTCTTAAGTAACATGTTTGTTTGGATGGTCTATTTATTTTCATAAAATAGTTCTAACTCCTAAGTAGGTTTTGCAGCATAGTTTCAAAGTTTCAAACTAGATATTGACGGCCAGAAGAAACAAGAAAGGAAAACTACATATAACGGACTAGAGAATGGCTATGTATTTTAGAATGACAAAGAAGTCAAATTCATGTTTGATAGGATGTACGAGTTATGGTCAAACTTTTATAGCTATCAGCTAATATTAGATTCAAATACATAGCACGTGTCATTGGAAAAAGAAGACTAGATCGAGAAAACAAATGAATATGTAGTCCGAACTAAGTGCCCAATAAATTTAGGGTTTGGGTTCAAGGTTTGAGAATGGTTTTGGAACAAGTTCAGATGAGTTTGGAAGCTAAGGATGTTCCAAACCCTAAACGTCAAGTGTCGAACCAAACAACCTATCTTCCAAATTTATTCCAAAATCGTTCGCAATCCTCGAACCCTAACCCTAACCCTAAACCTAGTATAGGAATTGGAAACCCAATGGGAGGAAATCTAACGCTTCATTTTCTTAGGTTAAGTCTTGGATCCAATTTTAAGATTGCGTTTCAATTGCCTATTAAGTGTGGATGAAAGTCAACACTTGTGATTTTTTTATATTTTTATTTTTTGTTGGAATAGATACTTTATTAAAATAATAAGCACCATAAAGGTGTATATAACTTAGCACTGAAAATAATCAATACTATCCAAAACCCAAATATGAGAGATAGGAACAAATGCTAAACCCGAGTTAGCACGTGATTAACATTCTAAACAAAGGCCCATTTAACAACGAGTTGGGCTAAATTTGCCCATTTGCAATCTCCATCATTCCTAGCCCTCCTTTTACCGGACCTAGGTTTTTCTTAATAGGAATTGTGATGAGATGTATCCATTAGGTTGGGTCGGCCTATTTTTGTCCAGGCGTGGTACAGGTCGGGCGAATTGGGCTGCGTGGGTCATGAGACATGGTCCAAGACTTCAAGAATATAATATCAAGATTATCATTTCATTTTTCTTAATTATTCTTCTTGTTTTTTTGTTTTTTGATTTTAATTTTATAAAGAGAGAGAAAGAGAAATACCAGTCCAACTCTCTCTCAATTTAAAATAAATGAACCAATTATTAATCCGTTGGACAAAAGGTTAAAGCGAAAGACTCACTCACCATGGATTTTCTAAGCTAATTATTATTTTTAGGCACAAGTCGACATGTCGACATGCAGATTGCGTACCTTCTTCAACTCCCTTTTTTATATCATTAATTATATTAATTGTAAAAGAAAAAAAGGACACAAGATTCCATGTTACCATTGGTGGAGAGTCCAATTAAATATGTTGGTTAAAAGATTGGATTTTTATAATGCAATGAAAGGACAAATGTGTTCCACAAGTAGCTATTTTATAGAACATAGCGTTTGGCTTTTTTCTCATGCCATCGTCCACATGCCCACCTTTATATAATGCACAATATTAATATAATGTGATTCACAAAGTGTGTCAATTTAGGACCACATGAAAAGGATCGAATTATGAGAGAAAGAGACACGTCTGTGTTTATCCAACACTATAAAGTAATCTCCAAATATAAATATATGCATTCTTTCATGTTTGATATTGAATAAACAAAATTCTATTTGTTTTCTTTATGGCTAGGGTTTCTTTCTCGGTTAGTGATTTTTTTTTGTTGTTGTCAAAGTTATGAACTTATACACACAGGTATTATGGGGTTTGAATTCAAAACCACTTAAAAGTACACTAAAGGCATGAGCCAATTCAACGAACACCCTATTGATATTTGTTAGTCATTTTAATATCATTATCATTCCCGCCTTTCAGAAGATAACCGTAGTGTCCACTGATAGGAGGTAAAAGAAAAGGAAAATTCTAAAATTTCATTATAATACGGCTGAAAATAAAAAATCATTGTAATGCCCAAACAAAAGTTCACACGTGGCCGTATGTGATTGCTCCTTCAAACTTAAATGCCGCATCGTTCCACTTGAGTTAGAAAAGACGTCATTTCCCTCTTTATCCTATTCAGAAGAGAAACTCTCATATAACATAAATACCACTTTTTTGCTATCCCAACTAACAAGCAATGACATATATAAAATTTTTTTATATGTCATTGTGTTATTAGTACGAGACAATAAAACAATACCATTCAGGTAAGTTTTTTTTCACCCTAAGCTCACCCACATGGCCACATCTCATGCGTAGCCCACCCAAACGTCATTTAAAAAGACAGAAAAATATTAAATTTTATAAAAAACAAAATAAATTAAAACTTCATGGCACGTGTCGCGCACAGCGTCACTCGTCAATCCTAAACCAGCTGCGAGGCATCAAAAGCCCAAGTTCGGCGCCGCACGTGGTCTACAAGTGGCAACTCTCGGTCCCCGACCGGACTAGCCGGTCACCACCCCTCACGAAAAGACGATCTTTACAATCGGACGGACTAGGAAAGACAGAGAGAGGTCAGAGCTACTGGAAGGAAGTTGTCATTTAAGAGCCCTCAGCCAGCCATGTCATATGTGCTTCTCTTCTTTACTTGCTCTATGCTCTCATCTCCCTAGAGAAAAAGCAGCAGCTTTCTAGTATTGGAAGTTAAGGTTTTCGTTCTTGTTGGTTTCTGAGATTCAACGAAAAGAGCTCTTCTTTTTGCGGCGGTTGGGCTTCAAGGGTTTGGAAGTTTTTTTCTTGTTGTTGGCGTGTAATTTAGCTAAAAGATTGGAATTAATGGAGAGGGATTTTTTGGGTTTGAGTTCAAAGAATGGCAACCTGACTGTGAAAGAGGAGGCCAATGAAGAAGCCAAGAATTCAGGTTTGCTTTTATTGCTTTTGAGGATGAAATTCATTGTTTTGGAATTGGAATTTTGAGTTTGTATTTTGTTTTCTTATCCCCCCCACTTTCCCGATCCTGATAAAAATAAAAAACATCATCTTGCTAAGTAAGGATAAACACTGATTTAAATAAATAACAGTGTTTTTTTAATCAGTTTATGGTAGATTTATACATAAAGGGTAAATTGGGGCAGCTAATTGCTGTGTAACTGTGTTGACTTGTGGAGTTATACTGTATTCATAGCAACATAACATGGGGTTTAGTTGTCTTTAATTTTACACTCTTTTTTGGTAACTTACTACAATACAATGTGCCTTTTGTTTTTAGTTTTTTTAATAAAAAAAATTTATGTTCAAATATTTTCTCCACATTTTAGATTGTTGGGTTAGGCAAGATAATGTATTTTTTACCTCACATGCCTATGACTCTATGACTCTAAGACTCTAAGACTCTATGACTATATGAGATGTCATGTATTAAAGGAGCAATGTGTCACGTTGGCTCACATATTAAACAATTGCTGCACTAAACAAGGCTCGGCAGGTGGTACAATATTTATAATTAAAAAAAACTTATGCAATGAGAAACATTTATATTATAGTAGCCGAATTTAATAAAGCAATCTAATTGAGCAATTCTTTTCTTATTATTATTTTATAACATGGACTTGTGGAGTTCTGAATTTTATATTGTTCTCAAATCTGCTTTGGTGCATAGTTAGTTACTGCCTGGCCAGATGCTACCAACATTTATAATAAAATACCTGATATAAAAAAATTGTAGACTCATCATAATACCTTACAGTGTATGGCTTCTTTCTTATCACAACACAAGCGTGCAGCACAAATGTTCTGAAGCTAGGATTTTAAATGTTCAAGGATTTTTCTACTTCTTTAAGGTCATTGGTTGTCATTTCTCTCTTCTTCATCTATTTAGAAAATAACGTAAGTGGACAATGTGCATATTAGATATGGCTGTATTCATATTATCGTTTATAGTGATTTCTTTATTAAAGATTCTATGTGTTAATGCCTAAATGTATATATTATTCATCTTAGTTTGACAGCTGTAATGAACATACGTACATGTTGAGAATATGTATATTTACTATAACTACATTCCAAGAAAAATATGTTTCTTGTTGGCATCTATTTTCAGATCCATTTTACCTAAAACTTACCATATTACTGTTTTATTTCTGAGGTACTTTGAGCAATCATCAACACAATGAAGAAATTCTTTGTTCAAAGTTCAAACAACTTGGTCTGATGATCCACTCTTATTGATTTTGCAGCGCTACCAAGAAGTTCAGGGATGCAGTGGTCATTTTCAAACAAGGTTTCTGCACTTCCACAATTCCTGTCTTTCAAGGCTCCCCAAGAAGGCGGGTCAAGAAAAACTGTTCATGATACATCTGCATTTATGACTATATCAACTGCTGATGCTTTTCACTTCAACCAGAAGCCATTCTCTGGTGTTATCCAGGTATTTCTTCTCTTACTTTCAGAATATCTTTTCCTTTTAAATCTTACTAACAAAGCTTTATTCTCAAAGAAGGTGAAATTATCTGAAATTATCCGTAACTTGGTCTGAGTATTTTGGACTTGAGAAAAGTATTCTTACTTATCTGTTTTACTGAAGAAACACAAGTGAAATTTGAATCCTTTTTTTGATTTAAAATTGCTTTGACGTAGGCTCCTTTTTAGTGCATATGTTTTGGTTCTGTATGACCTTGATTTGCCTACATCTTTTGCACATTTTTTTTATTTTGTAGAAAAATTTCACTCTTGATAAGCAAGCTGGAAACCATTATGCAATGACAGTCTCTCCTGTGCAGCAGTTTGATGCACATTCAGTGCATCACTCTCAAGACCAAAGGATTCCAATTGCTTTTAGCACTCCTCTTCTCCAATCCCATCCTCCTGTTGGGCAGAACATGGCTGGTTCTACCACAAAACTGCAACCACTTGGAGGAGTTCCAGTTGTGGCCCCTGTATCTCTTCTTCCTTCTAAAAGTTCCCTAGTTGGTACCGCTGATCTCAGGTACTTTAAAACAGACCATGTCATAGTATAACTGCTTTTTAGCGAATGAATTGCGCAACATGTATTGAATCACAAGTATGGTTGAAGAATCCTAGAGGCTAAGTTGAGTTTCTTATGTAGGAATGCATCCAAATCTTCTGGGGCACCTGCTCAATTAACCATCTTTTATGCTGGTTCTGTGAATGTTTATGATGATATATCTCCTGAGAAGGTATCTTACATTTATTCTTCTGTTCACTACATTAGATTTTAGGTTGAACTTTTTGTTTATGATTTCTTTGTTTCTCTACTTAGGCCCAGGCTATTATGTTGCTGGCTGGAAATGGACCTTCTTCAACTCACTGTAAGGCACCTACCACAGCTCAAGTGCCGGCACCCATCCCTAGACCTTCCCCAGGCGATGGTGTTTTCAGGAACCAGGCCCATATTACATCTACAATCTCTGGGCTTCCAAGCCATCTTTCCGTGACTTCACATGCTAGTTCTCACTCTGGAGGAGCATTTAGCAGCACCAATGAATTAGCTATAGTGAAACCTGTAGGAACTTCAGCATCTCCTATTGACCACTCAGAGGCTTCTAAAGTAGTAGTCAGTTCAGTGGGATCTGCTATGACGAACCTGATTCCAGCAGGTATAGCTTTGCGTATTTTCTTTTATGTATGCTACTACTACTGTTATATGGGGGATATATATGCACCTTTTGTTCTTTTTCTCATTGAATTTGTAAAATAGCAGCTTGAATAAAAATCTATTTCTGTGTTTGCTTGCAGTACCAGTGCCTCAAGCACGCAAAGCATCCTTGGCTAGATTCTTTGAGAAGCGCAAGGAGAGGTAACTTTGAAGGGTTATTTCTCCCTCCAGTCTTTATGCTTATATTGACATACACAGATGCTGAGAAATTTATAACATCATTAATGCTTTGCTTATTGATTTTTTGTGTGCATATAGGATGATGACCACATTGCCATACAATGTCAGCAAAAAATCTCCAGAGTGCAGCACACCTGGATCTGATGGTCTGAGTTTCTCTTTCAACTCTTCTGGTTCTTGCCCTCCTCAAGCTATAAATTAGCTCCTTACGGTGGGTGGCTGTAGCCGAAGGGAAGAAATAACAAAGTTTCCAACTGTCCTTCAGCGATGTTGGCACTGATCATTATTTGACAATTACTTCTTGTGCTTGTAGTTGTAAGATAAATTTTTTGACCTGAAGATTTAGATAAATATGATAGATAGATATATATAAATATGGTTCAAGTGTTGTAAAAATGATTGTTTTTACATCGGAAGCACAATTCTGATGATCATGTTTTTGTATTGATATGTTGTACCAATTGACATTAATGAAAGGGAACTCAATATTATTTTGCTTAAGTTGTGCATCTGCAATGCAGACCGTGGAATCCCATTTGCTTTTATGATTGGAGACATGGGTTTGATCGTTTCAAGCAGAGTTTCATGTTGCAACATATAAGTTCAATAATTTTGACATCTGTAATCTCTAAAATTTATATAGGCGCTGTCTTTTGCCATAAAATCTTTGGACTGATACATGAACAACATTCGTTTTAGGTACAAATTAACAAAGACAATGAGTTTACAACTTAATTGGTTACAAGTATTTATCCTATATCCGACTTTGATTTCCAATAATGCTTATATAGAAGATAAACAAAAAAAGAAAAAAGAAGAGATGAATGAGGCGGGGATGATAATTAGCGCCGAAAAGACAAAGCCCAGAAGTCAAGGAATCAAACTTTACGCAGGTCCGTCCATCAGGGCTGCTCGTGTGATGACATGAGACGCGACCCAATTGACAAAGCCCAGAAACGCTATAAAAATTGGAGGGTTTGATTAACGGCATAATCCATCCCAATTTCAAAAGTTCGTTCTACACTCTTCAAGCGCTGTCGGCTTTTCTAAGAAAGTGATTCCAATTTCTAGAGAGAGAGAGAGAGAGAGAGAGAGAGAGAGATGGATGCTGCAAAGGTAGCAGAACTGAGGGAGTTCGTTAGTAAGTGCAAGTCAAACCCTTCACTGATCCATACCCCTTCTCTTGCCTTCTTCAAGTCCTATCTCCAAAGGTACATACTTGTTTTGTTTATCTTCATCCGTCACAGGATACTTTGTTATACGCATATGCATATATGCTCTGTGTGTCAAATTGTATATGATTGAAATGTTTTCCTTTGTTTGAGGCATGTGGGTTTGTTTGTTTGTTTGTTTGTTTGTTTTTTTTTGCAGCCTTGGCGCTCGAATTCCGCCGATCCCAAAAATGGTGAGCCCTCATTTCCTCACACTAAGCTTATATTTTTCTACCAATTTCAGTTTTTTCTATGTGTGGACATATAATTTATGCTTTACATGCATATTAGGAGTTAATGGACTCACATAATTTAAGCTTTTCTGCGGATGATGTGCTTCTAAGATTGCCAACTTCCCCACATTTTAGATTCTTATAGGAACTTTGGATTATTTGTATTTCAACTTTCAGTAGGTTTTACAAGTGACAGGAATTTCGGATTCCCCCCCTATGTTGGTGTTGGTTTTAGAAAATTTGACATCCTATTTTATGTATCAGAACCGGCAAGAAAATAGACACGGTCACTCGTAGTGCTACTTTGAAGAAATTCCTTAAAATTTTGAGCACAGGTTTTTATTCTTTTTATTTTTTATGTTGATGTGGTTGTATATTTTGCTTGATATGGTGTAGTGTTGGTTTCTGATAACAGGATAAAGTTGATGAGTACATGTCAGACACTAAAGATCATTTTGATGCCAAAAGACCTGATCCATCCCTTGATAATGATGAGGAAATTGTTGAGTCTGATATCGAGTTGGATGCTACTGATGTTGTGGAGCCTGATAATGATCCTCCACAGAAGGTAAGGGATAGAGAAAGATGGAGTCATGCGATAGAGGCCTAGTATTTCACCCTGACTTTTTCCCCTTAATTTGTAACCTCGCTATTTTTCAAGTGCAGATAGGAAACCCATTGGTTGAAGTTACAGAAGAAATGCAGGATGCTGCACAAATAGAAAAATCAAAAGCTTTAGATGCCATCTCTAAAGGCATGCCACCTTTTTGTTGTGATTGCCATTTTAGTTTAGATTTCTTGGGTTGTCTTTGTGATATCTCTTAATTGGTAGTAAATTCTTTTCAGGTAAGCTGGATGAAGCCATAGATCATATAACAGAAGCCATCATGTTGAATCCAACTTCAGCAATATTAAAAGCAACCAGAGGTAAATTGATCATTATTTTTTTCTTTTGAAAAAAAGAAGTTTTATTTGATCATTCTTGATTTATCTTTATTTCGTTGTCCTTACATATATATATATATATATATATATATATATATAGATATATTATTTTCATTGCCCTTCTTTGCTCATCTGTATCATTCTCTTGGAAACCTTGTATCCTTGCAGCTAGTGTCTTTGTCAAATTGAATAAACCAAATGCAGCAATTCGTGATGCTAATGCAGCTTTAGAGGTTGGTTGATGACCCTCACTGTACAAGAAATTTGAATTTCGTATTGAACATTGTATAATGGGCTATATTTATACTTTTTCTAGATCAACCCCGACTCTGCAAAAGGATATAAAATAAGAGGAATGGCAAAGGCCATGTTAGGTCACTGGGAAGAAGCGGCAAGTGATCTTCATGTAGCATCAAAGTTAGATTATGATGAGGAGATTGGTTTGGTGCTTAAAAAGGTGAATTCCCTTATTCTAGAAGGATAAGTTTCCAGGGAAACTGTTCCATAATAATTTAGTTATAATTGCAGGTTGAACCTAATGTCCGCAAAATTGAGGAGCATCGCAGAAAATATGAACGCTTACATAAAGAAAGGGAGATAAAAAGTGCTGAACGTGAGAGAAAGCGGCAAGCTGAAGCTCGAGTGAGTATTGGACTAGAGTTGATATGTTTTTATGCTCCATTAAGAAATATCACATCTCTTTGATAGTCAAATAAATATATCAGTCTACATATGATAGGGTAGCAGAATGAGCAACCTGTTGAAAATAAGATTTTGGTACATTTGCTGTTTATCTGGTGCTTTTCATCTTTCTATGTGGGAGTACATGTTTTACCTGGGTGCTAGTTCAGTTAAAATTTAAAGCATGGTTTGTTCAGTCCTAACATGGACCTGGGTGTAATTCATGGGTGTGGTTATCAGCGAGCATGACTATATTATGAAACCACAGCACAGGCCTAGATCCAAAAGATGTGGGCTGGATTAGTTTATTCATTCATTTACGTTTGCTCTTTGGGGTGCTGGTGGGTGGGGGTCATTTTCCCTTAATTCCACATGCCACTAAATAGTGACCTCATCCAAGAGATGGATATCTACGATGATGACATAAGGGTAGAGAACCTTCATACTAAACTACATTTCTTTCAATTTCATGCAGGAACGGGATGCGTTGTCTGCTCTTAAGGATGGTATGGCATTTGATTTGTTTTTATTCATATTTCATTAATTTTATATTAATGCATGCATCCTTATGGGTCATCATCCCTCATTTCAGAATTACCTGCCGTTATCAATGTCAACTTCATAAATCCATCCCTCTTGTGCAAGATATCATTTATTTAATTTTGATCCTATCTTAACTCATCTGGTTTATCCAATCTTCCTTACTTGTTTGAACATTGAGGAGCGTATTATATGGTACATATATTCCACTTTCCTATGATTATTTACAGAATGATTTTCATATTCGAATATGGTGAACTGTAAATGACTACATTCCATTTCATGAAGAGGACTTGGATAAAAAATCTTGTCACGCCACGTCAGTGGTGTTCTAAGTCCCACTGTGGCATTCTTTGAATGCTTTTTTTGTTTTGTTTTCACAGGTGAAGTCATTGGTATACACTCAGCCAAAGAACTGGAGACAAAGTTGAATGCTGCTTCAAGGACATTGCGGCTTGCAATCCTCTACTTCACCGCAACATGGTGTGGTCCTTGCCGTTTCATATCTCCTTTGTATACAAGCTTAGCTGGAAAGTACCCAAAGGCCGTTTTCTTGAAAGTTGACATAGATGAGGCTGGAGATGTTGCTGCAAACTGGAATATAAGCAGCGTTCCGGCCTTTTTCTTTGTAAGAAATGGTAAGGAGGTTGACAAGATGGTGGGGGCAGACAAAACTGCACTAGAAAGGAAGATTGCACAACATGCAGGCTCAACTTGAGTTAATCCTTCTGCAATGCTCTTGGCTTTTGTAGTGGTACTTTTTTTAAGTCATAAGTTGGAAGAGATGTCCATCTGAGAAGATTGTTCTATTCCTATAAAGTGACCGACAGTCACAAGTCATAAATTGTATATGTTAACTAGAAATAAAATTCTACTTTCTTGCCCAGTTGAATTCTGTTTTTTAATCTTTTTTCATCCTAATGGTGTCCATGGGTTAAATGCCAATCTGAAATGATCGTGCTTTTCCTGTTAAATAAAACTATACCTTCTGAGAACCATCAGCTTTCTGGCACTGGCAAGTCGTTTTCCTCTGCTTCTCTGTGTGAATATGATCCAACATGAAAAAAAATGGGAATGTAAGCTTTTATTATGATTATTATTTATGATAGTCTTCTAAACAAAAAATGTTGAAACATAGCTTGCTTTCATGATCTGGCTTGCTTGCTCTATGAATTAAGTACCGGCTATCATCCCCGGGAATTAATCTCAAAGCAGAGAGGGCAAGGTGATGCAAACGGATTTCATTTCCTCTCATTCTTGGAATAGAATCTAAGGACCACATAGAATAAGAACCGGTAAAGAACACCCCAAGCTAGCAAGATTGCAATATCATACCAAATGTTGTCTATAGTGATATCCATGGATGATATAACATCTTGTCCAATAATCACGCAATTCTTTTCCACTTTTTGGGAGGTACTGTGCAGGGAGCTGATCTTCAATTCTCCTAGAGGTCCAGGGGTAAGATCCGATGGCACGCCGTGGTAGCAGCGTATTCCTCCGAATTCATTTGTCAGCAATGCCTCAAATGGGTACTTAATTGCAGATATGTAATGCACCCACCTCCAGTAAATCGGTATCTGCTGACTCTTTAAGAAAAAGCCACAAGTCAGAAAGAAAAGAGCTGTGGTAGCTATCACAACAGCATAACCTGTGATGTAACTTGGTACCAGAGCGCTCACAAGCATCACATAAGCATTGGTGGTGATGAGTGAGGCATAAAGGATGATCCAGAATCTGACAAGGTTGCTTTTGAGGTGAAGCATGTATTTGGTAATGGCAGCAAATGTGAAGCCTTGTATGGCAAAGAATGGGAGATAAACAATGAGGGAAGAGATGACGTACGAAGAGGCACGATAAGCATTGTGAGAAGATTCCCTGATGAAAATGAACCTTTCTTGGATGAAAGTTGGGACAGCATCATTGGATGAAAAGAAAACCAGGCAAACTGCAAAGATGTAAAAGTTGAGAAGCCTGTTTATGTCTTTGAACGAATCATGGCTCAGGTTCTTGAAAAGCGAAGACAGAATGAGTGCCATAACTGCCAACACAATCTCACGAGAGAGGAAGAGTTCGGGAGTGCGAATCACATTGAGCGCTGTGCGCCATGAGAGGACTGCAACCTCACGCAGCCATGGGTTTGCAAACTTAGGCCCATGGTCTGGCTCATCAAGCTCTTCTTCTATTTCAAACTCTTCATAATAAGGTGCATATGAGTCTTCAGTGGAAGAGCTGAAGACCACAGGGGTTTTAGTACTACCGTGTCGTGGTGGTGGCGGGTTGAACTGAGGTGTGGGATATTGGCTTGAAACTTGGCTTCTAATACCTGAGAGGGGTGTCTTTCCAGGGGTCCTTCCTGGAGTTCTAGCAGGAGTCCATGATGGCGGGCGACGAGGGGTTCCTTTGACACCATGGTAAATCCAGACAGAGAAGTCCTTGTAGAACTGTGAAGCTAGACGAGGGTTATAGACACCACTGCTCTGCAGGTGCATTGGTGTTTGATGAACTGATTTCCTTTCCAGGGAGTTGTCAAAATTCTCATCCTCATCCTCGTAATCAAACTGACCAGATTCACCTGCTCCAGATGGTGTCCTATTTCCCAAGGAAAAGGCTTTACTACGGAGGTTAATTGCGTGCTTGGATGCAGGGGTCTTTCTATAAGGAGTTGGTGTCTTTGGTGTTTTTGCAACCGGGGTTCTGGCCACCTGATCAGGTTTGATGCCATCGCGTTGGTACATGACCAATGGGTCTAGTCCCACAGTTGATTCATCATATTCTTTAATCACATCCAGGAGATACTCAAGGCCATTCTCACCATCCGGAACTGGCCTTCCAAATCCAGAAAGATGGGAAGACAAACCATGTGGACTTCCCAAATATATCAGCCTCCCTCTGCAACCACATGACATTAGATAAATTAATTAATAAGCATCATGTACGTTTGCAGCCCTTAAGCTTTATACATATATATATTCGTCTTTGATTAATTTTAGTTTTGGAATATAATGCAGATTAATTTCAGCAACATTCTAGTCAGTGTAGACGAAGAGGGTGTTGCACCATGCACATATATTTGTTATTATTAGTTTGTACCTTGCTAGGATTGTCATGCGGTCTAAGAGCATTTGAATACGATATGAAGGTTGGTGGATGGTCATGAGCACGATGCTACCACCTCGAGCTATCTCCTTGACCTTTTCCACGACACTGTAAGCGCTTGTGGAGTCAAGACCAGAAGTCGGTTCATCAAGAAACAGCAGTGAAGGTTTGTGGATGATGTCAATGCCAATTGACACCCTTCGTCTTTCTCCTCCCGACACTCCTCTCCTCCCCTCATCACCGATGTAAGTATGTGTTGCACTCTGCATATATACATCATCAAAATCATTATATATATATATATATATATGTGCGCGGTTTCTGTTGTATAAATTCATGTATGTTTGATCTAATTTGTGCAATGAATTCCATGCATAAGCATTGAGAAACGGGATTTGAATTACCTGCAAGCCCAGTTGTTCAAGGAGCGCATAGACTCTTCTTCTCTTTTCATCCCTGGAAATGGAGGGAGGAAGCCTAATCTCAGCTGCGAACATGAAGGTCTCAAACACAGTCAACATAGGGAAGAGCTGGTCATCTTGCATCACATAAGAGGACACCATCTTCATGTAGCTTGTAGTAACCTGAAAATTATTAATCAACTTTATATATGTAATCTTGTTTCCATTTGTTTCTGAAAAGAGAGAAAAAGGATAATATTGGGTATAGATTACTAACCGTTCTTCCATCAATTCTAACAGAGCCTTCCAAACTCCCTTGAGCAATCCGTCCCGCCAAGGCATCGAGAAATGTAGATTTCCCAGCACCACTAGGTCCCATGATGGCCATGATCTCACCTCTCACTGCCTGGCCAGAGATGTCATTTAGAAGATAAGCTTCTTTCTTGATCCAAACCCCATCTTTTTTCAGCTTCTTTGTTACACTGTATGAAAGGTTATTGAATTCAAGGCCATGGCCCGGAATCATCTTCGAGGGTCTAAGTGGCACAGAAGTTTTTGTAGCAACTGATTTGTCCATGTCCAGTAGACTCTCAAGGCTCCTGTTAGTGTTTGTCCTGCCAAACTTTGCCATTGTGATGATGATCAGGTGGAGCAACTTTTGCCCTCCTTTTTGGCTTAGGCCTCAAGAAATTTTTAAGACCTGAGGATTGAACTAAAAAATGGTATAAAAGAAGGAGAGGCCGTGTGAAATGTGGACAAAAGGTGAGGTAAAACTCATAGTAATTTTAGTCTTGGAAGGTTGTGAGTGTTTGTGGACAAGAGGAAGGAGAATGAGCAATCAGACGGCAAGACTTATGAGAAACTTTTACTGAGCCCGTCTCTCTCACTCTCCTTTGGGTTTGTCAGTAACCAGCTTTGTTATTTCCGGATGGTGTTCTGTTTTCGTTTCTTTGTGCACAAGAGACAACTTCCTCTTATTCGACCAAAAAAGAGACAACTTCCTCTTCTGCTGGTGGTTGAGCCCCTTATTTTAGAGTGTGAAAAAACCTCATGACAGAATGTTTCCTAAACCTGTCATTGCTATTCTAAAGTAAACTTGAACACTTCTGAAGATCCTGCCAAACTCACTAATCCAACTTCAACCTTTTATTGTATGAAATATTCTTAGGGACCATTCTTCTAGATATTCTAGCCTGTAGTCAGGGCTTTGTGCGGCAGCAGGGTTATGTTATTCCTCCTGAGCCCTGCCTGCACCATGGCTAGAAACAGATGGTAATTAGTGGCAATATATTCTTCTTTTTCTCCACCTAGTGCTACCGTGGCTGATTGCTGATCCTGTGATTATTGTTTTACGGGCTAAAGAGGGGAGCAAGTTACTGTCTACATGGAATTTATATACCTATGTTAACTAAAAACCAATATTCTTGTTTGGTGCAATTGGTGTGTGTACTATGAATGCTGTCTCTTAGCTTTTACTTGGTGGATTTTCTTAGAACAACAAAGAAAACTATATAATATAAAAAAACATCAAGACAAATTTTTAACTCAATTTAATGAGCAACAAATATGCATGTTGACAGCAAATGATTTCTGTTGGTAATGGCTCCAAAGTTTGGGGATGTCCGGAAAAGGTTAAAAGAATTTGGTATCTTTAACTAGAAACATGCAAGGTGAATAGCAGTCTGTATATAGGGAAGACCTTAAATCAACCAGGTGTGTGTTTTTTTAATTATATTCTTGAACTTGCCGGCACTCTAGAGAATGAGAGATGCTCCATTTTCTTGGAGGGTGCTGTGTCAATCTTCCAAAGTTTTCCCTTGTATTCTTCAGTTTCGGCTCCCAAGAGTAGGACAAGTTTGAAGCTCATGATATAATAGAGAAGTATGAAGCTCATGCATGATATACGTATCTGTAGCAGTACTTCCAATTTCTGTAAAATCCCAATTTCAGGGATGAATTACATGCTCTCTCGGCATTGGCATGGTTCAACTTCACCCTTGTGTCGATCAGTGACTCGACTCTATGGTGTATTTGAGCCGTGCCAATATCGATTGGGTGCCGAAATCAACCCTTTTTTTTTATTTTTTTTTATTTTTAAATCAAGTGTGGGAGTGATGATTCAAACTTGGGACGTCCTTCCAATATTCCGAATTATGACACCACTATATTGAGAGAGAGAGAGAGAGAGATGGAGTGCCAAACTTGACTTCTTCTAAACAATATAAACAGACATCCATCTGCAAAGCACACTGAGCTACTCTCTCTCTCTCTCTCTCTCTCTCTCTCTCTCTATATATATATATATATATATATATAGTTCTTTTGTATATAGAACATGAACTACATTTATGCCACTCAATTTGACAATGTTTCAAAAACAAAAGTAAATCCAATATCCCCAATTGCATATATTTTCAATTCCCTCCAATACTCATCTCTGACTTTAATTTCACATATGTAATTAGTATGCTAAAATCTGATAATGGTTTCATGTGGAATTAAAGTATGAGATAATAGTATTTTATTTACATGTAACATGAAACCAAAGGGATGCATGCATGTTATACTCTACATCACAGGTTTTGAGAAGATAAAACGATTTGTTTGACCTTCCTGCATGACGCTTTTTTATGTGACAGCTTACGGAAGGAAATTCAGGGTTATCAGCCAAGTGAGACCTATTCCGGCGAATATTTTGTCGGGAAAGACCTATTCGGCGATTGTTTTGTAGGGTAGACCTATCCCGGCAATTGTTTTGTTAGAATAGACCTATTTCGGCAAATTATTTTGTCAGGATAGACTTATTCCAGAGAATTATTTGTTTGAATAGACTTATTCTGGAAATTATCTATCGGGATATACCTATCGCAGCTAATTTTAACAGGTAAACCTAACCCAGCGAATTTTTGTTGGGCGCACACACATGCACAAATATGTTTTCACAGACTTGCTGTTTGTTTTCACCAAAACAAAAATTTGTTTTTTTGGGCAAAAATAATCCATTGTTTATTAAACTGAATTAAAAGACCATGATCTGGCTTTTCTTAAACTTTTGAACAGGTCACATATTACATTATAGATGTGCTCTTACAGAGGAGGAGCAATTCTGTACGTACATACTTTACTTCTTTCAGTATTTTATATCAACAACCGCATGCATTTCATGATATCCAAGACTAGTTACAGGTTAAATGAAATTTAATTTTGATTTCTTATTAAATAAATATATAAAAAAGAACTTTTTAGGGTAACTATCATAGAAAATCTTTAAGATAACTCAACGGATATCACCAAAAAAATAAAACTTCCAAAGGAAAAAGGAAAAATTGGAAAAAAAAAAAAAAAAAAAAAAAAAAAAAAAAATTTTGAAATACGGATCAATAAAAACCCCCTGAGATCAGAGAAAATCTCTAACTGCCGATGGAAAACGGTTGCTCAATGGAGTGATAGAAGGAATTGAAAACAAACTCTAGAAATAGAAGTTATTAGCGGCTGTCTAATTGCATTGACTCATTATAAATGTATAAGATAGCGCCACACAAACCAAACCATTCCATTGAACCAACCAAACCCAAACTCTCTCTCCTTGTTCCTCTGTCTACTCTCTGTTTGATTTCTCTCTCAAACAAAGCAAACAATCACCAACAACAACCGCCCTCCTCTAAGAAAACCAGAACCAAAACCATGGCTTCAATTTCAAAGCGCTTCTTCTCCTTCCTGTTTGTGATCATTTTCTCTTTACTGGGCTTTGTGGGTTTTTCGCAAGGCAGAAAGCTCAGTGGATTATCAGATCAAAAGGGTACTGTTGGTGGCAGTGGTGCTTCAATGCAATGCGTGCAGAAACTGATTCCTTGTCAACCATTTTTGAAGGCACCCGAGAAGGCCCCTGCAGCATGCTGCTCGCCACTCAAGCAGATGGTTTCCGACGATACCAAGTGCCTCTGCAGCGTCTTCAACAACCCTGGCATGTTGAGCAACCTTAACATAACCCAGGATGATGCCTTGAAGCTTCCCAAGGCTTGTGGTGCCAATGCTGACATTTCAATATGCGAAAAGGGTAATAGAGCTTTCTTCCTCTCTTTTTTCGCTTTTCAGAATGAAACGAAATCATTTAGATTCTGTGTGTGATCATTTGTTTCCATGGAAAGGAAGGCAATCATTTTTATATGAAGCTCTGATATCACAATCAGATTTTCTATTGAAAAGTTGTCTTCTTCATTAGGTAGTTAATGACCAAATTCATGGAAATGGGCTTTTCCATACATTAATATATACATATGTTATACATGTATAGGCACATATATGTAAAATCAGGGTTCTGCTTGGTCAAAAAATTGGACATCAATTATATTTGCAACTTTCCATAGGAGCAATACCATTTAAAATTTTCATCCCTTATCCTGATTTCCTGGTATTTGTATCTGTGTTATTGGCACAAAAGCAACCAAAGCAAAAAGTACAAGCTTATAAATTTCCAATACATATGTTCTGTAAAAAACAGAGGACTCCAAGAGTTTTGTCTTCTAAATCTGTTTTTACTCATATTTGTACTATTTAGTGGCATATTTGAAATCAGTTTGTTAACACACAATTCAAGATTCATACATGATTGTTATTTTCCATCACAGATGCATCATCAAGCACTTCACCAGCAGCTAAACCGGCTTCCAACAATAGTAAGTTCCTAGTACCTTTTATTAGCTAATTTTCAATAATTAAGTGATGGCTAAACATTTAATACACTCAACTAGTTGGGTTTCAGATCAGTTATGCATGACATAAATATCAAACATGCCGCCTTTTCTAAGCTTGACAGTCAGATTAGTGTCTGCTGAACTCAATACGTGACATTGAAAATGGATTGTTTTCTTCTGTCAGGTTCTTCCTCAAGCAGTTCCAAGAGTGCAGCTTATGCACCCTCTCACTTTTGCGGATCGGGTTTTGCTGCCTTCTTCATGGCTTTAATCGTTACATTTACAGCATTTTAGGAATGCCATTTTGGTCATTCAGTCAAGAGCTATATCATCTGTCTTGTACTCAAACTTTGGGAATTGCTTTAAATCATCAACAACAGAGCTTGTGCCTTGTTATCTGTTTGATGATTCTTGTAATCTAATGCCAATGCTATTCCTTTTGACTGACTAAACAAGAAGTTTCTTAGGTTAGTTGCTTCAAAGTTTGAATGGTTTATTTCTTTGGATGGCTCAAGTCTGCATTTCTTAGAAACAAAAACTTCCAATACTTGGCCAAGTAATTTCCAATTAACTTTCAAAGTGAAGAAAACTAGTCACTTTTCTCTGCACTGCACATATTCTGGCATCTTGGTATTGACTTAAAATCAAGAACAATATTACTGCAGAAAACAATAAAAGCAGTCTAAACTAAAATGTGAAATTTGATAATTACCAAACTAATAAAAATGAAAACGACGTTCCTGCTTTAAAATTGGAACTAGAATTCCCAGAAATTCATATCAAAATATTAGAAAAATCTACGAGCGTCTGAATGCAAAAGCCGCAAATGGTGAAGCGACAGCTACAAGCATAGATGCTCACAAGTTTCGGCAAAGAAAAGGGCTGACTGCGTTATCAGTCCTCAAATATAGAGGACTAGACGCGTCATTGACGCCCAAGTTGCCTTTTTTCTTCTAATTGAACTCAAATTGAATATCAAAAATGAAAATGAAAACCAAAACCAGTGAATGGATCCAAAATATGATTATAGAAACGAGAGAGAATTATGCAATCGCCAACAGACTGCTTCATCACAGCTACTATTTGGAGGAGGGAGATGAGATTAGAAGAAAATGAAGGTTTATAAAGAGGAACTTTTTGGGGTGTAGTAATGGTATGGCTTGCTTTGAACCCTAGTTTGGACGTTGGAGTTGGGCCATTAAAACAATCTTTTTGGGCATTTACTTTTTTTGGGCTTCAATTGGGTTTGAAGTTTCGACCCCTCTAAACCACAAAGGTGTCTACTTTGCAACCTCACGCACTTAGAATTTCATTCTCGAAAGTCATAAAGTTTGAAACTTTGAAGCAGGTATAGGCAGGCATATATAAGCTTAAGCCCTCCTCGATCACAGGCAACAAACACAACCAAATGCCAGATTCATCAATATGGCAGCAAAAACCTCCATTGCTAAAACAATAACTAAGCTTTATTGTAGTGGGTCCCCTTCTTCTTTCTCCAAACATTTGGTCCCACTACCACCACCGTCACTCTCATTATCTCCTTCCTTCTTCAGCTCCTCGCCTGCTGTTTCCTCAGTACCCGAGTCTCAATCAACGCTCTCTTCCCAAGCTCCAGGTGGGTCTCTGTGTTCTTTGTATGTTTTCTTCTTCTGGGTCCGTCTTAATTTGATCAAAATGTTGATGCTTTATTTATTATTAAGGCTTTCCGGTTCTTTTCTTTGTTTTGTTTAGAGAGGGAAAGGTCGAGATGGTCCAAATGGCTGCTGTTTCTTCCTGGAGCTGTCTCTTTTGGCCTTGGCACTTGGCAGATCTTCAGAAGGCAAGAGAAGGTGGTGTTTTTATCTTCCTATGAAATTTAGCAATCTTGGAGATTGATCTTAGTAATACAATTCAACAATTTTAGTTGTCCTCGTGTACAAGCTTGTTTATGATAGTTAAGCTTTTTGAGCTTACACCTTAAGAAATGGCTTGAAGCAATTACGTTCAGTATTAACATGTTGTTAGGCAAAGATGCCAGACATTGAAACTTAAGCCGACCATCATCAATAGAGGAAAGAAATTTGGTAATGAACTGGAATTAGTCCTACAAAAGTGGAATCTAGGATCTGGTTATGGAATTAGGTTTAATACTGCATCTAGTGGCCACTCTCAAGAATGAATTCCACGAGCACTTAATATTCAACCTTACAATTGCATCAAAGAATGACCCCTATTAACAAGTCTCTTTTGTTACAGATAAAAATGTTAGATTACAGACAGAAGAGGTTGGAAATGGAACCTGTAAACTTCAACAATGTCTCACTGTCAAGTGAAGAATTGGATCATTTGGAGTTTAGGAGGGTGATATGCAAAGGATATTTTGATGAGGAAAGGTCAATCTATGTGGGCCCTCGTTCAAGAAGCATTTCCGGAGTCACTGAAAATGGCTACTATGTCATCACACCTCTTGTGCCGGTCTCTGACAAACCTGAGCGGTAAATGCTATTGGAGTTTCATAGATTTCACAAACCATGTTGATATAATGAACCAGCTACATATCACGTCACCTGCTTTTCTCTCTCTTTAAGTGCTTAAAGGGCCTTGACTATTAAACAGGGTATTTTATTACATTGAGACATTTATGAGTTGTTCTTGCTTATTGTTACAGTTTCTCTTATGTTGATCCCATATTTCATATTAAAATAACTGTTTCAATAATTTCAAGTAGCTGCATGTCAGGTTGCAATCCAGTATTTATCGATTAGTTTGCTTTCGTTAAACATTGGATTGATACCCCTTGAGAAGCTCTAATCCGTTGGTTTTCTCTTGTGTGTGTGTGTGTTGTCTTAATTAAACGTGTCATTGATTATTTTCCAGATTTCTTGTGGGCTATAATCAGTACCAACTGAGCAGCTCAAACGGGAAGTAGTAATATTGTATTTGCACTGAAGAGTAAAAGAAAATATGATAAATCAGTTGCATGGATTTAATGTGAAGGTGCATCTTTTATGAACTGATGCTTCAATGTCAAACTGAGGCTTTAATAGGGTTGGGTATATCCTTGGTTGGAAACAAACAGTTCTTTGTACTGGAATGTATAGGGTTCTAAGTTCTAACATTATACAGAGAACTTCAAGATTCCATTACGCCTCACGTAATATCATGTTTTGATAGTAATTTTATTTGTGATTGTGACTTTCAAGCAAATTGCAATGCTTATCTGTTAGCTGATCTGATGATCATCTTAAATAAAAAATTTCCAGTGTGCAGCCACCAATTTTAGTCAACAGAGGATGGGTACCCCGAAGTTGGAAAGAAAAGTCTTCAGAAGTTCATGAAGATGGTGAACAACCTTCTAATGTAGCACCCTCCTCTGTTCAAGAGAATGAAAGAAGGTCTTGGTGGAGGTTCTGGACGAAGAAGTCTAAAGTCGTTGAGGTTGTTTGTTTTCATTATATCAATAGTTGTTGGATGGGGAGAACATTGAAGATCTAATCTTAATTTCGTGTAACTTACAGGATCAGCAGACCCCTGCTTTTGCTCCTGTTGAAATTGTTGGAGTAGTTCGGGGGAGTGAGAAGCCTAGCATATTTGTTCCACCAAATGATCCAAAATCCTCCCAGTGGTTCTATGTTGATGTTCCTGCAATTGCTCGTACTTGTGGCCTCCCTGAGGATACTGTTTACATCGAAGACATAAATGAAAATGTCAATCCGAGTAACCCTTACCCAGTTCCAAAGGATGTTGGTACCTTGATTCGGAGTTCAGTCATGCCTCAGGACCATCTAAATTATACGTTGACATGGTATACTCTTGTATCTCTGTGTTAATATTTGCATTTATCAACTGATCATCTTTTCATTTATGATGTATGCTGCTATGTGATACCTTAAATTCCTTGATGCCAAAGGGTTTTGTTTCCATTTTGTTTGAGAATTATTAGGACTTAGATGCAATCTATCTCTAATACTTGCTTTATCTTGGGCAGGTATTCCTTGTCTGCAGCAGTTACATTCATGGCTTTCAAGAGATTAAGACCCAAAAAGAGCCGGAGATAGCAGCAGAGACTTCATCTAAGAGATTTGAGTTGTACTGAATTATCTCTATGGTATGAAAGAATATGGTGTCCGAAAATTTTGAGTTGTCAAATTAATTTTGCGTGTACTGTCATCAAACTCATCAGCAACAACCCTTATTTTTTGATTGGCAACTGGAAATATTTCCAGGTTGGATTGCCAGATTAGGCTTTGCTGATATGAAGTTGAATGTTGGCAGCCAAGAAGGAAAATAATATTTTCAACACCTGAGGACCCCTAACGCCTGTAGGAGACTTTCTATGTCGTTCGTGATGTAGAACAACGAAAATGTCTCCTCAACACAATTTTTGTAATTTTTCTTTTTGGTAATATGATACATTTTTGTTTTGGGGTCTTCTTTGTTAACTGCGTTTATTCATACAATCCCATGTTTATATGTGATTCCTTTTTTCTCGTGTGTTCCTTTTACATTTTCATTCCATCTCGGTCAGGAATACAGGCCATAACTCGTAAGGAATGTAAACCCCTAAGCCGTAACTGAGCATTTGAGCTGGTGCATGCCATGTGATATCTCAGGCATCTCCACAGTAAAGCTCAAACTCGATGGGAAATGGATTATTATCAAATCAAATAACATGCTCAAGTTACCATAAACAATTTACAACAAGCACAATGTAGAAATGGAAGGGGGAAAAAGGTGAAAAAATGGGAAGTAAGACGAACATGACCAAAATGTCAATTTCCTTTCCTCTGATCTTGTACACGAGGAAAACAAATCAAAGAATTTAGGGAAATTGGTGGCTTTGTGTTCGGAATGAATAAACATTGGTAAAATGATATCTTCTTTTAAACCATATAAATCTGACTAGTATAAATACCTTCTTATCTAATCTCTATTACCTATTTCGCACTTTTGCCCAACTCTCCCAAAATCGACAGCGCTCTCTCTTGCTCTCTTTCTGTCTCTCTCGTTTGTCACTCTCTCTCTCTCTCTCTCTCTCTCTCTCTCTCTCTCTCTCTCTCTCTCAAGTTGAAATATTAATCAAGCAATGCGTGTTGACTTAACCCAGAATGGCTAGAACTTGCATGACTTAAACTGCTTAAGGTGATGCCCAAATTCATTCTTTGGGCATTTTACAGGGATAAGCCTGCAGGATAGCCATGGATGAGTACAGAAACCTGATGAGCGTCAAGAAGACAATAATGCCACATGATTATCATAAATTTTCAACCTTTATGCATTAAAATCCATAGAAAGCTAAAATCAGAGCAATACCGTAGCAATACCACGGCAATAGAGGGCTATACATTGGCAATACAAAAATTCCATACTCACCCTATAATTTTATTCCAATACATACTTGAAAAAATAGGCGACACGGGGCACTACGCAAGCAATATGATGGCAATACAAGAGTAATATGATGACAATATAATAGCAATATGATGACAATATATATTAAATAAATAGGCAATATTAATTCAATGAGGATCGATTACAAAATGTTCCCTAACCCTTCTGTTTGAACATTCAAAATACATGACACCAAGTGAAACAAAGTACCACAGAATAAACCCAACATATGTAATTTGGTGATACCATCGTCGCATAATCACGAAACATTTCGAACCTGCTGTCGAAAGCTTCAACCATTTCATGATTAAACCCTGGCGATTGTTTGAATCGCTTCACAGCTTCTTTCTTGAAGTACTCCTGGCATATGAAAGGAGAAAAAATATATATAATTTAGGGTCTTTAAAAATTCAGTTTTATAAGAAGATAACAAGCTAACAAATGGAACCGGTAGCAAAAAAACAGAAGCAGATAATGAAAATATAATATACGACTCAAAACTTAAAACAAGGTGAAGATAATGAATAAATATTGTCTAAAATTACGTTACAAAAGAAATGCATGTTAAAATTTATATTTATTCAAATTAAAAAGTCACAGATGCTCTAGTTTTGATGGTGTTTCCAGCTGCTAGATTACTGGAGTTGGTGACTCCCTTTCCAAATTTTCATCATTTAGCTCTGTAATCTCACCAGCCAAACAAATTGATCAAACAAAAAATTATTTATTGCTTGATGAATTTGTTTCAAGTTTTGGTAACTTGAGCTTTTTACAGTAAAGGTTGCAAACTTGCAATGCTGATAATTGGTTCTAAAAGAATATTACTTGAACTCAAACAAAAATATGGCAATAGACAACTATATGAAAAGCTGCATCTGACTCCTTTGTGGGTTTTTTTTTGTTTTAATTGTAAATTTTATAATTCTTTTTTATTTTATCTATTATTTTTTCTTTTGATTTTATATATTTAACTTTTAATTTATTCAAAAATACAAATATACCCTTGGTATAAATGGAGAATCGGATAAGTAAAATGCCACATAGACATTTAAAAGAGTAAAGTGCCATCAAATTTAAATTTGATGTTTGGTATTTGACATCTTCCTTGAAGATGCTCAGTCACTTCGTGTTAAACACCCAATATTTTGTATGACAATAAGCAAATAATTAGAATATGGATAGTGGGAATTACTCATTAATTCACAATATAATCAAAACCCACAAGAATTGTAACATAACCGTTTCAAGTTAACAGTAAATCAGCCCAACAAACCAACAAATTAATTAATTATTTTTTAAAGAACAAATATTTTCAGAGGGGAAAAAGAAGCATACCAGAAGATGAAGAGGAAGGATTTGGGTAGGGGAGGTGTGAAAAGAGGGGGAAGGGGGGATAAGGAAGGTATTTATAGCCGCCATATTTATAAGGTTAAAAAACAGTTGTCATTTTACAATATTTAGTCAAGCCGATGCCAAAGCCACCAATTTCCCAAGATTTTATCAGCTGGCAGGGAAACAAACTAAATGGGAGAAATAAAAACAATCAAAAGAATGAAATGAATATAAAACTAACAAAACCGTAGGTGGGGGTTAAAGAAAAGGCTCCATTCATGATATACATCTTACAAGCAAAGGAGAAACAGTCATCCCTGCATGGATTGCCTTCAGCAATGCCACAAACTTGAAAGGACTCTCGTCGGAAAACCACTGGAGCTTCCACGTCATTGAGCCTGGAGCTATCTTCTTCTCATTTACACTTGTCTTTAAATTGTCAATTTTGGCTGAGCCTGAGGGGCAGAACTCCGACATCGCACACTCAACAGCTAAGGTTACACGCCGACTTTCCCTGACATCAACAACCTGGAAATACAGTCCAGTCTATGAGCACAAATGGGGTATGATAATCAAGAACTCGCCTATTCAGTGAATGACAACAAACACGTATATTAAGGGAAAGAGCTACAGTTAATTAGAGGCATTACCAACTCAGATATGTCCGCAATAGAGCAACACAAATCAAGTGAAAAATATGGTGGCAAAGATGCAGCCACAGATAAAGATCTAAACTGCATAAGGTCTTCAAAGCACACAAATACATGCTCTCCAGCCACAAATAATGATCTTGAAAACCATGATTCACCTGTCAGATTTGAGATAACAACGTTATCAAGCAAGAAATCATTATTGTTTTTGAAGGCCAGGCATTCTTTGAAAATTAGGCTGCAAAAGTGAAGTTCAAGGAATGTAAAGTAAAACTTCATCATTACAAGTGTTCTTGACATGCTTCCAAACTGCTTTCATCAGTAGATTTCATCAAAACTAACTATAATGTAACAAAATCTTATATTATGGAAATACCTTTATTTTAAAATTTCTTCGACATGTCTACCAAAATGCTTATTATGTATTCCCTTTCTATGTATTTCAAGTCATGACATGATTACAATCGTCGACTATTAAAAAGTAAAAAATGATGACCAGACTGAATTATTTAGACTCATACCTTCATTATAACTACACCAAAACTGCACCATAGAATACTGGAATATGCTCACTTTTGAACCTCCACATATGTGTTTCTCAAACAACTCAACCTGAACCTGCTCCAAACTGCCATTTAAATTTCCAAAACCCCAGTCTATCATAACAAAGAAATCAAAAGATGCACATCAAAATGGAATAACTCAAGTATAAAACCAAATATACATTAGACACATGCGTACATAAAAACATAGTCGTAAGACCAACAAAACTTTCAAAATTATATCTGAAAGGAAAAAATAACTACCTTCTTAAACAAAATTCATCATTTGGAGCAAAAGAATCAATAACTTTTAAAATAGAAAGTAATTGTCTTGATTTATCAATGCTTCTGGTTTTAAACAGGTATGCGCTCCCCTCCACATACACCCTACGCAAACAGGGAAACAAAATTGTTAGAAAAGTGTTCCCTGTTAGGTTCCATATGTTGTTTAAGTACCACAATTTACTAACCTGACAACATGGAGCCCTATACCAACTACAACCTCGCTGATGTCTTCAACCTTGTGGCACCCCTGTAAATTTAAAATAGTGCCTGCAAAACAAGATCACCCTGGAAATCAATAGCCATATAGCTAACCAAACAGAAAATTAAATTGTCCCAGTAACCATTGACAAAAGAGAAAATTTAATGACATATAAGTCACTCGCAAAGACCTCGTAACCTAACCTGACTCATCGCCTGCAACACCAATGAGTAGCACATACAGCTTGTTTTCACTGCTAAGTAAAACAGCAACTTCTCTGCGTGTAAAATGAAAGAATATAAGCATATAAAAGCAGAAAAAGTCTGAAAATCTGACCCAACATGAGCCCCATTGTTAAAATGTACGGGAAAACCCTCATATGGACAATATCATGCATACTATTGCACTATAAAAAGAAATTTCGAAAGGTTCACCTTTCTCTCTGAAGAGAATCCAGCTCAAGTATACAACAACAACACATACACTGCTTACTAATCTCATGATTTCCCAAATCTGCAACATTTGTATTGAAATAACTCTCAATAAAATCATCAATTCCTGAAGACAGGCATTCAGCCCCAGAAGATCCATTAGCATAATCAATTAGTGGGATATTACTTCTATTTTCCAGCATCTGTTTCTCATCAATGATTTCGTGGAAATCACCCCCGTAAAAATGTTGCTTCTCTTGCTTATTTTCAACTTGTGCTACATGATTATCTAGATTGCCATTTAATTTGGGTGATGGTTCTGCCTGCCTTATCATGTTTTCATCATCTAGTAGAGCAACAACTCTTCTTTTAGTTTTCTGTCTGCCTTTTCTCCTCTCCAACAAATCACCCTCTTCATTAATGCAATGAGCATTTTCAACATCATGAGCAGCAGCATGAACATCATTGATTGATGATTGCAAAGAGTGGTCCATATTTAAAAATTCCTGCATAGTGGATGTTTGGTCTACACATTTTCCAACTAAATGTTTGTCATTTTCTCTTGCATGAGGAACCTCATGTTTTATGCCATAATACTTGAAACAATCTGAATATGGGTGTTCTTCAGAATTCTTATTCAACCAGTTCTCATTCAGTAAGTGATGAACTTCAGGAGCTGACTGCTTAGATTCACTATTATCATCTTCGCTGCAGCTGGTATTACTATCAGATGATGCCACTGAATAGGACTCTGCGGATAACTGTAAAATTTCCTCCTCTAAGTTATGGCGACGGTGAAGAATATCCTCTTGATAATGAGGTGGTGATCCTGGGAAAGCAGACAATGAATAAGACTCTGAAATATCATCAATGACAGACAATGCAGACATGCTCAAATTTTCGACCATCCTGTAACTTCTTTGAGTGGTGAATGAGTGAGCATCGGAACTTTTAGTTTGTGCACTGACAGTACTAGTCCCTTCATGAGAATAAACTTCTACATTCTCCTTAAGATATCTACTATCGATACCAACTGGGCTGACCCCACCAGCATTCCCCATTGAACCAGTTTGGTCAAAGTGACGGGCATGCGAACCAGTAGTTACATCAAAGAAGGACCTATCTGATTCTAAAACATTTGTACTACTCTCATCTCCTGATGCTTGAACATAGTCTGAAACATATCTTGATTTTTCACCGAGCTGGGTCCAGCTAGCCTTGGATTTGATATAATTTTCCCTCTCGGCGTGCAACGTATCCCCACTATATCTACTGCTGTCTGCAATATTCTCAGAAGCATGATCCAACCATTCCTTGAACTCCCGCAACCAAAGAACAGATCGCTCTTTCTTCATTCGCTCAACTCTAGTCATTAAATCAACAATTTCAGCTTCATCATCAGACATCACAATTTCCTCTCTGCTTTGAATCTCATTGTCACAAGACACAGACTCCTGGTCAGAACATAGATACGTGCTCTCTTCTTCATTCACAATAGAAGCAAGACGTGATACCTTTTTCTGCAAGAAAGAAGAAGTAACAATGCAAGATTTTACAATTGTTACTCGATAATTGAGTAGATGAACATAGCACAGATATTTTACAACAAAAAAGTATACATGATTCACTCGGCATAGGAAAGATTTCACTAAAGAAGAAGATTAGATTTACATTAAGCACCAAAGGTCAGGCACACTCACTTCGCCCCCATACTTATGTGTGGGTACTGGGCAGGCAGATGTTCAATCATAAAAGACTCACAACTACTCTACTAGTAACCTACCCTTCTTCTGTTGATACTTGATTCTCCTTCAGGATCACACTTTGCAGGAGAATAAAACCCAAAGCTGGCAGGTCGCTTTTGCCGGCTGGCAATAATAAGTTGCCTCTTCCAAAATTCTCTGGTACTGATTTCCTTATCATCTAACTTCAACTAATCAGCCATACAACCAGAAAAAAAATACAAATTGGAAAACATAATTAGCAAATGACAAGAAATATGTAATGAATGCTTCGAACTTTTATAACACACAACTTGTGCGTCTATGTATTTCAGGTCCAAAGGAATGAAGAAATATAATCCAAAAAGAAAAATATGATAAATCATAACTTACTTTTTCTGGATTAGTGAGGTAGCTGAATACGTGTGACCGATACCAACGGGCACAACATAATGGATTCCCTTCCAACCACAAGCTTTGTAGAGCTGGGAGTCCAGCCAGGTATTCTAACTCTGAAAAATTGGAAATGATATTGTAGGAAACATCAAGCCCTTCAAGTGACTTCAAATTCTCAATCCCACGCAATGTAGTTAGAGCATTGTTCCTCAAAACAAGTTTAAGTATATGACAGGTGACCTGCATGGTCCAACAACATTGGAGTATGGGTCGAAATCTAATTCCTAAATAAAAAATATAAAGCACAGACAAAATATTTGAGACTCAAACTATAGAAAAAGCAGTTCCCAGTAACTTGAAAAAATAAATTTCTCAAAGCATTGAAATCTAGTGCTAAAACTCGGTACCTCACTAATTGACGAAATTGTTCTGAGGTGATTGAAACCAAGGTCCAGGTGCTTCAATTTGACACATTTGCGAAGATTATCAACCTTTGCAAACTTGTTTCGGCTTAGGTCAAGAGTTTCAACAGCAGGAAGAAGTTGCAAAGACTCATCCATGAGAACCAAGCCATTACAAGCACATGAGACAAATGACAAGCGGTTCCACTGCGGTGAGTCCTTTATCTCTGCAATTCTACTCGCAAACACATGCCTCAGAGCATCCTAAAATATTTTATCACAATTTCAGTCATATCAAATGAATGAGCATGTGATAGATACATAATTTAAGAACTTTAAATGCTCATTAAGTAGCTGAGAAAAACAGATGTCACGAGGAAACCAGAGCAAAATCTATAAAAACTCACAGTAGAATTATGACAAATGATCTTCTCCAAGGTGTGCCTCAACTCGAGCAAGCCTTTTGCGGCGGAGGTGGACAAATCGCATCCTCGAAGCTCCAAAACCCTAAGCCTGCCAAACGGCCAAAACGAAAGCGGCGTAGGGTCTCTGGCCGGAGGCGGCAATACCGAAACGACCTTGAGGGAGGTCAAGAGCCTGAGAATCCTCCGAAGCTGCTCGAGCGCTCGGTGGTCGCCGAGGTCAGAGACGTAGGCTCGGAGATAGTCGACGGGAGCGCCGGCCAGGAGGGCCTCGAGCTCAAGAAGGGCCTCGAGCCGCGAGTTCACGTAGTGGAAGCCCGCCGGGTTCAGCTTGAGCACTAGGCTTCCGTCGATCAAAGAACCGGCTTGTTGCTCCACGAAGTGGACCAGCTTCTCCAGGTACCGATCTCCGGTGACAACCGCCATTGAAATTTGGCGCTTTCTTCAGGTCAAATTCGGAATTTCACTACGCGGAATCGCATGCCTGTAAAACGGCTTGCTTGTGTTGTGTTATCAGCGTGTGTAATACGAATCTAGAGAGAGAAAGAAGAAGTTTTTAGAGATAAACAGAGAAACAGAGGCATGGTGCGGTGGGCGTGGGCGGAAGAGGAGACGGTTTTAATTTTGGAGAGAAGAACATTACATTAAATGGGTCTAATGATTGAGTTACGCAACACTGATCTCGATTTGGTTGCATTTGGGATTTCAGAAGTTTGAGGAAAATAAAAATAAAACAAAAATGAAAGCGTAATCATTTGGAGACACCTGGCCTACATGCACCTCAACAGTTCTGCTGTTCTGGGATGGGATGGGACCCTCCACGCGTTTGCTGCTCTGTTAACTTGTTTCTTGTTATTAAACTTCAGGCCCGCCACCACTGGCGGTTTCCCGGTTTATTCCACTAGACCGGTTTTTTTTTCTTCCTATTATTCTTCTTCCCTTCCTTCAAAAACGAAAACTGAGAGAAATTTAGCATTGTTTTAACGATGTCGTTTTGGTTTTATGTTGTAGTGTAGCAGTCATTTGATTAAGCAAGAAGCTTTCAGATCGGTATCCATCCATCCAGCTAGCTAGCTAGCTAGCTAATAACTATAAGACCACCATACCATAGTTAAGACTTTAAGTAACAATTTAATTATGGTAGCATGTGGGATGTCACGTTGCAACCATGCATTGTTTTAAGGGGAAAACAAGAGAGAAAAAAGTTTGTATTGTTTGCTTGCTTAATTATTTGGTAAAACTACTAAAAGAATCCATCACTCCAAGGTTTAGTATGAGACCTGTCAAACCCAACAAAAGGAAGCCCCACAAACCACACGGCGGGAATAAATGTTCACTATGGTACATAGCCCTTGCTATTGCTATTGGTATGCTCAAGCACATTCTGAATTTCACAAGTTGCGAGGCATATGTGGCCCGATGAGTGATCTAGAACAAGGGGATATGCACCCCGGAGAGCAAGAGTTGTGCTAGCACCAGCCATTCATGAGACGATCTGTGTGGCTGGCTTTCATGAGAGCAATGTCATAAATCAGTGATCTGAACATTTGTTTAGCTTATGCCATTATTGTAGACTAACCCGATTGTGTGAGTGTGTGGAGGAAAGGGAAATCCGAAGCTTCAGATAACTGGTCCTAAAGAAAGTTGTGGTTAGAAGCATTGTCAAATGTCAACTATTGCGTGCCAAGTAACTATTAGTCATCATATCGCATTCCACTTGTAGACAGGCACACGTTGTTTATATGAATCCATTCCCCAGTGAGGAATATGACACACTAAATGTCCCTTTCCAAAATTACTCGAAACCATTTCTATAATTCCTTCCTTTCATATGTAAAGTACATATAATGAAGAGGATTTGAGGTTGTCTATCACTTTTGCCTGTTGTCTTTTATCAGACTTAGAGTGCAAATGGGGAAACCTTATAATATATTTGTGAGCTCACTACTCAATATATACAAATGAGGAAGCTTCAAGGCTATATAATGATTGAAGGTGAGTAAATCTTTACTTGACCTGCTCACCTAGGCGTCGCTTCTCTTCCTCAACTTGTTCAAGCAATGCTTCTAGTTCTGCTTCTGTTAGGCCTTCTAACCTCTTCTGCATATCCACAATTTGACCCCTTTGGGTGTTAGAGAGAGAGAGAGAGAGAGAGAGAGAGAGATTCTTAATTGTATAATGCTACAAAATTCAAGAATATTACAGAGAAAGAAAAAATAACTGAATTTGATAGAATTTTGCTAGATATAAGAGAAATTATATAATAATAAAAAAGATACCTCCATGACTTTGTTCTCATAGTCACGTATTTGCTGTGCATATGTCATTTCCTTATTTGAAACTCGAAAAATATAAGTGGAAATCCATCCAATTGTCAGGCCCAACACCAGTACCAGCTGAACGACATTCCCTGCTTGTAAAGGATCAACTCCAGCAAACTGCATAAAATATCATAGCAAGAAGAATTATATGACTAGATTATGAGCTAGCTTGAAAACAAAAACAGAGCTATCAATGATAGAAAGTTTATGAAATAGTTAAATAAGAGAATAAAGTAAGTACCTCTAATCCACTTTTCAAGCCGATACCGATACCAGTTACTCCTAGTCCAATCAATAAAACATCCTTCCTTGAGTATCCAAAAGGTTTTTTCTGTTAAAAAAAGAAAGACATAAAGAGATGTAATTCTTTCCTTCCCTGACAGATATGACTGAGTGTTAGAACAAGGCAGGGGACATCTCTCTCCCAAAACCCCCATCCGACTGACTGAAAGGACCAGCTATATGAAATATACTGGACATACCAACTCCTTGTCCATGTAGGGTTAAAATCTGAGATCTATGCAAGAAGCCAGAACCATACTTCAGACAATCAATCTTATGTTTAGTAAGTACACAACATTTTTAATCCAGATACATCTCAGGACATCAGCTGGTGCTGACAAAAGAAGCCAGTGGGATAAACTCGTATTCATGTTACAGAAAAAAAAATAAAAAAAAAGCAAAACAAATCATTAATTAGTAGTTGCTCATACATGCCTTTGCCTGATCAGAGGAGTCATCTTCAGTGCCATTAGAGTCCGAACTGCTACTTCTGGGGATGGTCATAATTCTGTTGATGCTATTAGATCCTTTTTCGCAAAAAAGGGATGTCTCCTTTCTACATAAGCTGTGAGTTATAACTCTTCCTGATGAATTCAGCATAAAATGCAGCAATATCAGCTAAATGGCCGGTTTTATAAGCAAAAGATTTAATTTGTACGCAATCCTTTTCAATTTACATTGGGAAGTTTGTTGTAGAACACTCCTTGATATCATACTATATGAATACATATAGATCAGAAATGGAACACAGAAAATCTCAAATAATGCCACATCTGAAGGTAATAGTAATAGTAATACTAATATGGGAATTATCAAAATGCCTGATACTGTGACCTATAGGCTAAAGGAGGCTGGCATTTGCCAATCATAGACTACGTGAACAAAGATTGTTTTGCAGATGCCAGTGATGAGTTTAATTGATGGAGCATTTTGGATAGTTACTGAAGGCCTTCAAGATATGATAATGACAATTTACAGTAAGACATGGAACACAAAATTTCCATGGTTAATGAGAGGGATAGTAAACAGAAGAAAAATAGGAGGAGCAGCAGTCTAAAGATAACATGTAAACAGACAAAAGGGCAATCACACCCTTAAAAGGTACTAATAATGAGCAAAAGATATTCAAATAATTCAGTCCTATAACCAAGCTCAAGTTAGATTACATACGACTCTTGTCCGCTGAATGAATGCCAGACCCATATATCATGCATGACCATCTCAACAGGACAGGCATACAATCTACAATAACCATGGATGACCATTTCAATTGGTTCTCGAGTTTTTTTTTTCAACACAAGCTGGATGGTAAGAATGCATATCATTCTCTCTACAATTCCAAAATATTTCTTCTTAGAATGCGCAACCTTTTTACAGTTACTTATAACTTAAACTCTCAGCCGTCTCCAAACACTTCATAGTATTTTGAACAAGGTACAGCATGCCATAAACAACTAGTATCAATCAAATGAGAAGCAAAACTGCCACATTCTATTAGACTAACCAATACAAGCCAAGGGAAATTTTGGACAATAATAATCAGTGAAGTCTACAAAAATGTCAAATTCAACAGCTCTATATTAGTACAAATTAGACCCGAAATTAAAAGGGAAAATCTTTTGGAGTAAACCCAGATAGCTGAAGTTAAAATAACTAAGACAGGCAAGCACCAACTGACCTCTCACCAAACCATCAAAAGCTCTGGCCCTCAATTGAATAGATGGAAGAGCCGAAATACCCACGAAGGAAATCGGTCCTCTTTCAGATACTAAACTACAATTTGTAGGGTTTCCATGTGGAAGAGATGCCATCCCTGCAATGTTGTTCGCATGAGCACACAAAATAAAACAAACCCAAATAAATCCAAGAAAAGGGGAAAAAGATGATTAATTTGAGCATTAAACGCATGAGGCTAAATAAAATAAAATTGCTTTATCTCTTAAATGAGGCGCCTTTACTTCTTTTCTCTCTCTTTTTCTGGTCTTTGCTTACTCAGAATGGTTGTGGGCTAGCGGCAAAAGAAAGCACAAATCTAATAAAAGAACTTATCTTTTAAAAGAAGAAGAAGAAAATGAAGAATGAACAAGGAGAGAGTACCAGAGAGAGAGGGAAGCAGCAGCAAGTAACTCACTGATTACCGTTAATGGATTGCAGATGACTGGTATACACCCCTTCCCTCCATCCATTAGTCTGATTCAGCAATTTTGTCTTGCAGGGTCCCACCTTTTAAAAGATCAGGGAATTGTACCATGTCAATCAAAGATATTTATTTCTCTATTTTCCTCCTATTTTTTGGTTTTTTATTTCTTTCACTTTTGATGTTTCTCTGTTCTCCATTTGATGCTGAGTAACTTTCACCTCCCTCTGGCATGATATTTGAGACAGCTTGAATTTTCCCTCAATAATTTTATGACCTTAACATGTCAAATGTTTGGTAAGATAAGATTACTCCTTAAATCAATAATTATGTAACCAAATTTAAATCAGGATGCTTCATCATCATTTGGTTGTAAAATAACCCACCAAAAGATTTAGTTCAATTTCTTTTTGGAGTCATACTCATATCAAGGATCAAGCTGCTATTAGTTTGACCAATTTACAAAACTGGCTAACATTTCCCAACTAATTAATCATACAGTTCAGATTAGATAATAGTTCCAAATCATTAGTAACATGTCTTATGGAATATTATGCACCAATAGCAGCCTTAGCGAGCATGGGAAAGTGATTGCATAACTAGCAAATATTTGACATTGGGACACTTCTGCATGGATATAGGTACACAGATATATGCAATTGTTTATCTACTCTCTCTCTCTCTCTCTCTCTCTCTCTCTCTACCCACAGATATATATTTGTATATAGTTAGTAGGTGACTGTGTTGAAGGAATAATATCAGAGAAATTGTTGGTTACCATGTCCAATCATTCGTTTGGTGGTGTCCTTAAGTGACCCCTAGTACGTTGCCCAACCGTTGCTCCATGCTTCACCCCATGTGCCCTCCTCACTGACAAATGGATGAAAATCCTATACAAATCCTGCACAATTAAAATACATGATTGCTAGAGGGAGATGTTAGGGTGACTGCTCTGTGCGTTGGTTTTCCATGATTCCACCACATTAATTAAAGTGGGGATTGTCATTTACAGGATTGCCTAACTGGAAAAACTCAGGTCCCAGCTTACATAACAGCATAAAAATGGTTTAAAGCAAACGTAAAATGGTTTTAAAGTTGACAGAGGAGGTGTGGAATTTACATGCTTTCAATGTCACAGAGTGACATGTATCCTCTCTTCTGTAGATAGCCGACAAATCCACCCTTCTTTTCTTCCTCTCTGTCAATCAACTACTCTCATGCATGCACAAATGTCATCTCATTTATTATATATACTCAAAGAGACTCTGCCAAATTGCCAACAGCCCCCCATCTACACCATCCATTTCTCTCTCTCTCTCTCTCTCTCTCTCTCTCTCTCTCATCATCAACTACTCCCCACACCCAAAGAGAAGAAGAAGTTCTTCTGTCTTTCAAATTTGTTGTTTTTTTCTCATGGGGAACGCAGCAGCTTCTTGTGCTCCTTCATTGGTCATCTCAAGCAGTGGAGTTGTAAAGGTTTTGTTTTTGGATGGAAGATTGGAAGTGTACACAAGGGCAGTGAAAGCAGCAGAGCTGATGTTCGAGAATCCAGGGCAGTTTGTGTGTGAATCTAGCAGCCTCAAAGTGGGCAACAGGGTTCATGGCCTTACAGCTGATGAAGAGCTCGAAAGGCGCCAATTCTATTTTCTTCTTCCCATGGACCTGCTTTACTCTGTGCTCACACATGAAGAGCTCAGCTCTCTGACTTACAAGGCTTCAAAGGCACTCAAGCACAGAAGTTTCAACAGTTTCAGTAAGATTTTTCCGGTCCTCGGAGAGTTTTGCATGTTTCCTTCAGAAGCCAAGAGATCGGATAAAAATATTGGTGATGCTATTAGTCCTTCAAGCCATTCAGAGCCAATGCTAGTATTAGTGGAGAGGTACTCAAAGCAAAGATCATGGAAGCCTGCATTGGAGACCATTGCTGAAACTCCATCTACGCATTAATTAATTCTACTATTTTCATTTTGAATGAAATTTTGGTGTTATTTAATTTGTCTTTGATTAAATTTAGAAGTAATTAATTAAATATTCATGACCTGGCCTTTAATTAGATCAACAAATCAACTCAACTGAGTCAACATGTACAAAGATTATTAGCTGTTTCTTCTATGAAAAAATATGCTAATAGTTGGCTTCTTTTTCTTAATCCCTCCATTTCTTCTTTAAGATGGAAAGTGATGGAACCCCTTACCTTACCCTGCCTCCTCCAGTCTCTATGCCCAAAGCTAATCAAGCAGCAAACCAACCAACCAACAAGAAAAGAAAGGTTTAGTTTCGTTCAAGATTCCATGATGGTGACATTGATTTGAATAATTAATGTTCACTTGCACGATATTATTTGCTAAAAATAGCTTAGAGATTTTATGTATAGAAATAGAATAAAATAAAAATCATTATTTCATGGAAAAGGCCGAAACTTGCAAAACTTATCTTATTTTTCTATTGTCTATTGGTAACTGTCCCTCTGTATTTTTAGCTGAAAATCTGCAATGACTTGGTAAATGCTAAAGGAGCTGATTTTCTCACACTTTTTTTGTCCACTTACACTCTTATTTGGCAAACTATTATCTTCAACCGGCGAGCTACCTAGTGCATCAATGGTAGGGGTTCAAAACTTATTGGAAGCATTTTATGGCCAGAAACAAGTCAAACTCCGAATGGAAATTAATCTCACCCTTCAAGTATATATATATATATATATAAGTGGAAAAATCAGCAGCCTTACTAAATATACAAATATATGGGACTGCATTTTTATTTTCGCACTTTACAGTTACAATTCTATACATTACGTATTTGTTTTTGTCATGACCCTTCCTTCACTCAATGAACAATCAAATCAATCCCTCCTTTTCATGACTTGGGCTTTACCTTAGCCCACCTTCAATTGATAGAGGAGGAGATGTTGAGTCCCACAAGCCACAACCTAATCAAATAAATTATTTGCTTTTTATAGCCTAAAGGTGTGTTTGATTATGTGACTCTCTGCAAAGTAAACCAACCACAACTTTTTTTTTCTCCGAAGATTTGTTTTAAAATATTGTTTTCGGAAAGCGACTTGGCTTCTTTAACGTGACATGGATGGATGGATGGATAATATTAGGATAACAGGGGGGGAAAAAAGCAAATGTCAATGGCCAAAATTCTACTTTCTATTTTCTTTCTTTTTTTTTCTTTCTACCACTTACGCATAACAAATAAATACACTAAAATGTTTATGTCATTAAACAGTGAAAAAAGAAGAAAAAAAGGACAAAAAATATCAAACGAAAAAGAGAGAGAAAATAAGAGCGAAGAATTCATGCTACACCGCCACTACAGATGGCAGTGATCGAAACCGGGAATCTAGAGAGAACCCCAGCCGTGGATGAAGTGGCAATCCGGTCATCAACATTGGACGGTGGAAGCACCCTCCCATCGGCAAACAGTAGCCGTCCATTTCTGGGCTGCCCCACCATGACCCCTTCAAGCTCCGCAGCCGTGTTATAAAACGCATTGTCTCCGAATCTCCTCTCCACCTCAAGAAACTCGCCGAGCGAAGCCGGCTTCGTGCAGTCGTCTCGGCATAGGCGCCACCACCTGCGCCGCCGTTCAGCCACCACACCCACGGCTGACGAAGCAGCGGCGTTTTTCTTCTTGGGCTTCTTGGTCTTCCTGGAGCCGCTTCCGCTAGTACTGGCCATGTTGTTGTTGTTGTTGTTGTTGCTGTTGGCTTGGGGGTCTCGGCGCTGTTGGCTCGGGGCTCTGAACGTGATGGCTGGAAAGCTCACTCCCATTAGGGTTCCTAAGGTCGTGCTTCGATCGTGAAAGAATGAGCCTGTAGACTGTCAACAATATATAAAAAAGAAGACAAAATTAGTGAGGATAAAATCAGAAAAAATATGAATGAAATGAAAAATGGGGAAATGGGTACCTCGGTGTCGAGATCGGAAGAAGAAATGGAGGAGTTGGTGGGGGATGAGGGTGGAGGTAGCAGATCATTTCTTGGATCTAGCATTTTTCCTCTCTCTGTTTCTGTGTGTGTGTGTTGGTTTGGATTTTTGGAGAGGTCTCTTTTTGATCTTCTTCTGGTTGTATTTTCTGTGTGTTTGAAATTTGAAGGTTTATGTGCAATTTAAAGCGTGGAGTGATGATGAGAGTATGAGACCCATGAGAGATGGTGATAGATGGGGATTTAATTTAACTGAAGTTGGATTGTGTTTCAAATCATTAATGTTGGGCTTTGGTGCTTTGTCCTTTTCATAATCTCATCTTCAATTGTAGTCTAATCTAAACATTTCTTTTTCCTTCCTCGAACATAGGCTTTATAGAATTGGTTAATATCAAATAAGTCCCTCAGGTTTCTATATTATCACTAGTCACCCTGTTTGGTCCTTCAAATTTCAAAGTTACTCTTCTTTACATTTATCCATTTCAGGCTTGGTGCTCATTTCATCCTATGATATTTTGATTATTGGAATTCTTTGCTTTTAAAGACTTATGAACGAGTTTATAATGAGTATATAATTCAAGTGACTAAAAGCATTAATCACTGCGATCAATTGAGGTCTTGTGTTCAATTTTCTCCTATGGGACGTAATTTATCAAGGAGAAAGACTTTGAAAGCTCCATTGCAGGCAGGTTTTGTCCCAAATTGGAAAAGCTGCCGACATGGGTGACCACAAGAGTCATGGTTCTCCTCATGGATATGGGGCCATTTGGTGTTTTATTACTACTTTAGTCTCAAAGGAAAAAATCAATTAAAGAGCTTTTGTGAATCGTGATTGCGTGGTGGTGAAATGGTTTCGTTTCAAGCCAAAGAAAAATTGTGTGATGATGATAATGGTATTGAACTGTGACTCTTCCTGTCCTCCATATTGAGTTGAGGCCAAACAATTCATGTGAAAAAGTTCCATGCACAAGTGGCACTCATTGGCATCACATGAAAAGTCCTAACAGATTATCATTCTCTAATGCTGTTGCCTTGCTACAAATGATCATGGGATGGGAGAATCAAGATAGTGTTGCAATCAACCTTTAATTAAAGACTAATTATGCCACTCATCAATATTAATGAATGGTCCTTGTGAATAAGTGTGTGTATGCGCGCGGGCGCGTGATAGATTCTCTGATATTTCATCATGTTAAACAGAGTTTAAGCCTTAATGATGTAATATGGATGCATACAAATAACCAGAATAAGAAAAGGAGGAGGAGAAGAAGAACACAATATGCCTCGACCAGTGATGAACCCGCTGGCTCTGGCCCCTCGCAGGCGTGCATGATCTGATTAATGATAGTCATAATTTGTTCCCTGACAATAGCCACCTGCACTGCAGCATTATGCTTTCTTTCCATGGATCCTTTTAGTCATGGAATATATGTACGGAACCTGGAAATGCCACATTAATAAATTCAATTAACTACTGTAGATCGACCAATTTAATAATTGTTTCTCTGTCGCAATGTATTCCCTACCACACATGCAAGGCAAGCTATCTTCAAAGTTGCCTCCATCATTCTTTTGTAGTTCAGCTGTTAGGAGTAAGGTGGAAAAGAAAGCAACAGCAACCCCTCCAAATGGTTGCTTTTTGTGAGGAATAAAAAAAGATATGTTATCTACCAATATATTTCTTTTTCTATAAACAAAACCTCCAATGTACACCAACAAAACCAAAATCTTTGGTCAGGTTGTTGAACCAGGAAAAAATGCCAACCCTAGCTTCAAACTATGACCACAGTCAATTGATCTACATGGGAGATAAATCATGGATATAGTCATCCCACATTTCAGTCGCAATTGAGTCCCGCAACTGCGAAGTAAACTCCAGTTCTTCTGTCCCAAAAGCAATGTCCATAGCAGAGGCCTCAAAATGCATCATTGGTTCCACCTCTAGCGGGGGCAATGATTCCTCCATTTGCAGTATGGTGTCCTTCTCATACATTTTAAAAATCCAGTCATCTGGTTTCTCCCTACGCATGTAATTGTGTAGGGCACATGCTGCCACAACCAACTTGACTTGTGTTTGTAAGGGGTACGGAGGAGCTGCCATCAGGATAGGGAAGCGTGCCTTTAAAGCCCCAAAAATGCGATCAGATGCATTTCGTAACATCGAGTGTCGTTGATTAAATAGCTCTTTCGCATCTTGAGGGTGAAAACCACTAGGAAACTCCTTCGAGTGATAAGGTACACCAGGATATGGAGCAATGAAGCCAGGCATATTTGCATACTTGTTGTCCACCAGGTAGTATCTCCCTGCATGGTTACAAATTTTGTACCCAACACTGCTAGTAAGATTCCACAGTAGTTAGTTAATTTGAAAGAATAAGATTGTTTCCATTTTTTGAAACAAGTTGACCCCCATGTGTTGCATGCGTGGGATCCAGCATTTACTTCTTGAACTCATTGTGTAACAAGTAAATTATAATCTGGAAAGCGATATAGTCTGCAACCATATCCACCCCCATTATCATGTGAACCGTGAATTGCTTCTCATGCTCTTTGGAAAAATCATATTTGAAAGGAATATTGGGCAAAGATGTCCACCAAAATGTTATAAATGTGTTAAGAGAGTTCATATTGTGGCTTGATTGCAATTTCATAGTGTGAAACAACTTTTTCCAAAAGAAAATCACACATTCAAGATATTTAGTGAATGACATGAATTGCGATTTATTATTAGGCAAGCACAGTATGTCCAAATTGACATCACACTCGCACCAGTATGCTGCTTATGTTAACGGAATGGTACGCACAAAAGAATCAATACCTTCTGGGGTCTGCAATTTGTTTCGTCTTGTGAGTGCAGAATTTAAAACTTGCAAATCTGATGCAGAGCCTTCCCAACCCGCCAAGACATAATGGAACTTGAGATCAAATGAGCAAGCAGCCAGAACATTTTGTGAAAGTAAGCCATTCTTGTTGCGGAAAGGTCCTTGCTCATCTACGCCTACCATCACTGGGATGTGTATACCATCAACCGCTCCCACACAATCCTATAGGATAAGAATTTAGAAATTGAGAATTACATACAAAGGAGATACAAATCAGACTTAGTCACCATGAGATTACCTTAAAATATGGATAGAATCTAGGATCTTCTGAAATTTCGGGAGGAACATCAGATCCTGGAGGCTGGAAGAAATCTAATGAAATTGCCCTTATTGCGTTCAACACATTGTTGAAATGACGACTGATGGTTTCTCCTGAATAACGGAATAACTCTTGAACAGCTCGAGTCCGTAGATTATGACCAATTATGAACATGAACATGGCTAATTGCTCTTCAATCTTGATTCGATTTGTGTGGCGCAGTAAGCCTTTTCCTTGCAAAATGTCACACAACTTGTAGAAGACATGCTTATCCATGCGAAAATTTTCTAGACAACGTTCATTTTGACCGCTAAGGACTTCATCGATAAACTTCGCACCAGTAGATGCTAAAGCATGAGTGAGTTCCTTTGGTATATAATTTCCGGAGACTGCATCCTTCTCATCATCCGTGCTCTCCATTACAAAACTAACCTTCACAGAGCAATATATGCATTGAATAGCAGCAAGCATATGGTTGATTCAAATTTACATAAATGATAGAGCCAAAGGAACAGATTCTATATTTGGAAGAGAATACAACAATGGGAAATAATTGGTTGATAACAACCCTTACCCAACAACATTATATCAAAAGAAATACATGATTTCTAAATGAAAAATTCATATATGAACAAGAAAGAGTGTCTGTCAAACCCCGTAATTCAAAGGAAACCTGTTTCCTCATAAGCATTCTGCAGTATTGATACTTTTGGTGAATCACCTTAAAATTGGAAAGTCTATCAATCCAGCAGGAAAACTAAGTAAACCTTCATTTTAACAAATGGGGAATCACCTGCATCAATATTTTTAAACACTTGCCCTACTTTTAAGGTCATTTTCTTTGTTACATTCGTAATGATCGTATAGCTCCACCTTAGGTAATTAGATCCCTCACGTCTAAGTAAAAATTGACAATCAGAAGGTAAAACCACACTACCATTTAGCTTGTTTAGCAATAATAGCATTCATACATATATGCCCACACACATGCGCGCATCCAACAGATACATACTTAAATGCTTATGCAAGTGCCTACATAATAGCACACACATGCATCCACGCACAGAGAATAAGCTGCTAAGAGATGATACTACACGAAAAGTATACTTCATTCAAGTTACTACTTGAGCATCCACAGCCCGAGAAGATCAGCCTCCAAGAAAGAGGGGAGGCTAAAGTATAAGTAATAGCCAAACCAAGACCACACCAACTAGACAAATTTCACAAAAATGACATAATAAAAAGTTCTAAACTAATAACCACAATAACAAAAAATACATGCAGCAAACTGCCAAAATTGCCCGAAAATTTTATCGAACTTGCAGATACAGAAACCCCAAATAAGGGGGTGAGTCATATTTCTGTTAGCCAAGTCCATAATCTTTGTTTTTTTTCCTTAATTTATTTTGTTAAGTCTAATTGAGTATTCTTCTTCCATTTTATTATATACCTATACATGCAGACAGACCTCCACAGCTAAAGCATCAAATTCAAATGGACATGAGTAGGAATTGATGAATTCTTTAACTCTCGAATTACAAATGGAATGAAATTAACCGAATGCAAATTCAAACTCAAAGTTTGCAGTTCAAGTTCAATGACCGAAATCATAACCGTCATTAAATAAAATGCAAATGAAATGAGCATATCGAAATTGAGCCCATACCTGAAGCGAATAGAGCTCCACTAGCTTAGGAGGCAAACGACGCCGATGGTTTGGGCAAAACGAGAGAAATGTGTAGGAAAACAGAATTGCTGGATTTTTGGATTTGGGGGAGTGGCCTGAGCCACTGAGAAACGTAACGTTCGTTCTTTGTGTGAGTGTTTTTGTACTTCGCAGTCTTTTCTCTTCCTTTTTTTTTCCTCACACTTTTCCACTAAATTTGTACTTGGAAGGTCATAAGTATGCAAAGCTCTCCAGACAGACTGTGGAGGAGGAGGAGGAGGAGGTTTCTCTGACTCACACGGTGACGGCGGGCTAAAACCCAATTTTCTTACAAGTATTCAGAAAGCCCAATGATGCTTCCAAAACGCCCAATTTTGCGGCCCAAAAAAGGCCCATATCGGCCCGGTCATGTGTTTTCACATTTTTTTGCCCTTTTGGTTTAATTGTTTTCTGTTTTTAAGAATGAAAATTAAAAATGTTTACAAAAGCAATTTCGAACAAGTTGGGAGGAATATTATTATGCTCCAAATCTGAAGAGAGCATCCCAATTGTCAAATATTATCCCATTGTCGTAGTAAATTTAACGTGATCAATGACGTTTAACGTGATAAACACGGCCCTAAACACTGTTTCAAGATAAAAATACGTATATATACATGTAACACCTATATTATACACAAAGCTTACTAACTAGAAAACAAAAATACAATAATATTAATACTTGAAAAGAAATTGTAAGATTCTTTCAAATCATGAGGCAAAGGACCCACTAATGTATATATAGGCATGTATATAGTATCGCCACACGGCTATACTAAGTTTTATTAATATTTCTTAAAAAAATAGTATAGCCACATAGCTTAACCGTTTTTGACACATGGCTCCTAGGCGCTAGCCGGTTCCTTTTTTTAATATATATATAAATAGTATAGTCGCGCAGACAGTGGCGGATCCACGTTGGGACAAGAGGGGTCGGACGACCCCTTGGAATGCTGGAAAGTTGGCAAGGGACTCCATTGAAGCCCCCTTGGATAGCTGCTGGAAGCCCCCTTGGATGCACGCCAACTGCTCGACGAAAGTCCCAGGAGGAGGAGAAGCTTGCTGCGCGCAGCTGCACTGCGCCTTGCGCGCGCGCTGCGTGTGTGTCTTTTTTAAAAAACAACCTTGCCAAACGACGTCGTTTGGTCCAAGGCTCAGTCAATTTTTTTTAAAATGACCTGGCCTCAAAACGACGTCGTTTTGGGCCAGGTTTAACAAAACCAAAACACAGGAACTCAACTATTGTACAGATTACCTTATTTATTTTTATATTACTCCATTTACTTAAGTTTACAATGTAAATAAGGAAGTACCCCCCATTTGGTTTCAAATAAAAATACTAGAAAATCAAATTCACACCAAATCAAAATATGAAAATTCGGTTTTAGTGTAAAATACGATTTATGCTAAAAATGATGGCTCATTAAGTCAATATATACTTCATAATAAAATCCCATAAAATCAAGTTTTCTTATTTGATGTGTAAGGAATAAAAGCCGCCAAAAATTATCTTCAGAAAATGATTATTCCGAAAAACCATTTTTCATACTTAGTCAATATTGCACCTCCGCTAAAAAAATTTTGGGTCCCCCAATGCTTCCCTCTCAAATCCTAACCTCTTCCAACCTCCTAACCTCCGACAACCTCCATCAACTCTTCGCCGGTGGCCCATTGGCGATCACCACCACCATCTTGTGCCGCCCTTTTTTTTCAAGTACAAGTAAGCAGGTCAAAATTTAAATTAATAAATTTATAGTGATAATATATTGTTGATATTGATATTTTTTTTTTATGTAATGAAATCTATGGATATGAATCATATTGATGGATAATTTAGATTGATTGCGTTTATGCTTGATTGTTGATTGAGTATATTAAATATTGAATGATATTTGATATGATAATTTGGTATATTGAATATTGATTTATATGGGTGAATATTGAGAGTAGGTTATTGACATTTTCATATTCATATGATAATTTGGATAAAAATTAATGATTGATTCAATTAATTGATTTGTAGAATTATGGAATGATTCTATAAAAGAAAATTATCTACGGATAGTCCTTCTTCGTCTAATCCGGATAGTTCAAATGCAACAAGACCAATTGAAGTAGATGAGATATTAGCTAATCTTTAGGCAAATCCTGGACTAAGACCTCGAATGACGGATTATAGTCCTAATATTCGAGATGAGATCCGAAGAGCATATCTACAAAAGGGACCTTGTCAACCTAGAAGTTATAAATTCCCACAAACTAATCAATCAGAATTTAATAGACGTTTCATTGCTCAATGGTTTGATGAGTATGATTGGTTGGAATATAGTATAGCTACTGAGGTAGAGGAAAAATTTCGAATGACGGATTAATAGGCTTTTTTAGCATTATTTTCTTTGTAAAAAAATTTCGGAACTTTTACACTAAGCCCCCTTGGCCACAGAATCCTGGATCCGCCACTGCGCGCAGATATACCCCTTTTTTTAAATTTTTTTTACAAATAGTATAGCCGACGGCTATACTCAGTTTTATTAAGGTTTCTTAAAAATAGTATTGCTGCGCGGCTATACTGATTTTGATGCCTACACACCTCATTGCTGGGCGGGTTCTCTTTTGTTTTTTTAAATAGTATAGCCGCTCGGCTATACTTGATTTTTAAAATTTTTAAAAAATAGTATAGCCACGCGGCTTTACTGGGTTTTAATATATTTTTTTAAAAAATAAAGAGTATAGTCGAGCGACTATAATACAAGTATTGTACAATACTCAATGTTTTTCACCTATACTCGCTTTTTTTAATTTTTTCAAAAATAGTATATCCGTCTGGCTATATTCGGTTTTTCCTTATCTTTTCTAAAATGGTATAGCTGGGCGGCTATACTTGCTTTTCCCTAATTGTTTTCAAAAAATAGTATAGCCCCTGTTTTGACAAGTAGGCGCTGTCCGGGTCCTTCTTTTAATATATAAATAGTCTAGCGCTATACCCTTTTAAAAAAATATTTTTAATACAATCGTATAGCCGTGCGGCTATACACGGTTTTAATAATGTTTCTTAGAAATAGTATAGCTGACTAGCTATACATATTTTGATATGTGGCACCTAGGCACTAGGCGGTTCCTTTTTTTAATATATATAAATAGCATAGCCATTGGCTATACCCTTTTTTTCATTTAAAAAAATAGTATAGCCGCCAGGCTGTACTCGGTTTTATTAATGTTTCTTGAAAATAGTATAGCCGCCCGGCTATACCCATTTTGACACGTGGGCACTCAATTGCTAGGTGGGTCCTCTTTTTTTTATTATTTATAAATAGTATAGCCGGGAGGGTCCTCTTTTATAAATATATATATATGGGCATCCTTTTTTTCTTTTAAATTTTTTCCCCAATTTTCGTTTATTTACTTTTCCAAAGTTATTACTCATATAAAGAATTTAGCACTTTCATGTTTAATAATTTATTATACACATATGTACGTATTTTTTAATAATGCATCCGTGTTCAACACACATCTTAAAGACTTAGAAAAGTTCACGTTTTTTTAAAAGGCAAATGTACAATACTCGTATTATACATGTAGGTACGTATTTTTTTATGTTTAATACAAAAAAATTTACAAAAAATTCCACAAGACACACAAAAATCACATATTAGAATTCTCACATATTATTGAATATGTATAATTTATATTAAAACATAATATAGTTGCCGAACAT